CATCGACATTTGCTAAGTGTATATATATAGTATTTTATATATATGAAATAACCTATATACGTTAAAAAAGCACAAAAAGTTAACAATTAAACTATTTTTAAAATTTTTTGTGTTTTTTTACCTGATGAACCTTGCTTTTATAACACCACGTTTACTGCCCAAATCACAGACCGGCACATCCAGGCCTGGCACGGAACTTATCTAGCTTCTTCAAATGCTCATTTGCTTTGAACACGTTTTGTTTTGCCATGATTACTACTAAAATAACAATATAAAATTGTAGTAACAAAAGACAAATATATATTTTTGTATCATATGTAAATATACATGATGTATTTCGAACACTGTTTTTTACTTAAAGTTGTTATTTTTAGCAACCTAAAATGAAGAAGCTGATTTTTACGTGCAAACAGGCCGGGCCACGTCTTGGCTCGACCTAAATGGGTCAAAGCAGGCCGGGCCCGTTCCTCACATCTAGAACTGACCCGTTCTGATTGACTGCAAACTTTTTACATAGAAAGATCATGCAAATATAAAATCTTCAGCAAAGTACTAAATTGCACTATCCAGCCAATCTCGAGAAAATCCAGATCAAAAAATTACATTTTGAAGTTTCCGCCAAATTGACATTGTGTTTTAAGCTTATAACATTGCCATTTTTTGACTTTTAGTTATTTTGATATACCAGTAGAAAACTTTTAAATGGACTTACATTTTTTAATTTAGGTTGTTTGGAAAGTAAAATAAATTGAATTCTTTCTTTAAGTTTTACCTGACAATAACCTTCATATCATTTAAAACAGACATATTGGTATTTATTTAACAAGCATAACATTAATATTTCAATAAACAGTATCAGAGTTATATGAGTTAAAAGTGCTGATTTTTGTAATGCTTTGCACTACTGCCGTTCGGAAGGACCTTATCACTAATATGGTTGATAATGGGCTCAATATAGGAAAGCAAGTTAAAAAGAAGCAAAAAATCAATGTGAATGAACCGACGTCAATTTTAAATAAAGCTGAACATGTAACTGTCAGTACTGGAATAAAGCCAACGAATACTGGGGTTATTGCCTGAAATGATATGATATTAAAAGTAGTTTTGAGAGTAGAATAGCCAAGATATTTAAGATGAAGATCAGGTTAGATGAAAGATAGAGTAAGGCTACAGCAGAGCGAAGGCAAAGCTAGGATAACAAGTAAGGTAAGAGCAGACAAGAGTCAGAAGAAGGCATGATTAAAGTGAGATAAGGCTATGGTAAAACTAAGACTGTTAGAGTAAAGTTAGCATAAAGCTAGAAATAACACAGTCAGATCAGAGCAAAAAGGGTCAGAAGACTTATGACAATGTAAGATATAGATTATTTTACTTACTTGTATAACCAACATTAAGGTAAGCTGTCTGTGCATGTCAATTGTTCGTCTTCTCATTTGGTGTTTCATAATATCCAGCCGTTTTAAAGTCAAATAAGAAAAGTATAAAGCACACATGTAAGAAAAAATAAATGACAATATGACATAGGAGAAGGTTATTCGGCTTGACCAAGCACGCTGAAATCAATGTCTTTTATATTTTACGCCAAAAGTTCTGTTACAAAATTATTAGGTGCCGACATAAAGGACCCGCCATTTTTTACAGGAAATTACAAGCAAAGTATGGCGGGTTCTTTATGTTGAAACCTAATATTATAATATAATGACATTTTGGTGAACACGATCTATGTTGCCATATATGAAAAGCTAGCCATAAGAAGTAAAATTTTATTAACTTACAAGATCAGAAGGCATTATGATAGGTAACTCATCATAAGGATACCAAATAGTAGCATAGTTAAAGCCTGGTCGTATTTTGCCACTTATTCTAAAAGCTATTGCAGCAACGCCACTAGAGCAAGAAAAAATGTATGTTAGGGCATATATAAGCACTATTTGATTCGTTGATAACGGTCGGCCTCTGAAAATAAATTTTTTTAATTAAAAAAAAAATTTTTAAATTTGAAAAAAAAACTAAAAAATTCTAAGCAATTCATTCTATTAGGCAGTTCATTTAATTTTCTGCCCTTCCTAACACAATTCACAAAAAATTGCATAAGAGAAAGATACTGTAACTAAATAAAAATTAAAAACTGTAGCAAACCTTGTCAAACACAAGTAGCGACAAATACAAGTTGTAGTCAACGAATATATCAAACAAGATATCTGTGTGCATGTAAGAAACACAAATACTATCTGTACATCAAAGGACTTGATATGGCTAACTATTCCTTCGTTAACCCATAACATTGTGCCATCTCTTATTATAGAGTTCTGAAAGTGTAAGATTACTGCCGATCTCTGCCGAGCCCTGCTCTGCCTTTGCCCTGCCTTTGTCCTGCCTTTGCCCTGCCTTTTCCCTGCCTTTGCCCTGCCTTTGCCCTCCCTTTGCCCTGCCTTTGCCCTGCCTTTGCCCTGCCTTTGCTCTGCTTTTGCCTTTCTGATTTCTGCCGAGCCTTGCCTTTGCCATTCCCTGAACTGCTCTGCTCTGTCCTTCTCTCACTAGTCTTGCCGAGTGTACCGAACCCTGCTAAGCTTTGCCTTTGTTTTTCCTTGCAAAGTCCTACCAACCCCCCCCCCTCCAAGCCCTGCCAAGCCTTGCTTTAGTTTACCCTACTCTTTCCTTCCCTGCCATGTCCTGGCCAAAGATTTGACTTACAGGTGAAGGTAAAAAGATAGCAATACTCAAAAGAGTTTCAGTAATAGCATTAGCCAATAATATTGTTCTATAAGCTTTTTCCATTTTTCCGCTTTTTTTCAGCACAAGATAAATCAATGTTAAACAAATTGAAAAGCTGATGAAAAACACAATATAATGAGTAGCATAGTATAATTTTAAAAATATTTTAACTAGTGAGGTATCTTCATTAACAGGTTGTTCAAAATCCCATGCATAAGGGTTTACATCAGTAAAAGTATTATTTGTAACAGTTGTCATAGTAGCTTAGCACGAAATATAATAAAATCAGGTGAGGTAGTCTGAAATATTATATATAAAGTTGACAAAATTAAAAAAGGTTACGCCAAAAAATCGTATACAAATCAGGTACAGTTACTTTTATGTTACACATTTTAGTTATATGTACATATTCTCGATTAAGAAAGTCTTTTCGCTAACATAATGTTTAATTCATGTAGCTTAAGTAATTATTAGCCAGACTGGTGTTTAGTCTGTTTAGTAACTAACTTTAAACTGCTTTACGGGTTTCTATTAAAAACTTATTGCGCTTGCATTGTTGTTAACTTAAAACGGCTTAGTATCTTATCTAACAAGGAAAGTACTCTCCTGCCTCGCTCAAAACCAGCTCAAAATTTTTATATGAATTCCTTGTACCACCAATAGTACCCATAAAAAATTTTAGCTTACGCTTTTGATTTTTAAATTTAAATTATTTGGGTTTCTCGCCAATTTGGCAAATTTGGCATTGTGTTTCAAACACTTTTTTCGACTTTCCAGACAAGATACGCTTACAAATTTAAAAAAGTAGGTTTATTTAAAGGTATTCTACTAGTTTATCAAAGAAAACATATTAAAAGTCAAAAAATAACATTCCTTCATTAACCTATAACATTGTGCCATCTAGACATCTCTTATTATAGAGTTCTGTAAGTGCAAAATTACTGTTGATCTCTGCCTTTGTCCTGCCTTTGCTTTTCCTTTGCAATGCCTAAGTCAAAAAATGACAAAGTTAAAAGTTTGAAATACAGTTCCAAGTTGGCAGTCTCGCCATAACGACAAAGCGACAAACTAAAATCGGCAGGATTCTAACGTACCGTTTTCTGAACGCAAGCCTAATCTCTTAACCGCTCTACACTAGGCTGATTTCTCAATCAGCTACTGCTTCTTTTCTTTACTTCTTCATTGGTTAGGCCTACCTTTTATAACACTTCTTTTCCTGATAATCACAGACTGACACCTTCTGGCCTGGCACGAGAAACCATGTAGCATCTGCAAACGTTCATTTTCTCTGAAAACGTTTTGTTTTGCCATGTTTACCACGAAAGTAACAAAATAAAATTGTAGTAACAAAAGAAAAACATATCTTTTTGTATTACATGTAAATATATTATGTATTTTCAACCCGGTAATGTTGTTTTTCATAAAATTGTTATTTTCTGCAACCGAAAACAATTTGGTTGCAGCAACCTCAATAAGAAGCAAAAATGTCGTTTAAAGTAAAAATTAAACATATTACATTATATGAATATGTAGAGCAAGAAATATTATACATTATCAAGAAGGAAAGTATCCAACCTGACCCACTCTGATTGACATCAAACTTTTTACATAGAAAGATCAAGTAAACATAAGACATTCAGTAAGTAATAAATCGCGCTTTCCATGAAATCTCAAAGAAATCAAGATCAAAAAATTACGTTTTAAATTTCCCGCGGAATTGGCATTGTGTTTCAAGCTTATAACTTTGTCATTTTTTGACTTTTTATCAGTTTTCTTTGACATACTAGTAGAATACTTTAAAATGAACCTACATGTTTAAATTTGTAAGCGTAGCTTCTCTGGAAAGTATAAAAAATGCTTGAAACACAAAGCCAAATTATCCTAATTGAGGGGAAATTTAAATATTTTAATTTTAAAACTGAAAATTGCAGCCAAAATTTTTTATTTGTACTATTAGTCGTACAGAGCACTTATATTTATAAAAATTTTGAGTTAATTCTGAGCAGAACAGGCTAGGCACTTTTGTTGAAAATCTCATTACAGTACAATACTGTCTATAATTCAATAAAACAAAACCAAGAACATGCTTTTTAAAATGTAATTCGTGCCACAAGTTGTAACAAGTAATAAATAATATACTATTATAGCAGGTTACTGAAAAAGAAGCCTACATATAAATAAAATGCATCAACTCTATATTGCAAAGCTTTATTATACTAACTACTTTATTATAAAGTATAATATAAATATTGCCTATATTATATATGATATGTTAGAACGTAAGATCACAGTAATGGAACATTGTTTTCTTTTTGTTTATCATCTTCTAATCGTGCCTCTTCTTTTTTATTCCCACTAAGCCATCGATAGAATGGACCTTCATCAAAGTCATCAAGGTCTTCTGGCAACGCCTTATCTTTGGTTTCTGGTGAAGTGAGGACAAAAGCACCAGCTAACAAAGCAATTGTTGTCATCGTGATTGGAGGGGCTAGCTCGTGGATTTGTTTCTAAATTTTTGATATTATAGAGAATAAAATACGGTAGTGATGAATATCTACAACGTAATGTAATATTCAATTAGGTGATGCCCTACCCTGCTTTTCCAAACTTTTGTATTACACTTGTCTTACTTTCACTACTCTTATGCTATATTATTGTTCGTAGCTCTAGCCCAGAACCCTAGCCCAGAACCCTAGCCCAAAACCCTAGCCCAGGGCCCTAGCCCAGAGCCATAGCTCAGATCCCTAGCCCAGAGCCCTAGCCCAGAGCCCTAGGCCAGAGCCCTAGCCCAGAACCCTAGCCCAGAACCCTACCCTAGCCCATTGTTTGAACTTACAAGGTAATTAAGATAAGGTGCAAAAACTGATGCAATCTCCCCAACAAATGCAACTAAACCATAAAATACATTTCGAACTGAAGTCGGACTCATTTCTCCAATCAATAACGGTTCAGATGCCCATGTTATACTGTTGAACATTTTGGCTAACAATGGGAATGACATACTTATGTAGTTTTTACCTAAAATATTTTTTTAAATATAATTTTTTATTTTTAAAAACTTCTTTAAAATGTAAAAATTCTTTTTGTGAAATATGAGACGCAGCTAAAGTTAAAATTTCTAAAATACAGTAAAATCTCAATGAAGCCGTTTTTGTTTAATAAGTTTTCGTTGTAGGACCCATTTGATACAATTACGTAAGGCATATAATATGTTCAACTGGGTCCCACCACGAAAAAAGATTTAAAAATGCAATAAAATCTTAATAGAGCCATTTTAGTTAAACGAATTTTTGTAAAGGAATCCATTTGACCCAATCTTGTTATGGTGAAATGGGTCCCAACACGAAAACATGCAAACAAAAAAACTAACAAAACTCTCGCTGTCGTAAACACAAAGTTCATTTTTTAAAATTTTGGCTAAAACAAGAACATACTGCAACTAAAAATCACAAAAAAAACTTGTCAATTAGACCAACCATCCCCCTCATCTCTCCACCCCCTTTCCCAACCTACCAGGCAACAGCACAGCCATGAACATACAAATAGCCGTGCAAATAAACGACAGAAATGTGACCGTTCTTCTGCCGAAATAACTCAACAAAGCTATGGCTATGAAACCGGCTGGTAATTCGACCAGACCCGAGAGGAAGTAACCGACCAGTTCATCTTCATGTAGATCAACACTGAACAAACTTAAGGCCCAGTAAGTGCCATTCATTGTCATCCTAAAAAGTTATATGTGGTAAGTATTGGTGTGGATTTTAAAAATAGGGGTTTTATATTAAAATTTTAAATTGTAAAATACGTTTTTTCGCTAATTTCTAAAAAAATTTTTAAATTTAAATTTTAAATTTAATTTTAAAAAAATCAAAAATCACTTACATGATAAAGCAATGTAGCACCAACTGTAACAACAAAGATTTCTTCTTGAAAATGTCAAAAACAGTACGAGAAGACGCCCGTTCCATCGTGCTGTCACTTCGGTCGGTCACTTTACAATCGACCAGTTGAATTTCTCTTTTGTTTATTCTGCTTGAGGACTTTATGTACCTAAAAACAATGTATTCTAATCTCTGATTAGGGTCTACATTACCCTGCTTTTGCCTTACTTTTGTCATACCGTGACTTAGTTTCACTCATACGCTAGTTATTTCTTCTTAGCTTAGTCCTATCTCCAGCTCAGCTTAACTCAGCTAGAAATGGGAAACGGGCCGGGCTTCAATTTTAACCATGGACTGGCCTGAGTATTGCTCAAGCCCAGCCCGAATTTTTTACGTGCAAGCGGGCTGGACTTTTTTGAGATTTTCAGGCCCGGCCCGACCTAAATTTTGCTCAGGCCTAGCCCGTTCCCCATGTCTGAACTCAGAACAGCCCAGCCCAGCCCAGACTCGTCTAGCCCAGGCCAGGCCAACTCAACTCAGCTCAGTCCATCACAGCCCAACTCAGCTCAGCCTAGCCATAGTCCAAAGCTCTAGCCAGAGCTCTAGCCCTAGCTTTAGTCTTAGCCCTTGCCCTAGCTAGTATTAAAATAAGTTCAATTAGCTTGCTTTTGAACATTCTTTGTGCGATTGTTAGTTATCGACCAGTGCAGTGACTCTGGCATTAGCCTAAAAAAGTATTAATGAGTTTCATAAATTAAACATTTTTTAGTACTTCAAGATCTATTTAGTATGAAGTTATAATCTTACCAATAAAAAGAAAAAGTGACCAGTCCAGGTAATGCCATAGCCAAATATAGCTTCCTCCAATCATCAAATATAAGATAAAGAACACCAACAGCCATATAACCAGATACCCAAACGAAAGTTCCAATCAACGGCGTCATCGATCTGAATGAAGCTGTCACACTTTCAATTTGAATCACATATGACACTGTGCCAATACCCTGAAGTTTTTTAAAATTGTAAAGCAATTCAAAGATAAATCAATAAGCACATTCTTTTTACATATACTTACAATAAGCTCTATCTTGTTATCTTTACTTACAGTAAGCTCATTCTTATTACAAGTTACGGTACAACTAAGTATCACTAAGTCTAACTGCCTTGTATTGTCCGTATTTTACCTAAAATTTCCAAAAAAACTTACAGCCGTTCCCAGTCCAGCAATAAACCTAAACAATAAGAAGAAGTAGAAGTTTCGTGACATTGAACAAGCAATGTTCGACAATACAGTAAGCCAAAGTGGGATTAAAAAACAAAACTTTCGACCGTAACGATCGGCCATCTGAGACAAGAACGGTGCCATTATCAGACCACCTATCATGAATATCGACGTACCATGCTGACTCCAATAACTTTTGTCACAGATCAGATCGAACTCGGTGATCAAGGTGTTTCGATTGAAGTTCGGAAACTCGAATCGAGTGTCAGTTACAGTACCACACTTTTTCGTCAGATTCGTATAAATATTTCGTACTGTACATTTGTCTATCATATCGTAGTCGGCATTGTCTGATATGCAAACGTGTTTTTGTTCGGCTGCGATTAATGACATTATCATCGTTTCCATCGCGTAGATCATACTGCCCATGTTTGACATGGCGTAGATTATCATCTGAAAAAAATTGTTTTTTAAATTTAAAAAGAATTTTAATTAAAGTTTAAAATTAAATTTAGAACCCATTAAGTTACTACTGAGATATATGCTACAGAATATTAAGAAATTTTATAAATCCGTCATAATGACGCATTTAAAAAAAGACATTTTTAGGCATTTTTAAACACTACTGTAACTCTTTCGCTTTTTTTTAACTTTTTTTTAAACTTTATTTGACCCTTTCCCGCCATTTTCTTCTCAATTTCCCCGACCGGACTCGAACCCGCGTAGTTTTGCTTCAAGAGGCAACGCGTTACCAGTTAGACAATGAAAATTTAGTTCCCGAATTAAAAATCAAAAATACTGCCATCTGCAGCAGAATTTTATGCTGATTCTGAACATAAAAATCAAATAATTTAAAACTTTGACTTTTTTCATTAAAGTTCCATTAAAATACTGATTTTTTTTTGATACCCCTATAGAACAACTTGAATCAATTTGGCATAAAAAGGTAAAATTTAAAGTTCAAAAAGTTAAGTGTTTTCGCCAAATTTTACCCTTACCGTATTTTACAAAATTTTAAAAAATTTTAGAAAAAAATTTAACTTTTGATCAAACTACTGTATTATATTAGGTTGTTAGAATAATTATGCGCCTCTCTCCCCTCAAATCAGAGTCAGAAGGCACAGAATTATTTAAAAAACTTAATATTAGATTTATTGTATTATATAATATAGTACATTTTTACATTTTAAAATCTATTGTTTGTAAAATACGATTTGTAATAAAAAATGTGTTAGGAAGCACAGAATTATTTGAACTGCCTGATATTACAAATTTTAAAAAATATTATAAACCCACCTGATATGTTCCATATTTTCCGTAGTTTTTAATAATCTTCTCTGGATCCAAATGCAGATAAGAATAGGCTGGGGTAAGTGGACTTGAACTCGTTCCTGGGGGTGGATGTGTTGAAGGGCTTGGTAAACTCAGAGAATCATGTTTCTGCCGTTTAGACAGTTTTTCTGGTTCGTCTGCCATTTATAATACTGAAAATTGAGAAAGTTTAAAATTCCAATTTAGGTATTAAGTTACAGGTGAAATGCTTTAGGGCACGCCTAATTTTAAAGCTAAATTTCAAAAAATTAAAAATTTTTCAAAAATATTTCCGTGAAAACTAGTAATTTTTATTTTGTTCAAATAATTCTGTGCCCCTACCCATGAAAAATTGAAAAGAGGCACAGAATTATTTGAACAACCTAATATTACCCGACCCCACAAGCCCAACCCCAATAGTACAAATTAATATCCTCACCACCTTGACTCGGAACTGATATTGAATTGTGTGAAGTGTTGATAAGGCCCTCTCTCCCCCCGAACCCCCTAGCTTTCACTCTCGACTATCGATAAGTGCTCGTGATAAGGATCGTATTTGGGGAGTTTTACAAAAGTGAGAATGTCGTCAACATGTCAGACGTAATTAATGTCCTTTATCACTTTGGGAAGTTCAAAAATTAGCAAAATTTGAGAAGAAATGAGTATAAATAGGCTTAAAAACAGTAAAATTAAGAGGAAAACGCTAAAATTACCTAAAATATTGATGAAATTGGTCGTAAAATGGTTGAAAGCAGTCGAAGAAGACTGTAATTGAACTGGTTTAAGAGTCAAAGTTAATGAAGTGTGCTGATTAACGATAAAAGTGAGTAAAACAAGGTAATGAGGTAAAAAAAGATTGTCTCTCAATATTCTCTACAGATAACTGAAGCTCCTTGTTTTAAAATAGCTGCATATCCTTTAAACTACCTTATCAGGCAAAATCTTACTTAGCAAACTAAAAATTGTTATCTTAAACACATTTGTGCAAAATTTAAATTAAATTAGTCCACTGAATTTTATATTACACATCAATTACTGTATCCATACTAAATATGGCTACAAATAGCAATTTAAGTAAGTAAATTTGACCAAATTTGGTGTAAAAAAGCAAAAAATATATGTTTGGGCACATTAAAAGGTTATACAATATCATATTCTATGCTTTTTATTTGATAAGAACCAAGATTCTTCAAATCCAATAACTTTGTGACACTTCGCAACTTTTTCCGATATCTTTTGTGGCAATGAATTAGCGTCTTTTTGCGACAAAAATCGAAAAAAAAGACGATCTCATTGTTCGTTGTCGTAAGTCGATTTGTCGCTACAGATATGGGAAAAAGAAAATTTAGCCAAGAAGACGAGGAATCTGACGCCGAAAGTCACATCAACGGCATCGAGGATGAGGAAGAAGAAGCGCCGGCTGGGCCACCTCCTAAAAATACAGTTGCTCCAAGCGTTATGAGGGCCTTCTGTGAGGTAAAGATTTCATATTTTTGATTGGTTTTCAGGTAAAAATAATGGAATATTATTTTTTAAAGTTTTTATTAGTGATTTGTGGGTTTATATTTATCTACGGCATAAAGGCTTTTCTTCTATATTTTTATTTTATCTTGACCGCTTTAAAGAGTAAAACGACATTTTATTTTAGCTGATTGAAGGACTGGAGGAGAACAAAACTGTAGAAAGCTCAACAAAGGCCATTAGACTGCCTAAACTTGAAGCGATATACAAAAATCCAAAAATTGAAACGTTTTTGAGGAAGAACAAACTGTAAGTCTTTGTATTATTTGTTGATTGATGTTTAGACGATGCTGAGAGCACTAATAAGTTGTCTTGAACATTTTTACGCTTTGTTTGTTCAAAATTGTATGTATACGATGCTTATTTTGTTTATTTTCAGTGAATACCTTACCCTTTGCGACGCTTACTACCAGTACATGGGCAAGGCCTTGGCCAAGGCGCGTGTCGAACTGAATTTGGCCAATACAGCGGTAAAGAACTATTGTACGATTGGAGATGCTATTAAATTGCACCCAAAGTTCCCTGAGGCTCCCGCAAATTTTATCAAAAAGTACTTAACCAAGACCAACAAGCAGTTGAAGGATCTGGAGAAGGGTGAAATGGAGGAGTATAAAAAACAGAAGGGAGGTGTAACTAGTGAAGAAAAGAAAGAATTTGCGATATTCAACGACGAATTAGAGAGGTTTTTGGAGGAAGAACGAGGTGATATGACCGAGGATCAGATTAAAAGTTTGAAGCGGTTTATCAAGAACAATGAGAAGAAGGTAATTTATTTTTTGTTGGAAGTTTTTTGTTTTTAGCTAGGAAATAGAGTGATATTAACATTTCTATTAGTATGGCGTGTCTTTTGCTTTTTATACTGAAGTTTTGGAGCTTATATTGCTCATGATGCTATAAAAATCAGGTTTTTATAATATAGTGCTTCAATAACACCTCCAAATGACCGATTCCTCAAAAACTAATTTATATTTTCAGTTCAAACCTCCACAAGAAAGAACGCCAAAGAAGAAGAAGGGTGCTATAGCAAAAAAATCAGCGTTTGACTTTTATAAAATGGCACAGAAGCAAAAGTACGTTGATTTGGATCCAGCGAAGCGAGATATGAAGCTTCGGAAGAAGTTTGACAAATTGGATGAGGACCAAAAGGAAATCTACATTAGTTTGGAGCAGAACCAAGAAGACTAATATTGGTAATTTGAAGTAGTAATCTATGCATTTTATTCATCTTTGGAACTTACAGTTATCTTTTCTTAAAAATTGTTTTAATTAGTGCTGGCTTTTGGCACTCTTTTGGGCGTTTTTGGTTCTGATTGGGGCGTCTTTGTACTTATTCATGGCTAATTTGGTAATTTATGTTTCCTTCTTGCTCTTGGTACTATATAGAGCTTTTGGATGAAGTTTGGTACTTATTTTTCAAAGCTGGTACTATTGAGGGCTTTTAAATGAAACTTACTCTTTTTATGAATTTGGTACTATATAGAGCTTGAAAAGGAAGTTTGTTACTTGATACGCATTTTAGTGCTATTCTAGGGTTTCTTTAAACTTTTAGTACAAAGATACCCCTTCAGTACCAAAAACTGTACATTTAGTACTAAAAACTTTAACTAATGATGTTTGGTACTATTTCTCAGGTACCAATTTATCTTTTTGGAGCGGAATACTGTTTTTTGCTATGTTGTTCTCACAACACTATATGTTATCCCATTTTGTTGTTGTCTCTGACCTCATTAACTAAAAATATTGTTTTTGTCATAGATATTGTTGTTGAATAAATTACGACTCTTTTGAAGATAATATGGCGTTTAGTTGGCCCTTAACGTATTTTACATTCATATATTGTCGTATTTTGTTCATATATGGTCGTATGTTAGCTTTTGATTTTAGAAAAGTATTACAGTAGGTTGTTCAATTAATTTTGAGCCACCTTTTAAAGCAATTTTCTGGGGTTAGGAGCGCACATATCTTTGAACAATATTCAAATTATTTTGCGCTGTTCCATCAATGGTATGATAGCACAAAAGTCATGGCGCTTTTTAATGTGAATTTTAGTAGAAGTTGGCGGCAAGACTTTATTAATGTTGTAAAAGGGTACCTGAAGGCTAAAAAGGGCTAGAAACTGCATATATAGTATGGTTGTAGCTTATAATTTTAAATTTTATTTGAAAACAAGGAACAAATATTCAATTCAATAGAAATTTGAATAAATTATTCTAAAGGCAAGGTGAAAATAAGCTGAAAGGTGTGTAGCAAACTCGTATAAACCATATTAACCTTGGTTTATAGCTCTTCCTTTGTGTTTTTGACCAGTTTCTCCAACTCGATTTCGAATACCAACCAAGCGTTTGGTGGAATCACGCCCTCACGTCCAGACTCTCCGTAGCCTGCTTCTGGGGGCACGACTACCTTTCTCTTTTCACCTTCACACATTCCCAACATGGCACGGTCGATTCCACTGATTACTCGACCGGCGCCGAGTTCGAAGATGAATGGACGACCACGAGAGTAGGAGGAGTCGATGAATTGGCCGTCTTGCAGACGAACAATGTATTGTTGATGGACGGTGTCACCGTTTTCGGCTTTTTTACAGTCTTCGACTGGGATTACGTGGGTTTGCTGAAGTTTGAGGTCTTATAGTGAATATACCCTACAGTATTCCATCCTACGGTATCCTACCCTACAGTATTCTACCCTACAGCACCATACTTTACCATACCTTGTCTCAGTTTAACCTTACTACACCCTACCGTAGCTCTATTTAAACCTTGCACCTACCTCAACATGCAGACCGTCATCTTCAGTCCAGCTTTCTCCAGGAATTGGTCTGAAGATTGACTTCAACTCAACAAAGTAGTACAAGCTGTCGCCTTGAACAGCTCCACGTGGAAGTTCATCTTCTTCATAGGCTTCTGGAGGGATGACAATCTTTCTCTGCTCTCCAATACACATTCCTCTCATAGCATAGTCCATAGCACGGAAGGCGGTACCACGGCCCAAAATGATTTCATATGGCTTTTGACCAAAGTTGGATCCAATTACTGTGCCCTTAGGGTCGGTCAGTTTGAAATATTGTTGAATATGGTCTCCTGGCTCGGCTTTGATCTTACACTTGTGGTCTGGAAATGATTTTAGGTAATAATGTGTAAAATACGAGTTTAAGGCAGTCTGAACATTAAAATTTTGATAGCTCATAACAGGAAAAGGCTTAAAATTTTGAAAATTAAATTTTTTTTAAATTTTTTTGAAAGTTTAAATTTTTTTAAATCAAAATTTTTGTCTGAGTTACCTGGAATTTTCTTGATGATTTCAATTTCCACGCCATCTTCATCGGTCCACGAACGTTCCGAGTCGGCGTGACATACGACTACAAGCCCTAAGGCTATTAACCCAACGGCAAAGTTCATCTAAAAACAAAATATTGTAAAATACGGGATTAAAAAATAAATCTGTTATTAAAATGACGAAAACAAATTGTTACAAAGGTTACAAATTAAGAAGCTGGGTTAAGATATTGTCATTATATTGATACTGTTATATTGGGTTGTTCAAATAATTCTGCGCCCCATAACACAGAAAATTTGCTTTGATAGGAAACCCAGAAGTACTTGAACAACATTATAGAAATTAGTAAAATTATGGTCACTATATGGATACTGTAACAAGTTAAACAGTTGAAAACTAAGAATTTGAGAGCAAAACCCTAAAATCAAAATTTCAAAAAATACATTAAGCTTCTAACACAAAAGACCCTAATTATAGTCTACATCAGTGCTGGGTAGACCATTTTAACCTAGGGAAAAGAAAAAGCAACAAAAATTTTGTCATAGGAAGTTTAAAAATCAACTATTGGTACTATAGCTTTGCCCTGGAGAAACCACGATATTTTCATTTACAGAAGATAAGCCAAAAATGTCAAAATCAAATTCTGAACCCAGAAGAAGGTAATCCTTTTCAGCGACTTTGTTTCAATCAATAATGAAAACTGAATTCAGCGCTTTTCTTATTACGTGGAGCTTCTTCCCTTTTTTACCCAACGTTTTCTCAGTTCCTTCCAATGACCGATGGCGATTTTCGCGCGGAATTTTGAATTTCAGAAATTAATGTGATTTTAAAGGAAATATTTTTTAAAAAATAAATAACGTTTATAATAAAAAGCTAAAAATACATCGGGTAGGTATAAAGAAAGAAAGCCAATGACAATTAGAATGTTATGAATATTCAACAAACTGACCAAAACAAAAAATGATTTAAAAAATGACTTATAGTAAGCGTTTAAATTTTGTTAACCTACATACAGCAGAATTCCTGTATAACGAATCAAGGATTTGAAATTTGTAATTTATAAAACAGTTTGTTATACAGGAGTTCTACTGCAATTAACAAAAAGTTTTTGTTAGTTGATGTTGGTTATAATCAAGTAAATTGAAAAATTGAAGCTTTAAACTGTGCTACAGGCTTTGAAGTTTTAAAATCTTGTTTTTTAGTCTGTTAGTAAAACTGAAAATCATGATTATTGTATTTTCAATTTTAATTTTAAAACTTTCAAAAGAAAGATAGCTCTGTTAACTTTCATATATTTTAGCTTTAAATTTTTAAAATTTCAAAATTATTGGTGCAATTTCAACTTTTATAATCAAGACATTGGATCCTTTATGAAGCTGCAGTTACAATTTACTTTCACCTATGTAACAATTTCTTTGTGACAATTTTTATGACATTTGCTTATTGCCATAAAGTTTATGGCGACTCTTCTTGCAACTCAAATATAATTTTATCATTTGTATTATATTTGCTTTGTTGACGTAACTCATCATTTCAAAGAATAAAAATGAAAAGTGTGATTGTTCGTATATTAAATATATATTATAATGACAAACACGTTCTTGCGATTTTACTTTTGTTTTATCCTGTTTTTACTTCTTTTTCAACAAAAAAGTGCACGTTAAGGAAAAAAGTAGTTATACGCAAGATTTTTACTTTACTAACAATTTACTACCTTCTAAGTATTTTTTTGTTTTTAAAATTTAGTAGCGCATAATTAACCGTACATATGTGCAATACTTGCACTTTTTCAATACTGTTTCTGTTTGTTTTATAGATTCTTCAAGGTAGAGAGGTTGGGATAATAAGGGTTGAAGTAGGGTAGGGAGGGAGAAAGAGAGGTAGAAATGAGTAAAGAGTGGGATGAGAGAGGGGAAAATGATTAAAAAAATTTTATTTTTTTTGTTTTTACTTATACAGTAGAACTCCTGTATAACGAATGGCTCGGGGAATTGAAATTCGTTCGTTATAAACGAGTGTCGTAATACAGGAGTTTTAAATGCACTGTGTAGTGGTAGACGGTGATTCAAAAGTTATTACCTTTCTTTGTGTTATCTTGCTCTACTCTTGTTTTACTCTTTCTTACCCCTAACCTACTCTTGTTTTAATTTTCCTTGCCTTTAAACTACTCTTGAACTACCCTTGCCATACTTTTCTTTTATCCTTGCCCTACTTTTGCTTTATCTTTGTCATACATTTGCTTTACCTTTACCTTACTCTTGTTCTACTCTTTTCCTATTACTGTTTTTCTTACTTTACCTTTTTACTTATTTAACCTAGCTTACAATTTGTTAAATTTTCAATAGGTGTAGACAAATTTTGTTTCCAGCTAATTTTAAAAACTTTAATTCAATAACAATCTACAGTAAAGATTGCAATTAGCGAAACTTTTCCAATTGACGCAATTAAATTTGTTTTGATTTTTAAAAACAGTTCATTTACCTATTTAACCACAATGCGTGACAAAGTAACCTCAGTTTGCGAAATTAAATTTTCGATTCGAAAGTTTGCTTTAGTCACATGGTTACTTTGTGATTCAGTTTTTAAAATTATTAACATAAAGCGGAGCGAAGTTAAAAAAAAGTCGCTGACACAACTAGAGTCATATAATAATAGAGCTTAGTTACTATGACGGGGCACGATAGCAGGGTTTTGGGATTGTGCAGTAAAAGTGAAATTTACGTTAATGATTTTAGAGAAAACGTTCTGTATATGATAGCGTAAGATAGGTTAAGATAGAGTAAAATATGGTAGAGTAGAGTACACTTGAATAAGGTAAAATAGGGTGAAAATTTATTTTACTTTATATTATTTATAGTTTTTGTTAGATGGATACAATAGTAGAACACAGTTGTTTTTAGTAGCCGGTTGTCAATTCCGATAATAACTTTTCTGCTTTTGAATAACTTTGCAGCTTGTTTTCGATTTCCAGTATATCACGCTGCATTAATAAAATGGACTTTTTTACCTTTTGAAAATAGAAAAGTAAGTTTGTACATTTGAGCAAGAGACAAACGGTAACCATGTGTGTTTGTCAAAGATCAGTTTTTATACATTTGAACTCAGTTTTAAAGTTTGCGTATTTATATTAGGCATAGGGGTAATCAGTAAGTTTTTAGAGGGAATAGGCTTGGCACAGTTTTCGGCCCGGCTCGTAGATTGGGTCTTGTTTTGAGCCTTAACCATCGGGCTTAGATGTATCAGCTCTGCTTGGCTTTTTTCAAATTTTTGTTGCCCGGATTCTTATTCAAAGTCAATAAAACAATATTTGGGACATTGTATTATTGGTACAGCCTTTTTCACCCTACTCGTGTCAAGTCTTTCGTTTCGAAGCCTAATCTGGGTACCTCATTTAAGACCGGCCCCGAATTGCTAATCAAATAAACCTAAATCAAATACCGTTTCATTTTGCACCAATTCAACTAATCTATTTGCATTTAATGAGGTCATTTAATTGTCTGTTCGTAATACGTGTACTTTGAATGTGATTTTAAGTTCTTTTAGAAAATTCTTCTTGAAATGCTATTTTTAAGCCAAATATTTCAATCCGGTAGTTTTTCAAAAAAAGGAAAAATTTTTTTTCAAATTAAAAAATGTTTTAAAGATATGTACTTTTAGATTAACATTAGGTTGTTCAAATAATTTTGTGCTCCATTCATAGAAAATTTTCAAATTTGAAAAGCACAGAATTTATTAAAAAACCTAATAGAGTAATTTTTTTTATTTTTATATTATCTTTTTCAATTTGTTAAGGGGGGGGTTGGATTTACTTTTCATATGAACAGAAGCCTTCTTTCAATTTTTTTAAATTTTGTATTGTTAAAAATTTAACGTTCATAAAAACGATCTTCGAAACCATAGATCTTTAAGGCAAACAAAACTTCTGAATCTGCAGTTCCGTATAGAAATTCAACGGTAATCGCTTTTTGTTTGTGATTTGGCAGTATTTTTGTGCTAGACGGTATGGAGCTGGCTTAGATTTATATTTTTTGTAGTTTGTTTTATAAAATACTTAGACGCGTGCTTATATATGTTTTAATTTTGCCTAGTTGTACGTTAGTCCAGCCTCAAACCCCTAGCTCTAGATTTAGCTCTTGCTCTTGCTTTTGCTCTAGCTCTAGCTTTTAATGTATTGTGCAGTGGTAGACGGGGATTTAAAAGCTGTTCGTTATACGGGATTTTTGTTATAGAGGAGTTCGTTATACAGGAGACTGTACGTTATAAAATTTTTTTGTGTTATGTTTGATTTATTATTACACATACTCTATTCACTGTGACTCAATGTGTTATTTATCACACTGTATGCCGAACAGTTGGACCTATACGGAGAGCTTTGATGAACTCCCCTCGAAACGTGCGATTCCATTGTGTTCGATGTGTTTGATTATTGCGTAGTGTGAATTCGAAGGGACACTGTTTGAACGTTTTTCTATTTACACTTGATTTATAGAACTTGGTCCTTTTACTTTTGTATATCAAACATCGTGTTAGGGGTTTCTGACATGAGGAGGGTCTTAAGGGTTAACGTCAATAGGGGAAGGGGAGAGGGTATCCCTTTTGATTGTATTATATGTTTTGCATTATTTGAAACGTGATGAAATAATTTTTTTGGGTTTGAAGGAACTCAAAATTTATTTTTGAAATAAAAAGGTAGTGTAAAGTTACGGTAACTCTAGGGTATACTTAAGGTAAAGCAGGGTAAGTCAGGGTAGATTAGGATAAATCAAGATAAAGTAGTGTAGGGTAGAGTAGATAAGGTTAGGATAGAGTAAACTATGGTAGAGTAGAATAAACGGCCAGGGTACGGTAGGGTGGGCTAGGCTTCAATAGGGCAAAGTAGGATAGAGTATAGTAGGGTAGAGTGGATTAGGGTAGCGTAGATCAGGCTAAGATTTAATAAGCTAGGGTAGAATAGGTTAGAACGCAGTAGCCTAGAGTAAAGTAAGGTAAGGTAGAGTAGGACAAGGTAGGGTAGGGTAGGGTAGGGTAGGGTAGGGTAGGGTACGGTAGGGTACGGTAGGGTACGGTAAGGTACGGCAAGGCCCGTTAGGGTACGGTAGGATGCGGTAGAGTAGAGTAGTAGGAGTACATTTTTTAATACTTTTGCGTGTTGTATTTTTATAGTTCAAATAATTCTGTGCTCCTTCTCAAGCAAAATTTTCAGTGTTATGGAGCACAGAATTATTTGAACAAACGAATACTTTTTTTATCAAAAAATTTTTTCTTTTTCAGTTTTCAATGTTAAAACTATGCCAATTGCCATTACTAATAACACTAGTCAGTAGTGCGGTGATGCACTATCAAATAGATGAACATTTATTCCCTATACAGTCACACGATATACAGATTCAAAAGCTGAATAACTACCGTTATGAATGTCAATGTTGCGTAGACGTTTTTATGAATCATGTAGACGTGTTGAAGAAGATTGCTGAAGGTGATCAAGAGACTCTAGACAGTTTGCCTGTAAGTAGAATTTAAAAACATTTTTCTCTACCCTACCATACTTTGTTACAACATACGTATATAAATATAACAATGATGATTTCAGGAACTGTGTAAGCAGATTCGGATGCATCCAAATGCTTGTAGTAATCTTGGGCACGTTGACTCGATAAAACGTGCCATTCATTTCACACAACATCGAACACGACACGCCGCAGACATGTTCTGCATTGCCACTTCATTTTGTACGGGTTAAAAGGGCACTACTTACCTTTAATAAATTATTGTTTTAGTAATAAAGAGTAGTCTTTTCACTTTAGTTTATGTTATATTGAGGATGAGGTAGGGTGGGTAGGATAGCACCTAGCAAGAGCTAGAGTTCTGAGTCAGGGCTCTGAGACAGGGCTAGAACGCAGGCGAGTGCTGAGGCTAGTGCTCAATCTAAGGTCTGGCTAAAGCTCTGGGCTAGGGTTCTGGGCTAAGGCTAGAGTTTACAAAATGTTTACTGATTCATCAAAACCAAAAAAAAAAGTTCAAAAAAGTGATTTTATGGCCTGTGAGAGCTTCTTCTGGATACATTTTCATGGTCATTGTCATCATTGTCTTCGCAATCGCTTGGCAAGCAAAACGATTCTCTCTCAAAACAAGTTGACGATCGCATATCAGACAACGTGCTTAGTTTGTGACGGGCTTGCTCATCATCCTAAGATTATTTTTAACTTATTTCTCACTTTTTTATATTTCAAAAACTAAAAATTACAAATTTTCTAAAGTTTTTAATTTTTAAGCCTAATATATAGTAAAATTAAGCCTGAAATCTAGCGAAACGAACTAAAATACAACATAGAACCTACAGGGAAATTGCCTCTGAAACGAAGACTAGCTCCAACCACGCGGTTCCAATTGGTTTCGAGGAAAGGTGAGCCTAGTCCGCAGTCCAGAATGTGTTCAAGCTCACTTTCTGTTGGAGTATGAGGAAGCTCTGGATCTTCAATCTAAAATAATCTAGTAAAAACTTTGAATTTGATTTTTCTATACTTCAGAAGACACGTTTTATCAATATTTGGCTACTTTTAGATAGCAGTGAGAAACTGGCTGTGTAGGCCCGGCTCGGCCTAGCCTGGCTTGACAGTTAAGCTAGGCCACTCTGAGAAAAAAAAATGAAAACGGGCTGATTCTCAAAAGTGCGCCCGAACTATTTCTCATCCCTGCTTTTAGTATACAAAGTCTTTTTTGTTACCTAAAATTAAAAAAAATAAAATTTTTTGTTACCTAAAACTCAAACCTATGTTTGATGTTGCCCAAATTAAAAAGTACAATTTATTATTACCTAAATTATAAAAAAAATTAATGTTAACTAAACAATAAAAATACATTTTTTTGTTACCTAAGTGTCAAAAATATGTGTTATGTTACCTAAACGTTAAAAAACCCATTTTTAACAAATTTCTGACCTTTCCTAATTTTATTTTAAAGTACCTGCTCATTAGGAACGATGACAGTGACAGCCGGAAGTATCAAATCCGGTGCGCTGTCAGTGCAACCACAGTCGGATTCTGTTTCCGAATCCAGGAGACTTTGGCTAATAAGTCTTGACAGCCGACGCACTGGCCCCACACTCTGATGCTCTTTCTGATGTTGATGATGATGACGAAGACGTTTGTTGATAGGATCCGTGTTAGAGCCACTGCTTATCTTGTGTTGTTTCGGCTAAATTGATAACAGTAAACTATAATATCATTTCGTATTTTACAAAAAAAAACCAAAATAAAGCTATTACAGCTTTAAAGCAACTAGTATAATATACCACATTAAGCGTGTAATATGTGTTATACTAGGCTATAATATTTATATTAATATTACAGTAAGCCAAAAGCTTTAAAAATTAAAAATTCACAAATTTTACGAAAATTTTTTCTTAACTGGCATGATACACAAAGGCATACAGTCATTAACCACAACAATATCACAAAAAAGAACCATCTAATAATGTTAGTTTTTATTATCTTGTATAGCATGTTATATAACAGTATCATCACATTTCATTCTCAACATACAAGTATTTACAAAGGTTTCAGTTATACAATAAAAACTATTAAGAAAAACACGTAAATATAGGTATGTACACGTTTGAAAAGCAAATAAACTTGTCTGAAACTTATATGAATAGTACACTTTTGGTATTTTATATTATACATCCTGTCAACAAGGCTAGAAGCTTAGAGCATTAAAGCTAATGTTAAGGCTAGATTAAAGGTGTAGTAGAACATTGTATAATGGAATTAGGGTAACACAAAGTTGTGTAGAGGGGTAGGGTAAAGTAGGGTGGGTAGGGTAGGGTAGGTAGAATAGGGTAGGGTAGGGTAGGGTATGGTAGGGTAGGGTAAAGTAGAGTAGGGTAAATTAGGGTGGGTAGGGTAGGTAGGGTAGGGTAGGGTAGGGTAGGGTAGGGTAGGGTAGGGTAGGGTAGGGTAGGGTAGGGTAGGGTGGGGGTAGGGTAGGGTAGGGTAGGGTAGGGTAGGGTAGGGTGGGGGTAGGGTAGGGTAGGGTAGGGTAGGGTAGGGTAGGGTAGGGTAGGGTAGGGTAGGGTAGGGTAGGGTAGGGTAGGGTAGGGTAGGGTAGGGTAGGGTAGGGTAGGTTGTAAAAATTATAAAAATTACTACATAGATAGGAAAGTAACCATGTAAAAAAAAGCACAGCAAACAATTAAAACCATCAAGACCGCCGCAAAGCGGGCGGTGTAAGATAGCGTGCCTGATAGTGATGTTGTCTTGGATTGGTTTGTAATGGAGTGTTTGTTTCCTCATCATTAGATGCCAATCCTTCTTTGGACTGACTGAAAGACTTGGATCTGGAGATCTTAGGCTGAGCACAACAACAGGCTAGCCTTCTGAATTCGTTCATTCTGAAGTAGCATAAAGGCTGGCACACTGAGTGGATTCCTATCAGAATCTGAAAAAAAAGATATGGCCATTTTGAATTTTATTTAAAATTTAAATATAGCCCCAGCCCCAGCTCAATCCCTACCCTAGATTTTATTCTAGCTCTTAATTACCCCACCGATTTAAAAAAAAATCAAAATCTACCCCTACCTGAAAGCCATAGCGAATAAGACTCGACTTTGGGGACAAGTCGAGTAACTTGTTGATTTGAAGAAAGGCGACAAGTTGAATTCCCGAATACGGAAACAAGAACAATATGTCAACAAAAAGGACACTTCCAATGACAATCAAGTACTTGTGCCGTGACATCAGATGGGTCCGCCACTTCCGATGCGAGTTACAGCGGCTGAAACTGCAATCGATTATTTATTGGTTTGCTTTGAGGTATTCAATTACTAATATAAAGAAGAAGCCTAGAGTGTCGTAAGGTAAGGTAGTGTATTGTAGAATAGAATGAGGTAGGGTAAAGTAGGTCTAGACTCTAGAGTACGGTAGGTCTAGGGTAGGATATGTCTTGTAGAACTAGGGAAAGGAAGATCTAACGTAAGGCACAATTAGAATAAGGTCAAAATGTACATTACAGCAATCCTACAGTAAGAAAACTTTTTTAAAAATTTTTAAAATTTTAAAATTCGAAACATAGGCTTAGTTAAACAAAAAAAAGTGTTGTCACTGCTAAAAAAACAAAACTTTTACCTTACTTTACAAAAAAGTTATACTTATTTGAAAAGTCGAAAATCCAAAAAAGTTCGATTCCGCTTGAAAAACAGGGCTTTTTACACCATTTTTTAAGCTTAAAAAATTTAAAATTCCAAAAAAATTGCAATTTCGATAATTCGTAATGTTCCGTATCATATTACCACAAACCTAACATTAAAACTCCCACACTTCTATCACAAACTCCAAAAAACTCACGGCTGACTAACAGTGGAGCTTTTGGCCGATTCAGGCACGTTCGAATTTCCATTTGCTACAACTGTCGACCGACCATCTCTGTCGATTTCCACACATTTTTGAGAAGAACAATGATGAGTTGAATGCATTGTCGACCGGTTGAATTTCTGGCTTTCTTCATTGTTAAATCGACCCTTTTTGTCACCAGAGTGGAATTGACGAATTGTTCGGAGAATTGTGCCGTAACAAATCTTAAAGTTGAAAATTTTAGAATTTTTTTATTTGAAGTGTACTGAAAGACCAAAAAATAGTATCGGCCAAAATTTTTCTATTTTACCTTTACTCCTGTCCCTTAAAATGACTTTTTTCTAAAAAAAATCTAGTTTTTTCTCAAGAAAATTAAACTGCACAATGCAAAAATTAAAATTTAAAAAAATTTTTTTTTTAAAAAATAAAATAAAAATTAACTCAATTTTAAATAAAACAAAGTTTCACTCACCAAAACAATGATCAAGCAGAGATAACACAAGACAAAGATCATCAACATGCATATCACGTTGATCGATACTCCGTCCATTTCTCGTCTCGTTAGTCCTGGCCCTCGTGAATCTAAAACGGCACTTTTTGTAAAATCAGATGTAAAAAATCATCGGCTTTGTATACTTAACATATAAATTTTCATACCGGTCAATAAGTTTAAAGAAAATCAAAAAATGTCGCAAAAAGGCCAGAAAAAGCTTGGCAAATCGATACCAGTTTTTAATGGCTAAACTTTGTCATTTTATATAATTGTAATGAAAAATACGATTTGTCGGTTTACAGTTTACAGTTTATTTACTAGCTCAACCATCAAATACAAGTAAAATCATAACATTGAAATTACATGCGTTTTATAAAAAAAAATACTTACATGACTTCCCACGAAGGTAAGCAGTACCATTCGTTAGTACGAGTACAGAATGAGCACTTGGGAAAAAGTTGGAGAAAACGCTTCCAACTCCAAAGAATACTGATATTATCCAACTAAAATGGCATTTTAAATTAAAATATTACTCTTATTTTAGCAGTTGACGTCGCGTAGTTTACAACTTCTCTTATACTATAGTTTATACTATGGCACTTCTTGCCTTATAAGCTGATTTAAAACTATTTTGAGTCACTTAACCACAAAAATTTGCTTTTACAAAAAGCTCAGAATTTTTTGAACAACCTAAGGTTAGACTATTCAAATAATTCTGGGTCCCATAATTTCAAAAATTTGATTTTAAAGGAGGTGCAGAATTATTTGAACAACCTAATATATGGCTAATGCAAAGTTTTTTTTTTAATTCCACCTTTAAAAATCCAAAAACTAAAACATGCAAAAAAATTAAAAAAACAATTTTTCGAATAAATTTTAAAAATAAAAAACCTACCTGCAAGCCAATATAACCAACACAGTCCTTCTTCTGAAGTACCTTCGATAATGTAATGGAAACTTGATGACAATGAACTCGTTTGTAGTAAAAACTAGCAAATTGAAGATTGTTAAGAAGTTACATGATCGTAGCACGATCAACGTGAATTGATTTATCTGCAAAATTTTTTTTTTAATTTAAAAAAATTAAAAAATTATCAAAAGTGACATCCGGCTGCCTCATCTTATTACAATTCGTTCAAAGCCGCTTGAAAATTTAAAAAAAATTGAACTTAAGCTTATTTTTAAAATTTTAAAATTTTTCTTCATTTTTTTCGACCTCGCCCCACCCCAACTACTAAAAATTTTGAAAAATCTACCCCTTGTTTTTGTAAGTTTCTTATTAAACCCTTGCCATAACATAACATTTTTCATCTCTCCAACCTTCAAAAACCTACCTTAAGCAATAACAACCGATCCTGAACAGTATTTAGCTGATTGATCAAAAGATTTGGCATTCCCCATGCCACCAAGCAAGTACCTCGTATAAGATCCACGAAAGCACAATGTAGGACAAGTACATAGAAAACATTGGCCAATACTCTTCTTCTGTTACGCAGTAAAGCATATACTACAAAACAGTTGAGAAATATACAGAGTAAGCCGAGAGTGTTGCATATATTGACTGATATTAACATTGGCTGAAAAATTTGGAGAAATTAGCGTAAAATACGAAAAGATATGCTAATTCGCAAAATTTTATTAATAAAACGTAAAAAATCTGAAATTTTGACTATTATATGTAAATTTATCGTTTTTACTAAGGTATAACTCTTGTACTATAACAAGCCGTGTCAAATTTAATATTGCTTTCTAACCAGACATTACAGACATAAACAATTTAGCGAATCTTACATAATTTGGCGGCGATATTGGGTAATGTGAATAATTAATGTTCTGGAAGTCAAGCGATGTCATGTTTCGAGAAGCCAATATGTCCTGAAAACGTAGACGTTTGTTATATTGTAGTAGGTAAAATAAACAAAAAAAAATTTTTTTAATATATTTTAACTTTTTTTTTAATTAAAACCCTGCCCTAGCACAGAGCCTTTTCCCAGAGCCCTAGCCCAGAGCCCTGGCCAAGAGCTCTAGCTCCAGCTCTAGCTCTAGCTCTAACTCTAGTTTTAGCTCTAGCTCTAGCCCAAGCCCTAGACTCATCCCTAGCCTCAACCCTTGCCTTGCCCTACCTTACACTACTTTACACTACTTTGAAACAAAAATCAGTTTAGATATTAACGTTTTCACTTCCTATCTCACGCATATCCTATCAAACACGTTACAAACCAATAAGTCATAACTATGATATTATAGTAGAGAGCATGTATGTAAGGTACAAATCGTATGAATACTAAATTCAAAGCACAAGAAAATTTAAGAAAAGTAAAGTTATAGATTATAATTAAATTCATTGAAAGTATAATTATCGCACAAGGAATTACACTTGGCCATACCTTGTAATTTCAATAAGTAAATTTAGAAAATTTTAGTTTAACCTTTCGAATATTACATGAAAAAAGGTCAAATTTAGTTGACAACACACCCCCCCCCTTCTTCCTTTTACCTAAAAATTTTAAAATTGTACCAGAAGGTGACAAAAATGACAATAATACCCAACTATATGCAACATCCAAGCACATACATGTTGTTCTCTTCAAAACTTCAGTGTAATATCAAAATATTAATTAATATTTACAAGTACAAACATGTAAGCACAAACATATTTTTTCACGTAAAAATATTTAATTTTCGTTTTCAAATTTGTGCCAAACTTTATAATATTGAGCCGAAAAGTGCTCTCAAAAATGTTCTTTGAAAGTTTAATATCCGAATATCCGATAAGATTGTCTCAAAAAGGTATAGTGCAAAGAAAATAACTCAAAACGAGTAATTAATAGTACTAACTTTGCTAGAAGAAGCTACTGCCTTCCCAAACCTACTCTGCGCCTTGCCTTGCCTTGCCTTGCCTTGCCTTGCCTTGCCTTGCCTTGCCTTGCCTTGCCTTGCCTTGCCTTGCCTTGCCTTGCCTTGCCTTGCCTTGCCTTGCCTTGCCTTGCCTTGCCCTTTCCTATGTCGCCCTATTTTTAATATACCCTACCCTGCCATACCCTATCTTATCATACTCTATATTACCCTATTCTACCGTACATTACTGCACTCTACCTTGTCCTACATCAACCTAATCTCATATACCCTACCCTATTCTAGCCTGCCTTATCCTACTATACTCTGATCTGCCTTACCCTACCTTGCGTCCCCCTACTTCACAGTTTTTTATCCTACCCTGCCTTAACTTACCCTACCCTACTCTTCCCTACTCTATGTACAAATACGTACTCAAGCACAGTTATCTCGTGTTTATCATGACCAACTTTAAATAATGGACTTGTTGGTACAATCGTCAAACGAAAAATTGCAAAAAACGCGTAATTCGGGTAATTTTCGACCCAAAAAATTCTTTAAAATGATGTTGTCGTCCGGCAAATGTCATAAATTTTTAGTTCTCCCTTTTCTCGTATGCAAAATTAATCAAAATTGGGGAAAAACACTTTCTTTACAAGGCTTTATGTGCTAGTGTAAAAGGAAGTACTTGAAAACAACACATGGTACGTTAGAGGTGTTGGGAAACTACAGGTAAAATACTATTTTTCTTAGTACCTGAAAAAAGTCTTGTCGCCAAATTAAGCTAATTTATACAGTCAAAAACGACAAAACTTTTTTGCCATAGTAATATCTCTTAGCCCGATCTTTAGCCCTAGCCCTCCCCTTAAGCATAGTCCTAGCCCCAAAATTGAATGAAATACTAAATTAAAAATACCCTACTTTAAATATTGTACCTCGCATTGCGATTCCAAAATAAACTTTTAAAAATATTTACCCTTTACTATGCAAAAGCCTTTGTCCTCAAGGATGTTTACAACCGATTAGTGATTGATTGAGTACTATACTCTAGGAAGAGTAGACAAAACAATGTAATCAAGTTTGGCCGAAATAGGACAAACCAAGTTTCCGTGTTGCCACTGGTTTTAGATTTTTATTCACAAAAGAAGGAGTAAAAAAGCAAAATAAAGTAAGAGTTTACAGCGCAACTTTTGTAAAACATATTTTTGTAAAAATTATTCTCCCTACTTCTTTTTAACTCTATAAACAGACCAAACCCTATTTTTCGGCCCGGTCTGTGAAGCAGCTCTTTGTCTAAGCCTTGGCTCTAGGGCTTACCTATGAATTTTGCGTCGGCCTAGCCCAGCCCCAAGCCTAGAGGGCATTTTTCAATTCTAAGCCTCACGCAAAGATATGAGAACTCCCCCTCCGCGTCCACTCTCAAGTCCTTCAATTACCCGGCTCAGCACTAACCATAACAGTATAATATATTATGTACTTGTAAAAAATACGTTCATAATACAGTACTGAGCCAAGTACTATTACTAATCAACTACGTCACTTCAATTAATTTTATTTTAATAGTAATTGAAACTACATGTATTTTTAAATACACTTCTCATTCTATGGTAGCTTTTATACGTTTCTCCTTGTTGAACCTAGTCATTACGCCCATGTTTGAACTCTATTATAATTACATAGTAAAAATGGTACACGTATCAGGTAGCTTTGAGAGTACGCAAATAACTTTTTGCAAAAAATATCTTCTAAAACACTTTCATACCTAAAAATTAAAAAGTTCAAGTTTTTTCAAAATCTATAGTAAAATACGTTAATAGTTTTCTTGAACTTAGAATACTATATCTGTACCATTAAAGTATAGCACTAGAACCCGTAACACAAAAAGTACAAAAAAGTCTTGTCGCTTTGGAAAGTATAAACCAATGCAAATCAACGGCAAAACTTAGTTGGTGCTCTACCAAACATTTTTTCTGCTCACTTTATAAAGTCATAGTACTTTTACTTATAAAAATAAGAATTTAAACAAATTTTAATTTAAATTTTAAACTAAAAATCAAAAATCATTAACCCACCCTGAAGAAATCAGCCGGATTCTGAAAGTTTCCAGTTTCAGCGGCATACAATATTTCCTCGGCCGATTCATGTGACGGTGCCATGGTAGTCCAGTCTGTGAAATTCTCGTTGAACAGAACTTCAAGACCATATGAATCCACATTGGCTTCTGCTTCATCAGCTACAATCGTATTTGGAAGGGAGTTCAGAGTAGAAGGGTGATTAGACTGAACACCGGTCGAAACGCCAAACCATTCCGACATTTTTCTGTAAAATACGCGTTGTAAGATTTCCAAGTCAAAAAAGAATAGCATAGTACGGAACAAAGAAAACATAATAATTTCAAAAAATTTAAAAAAATTTAAAAGTTTTGACCCTACCCTAGCCAAAGCCCTAGCCCAGAGCCCTAGCCCAGAGCCCTAGCCCAGAGCCCTAGCCCAGAGCCCTAGCCCAGAGCCCTAGCCCAGAGCCCTAGCCCAGAGCCCTAGCCCAGAGCCCTAGCCCAGAGCCCTAGCCCAGAGCCCTAGCCCAGAGCCCTAGCCCAGAGCCCTAGCCCAGAGCCCTAGCCCAGAGCCCTAGCTCAGAGCCCTAGCTCAGAGCCCTAACCATAACCCTACACTATCTAAATCCCCACCTTTACCCCTTTAGACAGAATTTTTAATTCAAAATTTCGAAAAAATTTTAAAAAACTTTTAAATACCTCAAAGTACAACTCAAAAACAACACCGTATGACCTGAATGCAACATGCACATCCAGTGTCCAAGTAATTTTTTGATAATTTTGTTGTTGAAATTGGCCCAATTTTAGCGGAAACTCAAAAAAAACCAAGGAAAAAACAGGTTCCGGACACGCTATCGACAGCTTTTTACAGACAAATCACAATGATTACATTCCGAGTAGAGGGTGTAAGAGTTGTGCCAGCTGTTTTTTATGATAGCAGGAACAAAATCTTGCAAGTATAATAAACTTATAAAATAAAAAAAAATTTTAAAAATTTAAAAAAATTTTTTTGAAGCAAATATGCAACCCTACCCTACCTTATCCTACCTTACCCTACCCTACCTTACCCTACCATATCCTACCCTACCCTACCCTACTATGCCGTACTCTACTTCACCTTACTCTACCATTCTCTACCTTATCTAATTTTACTCTACCCTACTCAATCCTACCCAACCATGTCCTACCCTATCATATCCTACTCTACTTTATATTACGGTATCCTCCCAAACCTTCTCTATCTCACATGTCCTCCCTCTTTTCTCCCTTACCGCTCCCCATCCTTTATAATTTTGAGAAAGTTACCCTAGCCTTAAGAAATTTTGTTTTTATAAAACTTTGTTTTAGCTTAAACGTAATACTCCGCTTAAACGTTTTGTTAAATCAGCTAAACTATAAAAAGAAACTTCCTTATTCCTACGTCTATATATAACCCCACCCAAGCCTATAAAGTGCAAGATGGAAACGTCCAACAAGTAAAGGTCTGCGTGTCAATTTCGAAGGCATAATTCCTCCACCTCCCCCCCCGCCCCACCGTATACCCGTTCATCCGCATTTAATTTTCTATCTTTACGACACGCACCACCCACCTAAATAAACTTGAGGAGCGGCCCGCGCCATATAATTGAATTCGCATATATGGCCTCAGGCGCTCACTACGAAATAGACTTTGATTTTCTAAACAGATACGACGTGTAAAAACAAAAAGGTTATACATACAAATGGTGCAAATGATGGCAGTTTTGTTTTCGCTGGGTTACGGTAGTTTTGCCAAAATTAAACCCTGCAAAATTAATAAAAAAGAAATTGCATAAGAAATTATGACAGGTTGTTTTTTGGGTTTTGCTAGAGCAGTGCTAATATATTGTGGATGACAATTATAATTTTTATGAAGTGGTTTAACAAAGTTCAAGGATTACATAAAGAAAATTTTAAACATAAACATTAGGGCAATCAAGTAAAGCCAGTGTCTGCAAGGGAGAGAGAGAAGGGTAAAAAAAAGTAAAAAAAATAACTTGAGAAAAAAGTGAGGGGGGGGAGGACCAATTTAAAAAAAACTAGCCAAGAAGAGCAAACAAGTAAAACATGCATATCGTTCCTAAAGCTAGGCAAAACCGCCATACTTAGGTTCATAAGTTCAGCCCATTACCGCTTTGTCTCAAAGTAAACCAGACGCACGTGGCCCAGTTTTTCTTAATTTTTTTTGAAATTCCACCTTACATTTGCTTTAACTAGCCTAAGCCTAGCCCAAGCGGCTCACTTTTTAATCTTTAATTTCTCGCATCCCACCAACTCGGTTGACGTGAAAAGCCTCATTCACATTTGACCTATTTGGGCAGACTCGACTTTGAGGCTAGACCAACATTTTTTGTGAGCCTGGTCTCTAAGTCAGGACTGTGTCACATGCTTAGCTCTCAAAACCTCAAAATTTCTTTTCTTGTACCCTTACTCAGACTCCTTTGGCCTACCCTACCTTATCCTACTCACCGCTAATCGGCCCTACATTAACATTAACCTGCTCAAACTTATCTACGCTATCCTTCCCTACTTTAAATTACCCTACTTTATCCTACCCTGAACTACACTACATTGAAATACCTTATCATACCCTATCCTATCTTACTCTATCTACCCTTCAAAATATAAAAGACACAGTAAACTCGAAAAAATATTTACAGTAACAACTTGCAAAACAGCCGTTTTTTGTTCCTTCAAAGTGCGAATAACCTAAAAACAAAGAAAAGTATCTTTTCCTTACCATCTCCAATAATCCAATTTCCTTCACATGAACATGTGCAACGCCTAGTTTATTCTTCTGAAAATAATTTACATTTGCGTCCAACAAATTGGTAAGATCATCACGGTATGTGAAACATGTATTTGATGTTTCATACATCATTTTTTTGTATGACATAACAAATAATGATACTTTGTTACGTAAAATACAAAAACTATGAAAAAAACGCAATAATATCAAACTTGCCCTACTCTTTCGATATTCAAATCTTGCCATCCTTTTGCCCAACCCTATCAAGCAGGTCAAGTTGAAATTGTTTTTATACAAATTCTCGCTCCACCCCCCCCCCCCCCCCATTTAAAAAAAAGATTTACTTCAAGGATCCTTAATTGTTGACCTACAGAAGGTAAAAAAAATATTGAATTTGAACACGGAAAAACATTGAAAAAAAACAAAGAAAATGTCACAATTCAATTGAAAAGTAATCGTTTTTACAAATAGAGTTACTTTTATCAGTCTTCACAGAAAAATTAGTATTTGATAAGTACTAAACTATCTACCATCGCTGAAAACTTTTTGAAGCGCTTGTGCCAAGCCGCAAAGGGGAAACACTTCAAAGCCGATTTACTATGTTATAACTAGTACTATATGTTACTATTGTTAGCAGTGTTTTGCCGGACCGGTCCGGTCTGCGGACGGGTCCGGTCCGGTCCGGACGGACCGAAACAGAAATTTTTGCGGACCGGACCGAACCCAAAAACCTGCGGACCCGGACCGAAGAAAAAGCTCCGGTCCGGAAGAAAATTTTTTTTTTATTTTAAGAAAAATGTTTTAAAAATTGCAAATAAAACATATTTTTAGGAGTTTTTAAGCAAAAAGAAAGCAGTTTTAGCGACCCTTGCTTTTTTTAAAAATTAAAAAAAATTTTTTTGCGGGCCGGACCGGACCGGACCCAAAAATTTGAAGTTTGGACCGGACCGGACCCAAAAAATCGCCGGACCGGACCGGTGAAAAACGCTCCGGACCGGTCCGGGCAAAACACTGATTGTTAGTTGTTGTTTTAGTTATATTTGTTGTTAAAATAAATAATTTATTAAAAAACCGTGCAACAGAACTTTGGCGCTTCCTGTAAAATACCTAAAACATTATACAAAGAACTACTTATACAAATAGTAAAGAAGGTAGATATAATTTAAAAACTACAATTTAACTACCACAAAGTTTCATTCAAAAAAAATTTTTGCTGAATCTCATGACTTTATAGCACCTTTAGTAAAAAATCAGGTCAAGCACTACAAACCAAACATTGCATCATTCCCGATCAATCTTTATACTTATCTCTTATACTATTTCGTTGTTATATCTTTTGCCTTAAGGAATGTAATATTTATGGCTACATTAAAACGCCATGATATCAAATACTTACCGATACAAAAAAAATGTGTGTTGATACTGTCAACTTTTGTGTGCTGCTTCGCGATGAGCACCTATAAAAAGAGCAGGTTTGTTGATCTTTCATTCAGTTTAGTACTTGAGTGTTCGAGGTAGGTACGAGCTGAAATTTTTAAATAAGTTTTCTTCGTGTTCCGTGTATATTGTATTATGTTTTGAACTGTATCTTCTATTTTACGTAGAAGATACAGTTCAGCTTCTTTAGTCTGACACTTCATGTACTAGCCGAAACAAAGCACTATAATTAAATTTTTATGTTTGAAAATGTCATACTAAAAAGGCTCACAAACTATTTCAATATATTATAATAACTGCTTTAATTAATTATAATATTGTTTTTTATTATTTTAGCGTTAAAAAATAATTAAAATAAAAAATGTCATCAACCACCGCCTCCACTTCCTCTGCTGGCACCTGGCCAGCTTCCACCAGCAGCGGCAGCACGTCGGCTGCTTCATCGAGTGCACCATCTGAGCTCTCGGAAGCCAGCTTCTTACCCATTGGGTACTTTAGTGAAAAAGAAAAAAGGGAGCCAACCCGGCTCCAATCAAGGTAAGTATATAATAGTACAACCATTACCTAACCTGCATTTTCATTATAAATAAGAAACAAACAAAGTCATATCCTGATAACCTTCGTATAATACAATGCTTTTACAACAATAACAAAATAAACAAACAATAATTACCAAAAATAAACACTTCCAAATTTCAGAACAAGGTATGCCTCAAGAAGGCGCGTCAACAGGGCCGGTACGCCAAGGTCCACACGTATTTGGACGGAATCAAGCGGGGGCTGGAGATTCTCAAAGTAAAGAAGTTAAGCTGCTGCACCAAGCAGCAGAAGGAGAAGATCAACTTTGAAGTTGACCAAATATTGGCCAAATGTGCCGTAATAAAAGAAGGAGTTTTTGGCAAGAAGCTAACAGTACAAGCCATGGAAGAAGCCGCTAGCACAACTGCTAGCTAGACATTAATAATAATTAATATTACGTATTGTAAATTAGATTGTTATATTAGTATATGTGGCTATAATGCCTTTCTTATGTTATAAAACAATAAATAATATAAAATTCTAAATATGGTATCAATCAATAAAAACAATAAAAACATGATCATAGACTAATATTATCAACAACATAAGCAAACAATATTACTAGAGCATAGTATTAAAACAGTAGTTATTTGAGTAGCTCAGCATCTTTAACATTCATCATCATTTCCTCGTAGTCTTCTTGTTTCTCTGGATCTTCTTCCATAAATAACGGATCAGTTTGAACTAGATTATTTTCATCTCTTGTGCAAGTTCGGCATACGGTAATCAATAAAAATATCGGTGATCCAATCAAAATTACTGTAAAGTAACTCAACATTCCTTCTAGTACTGAGTCCTGAAATTATTTTTTTTATATTATAATACTTACCCAACTCTACCGTACCTTAACCCACCTACTCATCTCTACCTTATCCTACAACTTTAACTTGCTCAATGACTTACCAAACCCTGTGTTACCTTACCCTACCCTAAACGAACTTACTATACCAGTCTTATCCTGACCGATCATATCCTGCTCTACCTTACATTAACTACAAACCTCGTATTTTACTTACAAACATTTTGTTGACCTTTAAGTTCACAAACCCAGCAATCTTATTGTCCACAAAACATTCAAACAGCCCACTATCGAATTCATGTAAAATCGGTGTGAAGAACAGCTTCGTATTGTTATCCGCCAATTGTACCCTCCATCCAAGGAACGATCTGATATCCTCCCCATCTACATACCATTTTGGAAGAGTTTCTGTCTCGTTATAGTCCTAAAACGTTAACAATGATATTCACTTCACTGCAAATCAAAATTTAAGTAAGAAAAATATTATAAACATTATAAAACAAAACTATCGACCACGTTCATCATGAATAATATCAACCTTATATAGGCAAAACAGCCCATTTTACACCCAGTTAGCCAAAGATAAGCCCAAAAATAGGTACAAAATTAAATTTTTCTTTTAAAATTAGCTACAACACCATAACAAACCCACAGAAGCATTGGCATTACACTTGAGTTCCACGAAAGACCCTTCCACAATATTAATGTAGTGATGCTTCTCGTTGTCTTCACTGTTCATGGAAATGTTGAGGAAACGCTGATTACCAAAGTAAATCACCTTCATCATCTTGCGCTTCGATTTGGTCGATAAAATACGACGAGACGGTGGTTTTACTGTTGTTGTGGTACTGAAAACTTCAAAATATATTGTTTTAGCTTATTAACTGTCTTTTTATGAATACTGCATTGAAATTGGGGTTAAAACTAAAAGTCAAGTAATAGAAATAGGTCCAAAAATTCATAGAATAGCCATTTTATCAAAATCTAGACCAATATCCCGTCTTCTACTTATTTTTCAACCAAAAATTCAAAAAACCTCAAAAGATCAACATACAACCATATAAACTTACGTTTCCTTCCTCACAATCTGAATAGGTTTACATTCTCCTTCGCGTATCAGTCGCTTTAGCTCATCGACCGGTAATTTTTCACATTCTGATTGATTCTTCTTGGCTACAACAAAATTATAATTCAATGTGAAAATGTAAATCAATAACAATATTTTTACGACCATTTTTGTGATTTTTCATTTTGAAAAAATAAATTTTTTTTTAATTTTCATTTTTAAAAGTTGAAAAGATTTAAATTTAGTCTTCAGGAAAAAATCAGGTCAAAGGTACTATAAAATCAACATTGCATCATGTCCGATCGATCCTTATACCTGTCTTCAATACTATTTCGTCGTTATATCTTTTGCCTTAGGAAATTTAATATTAGAGCTACATTAAAGCCCCAAAAAATCAAAGACTTACCGTTGCAAAAAAATTTGTGCTGGTACTGTAAATTTTCGTGTGCTGCTTCGCGATGGACGCCTATAAAAGGAGCAGAGTTGTTGATCTTTCATTCAGTTTAGTACTTGAGCGTCCAGATAAGTTCGAGCTAAATCTTTAAATATATTATCTTCGAGTTTCGGGTTTATTGTATTATATTTTGAACTGTATCTTCTATTTTATATATATATATATATATTATATATGTTATAATAGAAGATACAGTTCAACATCTTTAGTTTCACACTTTAAGTACTGGGCTAAACAAGCCGCTATAACTGCTCTTCCCAAAAATTGTCATACTAAACAATTTTATACTATTTTTATATATTAACCACGTTTTAATAAATTATGCTTATTATTTTTACTATTTCAGCGTCAAGACTTAATAAAAAAATGTCTTCCACCGCCACGACCACCCCAAACTCCTCAGCTGGCAGCTTGCCAGCTTCGACAAGCAGCGGCAGCACGTTGGCTGTTCCATCGAGCGCATCTGTGCTCGAAGCCAGCTTCTTACCCATTGGGTATTTCAATGAAAAAAATAAAGAAGCCAATCCGGCTCCTATTAAGGTTAGTAAATAAATATAGTACAACAAATTATCTAAACTACAGTATCGTTATAAAAAATACATGAACTTTTATATTTTGATAACCGTCTATGTATCACGAATACTACAATACTTTTACAACAATAATAATGTAATCAGACAATAACTATTAAATAATAAAAATTTTCCGAATTTTAGAACAAGGTATGCCTTAAAAAAGCACGTCAACAAGGCCGATATGCCAAGGTCCACAAGTATCTGGACGGTATTGAGCGGGAGCTCGAGCTGCTTAAAGTAAAGCAGCTGAGCTGCTGCACCAAGCGGCAGAAGGAAAACATCAGCTTCGAAGCTGATCAAATCTTGGCCAAATGTGCCGTGATCAAAGAGGGAATCTTTGGCAAAACGCCAAAACAAGAAGCCATGAAAGCAGAAGTCGCTAGCACCAGTACTAGCTAAATGTTAATAATTCTTAATATTATGTATATATCATACCTTAGATTGTTATACTAGTATATATGGCTTTAATGCCTTACAATTGTTACTTTATAACACAATAAATATTACAAAATTCTGAAATTGGTATGCTTAATCAATATACAATCGGCAATTTATTAATTTTACACCAAACGATTATATTGTAAAGTAATGACGAATAATATGACAAAGGCACAAGCTACTGCGAATACATTCAATTGACAAAATATTTCAAAAATTAATTAGAATACAAAAATTGGACGGTTTTAAAGATTATAACATTAAATTTTCCTATAAAACACCATTATCTATTACCTAGTGCCCTCAGCTGCCATTTTAAGCTGTATCCATTAGTTCTTTCGCTGTTTTTAAGCATTCTTTCCAAAAATACAAAAACAAGAATTCGGATCAATCTAATAGTACTCTTTTTAGTACTTTTCTCAACTTCTACCACTAAATTTAAAACTCAACGTTGTGGTTACATCAACATAGGCGATGACATAGTTAAAAGTAGTGTTTTAAGCCATACTTGCATAAATTCAGTCGTTGTAAACAAGAAACTTCAAAATTGTAACTTAAATTTCAAAAGTTTAAAAATAGTTCAAAAAATGAAAAAAAAAGAAAGCCACTGTAATATTATAGTAGGTATAATACCATCAAGTTTGTTACAGAAAAGAAACACTAAAAATCAGTAGGGAACCCTTTATAAGACCTTTCAAATTGATTTTGAAAATTTGATTGAAATTCAAAAAAAATATCTTCAAAATTTAAAATTTTTTAAATTAAAATTTTTTTCATTTTAAATTTTTCTCGATTCCAATCAAATTTCCAAATCTTATCAGATAGACAAAATTAGCGTGTTAGTCGATTAGGGAAAGCTGAGCAAAGCCGGTCAGAGTCCGTTCGTCCGGCGCTTCGTTTGGTGCTAATCCAGAGTTGAGAGCGAAAGTTATAGCCTTTTTGTCCGTCTTTTTGCGTGACAAATCGATCAGTTTTTGTAGGTTTGCCGCCACCACTACTAGGTCGTGTCCGTCGATGAGTTCGGCCGTTACTAGTTCGTGCGCGATGCCATCGACAGTGTCTGTTTGGGGAGTGTAGTCGAATTTGATGTCGTTGAGCTCGCGTTGCTGGTTTCGGACTCTTAGGACCTGAAAGTGAGACTTGATAAGTAAGAACTTAGGTAAAGTTAAGGGAACATGCTAATGCTATGATAGAGTAAAGTATCTCTCTTACCAAATTCAATGTTTGTGGAGCAGGCTGCTGAACAGTCGGTGACTGAGCATCAGGCTGCGCCTGTATCGTTTGATCAATCGTTCCACGTTGACTTTTGTTGCCTGATTGAATTGTACCTTCTGGTTCCGAGTCGGATTCTGGAGAGTCGTATTCGAATTCCCAGTTTCCATCCTTGTCCTTCTTCAACTTTCCACTAGCCACCTTTTTTGGTGCGGATACTGTTGGCTGTGGGGTTGAGCCGAGGTTTTCGATCAGGGAGTGGACGAGGAAGCTCTTGTCCTTGGCCTTCTTGAAGAATGAGTACTTTAAGAGTTCGGCCGCCGTTGGACGTTTTGTTGGGTCTTTCTGAAAATTCAAATTTAATTTTTTTTAGTTTTTGTTTTCTCAAAAATTTTCGAAAAAAAAATAATTTATTAAAATGCAATTTAAAGGCTTAACATCAATTTTCCATTACCTTCTTCAGCTATTTCTACGTAAAACCTCAATGTCCCCAAATTGTTATCCATTTTAACCCTCCAAAACCCAATTCCACCCCTCCATACCTGTAAACAGTCCTTGATCAGATGTCTAAAGCTTTTGCCATAGGCTTTGTATTGATCTTTTCTTTCAGCATTCGTTTCTAGATTTGGTGGATCATTTTGTAATGTCATCATTAGTACTTTCATGGGCGGGTATTTGTGGTATGGGGCTGTTCCTGTCGCTAACTCAATACACAAGATGCCGAAACTCCAGATATCGGCTTTGAAGTCGTAGCCTTGGACTTGTTCCATCACTTCTGGGGCCTGAAATTGTAATTTTGATATTAATATTGACCTTTTTTTCAACTTGATTACTAAAAAAGTACATGTCACTAATAGATTTATGTTTTCAAAGTACAGTTTGATATCCTCCAATTTTATCATTAAAAATCATCATATTAACTCACCATCCAGCACGGAGTACCAACGAAAGTGTGTCTAACCTTTTGTCGACTAAGATCCCCTCCACTAGCTGCCAGCCATCCAGAAACGCCGAAATCAGCAATCTGAACAGTTCCATCCGAGCTCAGCAAGATATTACCCGCCTTGATGTCTCTATGAATCTGTCCTGACGAGTGAAAGTAGTCCAGACCTCTCAATACCTCTTTCAGTACAGTGGCAATAGTTACTTCGTCTAGTACACCATAGGCGGCTTGTTCTTTTCCCATTAACTTGATCTTCCGCTTCAGGATATCAAGCATGGAGCCACAGTTGAGAAGACGCATCACTACCCACAGTTCTTCTCCGACCACAAAGGATGTAAAGTAGTTGACGACGTTCGGGTGATGGCACAGACTCATAGCTTGGATCTCGTGGCTCAGCTCGTCCACCGAGGTTTGGCACTTCTCCAGGTTGATGCATTTTATGGCACAGTATTCGGCGCGCGGTTTGCAGAAGGCCTAAAGTAAAAATTAAAAATTTTTAAAAATAAAAACCTTCAAAAATTTTATAATTTTTTACGTTTTCTCGTTTTTTACTCTGTAAAACAAAGTAAATTTACGCCAAGGCTTACGTGCCGTCTCAATATAAATCTACAACCCAAAAGCTTCATTGTACCTTATAAACAGTAGCAGTGGCGCCGATTCCGATGGCTTCTTGTAGATTGTAGTCGTTTTTCGTGTTTGGCCAGTAGTTTTGTTGAGCAGTGAGATTGGGGCTGGACGAGGAGGCTAGATTCGAATCAGCTTGGAGATTGGAAGCGTGCACCAGGGTCGACGTGGACGAGGCGGTCCTCATTTCGGCCATTCAACTGTAATATAAAGTATAACTTTTTACAATAATAATTGAAGATACACTTTACTAATATTGTTATTCAATTAATTCTGTGTCCTCTCTCAAAGCAAAATTTTTTAATTTCATTTACTTCATTTAAAATTTCCAATAGTACTCACATGAACAACGACAGTACGTTGAATACCCGTTAGTTTCAGCTGATCCAAAGCCGGTTGGGTTTGTGACAAAACCCCTGCAACGCCGTCCAAATCACGATGCCTTTGGGGGAGGTTAATTTTGCTCTTGAAAAATCCAACAGTTCCAAGTTTCAGTCAAATTCGTGAAAACTAAAATAGGAAATTTCAAAAAATGTTTTAACAAGTGCATTTGTATAAGTAATGTCGATCAGTTTCACAAAAGAAAACCCATTTTCAAGCTAATGTTTATATAGAAACAGATTAACTAAAGCTGCTACAGCTAAAGACTAAAGTCTTGTAGGGTTTTCACGTTCAAATAAAGGTGTTTAGTAAGAAGTAAGTTAACAAAAAGATCTTTCTGAAACACCAATAGTTCGCATCCTCTACCAAATTTTACAAAGCCCAAAAATCTCCAAAAGCCTCTACCGAAACCTCCAGAACATCCACCAAAATTCCCACAAAAAATGATCAATACCACGCCGCGAAAAAATAAGTCAAAATCCGAGAAAATACAGTAATCATAAAGAGAAAATCCATCAATAATCACCGTACTTCAACGGATATAAACCATGAAAATCAATATATAACAGTAAAACTCTTTATTCAATCGAAATGCTCGTAGATTTAGGAAATTTAAAAATGTGAAACTTAAATAAGAAGGCCTTGTCGTACACATAATTTAAAAATTTTTAACTTTAGTAAAATAAAATAAATCTAGACAATATATCACAATAAAAAATAATTTAGATAGAAAACCACACCGTAAAATAATAAATAGTCATCGCGTATGAAAAGTGCTAAATATAACTTATAATCATGATAAAACTGGCTATAGTAAGACAAAATAGTACTGTTTCTACGTTTCGTAAGGATCTGAAAATTAGAATTCAACTATTAGGTTGTTCAAATAAATCTGTGCCGTCTAACCTCAAAAATACGCTTTGAGAAAAAGCACAGTTATTTGAACAACCTAATATTTTTCCATTTTTTTCAAAAAATACTGACCAAATTTGTATGACCCTGTACCAAATCTTAATCCAAAATACCTTTTAACAGTAATATAACAAACTATAGTACCCTTTACCTCAATAATACTAAACTTGATAAAAATTGATCTTAAGTAGTATAAAAATGAGCAAAAACAACAAAATAACTTAGTTGATATACAATAAGACTGCAAAGTTATAAATAAAATAAATAAGAATTTTGAAACTTTAAAAAACACTCGAATTGAAGGCATTTCGCGTGCTCAAATTAGGTCGATTGGCCATCTTTTAGAGCGGAAAGCATCGATTGAAGAAGTGACAGTTTGTTCTGAAATAAAACAACATCAATTTAGATGTTTTTCATGTTTTTAGGGCTCACAAAACATCATATTTTTTTATTTTACAAATATCTTCATTTGTAAAATACGAAATCAAAGATTTCAAAAATTTTAAATTTAGAAAAAAATTAATTTTAATCAAAAAGAGCCTGTTTTCCATTAATTTTTTCGCCTTTTCATACCTCGCATATTAGTCTTCACCCATAACTACCCCCAAAACCTCAAAAAAACTAGCCCATACCACCTAAAAATGCCCTTTTCTACCCTTCTTATTAACTTTAACCCATAGCTACTCCAAAAACCTCAAAATCTAGCCCATACCCACCTGAAATGACCCTTTTCAAACCACCGAACCCAGTTTCCCAACACAAACATTCCATGTTTTTATCGAAAATCAAGCAGAATTTTTGAAAATTATACAAAATTTTGATAAAAGCAGCCCCGAACTCTCAGTTTATCAACTCTTATCGAATCCCATGATCGCTAAATTTTGATTTCGAATCCGCTTTGCATATCATTCAGTAGCCGCGAAAGCGACGCTTTTCGGTTTGCTACTACTTTTTTAATAACTATTTTTTGTGTAACAAAAATTTCAAAAATTAATGTGGATTTTCAAAAATCATTCAAAATTACCTTTAAAATCGACTTGACTAAACTGACAAAATTCAGAAAGAAAATCTTACTATTTACAATATCAAAAATATAATATAATCAAAACTTCCCCTTATCAAAAATACATTAAAATTTCAAAAATTCAATAAAAATCCAATTTTAAATTATCAAAATGAAAAAATAATAACAACTCTCTAAAAACGTTATGTTTTGTCGTGTTCACGTGCGATCACAGCTCGGAATTAAACCGTCATTTTTCGTGTCACAAGTTCGTTCATAAAGAGTTCGTTTCAGCTCTCAATTTTACGCCATTTTTTATAAAACTTTACAGTAAAAAGTTCAAAGTTATAAAATTTGTCATCGTGTATTTAAAAAAAATTTTTTTAATTTTAAACCTTTCCAACCTTAAAAAGCATAATTTTAGATAACAAAACGTTAGGAATGTCAATCTTTACAAAATTTTAATCTTTCAAATCAACCATAACCCTTACTTTCGAATGCTTGACTTCCAATTCAGCCAGATCATTCAAATTCTTCTTGAAAGCCTCAACTCTTCTCTTTTTCAAATCGACCAGTTCTTTCTTGGCTTGAGCTGTAATTCCATCGAATTTGGTGTTGGCTTCACGTTGTTCAGCTTCAGCTTTGACAATGTCCTTGTTCTTGCCTCTAGCTCTCTCTAGGTTCTTATTCGCGGCTTCGTAGTTGGCCAAGCACCGTAGTCTTCTGTACAGTAGGTCCTGGAATTGAGAAAATTAGCTTTCTACAACAAAATTTTTTAGAAAGCACTACAACACTACTATTGCAAGCATAAAAAATCACAAATTACTTCTAACCTTCCATTGCCAAGCAAATGTTAAAACCATAAAACAAAATTTTTTATCAAAACAGTACCATAAGTTGAGAAAAAAATCTTACCTTTCCAGCCTGTGACTCTCTCATAAAGTACCTCAAAGTATCAGCCAGCTTCAGTTCTTCATCTGTACCTACTCTTGCCTCCAGCTTCTTCATTCTCTCCAACATATCCGTAATTCTACTCAGGAACTGTCCAAACTCTTTATCACCGTTCGCTGCTTCCAGACTGCCATATTTGTCCAATTGATTCGCCATTTTCGCGTATGAATCGGCTACATCTGAAAATGTCATTTTTAAATAAATACTCTAAACAGTGAGTTCATAATAAAACGTTGAAATATTAAAGCTTATATATTTGGTTGTTCAAATAATTATGTGGCATCTAATAAGAAAAACTTGCTTTGTAAGAAAGCATAGAATTTATTAAACAACCTAATAGTAAGATCACATATATAATATACCATAAAATATAAAGAATTACACAATCTACAATATCATTCATAGCAAAAAGCCAAAAAATCAAAATTCCAATCAAAAACCTTACTTTTTCTCAGCTTGCAAGACTTGTCGGCCTTGTGCGTAGCTTCTCGGATATGTGTATGATACTCCAACAAATAGTTGCGTTCTCGGTCGAAAAATTCGTCCACATCTCGCTGAAAATAAGCTATTTATTCCTGTAAATTAAGCACAACGCCATAGTAAAATGAAACTTCAAAATTTTACGCAATAACATCATCCCACCAAAATTTTTTTTAAATATCCTATTTCAAATGTAGATTAAATAAGCAGAGTGCCAAAAGGTGTACCTAACCCCCAGATATGTGATATATCTCAAAAATGTTCTGAGACCGCCTTAATTATGAATCCGTTTCAAAAACACTACATGTCTAGGCGTTATATACAACTTTTAACACTTTATTTGTATGCAAATCAGATGCTTTCATATTCAAAATCCGGCACTAAATTCTTTCATTATCAATCACAAGGTGTAAAGATCAATATACATTTCAACAAACAGACAGAATAATGCAAAAATTCAATCATGTGTCTGTTAATCATAGCAAACCATCACACGTATTTTTGATTTTATTCTGATAGTCATATGCTAATTAACATACATCTACAACAAGAAACCCCTTCTTCAAATCATACCAAAGCTAATACTATAAACTTATATACTCATTCCTTATAACAAAGTTTTTACTGTAAAGAATACTGCAACGCATACTGCACAGTAAGAAAAAGTTGTACGGTAGTCTCTATCTATAGTGAATTATCTGTATAAGCAACTCTACTAACAGAAAACAAGAAATTCGGCCCCACCAAGTCAATATGCACTAAAAAATCACTCTGTAAAGACAATACCCCTAAACTAAATCCGAAATGTCGATCCCTCCGGATTGCTTATATAGAGAGAGTACTGTATAAAAGTAAACCCGCCTTACTTTTATACAACTTTTTAAATTCATTCAATTAACAAAGCCATGCCCTTTTCCAAACAGAGTTCAATGTCTTCTTGACACTAACATCAAGTGCCTTTATAGGTTTAATGAATAGTTACGTATACAGATCATTTCCGTCTGAACTTGCGCCTAATTCATACAAAAATTTTAACGAATAAATGTGGAAAGTTATTCCAAAAATAGAGCTATTCGTCTTACTGCGTCAGACTGTTGTCACAGAAAATGAAAGAGAACTTCGATTGAAGAGAGTTGATATCAGTTCCTTTGTTAGATCGAGACGAGGTTATTTACCTTCATTTGAAATCATGCCTTTAAAAGTTTCGATTTCTTTGAATTGAATGTTTGTTCTTTGTTGAAGCAGTTTATTCAATCTCCATAACGTTAGAGTACACGGTTTCTTACATTTTAACTTTTTGAACATATGAAACATGATTACAAAGCAAACAGTCAGTACAAAAGTTAGGCATCACATCATTTTTAAATTTAGCCGTAAGAACATTTAGAAGAAATATCAGACTTGACATGTCAAAGCAAAATTTCAGCCCAAGCACCATTATATCTGGAAGTTATCCTCTCCCTCTGCCATTGATACATTCTGCTCTCTATGCCATTTATAATTTTTACAAACTAGCTCACAATTAAACCTTAATCTGTCACTTTACAGTACAAAGATCTTTTCTAACGGTCCGTTGACGTCATGAAAACAATTAAAAACCGCTCAACTATAAAGTAATTTTTTGAAACAATATCATATGTGAAACATTCTTAAAATAAAAAATTACAATCTAAAAAACCTTAAAATAAAGGTCAAAAATTTTCCGGATACATTAATTTAAGTAAGAAATTGAATTTAATCTTTTTCAAAAACCTCAATTAATTAAAAATGCTTATCTGTTCAAGGTTAATTAATTACCGCCTTTTCTAAACCATCTATAACTCAACAAAATTGCTATAGTTTAAAAAAACTGCCATAATTTAGAAAAAGAAATGATTCAAGTTCATAACAATTTATTTATACCTTCACGTCTTTTAAACTTCCTTCCATTCCGGAAATTTGACAAGTTTTTTGTCAATTTTTTCAACATTACAAAGAACAAAGAAGTATGATGCTTTTTGACAAAAGATGGACTTTACGTGCAATGACATTGATTAGCGGAATTATATGGTTTTGAAAAATTTAAACTTTTTCAAAATTTTAATGTTAATAAATATAAAAAACAAAACGTATTTTACCAACTTTATTTTAGTAAAGTTGGCCACGCAAACCTGGGCCTACAATTAGGGCACACCTGTAAAAAAGAAACAAACATAACCTCAATGATAAGCCTGACCCAAACATATCGAATAAGCCCCAAAAAGCCGAGCCAAAGAAAATTTAAGCCGCAGGCCTAGACTGAGCCTTAAATTTAAGCCTACCCTGTTTATCATCTCAAACCAAACAAACAATATTTTACAGACAAAACTTTACTACCTACACTTACTGAACAACTAGATGCTCTTCGCCCTACCATAAAGTCCAAGCCATTCAGTACCTCACCACATATAGTAAACATACAATATCTACCAAGCCCTTATAGAGCCACTACGACTTTCTCTTCACAAGTAACATCACAAAGAACAATTCACATAAAAATGACACCAGTAGCGTAATAAAAACTACAAGTTCCTGCGAAATAATTTGAAAATACCGCTTCAATACACCAATCCTATCAACAAACTGTCTCTCTTTTGCCCAAGTTCAAAGATGACAATAGAGTGCAGCGATCAATAATCTGGTAAGCGCATTCAAAGTTCCATAACTCAAACAATGTTACTATTCTGTTTGCCGTTACCTATGAAGTTCGCTTCTGCTTTCGAAAAAACTTCTGTTACAAATCATAACATTTTTACAAATCTGTAATTCCTTTAAAATTTTTTTCTAGAAAGAAAAGTCTTCACCATATAAAGCAATATTTTTTAAAACCACCCCACCCCCCTTTTATAAAAGCCCCACATATTAAGTGTTTCACTGTTTTTTTTTAAAAAACCGCCAAAATCTGCAAAACATGTCTTTTGATTCTGAAACCGTTTCCCCCGTTCCCATAACATTAGACGTCTGACTTTTTTCGAAACGAATCTATCAGAGATCAATTTCAAAAGGCCATACAAAAAACACATTAATTAAAGCGGTTTTGTTATAGGGAAAGTGCATAAAATTTAGAAAATGTTACAAAATTTTAAGGAATTTACATTATCACGCATAGAAAAGATATGGAATAAGAGAGGTATAAGGTAGAAGAGTAGGTAGAGGCATTAAATTTTCCAAATATAGATGAACTTTTTCAAAGCGAGCAACTTTTTTTTAATTTTGATTTTCAATAACCGTATCGTATCTTGAAATGCATCGTATCTTTACAAACAATTTTTTGATCATCCATATTTAAAGAAGCTGACACTTTCAACCTTAAAAAATTTAAAATTAGATGAAGAAAGCCGCTACCAAGTGAACAAAATAAAAAATTTTAAACTTCTTCCTCTCCACCCTCATCACTCCAAAAAACTTCGCCTAACCCAACACCTAGTTTCCTTCCTTAACATAGCCAAACTTATTACGGTAATCCCCACCCCGCAAGTTGAGAATCAGAGCTCGAGGCTTTTCTGCAGCACATTTCCTTATTTCCGCCCCCAAAGCACCAAGAATAAATTAATCCCGCGTGTAAAACGCTTTTTTTGCGTCAAATGTTCATAAGAAACCTTGCGAGCAAAGGTTTTTCGTCTGAAGCTGTTAAGAAGCTTATGATACGTTTTCTTCTTATTCATACATTTTCAGAGTCCACAACCCGACTTTTTCGTTTTGTGTCTGCGGCGTGTAGTCTGTACCGTAAATTGAGTATAGTGTCACAATTACGCATTGTATTGCGCTTGTTTATACTGTAAAAGGATGTACTGTTCTTTCTTGGGTATTCTATAATATTTTATTTAGAATAATGTATTGTTTTTGATTCTTGTTGATTGTAAAAGGTCATTTTGTAGTATTTGACAGACATATAGCAAGCCACTGTTTCTTTAAGAATATCTTTGTCTCAAGTCATATTGTGGTAAGTATTGATACGGTTTGTTGTACAAGTAATCCTGTGCCTTTTTTCAAAGCAAATTTTCGACGTTAGAAAGCGCAGAATTATTATTAAAGGATCTAGAACGATGCTTTGACTTTTGAAAATTTCACAAAATTTCTAAAAAAGCATGCATAGACAACCCTTTTAAAAAATCCAAACCACAGTGTTAAAAACATAAGATCGAAACAATAAAAAATTAATTAAACCCGTAAAACATAATAAAATATGCACACATTCCAAATATTAATCAATTCAAAATTCGTGTTCCCATCTTCAAGGTCAACTAAACATGATATCACGTTCGAATACCACTACAAATTGCAAATTTTATCACATTATAAGTAACATCAAAAAAAATCATTTTAGGAAAGAGTACCCTATCCCCTGCCTAGACCTGAAAGGAAGCCCACTCAGCCCGGCCCTAACCCGACCGACAAATTTAAGCCCAAAGGCTAGGCCAAAAAAATGAACCCCCTTTAAAGATCTACTCTTCCCGAAACTATCTACCCTTCCAGTAAAACGTAATCGCGCTTGGTACTGCAGTAAACTAAACATATAATCACATTCACCATCCCAACAGACTTTAAATGACATGATGTTCAATATTAAAATCACGTTTCGCACTTTACTCACTAATAATCTCAACAATTTTTCGTTTTTATCAAAAAAACATCAATATTATTACCACCAATTCATCACAAACTGGGTTATTTACGTCGGCTAATTTGAGTGGTTCGAGACACAGCGTAACGTTTCTTACAATTACAACCAAAAAACCAAATCAACATATTATTTTACTATCCCTAAAGCTTTATATAGCCAAATCTCGCCAATTTTTACGTATAAAAACGTAAAAAATTAAAATTTCACCTACTATAACATCCGACTCACTCATTTTAGATAAACCTAACGTTACTACAGTAAATTTTAGTACGAAATCGCTTCCAAATAAAAGTTATTACGAAATTCAGTGTAAAACGTCCTCCAATAACAAAAAAACAGCACTTACCTGACCAGAAAGTAGAACTTCATCAGCAGATTGAGTAAACTTCTTGAACAAGTTGGTGACCGTTTCTTTTTTGTTCCGCCCACGTACTGACAACTCGTTCTCGTACTCCAAAAAGACTCGAAAGTTTGGATCTCGAGAAAAAATCGGATGAGCCGCTAATCTGCACAAAAATACTTCATGCATAGCCACGGTCTTCTTGAACGATGCCAGGTATTCTCTGAAATCGAAATTTATAAAATTTTCTAAATAAAATATTTTTTACTTTAAATAAGTCATCTTAGTACCGAATACCAATAGCAAATCCGGAAAATACGTATGAAAACTAGAAAAACCAAAAATTTTATAAAAAAGCTACTAAAATAACATCCCAAACATCAAATAGCCAAAATATCTAAAACCAAATCAAAAAATGAAGTAAACCTACTGTTCCAGCTCTTGTTTCATCTTTTGAAACTCTTCTTTAGTCATGGTAGCTTCTCCTTCGCCTAATTTTTGAAGTTTTTCTCTAGAAGCATCAAAATCTGGTCGTGGAGGTGCAGGTGGAATCTACAATGCCAACTTTTACTCGAAACAAAAATTACAAAGTCAAAAGCTAAAATTTAAAACCTTGATACTATAATCAAGGATATGATACTAAAACCAAGAATTTTATCTAGTGTACATTCAATAAAACGCACATAAAATTGTATATAATAGTAATCTGGTCATAAATGAAAAAAAATTAATGAAAAACTTTTTTTTCATCGCACAATACCCAAATTAAACTTACAATAAACCCAGCGTACTCTTCAGCATCTTCTAAACAGGTATGAAGCCAAACAAACTCTTCATGCTCACGAACAACAGACATTTCGCTTTTGGCAAAGTCCGGCAAATTTGTTTTCGTATGAACCGTGTACTTTACCTTATCACGTTCAGACAAAGCGTCAGAGATGTCAACTTGCGTAGCATTACAAGCTTCCGAATCGAATGAAACATCTTCTGTTCTGTGCTGAAATTTTCCGTAAAATATTACCTTATGTTTTAAATTTGAAAGCAAAAAGTCCAGAAAGTAGCTATACAGCCTAAAAAATTTTAAAACATTCCAATCCTAGTCTCAATACTTCGATACTTTCAAAATACTTCAATATCTCCACACTTAATACCTAAAAATCAAAAAATCAAGGTTAAACACTTACCGTTCTGTAGTCATTCTGTCCCAAATCAGAATCCTGCCGTTGTTGTCCATACCTTTCCCCATATTGTTTTTGGCTTCCAATCGCTGGCCGAGTCGACTGTACCATCGGATTCACAGGTGTTGGGGTTGGAGTGTCCAGGTCCACTTCTTGCGTCGGCTCCAGCACCGGATTCGACAAGGGATCGTGCTGAGATTCCGGTCGTGGAGGACCGGCCTGTTGTCGGACATCGAGCACTGGAGGATCATCGTCAGAAAACAACATCACCGGCCTTCAAAACAAACATTTGAATAAGTTATTGGAAGACCAAACTTGCTCGGTGCAAAAACAATCCCCTCGAGGGCATTTGAGAAAACACGGCTGTCAAAACAAATTAAACAATTTCTAGCCGGGCATTTTTCTTAAACCCAATTTTGATTTTAAGAATTTCTATCTAATTTGAACTCGTTGCCTAAACATATATCCAAAAATATCAAAAGAATATTAACTATGTGTAATATTAGACAAAATTCTGTAACAACAATCGTATAATATCATAAAATCTTATATTCTACTAGCCAAGAGACCAAAAAGTAACAAAAACGTCAAAAAACACAAAATTTTCCAAAGTCTTCCAAATCACAATATTTACAAACGAAAAACCTCATAAACTTTGGTTTAAATTTCAATCCCAGAATAAACAAGCGCTCTCGACCAAAATTAAATGAGTTGAAAATTCGTTTCACAAAGAAAAAATCCCCCCTCTTTCCGCGAAACACTGGACGAAAAAGCCAAAATTTAGGTAATAAATGACCTGAAACAACGTCAAACAGCTGTAACAAACAATAATAAGACATCAGCCGAGTTGCGAAATGCGGCTACTGGACTCGAAACACGTCATAAACCTGCAAATCGACTTCAAACTCGTTTACCGCCTTTACAGCTAAAATTTCAATATAATGCTTGGAAATTTAGAAATTTTCAAAAAGATACATTTTAAAATATTTAAATTGTCAAAAAATGCTTTAAAAAATTGAAAGCTACAGCTCACGATAGAGAAAACAAGAATCCGACTTCATTACTGAAAAAATAGAGAAAAAGAAATTCGAGAGACGAAAAGCCACGAAATTTATTTGTGACACTTCGTTCTTACGGGAAATAATTGTTTGTAGGCCAAATCCAGAGCTGGCAAATAGAAAAATTGAGTATAAAAAATAGTAAAATTAATTTTTTGTATTTTTCATTTCAAAAATTATTTTAAAAATGATTTTAAAAATTTTAAAATTCAAAATAACAACTAAAATAAAATTTTATTCGCTGGCAGGGGGCTGATCTAACGTGGCTTGACAAGTTGGTATTTGAAGTAGAGCTTCTTCTTTTTCTTATTTTGGGGATCACCGCCTTCGTCATTTGGTGGTTCAGTAACAGGTTGAATAGGATCGCCTTCTGCAGTTGTTTCACCATCACTAGGTGCTTCAGATGCGTCTCCACCATCTGGAGCTGATGAAGGTTCACTAGGGGCTTGAGAGGGTTCTCCATTATCTGGAGCTGACGAAGGTTCACTAGGTGCTTCAGATGCATTTCCGCCGTCTGGTGCTGAAGAAGGTTCACTGGGGGCTTGAGATGCGTCTCCGCCACCTGGAGCTGCTGAAATTTCACTAGGCGCTTGAGATGGGTCTCCACCTTCTGGAGGCGATGGAGGTTCACTAGGGGCTTCAGATGGGTCTCCGCCGTCTGGAGCTGCTGAAGGTTCACTAGGTGCTTGAGATGGGTCTCCGCCATCTGGTGCTGATGAAGGTTCACTAGGTGCTGGAGCTGGTGTCTCTCCACCGCCACCTGCAGCTGCTGTTGGTTCAGCAGGTGCTGGAGCTAGTGTCTTTCCATCTTCGTCACCGCCTTCACCACCACCGTTCTTGTAGTCGTCTAAAGCTTCTTGGAATGCCTTGTTGTAATTTGCGATTTCTTGCTAAAATTGAATTTTAATTTCGATTTTCAAAATTTTGAAAAAATTTAAAATTTAAAAAATCAAAAATATTTTAAAATCTATGACAATAACTAACTGAAAATACCAAAAACTTGAAAAAAACTAAAAATATTACCTAAAAACCAAAAAACCCCAAAAATATTAACCAACCCCTTAAACTCACAGCGATCTGCTGCATCACATGATGTCCCAATTTCGATGTGTTCACGTTGTAAGCGACGTTCTTAACAGGAACGAGGTACGTCATGTTGATATGAGCCACTCGATCGGCTTGAACGGCCACCGCGCATAGTAACGCTGCGATCAGAACCCACCACCGTACATGGTTGGATATTTCGTCGAGAATAAGAAAAATTTTAAAATTTGAGTCGACCGAGAAATGCGGTCTTTAGAAATATGCAAATTTCAGGAGTCTAACTCAAATTGAAACTTTATAAGAGTTTCTTATTGTTTTTAGTATTCTAGTTCATTTTCTTTAGTTTCAGTTATCAAGTGTTGCTTTCATGGTGTATATGATCTGTATATATGTAGTAGAATACTCTTCATATCTCACTTTAATACTCCGTACCTAAAATGAGTTTTTGAAATTACGGCCTTGCTGCTATGTTTAGTACTTTAGTGGTTTTCTTTGATTCTTTTGTTACTTCGGTCTTCAGATAGATGGCTTATGTAGTATATTACTTGTCATAAATCTTTTCAGGCATTCGTAGTCAAAGTAAAAGTTTACGTTTACAATTTTCATACTGTGTTTTGTATTTTAATCATGATTTCTAGATAAATATTTTTGTTTTTGTACTTGATGTATATGACCTATACCCGTCATATCTTCCTTAAGAAGTCCGTATCCAAAGTGAAACTTAACAATTATGATTTTTGTACTTTTTTTATAATAGTATTACAGTGTCGTTTCTTGAGTTTTAGTTAGTTTTTCTTCGGTATAGATGACCTATGTAGTACAATACTCGTCATAACGTGCTTCAGGAGTTCGTACCGAAAGTGAACTTTGCAAATTATTATTCTTATACGTTTTTTATTAATTAAGTAGCTTTTTTTGATTTTTAGTGGCATTTTGTTACTTCTGCCTTGAGGTAGATAACCTACGTAATAGTATGATACTCGTCATCAGGACTGGGCGGGGACTTTTGGCCTGGGGGCAGGGGTCCGAAAAATCCACAAGGGGGACCACATTCAAATTTTTTCGAAAATTTTTTCTGGGGGAGGGGAGGGGTACCCCCCCCTCGCGCCCGGCCCTGCTCGTCATATCTTGCTTCAAGAGATTGTATCTAAAGTGAAGTTTTAAAATTATAGTTTTTATACTGTATTTACTAGTTCAATGGCTTTTCTTAAATTCTATTTCCATTGTGTTACTTTGATCTTCAGTTATTACCTACGTGTACAGTAAACTTCTTGCTATCATTAATTAAGAAGTTAAATATTAAAAACGTCTTGGATTTTACACGTACATTTATTGTCGTCTTAAAATATAAAATTGACATGTAACTTAGTTACTGTTATGGGACATTACAATATAAATAATAAAAATACAGACGGTTATAAAGACCTTTCTAAAAACCCTAGTGCTAAAGACCAACTGGTCCATAGCTTCGAACTCTCACTCAACTGGTGATCAGAGGCATTTGAGCTAGAGCCTAAATTATAATCTTATCATATTTGCGCTGGCCTATTTGCATAGGCGGCACCTAACTGTACCAAACACAGTGAAAACTCTTTGGCATGAACCTATACAGTGTGACATCTTGATTATAAAAACAAATTTGGATAAATCCCTTGAGTGTCATACTAAAGTACTTTGACTCTAGTCACTTCCCGCAATAACACTATTTTTTGTGTTCCGATTAGGAGTTTAACAGTTCTTTTTTTCTCTTTGAATAAACGCTTTACGGGCAGTCGGACGCGTTGGAAGAGTAAGAGAGAAAGAGAGCCTGTGACCACCATCTCGATTCCCGTTTCCCGTGATCTCTAGTAGCCTCTCAAATCAGAATAAACGGGAAAAGAATGATCTTTTTTCAGCAAATCCAGCCAGTTAGGGGTTTTTATAAAAGTGGACAATGAGAGCACATGTGAAGGTTCGAAATGAGTTCTATTTGAGTTAGTTGGACATTATTTTTGATATGTTTGATTAAATTTTAAAAGTTTCAGGTTGTTTTGGGGGCTTGTAATTTTATCCTTGATCTATAAAATTTGTATTTCAATAGTGGTATTACTTTACTGTAGTTTTTACCGGCCTTGATGCTGTAGTATTTTTTGAAAAAAACGGCTTAAAATTAAAAAAATGCAATAACTTTCTTTACAAAACAAAAAATGGCAAAAACTTTCTTTACAAAGCAAAAATGGCAAAAACTTTCTCTACATTACAAAAAATGGCATAAACCTTCTGTACAAAGCGAAAATTATACAAAAACTTTGTTTACAAAGCAAAAAATGGCAACAGCTTTCTTTACACTTTATAAAACGGCTATAGGCGTAAATTTGCAAAAACTTTCTTTACAGAGCCTAAAAGAGCAAGGGCTTTCTTTAGAAAGCCAAAATTGGCAAAAAATTTCTTTTCAATTTAAAAACAGCAATAACTTTCTTTACAAAGAAAAAATGGCAAGAACTTTTTGTACAAAGCAAACAATGACAAAAACTTACTTTCCGACCTAAAAAACATCTATAGCTAGCTAGGTCTCTTTTACCGGGTTTAGTCTGCTTACTTTGTGCTTTTTTTGATCTCGAAAGCTCAACTTTAAAAAAAGTTTTACTACAGTGAATAATCTTGTTGTAGGTAACCCTAGAGGCCTTTTTTCCACTGACCGCAGTCAACTTTTTTCTGAATTTGTAATTTGATCAAGACTGTTTTTCTCGCAATTTTATCGGATTTGCAGCACTTTTCCATTGTTTTTTTCGATTCGAAAAAAGCTTTTCAATTCGAGTTTATTTGAATTTCGAAATCTCGAAAGGTTGAGAGGTGTTAATTGAGCTTTTTATACTGTTATGAGTAATATTAGAGCAAAAAACAGCTTTTGAGTAAAGAATACATAAAGTTTTGGGTTTTTAGTAGACCTGTAAAGAGACTGGGCTGGGCGGTTCCCTTTTAGGTCTGCTTGTTAGGCATTTTTAGAGAAGTTTTACTTTTTAGACATTTTGAGCTAATAATCTTAAAAATACAACAACATTGCATTCGAATTCTGTAGCAAACCCCATTTTTGTAGAGGAAATCAAACTCCCTTCACTATGCGTTGGCGTGACAGTTTTATTTTGACGTTGACACAACAAAAACTGTGTTTTGTTAATATTACTTCCATAGTCGGATTCATGCACATGAATATATTTATATTTATATATATATCATACATTTTATACATATATATAAGATGATGATATATATTTTTCCAAGCTTCTGAAACGATTGAAAATTGTAGGGTAATGGCCGAGAGAAGCGGCGCCAAAGTGCGCTCACCATCACAGGAAAAGGCGTTGGATGAGAAGATTGCTCAGATCCAACAGAAGAACAAGCAAGTCGAGGAGAGGTACAAGGTAGGTATTAGTCAATTCAATTTTGGTATACTCAGCATACTTTTCTTTACTTATTTCTAACCTACTCTACCCTACCGTACCCTACAATATCCTATCCTACCTTACGATATTGTAACATACACTACCTTACTTTACCCTACCATACTCTACCCTACCATACTCTATCTTACCTTATATTACCCTATCATACCCTGTCTTTCCTTTTCTCGGCGTTGCCTTACCCTACTTTATTTTTCTACCATATCCAACACAGCCCTATCTTGGTCTTCCCTGTCTTACTCTTCCGTCCCTTACTCTACTCTGTCCTACCGTAACCCCACCTCTTAGTACTCTACCTTACGTCCTCATTAAAGTTGTTTTAGGTAAGACAAGATGAAGCCAAACAAGTTCATCAGATCAAGACAAAGAATGAACAAACTCCAGAATCAGTGCCAAATGAAGCCAAGAAGGATAACCGTAGACCGCCTAAGAATAATGGTGGAGATCGGGAATGGGACACTGGCAAAACGCCGTATGTCATCGTTTTTAAAAATGACATTTTTTATCGAAACAACGATTAAAATTTAATATTACATGATGACATATCATCAGAAAAGCATTTGAAAATAGTATTTTTCTAATGTCAAGTCGTTTAAATAGTTTTGCGCTCCCTCTCAAGTAAAATTTTTGTGATTGTGGGCACAGAATTATCTGAACAACTTAAAACAAGAAAAAAAAAGCAAACTCAAAAGCCATAAAAATTACCATTATAACCCCTTCAGAGCCTCCCAATGGAAGGTGAACGTGCCCGAGTTCGGTGATGGTGCAGCGACCAGTCGTCGGCGTCGTTTCCATCCAAATCAACGTTATCGTCATCCGAATCCACGGCCGGGATTCCAGCACGACGATCGGTTTTTGGATGACAAGAACGGTGAGAATGCCGAGAACGGTGGAGCTATTCCCAACTCACGGCCTCCACGAAGACATAACAATCGTCGAGGACCACCGAGACAGCCACGAGAACAGAATGGAGAACAACAAGATGGCGTGGAACAGGAAAACAGAAGACCTCCACAACATAGAAGGCATAAGAAGGACATTTTTGAGAGGGTCACCAAGACTGATGAGAATGTAAGTTAATATGAGAGGCATGGGTAGTAGGGTAAGGAACGTAGCTTAGCATAGAGCAGGGTATGGTAAAGTAGCATAGGGTAAGTTAGGGCAGGGTAGGTTAGAATCGGGTATAGTAGGGTAGGGTACGATACGAAAGGATAAGGCAAGACAGAGAAGGTAAAAAAAAGATGAGCTAAGATAGAGCATATAAGCTCAAGACCAGGGCCGGGCGCGAGGGGGGGGATACCTGTGCGATTTTTTGGACCCCTGCCCCCAGTCCAAAAGTCCCCGCCCGGCCCTGCTCAAGACAAAACCCCACTATCAATCCAGAATTAAAAATTTTTCAGGGAGAAAACGTACCGTTCCGTGGTCAACGACAACATCACCCACCTCGTCCTGGAGGCCCTCGCAGAGCGTTCAACGTATGTTTATAAGCCTTACTTTCTCAAAACGGCCATAATATCGGCCAAATTTGTTGTATTAGGTTGTACAAATAATTCTGTGCCCATTCTCAAAGCAAACTTTTGGAGTTAAGGGGCACTGAATTATTTACCTTACCTTTAACTTAAAAAAAATCATTTTCGGTCGATTTTACAACATTAATAATAAATAAAATCATCCCTATAAACCACACTTTCAGCCCCGTCACAACGCTCCACGAACCTTCACCAAACGTCGTAGCGCGGCATCTGAATCCGGCGAGAACGTTGAGAAGCCAGAGGGCGAAAAACCTAGCAGACGGCCAAACAACCGCGGCCCTCGCCGTCCACGACCTCAGAACGGTGAACAACCACCAGCCGAAGGTGGCGATGGTCAGGTGGAGAAGAAGAAGAAATATAAACCACAACGTAAGTAATACCATTTTTGTCGGGTCTTTACAGTTTATGACCGTCCAAGTTAACCATGATATGTCTCGGCTTCAAAATTAAATTTTAAAATGATTTTTTAAGCCAACCGCCCAGTCCCGGACAAAGTGCAAGTCCGTCAAGTAGTTCGCGCTATGGTGGGTAAGGTATGTGCCAACGAACGTCGTGAACAGAAAGCACTGCCAAACCCAAAAGAGACCGAACTCTAACATATCTATTGTGATAACATATTTTCTACAGTCATTTGCTCAGTTTTTCTTCGCATAAAACAAAGAAATCAGCAAAACCTATATTATATTACCCTTGCTCATTAAACCTTTTACTTAATATTCAATTTTGTATATGTATACGTGAATATATTCACGTAGCTCTTCAATGAAGCTATCGCGTGGAATTCTGTTAAACTTGAGGCATAAATCTAGCCAAAAATCATACAGTCGTTTTCTAATTAGTTAGCATAAAATCGAATTTCTCAAACCAAAAGACTATCTATACCTACACCTTTTTAAAAAATTTATACCTAAACTAATTTATGTTCAAACTTCAAACCATTTTAGCGCATAAATTATCGTATATATAATCAAAATAGTAGCTATACTAGTTCACAGCTAACACGACATCAATTGATAACAATCATGTTTATTAACCAAACAAGAATCGTTTGAATTTGACAAAAAAAACCATAATTAATATATAAAATTAAAAACAAACTCAAGGAGCGGAACAAGTCGTTGATAAGAAACAGTACAACAGTTTTTGACAATAAATATATCTCTTTGACATTGGCGAACAAAAATATCAAAAAAAGCGTCAGCAAATATGAAAAATAGATAGTTAACTCGTTTTTAATAGTGAAAAATAGATGTTTAAGGTAATTACCATCAAAAAATAACTTTTAGAATGATCACTATCAAAACTAAGATTTCCAAAAATGATAATATCAAAAAGTATTTCTTTATTCGAAAAATACTACTGTAACATCGCCAACCTCATTCCGACGCCCACTTCAAGAAGAAACAAATTTATTTTCGACCAGTGTGGCCACACATTGTTTAATCTACTTAATAATCGTCCAGATCGAAGTCGTCGTTCTCCTCCGCCATCTCGATCATCTGGAAGTCCACACGGTAACGCAGTAGACCACCAATACCACCAAAGCCGTGCACGAATTGGGCGCCTTGTGACGACCGGTCGGTGACGATTTCTAACGTGGCTCCGAACTTCTTGTAGTTGTTGGCTAGCCATTCTAGGAATGGCATTGAGCTTTCGATCTCCATTTCAGCCCCCGAGTCCTTGTCCACAAAGTTGTCCTTGTTTTTTTCTTGTTGCGGTGTCAGATGGGCTACCTTAATATCACCATTGGCATTCTTTAATTCATATCTGGTTACGTCCAAGTTCTCCCAACAGATCAGAATCTCCACGGCTCCCATCTCGAGGGCTTGTAACGTGTTCTGAACACCGTACACTTCTTTGCCAGTGTCTTGAGAGATTTCCGAGAAGAAGTTTGAGATGAGCTTCTTTTCTTGCAAAAACTTCACGTCGGCCAAGGCGTCGGCGGCCAATTCGATAGCTTGGTTGAAGCCGTTTTCTCCACCGTATGATACGTCAACTGTTTTTACGATTTTAGCCTAAAATAAGTAATTTAAAGCATATAATAATGCAAAAAATATTTTTTAAATGAATTTTCATACTCTGAAGCAACATAAGGTTCAAAAGCTAAACGACCGCCATTTCCCAACCTAAAATTCCAAAAATAAAAAAAATTATCCTGTTACCTGTAATCTCTGATCGAACATATCACTCTGTCCCAATTCTGTCTTAAAATCAGCTGAACCAGCCAACACCAAGCCAGCTACTGTAACTTTGTCGTTTTTAATGAACAATTCCACAGCTGTTTCAGCCACCTTTCTCACATAATTGTGACGTTTTTCCATTCTAAGACGAGCGAAACGCAAAGCTGATTGACCACCACGACCGTGCTTCTTTGGTAGATCTACAGTAAACTTGTGTAAAACTTCTCTCGTGTTTCCTTGTAGAGTTCCGAACAAACTGCCGTTACCGTCCATGATAATGAAGCCGAAACGTTGATCATCGGCCAAGAGAGCTAAAAATTGGCCATATTATAATCAAAACTATAATACGTTCATTTAAAATAGCTTTATGTTCCTTATAACTCACTTCCTGATAATAAAAATAGGTTTCAAGCTTCGTTTTAACAGTTAAAACAAGACTTCTTTAAGTAGATACTACCTCAATATCAAACTACTCACCAGCCAAAGCCTCAGTGTGGAATTTGTTATCACACAAGTAAAGTGAAGTATTGATGGGTTTGAAAGGCTCAAAGTCAATGTTAACTTTCTTTTCCTTTCCTTCGTCCGTCACAATCGTACCACAATATATAACTAGACCATTGGTTGGGACTCGGTTGTACAATTTGAGACGACCCTGTACGGATGTGATGGCACCAAGCACAGAAAGACGATTCACACGCGACTTAATGTTCGACGCTGTTCCGTATTCATCGGCCAACATTTTACTGACTCGCGCAATCTGATCGCGAGGTGGAATGATAAGCGAAATCATAGAAGTTCCATTACTAAAAAGATTTTTTACGTAAAACAACCAAAAAAATCAAAATCCCATCTAATGAATTGTTTGCTTTGACCAAACTCCATCACCAACCTAAATGCAAAACAAAATGTAAACAACTTACCCTCTGGCCATTTCCAACGACTTGATAAGTCGTTTGATCTTCCAGATCTCTACATTACGATCAGCAGCGTCTTCAGACATCTTTCCAACTAACTAACGAACCCGTTAGATAATGTATTTTGGCCAAAATTTAAGATCAAACAAAAATTGTTCTGATCTGAAAGTACAACAATATAAATTAATAAAACTAGATGCTCAAATTCGCGAGAAACGGCTAATTTTTAATAAACGAGATAAAAAAAATCTTAGGCTTCACGAACATAGTAAAACTTAAAATATTTCATAATAAACAATTGTAGAAAAACAAAAATTATCCATTTTAGGCCAAAAAACTTATGAAGTAAAAACCGAAGTAAATCCTTAAAATAAATAAAAAAAACCAAAAAATTACAAAGAACATATAAAATAAGGTCAATTAGCTTCTTCTTTAACTAAATTTCATAACAATTTCAATGAAAAACACCATGAAATAGGTAAAAATATATTATTATAAAATCCCTTCAAAAACCACTAAAATAAAGTCAAAATTAGTAAAAATTATAAGACAAAAATCCTAAAATACGCTCCAAACATATTTTCTTATCCAAATAATGCAATAAACGACATATATGGTCAAGCTACACGTAAACAACATACAACCAACCGCGAAAAAAATCCAGACGAAAACCTAAAAAAGCGCGAGCTGCGTGTTATGCTTGAAAAGGCGGTCTGCAGGCTGCGGGTGTTTGTTATACGGCAGAAAGTCATATGTTTTGAAGAGTTTAACAAATTCAAACGTTACTTTTAGTAAAAAAAATTAAAGTAGATTAAAATAGTAATTTGCAGTAAAATATTTTTACATATTTTTTTAAATTTAACGTTTTTTGTAATTTAAAACGTAAAAAAGTGGTAATCACTTTGAGTAAGCAAAGATCATTGCCGTGTCTACTGACAATATTACTTTTTTGTTATGTTTACAGTAAAAAAACTCAAACTGTGTGTTAAATGCGTTTATAAACAGTTTTTAAAAGTTTGTTTTGTTATTTCTGTTTCTGTTTTTAAAGTTTTATATTTTAAAAAAGCTAATTCTAGACTTTTTGTCCTACTGGTTTATGTCAATATCTTGTTTTTAAATTTTCAATATTTGCTTTTTTTATACAAAAATCTTTAAATTTCTTATTACTTTAAACTCTAAAAGGTCATTTCAAAGTTGGAATCATAAAAAGTAATCGACTTTGATTGTAATGTAACGTACATGCAATATCTAATGTTATGTGTACAAAAAAAGATTCTGGTTATCACGGAAGTCACAAAACATAGAACTGGGAAAGCTTGTTTATCAATGCGCGAGTTTATATCAAATTCTTTCTACTAATAGTGTTAGAATTGTTACTGTTTACAATGGTTTAAAAAGTTTTTTATTTACAAACAAGATGTGTACTTGGTTTGGTGAACACGAATGGTAAATGCTTTAAGTAAATAAGAGTTTGACATTTTGGTTTTTTTAAACTTTTGCAAGATTTTATTTTATTTAAATTTTTTTTCAATGCAAGATATAATGTAAAAATTGAAACGTCATGGATAAGGGGAAGGAGCGGCGATGAGGGTTTGGTGAAGACTGTCAGATCCTTGTTCTTATTTGGACTCCATCCAGGTGATCCTGTTTCTCGAGCGACCGAGTCGTGATGAAGTGTTTCTCAAAACCTCAGGCCGTTTTCAAAGTCTGTGTAGGCCAAACAACTGATTGGAAATTGACATATTTTTCATGCTAAGTTCACGGAGATTATGGGAAGATTTTAAAAGAAATCAAAAAGTTTTATCGTCAATTTATATGTATTTTTACGCTAAAATATATCCAGACTTATTTGGTATCTTACAAGGAAAGAACTCCACCTGCCTCGCTCAGAATCAGCTTCAATTTTTTCTATAAATTCTTTGTACCACCATTAATATCAACGAAAAATTTTAGTTTGCGCTTTTGAGTTTTAAAATAAAAATATTTGAAGTTTCTGTTAATTTGACAAATTTGGCATACTGTTTCAAGCACTTTTTTAACTTTCCAGACAAGATACGCTTACAAATTTAAAAATGTAGGTTTATTTAAAGATTTTCTACTAGTATATTAAAGAAAAATTATTAAAAGTCAAAAAATGACACAGTTATAAGCTTGATAAGCAATGCCAAGTTGGCGGGGAATTCAAAATTTCATTTTTTAATCTCGATTTTGTCGAGATTTCCTGGACAGCGCGATTTAGTACTTTGCTGAAAATCTTATATTTACATGATCTTTCTTCATAAAACGTTTGAAGTCAATCAGAGCGGGGCAGACCAAGCATCTTCCTTGTAAAGTATTTTTAACATATTTAAAAAATTTTTTTTTTACATTTTTTTATTTTTATTTCTAGACCAAAATAAAATTTATAACTCTTACTATCACTTGTTTACCGTATTTCCGTTTTTTACACCGTAAAACCACAAAGATTGCAATGTGGACTTTTATAGTTTACCTTTCCAGAAGCTTCCGCCGACAAAACACAAATGTACATTTTCCTAAATTTGAAGGAATTTACAGTGTAAAGAGCGTTTTATGGTTTGTAATCTTGTTTACTGTCAAAACAGTATTTTCAACTTTAAATTAGGCTTGTTTCTGCTTTGTGTTTTCTGAATTCATCCTAGACAAAGTCATTTCGACTAATTTGATTGTTATGGCGAAATGTTTGCAATGCCAATGCTAACAGTTAAAAAGTTGTTTACTGGTGACAATGTAGATGTTTAGCTAGTAAATACACGTACATGTGGTAGTTTATGTTTGCTGACAATCATTGGGTTTGGTTTTGCTAGGTTTGTAGGCTTTCACTGTAAATAGTTACAGTAATAGTGATGTGTTTACTACAAAACAAAATTTAACTCAAGTTTTTAAAAAGCTTTTTTAAAAATTTAAGTTTTTTAAGTTTTAAAGTCTATGTCTAATACCATAAAGCCGATATTTCAAAAAATTTTGCAAAAAGTTTAGGTAACAATGATATTATGATTGTGATATGTTCTCTAATGTCTTATAGTGTACTATTTTGGTAGTGTTTGTGACCAAATAGAACTTTTTTTGCAATTTGTGATGTTAGTATTTCAAACTACAGAATATAGCAGCTGAGGTCACTTTTTGTTTCGAAATACCTTAACCTATAAAGGGAATGGCAGTACCAAATACGTTATTCACACGTAGAATTTTGGCTAGCTAGAGGTAGTAATGACTGAAATGAGTATAAGTTCCGGGGTGATTTAAAACCAAAAATAGGGGGGGAGGTGGTTGGGTACGTGGGTGGAGTAAAGAATATACAGTAATTTTTTAAACGGAGGAGCTTATGTTCAACTTTTCGCAGATTTTGTAGTTGTTTTAACTATAGCAGGGCCAGTGCAAGGCACTGTAGGCACAGTAGGCAAGCCTGGGTACAGTGATCAAAAAAAGTATCACGGATAGTGACAATATTCTTTCATAGCCCGGTTTTAAGCCGCGCTTTGGCGGTAGAAATTTGAATTCATAAAAGCAAACTAGCTTTGGTGATAAGTTCAACAAATATCGTTATGACACCCACATATTTGGGATGATTTGTAGTTTGTCAACAGTCTATGTGTTGTCATAATTTTATGTCTTGTTATTATTTCATGTTAACATACTGTAAAAACCAAGTTAATTTATTGCTAAATACGAATGTGATCTATGGCTACGTGCAATCACATTGAAATATCAATAACATAAACATTGAAGCAGTTTTCAAAGATCAATTTGCCTAAACTTGTACTAAAACGTTTACATTTTTGAAAGCTTTGAAAAAAGACTCTGAACTTTATTAGTCCTTTGAAGACCTTTACATACGTATGTATTGTAGAAATCAAAAAAATAAGACAACCTGTCGAAGATGTTGTTTTAAGTTCATTTTATAACATCAGAAAATACGTTTACTTTACATTTCTATAGGGTGAGCTGACAAGTTTATATTGATTAATGGCGAAATGGCAAGAAATTTCAAAAAAATTTAAAATTTTAAAATTTTTTTGAACAGAAGAATCTTGACTAATTCCCATTTTGTAAAAGTGACCCAATAACGTTACACTGACATGTGTAGTCTGTGATTTACCATGCGTTAACTAGGGTTTTTACATTTATTGATAGGACCTTTCGTCAGCGTAGTCTATATTTCAAATTCTTTTAAAGAAATACGATTTTTTTAGAAAATTTTTTTAATTTTAGACTTTACTGTTTGTGACAATGTTTATAACATACATATATACTTATATAGGTTTTTGCAGCTAAATAATAAATCTAGGTGCGCACCTTACAGTACTCCTAGCAAAAGACGCAAAATTTATGGTTTATCATGTTTAATACTAACATTATATATAATATATTAGTGTAGAATAGGGTAGAGGAAGGTAGAGGTAAAGCTCAGTGTTTATGTAAAGGGTTGGTTGACTGTTACCATAATTCAAAAGTTACCAATTTTTCAAAAGTTTGCCAGCTGTGATGCACACTACACATTTATAAAGAATGACTTCAAAATACTTTGTGGTGGTCAATCGCTGTTATTGTGGTGATGTAATACTAATTGCTACAACTGCTTTTCACATGATTCAAAAAACTAGAAAACGGTAAAATCACGTTGCAAATAGCTTTCTTACTTCCTTAGGAATCACATTACTTTGACTTGTATCTGATCATCAGAAAATTTTATATTTTGTGTTTTATTTACTCTAGCATTTTTAGTTTACTCTATTATTTGAAGTTTTGTTACTCTATATTTTTTACATTAGTCTATTTCTAAATTGCTTTGGTTCCTCTGGTTATTACATACATATATGGTCTTACACCCTATCTTTTAAATTGGCTATCTATTCTGATTTTTTTTAAGCCATTTACATACCTTACTTCAAGTTGTCTACTTTATTTTTCACCGTTGTCTACCTTACTCTTTTCAAAATTCTTTACCCTATCCTTATCATAACAACCTTTCTGATTAACACTGTTCAATACTATCATATAGTTTACCTATTTCATCGCTAACACACTTTTACAGGCATCTTAAACTATAAATTAGTGTGGCGATGACTGAAACACAACGTTTTAGGCATAAAACACAATGTTACAAAGTTGTCACAAAACATAAATTTTTTACTGCGATGTAATTCAAGGAAGGCGTGGTATTCCACGCGGAATAAAAATGTTTTCTCGGCGGGCGGATTCAGAGAGAAGCGTTCGCTTCGGATGACATATATTGTCATCGTATTTAGGCGACGGTGTTGATTGATTCGAACGTAGTTGGTGTAGGCATCGTGCTTGTTGGCTTGACCAAGGCAGGACTAAGTGAGAGATGGTAGAATGGGAGACAGTAAGGTAGAGAACGATAGGGTAGGGTAGGGTAGGGTAGGATAGGGTAGGGTAGGGTAGGGTAGGGTAGGGTAGGGTAGGGTAGGGTAGGGTAGGGTAGGGTAGGGTAGGGTAGGGTAGAGTAGGGTAGGGTAGGGTAGAACATTTTCTTTTCACAAGACCAGTTAGTGACTTAACCACAACGCATCTTACTGGACAAACATGTACCTATTTTCTGCACAGCTTTTTTAGTTTGTAGTTTGAAAAACCAGCCTTTAAACCCTTGTTTTTACTGTAGTTTCGACAATAATTAAATTTCGAAAGACAAAAGTGCATAACTTCTCGTCGTACTAGTCATAAATTGACTGCCAATCGTTATTTCTACTAATTAAAGCACAATTAGCAGAAGTGAATTGCTTAACACGGAATGTTCGGTTTGATTTGGTTTTTTGATTTTTACTGGAATCGTGAAGTTTGATTGGAATTTGGCTAAAATACAAAGTTTGATTAGGTTGTCTGAATACGAATTTGTACAAAAAGAAGGGGGGGGGGTTGGTAAAGTTCAAGTTTATATAAGAAGAAGTGGGTTGAGTGCTAGAGGGTTTTTTTAAAAAAATTTTTAACAGCAAGATGTAGTTGAACAATGAATTCACATGATGTTGCGTAGAATAGAAGAAAAAGGTAGTGTAGTTAATTTTAAATGTAAACCTTCAGACATGATGACTTCTGTGTTAAGCACAAGAAGGATGATAAGAAGGAAATTTGAGGAGAAGGGGAAAAGGAAGGGGGGGGTGGGCGGGAGAGGGGGGGGTTTCCATTTTTTTTGGGGGGGAGACAAAGGTTTTTACTAAACAAATTCTACCCTACCATCCCTTACCCTACTCTACCCTTCTTTACTCTTTCCTAACCTACTTTACTTTGTTCTACCTTACTTTACTTTCTCTTGCACTACATTACTCGGCCCTACTCTAAAGATGTGGTTTGTTTTCTAATTTGTTCTTAAAGCAGCCAAATCATCATTTTTTAAAGTCATCTATCGTTTTTGCAGCAACTTTTTCATTTTTAAACTGTATATTTTGAAATTTAAAAATTTGATAAAAGTAAATTAATAAATCAAAACCTTCTGACAACAACATTCTTCAATCACGGTAAATAAGCTTTATGATGTAAATAAGGAAGTCATAACAGTTTTAAGCTTTGTTTTTACAAACCTTAGGTGAACTGTCATTTGGAGCCCTTACCTTGGAGAACGTTAGGTGTTTTTGTTAACTGTTAGCAGAATTTTACTTGTTTTTTTGGTTCTTGGTCTATGATATTGATATCTGAAGTCACGTCTGATATGGTCATTAAAATGTTTTAAGTTTTTTAAACAAAACGTGATTATTTGGAATGTTTTGATTATTTGCTGCTGTAGACGAAAATATTTAAGGCCTTTACTGTATTTTTAGATTGAGTTTTTAAAATCTAAAGAAAGCTTGTCGTTAATTTACATGAAATTTTGTCTATATATACCTGCCTTTGCCCTGCCTTTTCCAGCTCTGCCGCCTGACTTTCTGTCTGCTTTAATTTGCCTTATCTTCGCCCTATTCTAGTTTTTCTGCCTTTGCACAGCCTTTTTTACATTATCCTAGCCTGATGTGCCCTATCTTACTATGAAGTGTACTGCCCTGCCTCGTTTTTTCTTTTCCTATCTTGACTTGCTTTATCTTGCCCTGACTTGCCTTGCTCTATCTTAGTCTGGCTTGATTTACCTTGCCTACTCATTCCTCTTCCCTCCTGCTTTGCCCTTCTTGTCTTACTATAGTACTTTTACGCTTCCTGTCAATTCAAATGGATTTAATTTTTTTTGTCGTAACTTTTAGACCTAGTAGTAAAAAATCTGAACTATGATCTAAAAAGTAATTTTTTGTTTTTTAAAGATTACTTCAAAAGCCGTTCTATCATTTATCAAACTCTCAGTAGCTTTTCCGCTTCGAATCTGTGCCTTGTGTTTAGTATTTTGTTCAGTAGATCCTGTTTTCAATAAAAACGAACGTTATCAATTACTTATCTATAAAAAAAGATAAGTCATTGTCACTACCGATATGTATATCTTATTCATTCTACTGTACACTTGTTATAAGTTTTTTTATTATAACATACTCTCGTTACAGCACAAAAGTTTAAATTTTACCATAATATAGTCACTATAGCAAGGTGTTTTTTGCCGTTTTTCAAATTCATATAGACTTTCTTTGACCCTGCTACTCTAGACGAATTTCAATTTGTCGAAAACTTTTTTTTACAATTTTTAATGAAAAACTTGTAATCGCCAAACTTTTGTTTGTGTATTTAACAAATCTTTATCAATTGGACCGTGATTGATCTCCGTTTCCGCCGATTCACGGCGAAGCACGGCGATATAAAGGTCACAACTTTGTTTTTATGTCTTTTCAACTGGAAAAAAGCTTTGTCTGATTTTTGCTGTATTTGCACGGTTTCATAACGGCATTTTGGGGTAGACTGTGGTGCTTTTGTTATGATTGGGCAGAGCACTAAATTTTGAAGCTTTAATAATTTTTTAGGGTTTTTTAATTGTAAAGTCTAATCAAATGTATAGTTAACGTTTTCAACATTTAAATTTAATTAATTTAGAAAACAAAAATGAACTTTACAACAGTTGAAACTTGTTTTTTCATATTTTTTCGACGCCTTTTTGAAACAAGGCTACTTTTTATGACAAAATTTGTGTTTTTAATTAAAATTGTCAAAACTTGTTGCATTTTTTCTAAAAAATTAGCTAAAATTAAAAGAATCCTGAAGCTAGGGCTTGGGCCAAATAGGGCTGATCCTTTGCCCTGCCTTTGCCCTGATTTTGCCATGCATTTGCCTTGGCTTGCCCTGCCTACTGTACTTTTATTCTCGTCGTAAACTTAAAATTAGTAACATCAAACGTATAGTTTTACAAGTAACTAACTAACTCTTTAAGGTTTTTGGTTACGCACAACAGTTTACGAGTTAAGATAGTAACGGTTAAACTATATATGAAAATGGCTGACCTTTTTTAAATTCTTTAAACTTTTTTTTTGTAAATATTTTTTAGAAAGTAGTTTTGTTACAAAAAAATCTTATATAAACTAAGGGTTTTTAGTTTTCAGTATTTATTAAGTTTATATGGGGTTAGCGTTGCTAGGTTCAATTTTTTCAAAATTTTTATTATTTTTTGAATTTTTTTTGTTTATTTGCATCTTATCATAGAAAACATCAAAATCAAGGCGTTTTTTAAATTTTAAATTGTGTTTTGATTTCAGTTTTGAACTTTGATTTTTGTTAAACTGTTAGACTTTTAGACTAAAAACATGATTTAATTCTGTTAGCTAGCTCTAAGGCAGTTTTCAACACTTTTTAAAGACATTACACTATGTTTTGTCAGCTTCACCAAACATCATATTAACCTTTAGTGTTGTTGACACTTCCTATATTAACCTTTACTACCTTCATCTTTTATTTTATTAACGTTTACTGTCTTCACCTTATATTATTTTTACTTTCAGTCACATACACCATATTAACCTTTGCCATTTTAAACGTATATTTTTAACTTTTACTTCTTGTGACAAGTCTTATATAAACGTTTACTATCTTTTATATTTATAGTTTTAACTTTGGCTACGTTTGGTGTTATGTTAAGGAATTATAAAAGTTTTGACGTTTTTCATCGTTTCAGACAATGAGAATTAACGACAAGACTTTTTTAAGACCCTGATGTGATATTTTAGGTTTAAAAGGCAGAAACTAATTTTTGGGCTTGGCAGGGCATGATGAATTTTCGATGTCCTGCCCTGCCCTTGCCCTTGCTCTTGCCCTTGCCCTTGCCCTTGCCCTTGCCCTTGCCCTTGCCCTTGCCCTTGCCCTTGCCCTTGCCCTTGCCCTTGCCCTTGCCCTTGCCCTGCCTTTGCCCTGCCTTTTCCCTGCCTTTGCCCTGCCTTTGCCCTGCCTTTACCTTGGCTTGCCCTGCTTTGGCCTGCCCTGTTTGGCTTAGCCCTACCTGTCCTGCTCTGGCTTGACTTGGCCTGCCCATCCTTATTCACCCCTGTCCTGCCTTGAAAATAAACACAGCATATTAAATTTTTATCTCATATTCATCACCCCAACAATTGACAAATAACTCTTCTAAATAACATCGAAAAACGTGATGTTACAGTAACGTCAGAGTGTAATATTTTGTTTGTCAAAAAACAATTTAGCCCTTTTTGTGGATACATTTCTGATCTTTGACTGGTTGGCGTTCTCTGATTAAACATCTTTTGCTGGGAACAAGGAGTAACCAACTGGTTGGCTATTTAACAGAGTAAACGTTCACTCGATGGACGTTCAGTTGTTTATTTTCGAGACGCTTTTTTATATTTTGGCGATGTGTAAGTGATCACTTACTGAGTATTTTTTAGTTTAGAGGGGATGGGGATGGCTTTTGACTAGAATGACATTTTAAATTAGTTTTATTTAGCCTAAAAGCTAGTTTTTAAGCTTAAAAGCTATTTTTAAGGCCTAAGGGGGAACGATGAGATGAGATGATACTGCCATTCTAAATCTTCCCCTAGCCTTTTTTAATAACTGTTTACCATTTTACTCAAAGTAAACCCTTTACTAATTAGTTTTACTCATTAAAAAGTAGAACGACGTTTCAACTAATATTAAACTACAGCCTTGAAACTTGTCTTATACAAACTTTTTTCGAAATATTGTGTTATATTGTAATAAGCTTAAAGTTTTCCATTCCAAACTGGTTTCAGAAGGCGCTTACTTCATGTAGATGCAACGTTTCCGACTGTTTAACAACGTTTTATATTATAGTGGTTGAGACATTAATTTGAGGCAAATTTTATATTTAAAAAAGGTTTTATATTATAATAGGTCTGAAGAATGAAAGTCTTCCTCTATTTCACCACCGCCTCTACCTCACATTTAAGCTCTCGATATTAGGTTGTTTAGATAATTCTATGCTCTTTTCCAAAGCGAATTTGTGAATTTAGGGGCACAGAATTATTTGAAGAAAGTAACAATTAGGCAAAGTGCACTTTTTGTGGTGAAAACATAAAAAGCTTTTTTCAAAAATTCATAACTGCTTTAATTTGTTTCCTAAAAATTAAATATTTGCCATAAAATACGACCATTATCTGCTGCTTATCTGTGTCAATTTTCAAGTTCATATCTTACATGAAAAAAAAGTTATGACCATTTCTTTGCACCCATACCAACATTACTACGTACAATATTTTTCGCGGAAAATTTTATTTACTCACAAATTTTGAATCAAATAATTATATATTTTCAGCATGCACACAACAAAGCTACTATTAATACTATTACCAGCATTACTATCAGCTGCCCCCAACCCTAAACCTGACCCGCGGGCTCATGGAGACTCATCAGATCCAACCAATATTCAAGTCCAAACACTGAATGGACCTGTAGTAGGATTCGTTGAGAAATTGGACGCCATTAACAGAAGACGAGGCCCAATTGAAGAGGCTAACATCTTCTTGGGAGTACCTTTCGCTAAGCCTCCAGTTGGTACTCTTAGGTTTGAGGTAAGCGCTTATGAGTTTATTGTTAGGTTTATAAAAAGAAAAGCTGAAGTTTACTGGTTTCATTTTGAACTTAAAATAAGATTTCTTGTACGGTTATGTACTTTTAGTACCATTTCTAACTTGAGTTTCGTTTTATTTTGATAAAACCAACCGTTTTTGAAAATTTCAAACTGCGCCCTTGATGCTGCAGCCTGCAGATTCAAAAAGTCACTTTAAAGGCATAATTTGAACAAAAATCTACAAAAAATTAAAAGCAAACTTGAAAAACTATATCAACTACTCAATTTAAAAAATATTTGTTTGTTGTTATCTCATTTCCAAGCTTTACACCACAAAAACCCATAACAATATTTAAAATTTTCAAGAATTAAACATCACGTCGAAACGTTCTCCGACTTTAAAGTTCAGTCGATGATTTTTCGATATATTTTTGACAAATTCATCATGTTTGTAGTTTCGGAAAACTTGTTATGACAGCGTTCTTCATATAGTTTATGACCAGAACTTTCTGGAAAGCCCCAAAATAACAAAAAATTTAAAACTTTTGAGACGTTAAAGTACATTACAGCGATCCTTACGGACGTTAAGGGATTGCTGAAATTGTGATTGGTAAAAAACAGTAAAGTAATTAAAACATGACGCGAAAATGATTGCAATTTGATATTGTTTTAGGCAAAACATAACTTTAAGATGAAACAAGTCGGAAAAAAACAAAAATAAGTAACATAGTTAAATTAGGTTCAAGAATACAATATCAGTTACATTTTTCAGTATTATTAGTTACTTTTTTATTAATTTACTTCAATCTTTCTTCATGTTGTCAACAGTTGACAAAAAAATAAGTCAGAGAAAAACTTGACTCACATCAAGTTTCTGTCGATTTTTCGACTAAAAAAGCTAGGAAACTACTTGTACATTGACTATGTTATAACTAGTACTACATGTTACTATTGTTAGATGTTGTTTTAATTATATTTGTTGTTACAATAAATATTTGATTAAAAAACCGGGTAACACAACTTTTTACGCACCCTGTACAATCTTCCAAATACAAAAATAAACTTTAATAATACAATTTTTATTTAAAAAATTCAAAAACATTCAATTTCAGCGCCCGCTAGAGCCAGAAAACTGGACTGAACCCTTGGAGACCCTCGACTTCACCGCCGGCTGCGTTCCTCATCATCCAATCGCTAGTTTCAACTACGACGAGGACTGTCTGTACCTAAATGTGTTTGCTCCGCACAAGAAACCCGGCCCAGAAGGCTATCCAGTCTTGGTTTTCATTCACGGTGGCGGCTTCTGTTCCGGCTCGGCTTCACAGTTCGGATTCACGAATGTTTCTGACAATTTCGTGTCCCAAGGTATTGTAGTAGTGACGATTCAGTATAGACTGGGCATGTTGGGATTCCTGTCGAATGGAGATGGTGATCTGCCTGGAAATATTGGGCTTTGGGATCAACTTCAGGCTATGAAGTGGGTCAACAAGAATATTGACCGATTTGGAGGAAACAAGAATAAGATAACATTGTGGGGACAAAGTGCTGGCAGTGTATCGACTTCTATGTTGTCTTTGAGCAAGCATGGACGAGGTAATTTATTTTGAAATTGAAAAAAAGCTAAAAGGACGAAAAAGATAAAATTTTATATTAACCATGGTAGGAAAACTGATTTTTGACATTTCAAACAAATAAATTGGTTCTAAACTGTTATAAATACCTTAAATAGGCTTTATCTATCAAAAGTTATTATAAAACATATTGTTTCAGGTCTATTCCAACAAATGATCCTTCACAGCGGCTCTCCTTACGCTCACTGGGCTTCGAACGAACACGTTGTGGAAATGTCGCGCGATTTGGCCAAACAAGCCAACTGTCCCATAGACGACTCTATCAAGATGAAGGAATGCCTTCAAGACATGGATCTATTTGATATTATGGATGCTGCTTCCGAATTCCCACTGATCCGTGATCAATTGGCCTTCTTGAACTACAATCCTCGAATGGACGGAGACTTTTTCGAAAAAGATTACCCAGAGCTGTTGAAGGATATTCCCGAAATGCCAACTTTGATGGGATTCAACACCCATGAAGCTGTGTTCCTGACCATTGAATTCCCCAACTCTTTGATGGCGTTCCGAGGAGGATTGACGATTCATCCAGAACAAGAGAAGAACTATACTAGACAGACCTTCATCGACTTTATTAGGAATAATGCGGCTAAGGGGGTTGATGAACTGAATCCAGATGATCAACAATTGTTGGCTGAAGAGTTGATCAAGTTTTACGACGATGACTGGAAGAATGAAAGTGATTATGGCCATTATTTGGAGCAATATTCATTGGTATGTTTTTAAAGCTAAAGTTTTATGCTATTTTTAGGTAAAAAAAGCATGTTATGGGAGTTTTTTTGCAATTTTATAGAGCAAAGTGCTCTCTATACTTAGATCTAAAAGTTGTTTTATCAAGTTATAGGTATAAAAAGTTTTAAAGCTTAATTTTTTGTCCACATATTGATGAAAAGAACCTTAATTTATCTATTTTTTGCCCTAAAAAAGCTGATAAAAAGTTCAAAACGTTAATGATTAATATTTTCAGTTAGCCTCAGACGCCGCTTTCATCGTGCCAATCGTATGGGAAGCCAAGATCCGTGCTCTCCAAGGTTCACCTGTCTATCTGTTCCAATTCGATCACGTCAACGCCGAACTTAAGAAGCAACTCCCCTTCCGTGCTGTGACCCACGCCGCTGAGTACCCATACATCTTTGGAAATCACATGTTTGGAACTTTTGAATTTAACAAACAAGACCGCAAAGCCCAGAAGCGACTGGTCGATACGTTTGCCAACTTTGTCAAGAATGGCAATCCAGACACGCCTCAAATGAAATGGCCTAAGGTGGAGCCGGGAAAGCCGATTAAAATGGGCGTGATCAAGAGCGTGCCACAGATCTCGGTGAGGAACGACGCGTTGAGAAGAGTCAACTTCTGGACGGACTTGGACAAAGACTTTGAAGTGGACATCATCAGAGGTGTGCACAAGGAGAAGAAGATGGTTATCAACAATGCTGTCGAGGTTAAGAGGTTCAAGAAGTCTAAAAGCAAGGCTAGGGCTTGAAAAGGGTTATTGAAACTGAAATTAAAGTTGTACTAGTGGTCAAATATCATACTTTTATAATAGTATGTATTTGAAATGACCACCTACTACAGTATCGAAAAAGCTTCGCAAAGAAAGTCATGAAACCTTCATGGTACTATATCTTATCCATATTTTAAACGTACTTCCGGGTCTTTATTTTTCATATTATGATTTTACAACGAAAAATTTGTTTTTACAGTAAAAACACTACGATATCTTCTAGATTAACATACTTTGTTTTTCAATTATTACGGTAACCTCGCAAATTACTATTGCCTTTACTTTTAGAATCAGAGTCTTTTACATATCTATGTATCTACAACATACTTATCATTGTATGCATATCATAATATTGTATATACCATTTTATTGCATCTTGAATCTCATGACTTTTAAAAATTTTGAAAATGCTCATTTTAACGTCAGACTTAACTTAACTTTGCTAAAATCTTGTGTGCATTATGTAAAATATTATTTGAATAAACTTTGATAAACATAAAAGTTGCTTCTTATCAAATATATATTGTGGTAGACGTCTTCATGGTCAAAAAATATCCAGAGGTTATATATATTAGCTGACAATCAAAGTACCCAACCTGCCCGTCTCAGAATCAGCTCCAAAATTTGGCTAAAATTTTAAAAAAACCAATTGTCTACGACCTTATGTTAGGTTGAATGGCTGCGCAATTGCCGCCAATTCAGTTCTCACGCGTTCTTTATTTGTACGACGAGAAAGAGAGTGTTGTTATACGGAAGACGAGAGGAAACTGACCACTTGAGTCAAATCGTTTTTTAATTTGAACTTTGTTTTGACCAGATTTTTACAATCTTCTTTGAATTTTAGGTCGTTTTCACTCAATTTTTTTTTGTATATTGTGCCAGGGGCGCAGAACTAAATGAACGACCTAATATTAAAGTTTTGGTTTTTTAAAATCCTACCCTTTTTTACACAACTCTACTCAACCTTACCCTACTCTACCCAACCTTATTGTATCCTACCCTTCCCTACCCAACCTTACTCTATCTTTCCCTACCCTATATAGCTCTACCCTACCCTAACTTACTCTATTCTGCTATTCCTACTTTAATTTGCCATGCTTTGCCCTACCAAACCATGCCCATCATACTCTGTACTATAATACCTTACTCTGCTCTACCTTACCTTGCCGTGCCTAAAACTATCTTGTCAAACCCTGTCCTACCTATCCCTAGTCTTGAATTACCTTCTTATTTATTTTGGTCGTGGCTTGCTCTACGCTCCTCTGATATGCTCTAGGCAGGGCCGGGCGGGGACTTTTGGTCTGGGGGCAGGGGTCCAAAAATCAAAAAGGTAGCTAGCTACCTGTGCCGAATTTTTGCGAGATTTTTTTTCTAAAAATCCACAGGGGGGACCACGTTCAAATTTTTTCGAAAATTTTTTTCTGGGGGGGTACCCCTCCCCCCATCCCCCCCTCGCGCCCGGCCCTGTCTCTAGGATACTATAATTCATCTTATTTTTTAATCACTTTGCCTTCATGTATTAACGCAAATGACCTGAAAATGTAAAATCACCTACCACACAGTGAAAACCCCACCAGCTTGTAGCTCTTTTTGTGTTTCTTTTACGTGTTTTTCTCAAACGAATAAAAACCCTTTGAATATTTATTTGTATTTTTGTGGTCTGACTCATCAGTAACCTCTCAGAAAGCAGGAGGATTCATACTGACCTCTCGGCCATTTTATCTCATTCTTTAGGGGCTTTAAATGACTGTGTCTTGAAGTTAAACTTTGTTTTTGAGTTTTGAACTAACTTTTGAGGAGCATACTATGCCTATTTTGTAGGTAAAGTAAAGAAAATAATAGGGTAATCAGAGTAATAGCTAGGGTAAAGATAACAGGGTAGGGAATCTCAGACCATGACTAGAATAGATAGGGCTAAGATAGGGATAGAAGAATAATATTTTGCAGGTACCATAAGATAGAGCATATGAGGGTAGGCTCGGATAAGGGTAGAGTTAGGTAATGGGAGAGTTAGGCGTGGTATGGTAGAGTAGGGTTAGGTAGAGTAAGCAGACTTGGGTAGAGTAGAGTAGGGTAGGGTAGGGTAGGGTAGGGTAGGTTAGGGTAGGGTAGGGTAGGAAAGGGTAGGGTAAGATAAGGTAGAGTAGGGTAGAGTGGGGTAGGGTAGGTTCAAATTCCGGAACCCCCACCTTGTTTACAACCATAAATCCGTGGCGTTTTATGACTTTTGCAACTCCTCATACCCACACCATGCCTTCGCCTTATCGTGTTTACATCGCTCTCGGCTTGTGTAGTGTCTAATCAGTTCGCCCGATCGGCCTTTTTGTAGCCCACGACCAAGGTTATCCGCCTATTAAAGAATATTCCGAATGCCGAACACCAAAACTTTTGCATTTCTGCGCTAATTTTTGGGTGATCTTTGAGGGCGGATTTCATACCATATTATTTTTAACGTGGAGGGGGGGGGGGATGGATTTCATACCATAAATATTTTTAAAGTGGGGGGGGAGGGAAGTTTTATAACATATTATTTTTAATGTGGGGGGGTTTCATACCATATTATTTTTAAAGTAGGAGGGGGGGGATAGTATTATTTTTCAAAAAATAAGGATTTTCCAAGAAATAGGTAATGCTGGGGAAAGGAGTGAGTTGTTTTGCTTCTGGGAGGGGTAAAAAAATTTTTCAAAGGCGGGTAATATTTTTTATTTTAAAGTTTTAAATTCTTTTTTTAGTTTAAAAATCCTCCCCTTAGTTTTTAAGCGTTCAAAATTACCCCACTACAAAAAAATATTATTTACAACCCCTCCCTCCGCCGATGATTCTTGTACTTTGTCCTACCCATTACTTTCTCTTACCCTATCCTTTCCTTGCTATTGCCTTACCCTTAATCTACCCTTGCCTTACTATTGCCTTACCTTTTCCACACCATTGACGTACCCTAGCTCTACCCTTGCCCTATTAATTACATTCCTTTTGCTTTATGCTTGACCTACCTCCCAAAAATATGTTTTCTGTCTTCAACCCTTTCTTCGGCCAAATTTTCTAGAGACTATGCTATCTCTCTTCAAAATAAAAATTTACCCCTCCCATTCAAAGTACATCAAATACCATTTGTTACGCATACTATAATATAATAAAATTGCTCATAAATTTTGATATTCCCCCTCTCTATTTAATTTGGTATTAGATTATAATTGAGGAACGATGAATCACAGTCATTTGTGGACATTCCTTTTCGAACTGATAAGGAGTTATCACTCGATGTAGAATGCCTTTTCGAATTTCAATACTCTTGTTGCGTAATAAATAAATTCTTTGAATTTTTGGGCGTCAAAGATTTTGTTTTGAATAAAGGAGATCAGTCGGAAATTTCGTGGAAAAGGGTTTGGAATTTTTTGAATTTTTAAAATTGGGAGGAACTTTTTTAAAAAAATAGTTTTGCTAGATTTATTGCGAATGGGTCCCCTCTAGAAATGAGAAACCGGCCTGGTAGGGTCCACTTTTCAAGCCGTGCCCGACCTAAATTTAGCTCAAAGCCTGCCCTTTTCTCACCCATAGTCTCCTCCACCCTAGCAAGCTTTTTCTTCATTTTTCTCTGCCATTGTCAACGAAAATTTTAAATTTTTTAATCTATGACAGTGCTAGTATAATATAAGCTTGTGCGTTACTCTTATATGATAGCATATTAACTCCGTAAAAGGGTACAACGACTGGAGAATCGCTACAAAAACGGAGATTTGAATAATTTTTGTCCGAGTTTTTGTCAATTTTTTGCACAATTTGTCGGTTTCACCGCGTTTTTGTGAGTAATATTCTCATCATTGTTCCGCTTACATTAGAATATTTAGGTGGAAACAAAGTTTTTGCTATTTTCTTTTAAAGTTTACTGAAAGTGAAGTTTTTGGCTTTTTCTTGATGTTCGTTCTAGTCTACACTCGATTGCAATAGCATACCTTGGGTTAGGTAGCTTTAGTCTACCCTACACCAATATGCCTTTCCCTAATATGCTTTACCCCACTTCGCCTTACCCTACCTTTCACTGCCTTGCTCGGCCCGCCGTGCCTTTCCTATTACCATACCCTACATACCCTTATCTTACATTGCCTTACCTTATCCAACACACTACCATGCCTTACTCCATTCTACCTTACCCTACCCCTCCACATCACACCCTATTCTGCCTAAAAAGTTAAAATTGTTTTATCCTACCCTTACCTATACATTTGCATTTACCACAGTAATATCACTCGTCTTCTACAATAACAGAAACCATTTTACATTCCCATTATGTTGACAACAATAATGTTACATTTGTTTGAAGTGATCCCGACGCATTACAATCGTTTCATTATTAGTTATAAAAAATTCGAAAAAAGGAAGCAAAAGATTAGTCTTTAAGGTTATTTCGAATGCTTTACAACGCTCATTTGTTTACTCTGTTGCAGTGAGCCGGCTGCAAGAAGTCGGATTGTTGCTTATGCTTTATAAGTAACATAGTCTTTATGTTTATTCTACCACGTCATCCTACCCTACCCAACCCTACCCTAAGCTCAAACTTTGTCGCTTTTCAATTACCCCCACCTCTCCCTACAACCTTCCAACCTATAGCCCTATCGCTGACTGTACCCATCACCCGGTATCTATACGATGACTGTACACATCACTCCCCTATCTATATTATTATTTACATCGGGAATTTGCGACTTAAATGGTGCGCATTGCCATTCCTTTTTGCATATATTTGCTGGGGGGGGAGGGGGGGGTGAACACCTCGCGCCGTTGCCAGCCTTGACCCCGAAAGCTGAAGATTCCAACGGAAGGAATCGCCGCTTTCCCTCCGCCTCGAACGGTCCCCCCCCCCCCTTTATTTTTTTGTTCATAACATTTTGTTTTTTATACTCTTTTTTGGATTATATTAACCTTGCAATATTGATAATAGTTAGAGCATGATTTTTAAAATTTTTTTCTAGTTTTTTTGGAGTTGCGCCTATGGCTTACTTTAAATTTTGCATGCTTATAAAGGGTAAGGTAAAACAAGAGCAGAAATTTATGTTCCGTTAGGAAGAGAATCAAGGAGTAAAGTAAGGCAAGGGTGAGCAAAGGTAGGGCAAGTTAAAGCGCAAAGGTGGACCTAGGGTAAGCCGTTGGGCAAGGGTAAAAGCGAGAGTACATCAATGGTAAGACAAGTGTAGGGCCAGGGTAAGACAAAGGTAGAGCAAGGTTAGGGCAATGGTAATGAATATTAAAGGCTATGGTAGGGCAAAGGGTAAAGAAAAAGCAATGGAACACAAGGATATGGCTAAGGCAGGGCAAAAAAAGCGTAGAGCAAGGGTAAGGCAGAACGTAGATCAAGGGTAAGGCAAGAGAAGATTGAATTATAGGGAAAAGGTAGCGCTAGAACAAGTCAATTGTAAAGCAAGAGTAAACCAAGGGTGGGGCAAGGTAAGAGCAAGGTTATGCCAAATCTAAGGCAAAGATCAGGCAATTTATACCGCCAGGTTAAATCCAATTTCCAGCCAAACCCATTCTTATACCCTTTTTGCCATTTTTACTTAATTTTTCCCGCATTTAACTCAATTTTTCGAATTCATATTCCACATTAGTATAACAATAGACGCGTGTTTACAAGTTATCTATTGTATTGTATTATCTCGCTCTTGTAAACCCATCTTCCCCCCCTATCAAGGCCCCTTTCCCTTCCCAAAAAACGCCACACTTCCAACCTTGAAAGTGTTCTTTTTCGGATTTTAGCGCCAGTTTTTGAATGTTTCCACCGATTTTAATGAGTTTTCACGGATTTAAAGGGGGTTTTACTTGTAAAGGGTTTTACTCGGGAAAACATTGTTATTAATTTTTGTTATAACTTGAGTTGCAAGCGCTCTTTCGCCTTGTTTTATATGAGAAAAGCCGCGTACTTCCTAACAGAATGTTTTTAATCAAAATTTTGATTTTTTTTATAAAAAAATGACACCTAAAACACTATTTTTATTCATTTCTTTAACTTTTATTAAAGTTTTTACCTACTTTTTAAAGTCTTTTTGTAACATTTGTTACCTAAAATTAAAAATTTTCTCAAATCTTCTTCTAGAATGACCAGAACGATCATTCAATCATTTTAGAACGGCCATATGGCCAGTGTCCCATCGTTTTTACTCTAATATATTATATTACACTGCGTTTTCTTTAATTTTTCTTTTTTTTTAATTTGCAAAAACCTTACTTTAAGTATACTTTATAATACCAATCGAGCATCGGGTCGTATTTTACCTATTTCAAAACAAACCTTACGTTTTCTTCGATATTATCCATCTTCCAACGATTGAACCCTCAAATATTATTCATAATTAAAATTTTAGATAACAAAATTGCAGTTCCACCGAATTCCTCTTGAAAACGGTGAAAAATCCTGTCATCGGGCAGGAGAAACACCAGAACATAGAAAACAACCATGTCGTACGGGGACAGGAACGGCAGTTCCCCTTATGGCTACCGGTCGTACATGTCGCCGCCGTCGGAGGCTGGATCATACGAATCATCGGGCCGATCGAATGCTCCACCACCAACAGCTCCACGACCTAGTTATACACCCGTTCAGCCAGTTCATAATCAGGTAGGTCTAAATTTCTAACAAAAAGAATATTAACTTACTTTTATAAGATGGGTACACTGCTTTTGATTGTTTTGGGTAATAGAAGTGGACTTTGGAGAAAATTTTTGAGCTTGAAATCAAGATGCATATCTATTGATGTTTCTAAAATATAATTTATCAACAAGAGAACACATTAAACGTTTCAAAAATATGGTTTTAGTACGACTACCGTCAATCCCCACGACAAGATGGTACCAGCTTTTACCAGACAAACAGAATCGCGTCTCCACCCCCACCACGTCGCGAATATAAAGCACAAGCCGCCAATGTAATCGAAGATGATTATATTCAAGATGAAACTGTTGATTTCGAACAGAATCGGATTCAAACATTGAAAAATGAACGTATTCACATTCAGAAGAAGACCTTTACAAAATGGGTGAATTCCTACTTGGAGAAGGTAAGAATTTTTTTATTGATTATAAAAATATATTGACAATAAGTTAAATTTCATATATCTTACATCGAGATGCATCTATTTGTTCAAAATCTCTTTTGCCAAAAAACATAGTTTTACAAAGTGAAACTCTTGGCCCGCTTTTATGATTTTGAGACAAGTTTTTCTTATCACCGTAGTAAAACGTAAATAGTAAAATACGATGCAGTTTCTAACCTCATTATCTATATATTACTTTTATAAAATTCTTTACTTATTATATTGTTTTAGGCCGGTCTAAAGATCGACGATCTCTTCACAGACTTTGGAGATGGCGTGTTGTTCATGAAGTTCTTGGGCATTATAAGTGGAGAAGACCTTGGCAAAGCCAACAGAGGAAAGATGCGGGTTCAGAAAGTTGAAAACTTGAATATTTGTTTGGATTTTCTCAAAAGAAAACGAATTCAGGTAAGATTTTTGGAAATTTAGGTAACATTGTGTTCAGAAGGCAGTAAGCTAGTTTAGCCTCTTTTGTTTTTATGAACTGGGGAATAATTATTAATTGTCTTTTATAATTTCAGCTTGAAAACATTGGTGCCGTTGATATCTTGGACAGGAACGAGGATCTTATCCTTGGTTTGATCTGGACCATCATTCTCCGATTCACCATCGAGAATATTGAGATTGAATCCAAAGAAAGTGGAGAAAAGAAGCACGCAAAGGAAGCCTTGTTGTTGTGGGTACAACGAAAAGTGGCAGACTATCCGAATGTTCGTGTGGACAACTTTACGACCAGTTGGCGGAATGGAATGGCCTTTAATGCTCTTATCCATGCTCATCGACCAGATTTGGTGACAAACATTGAGCTTCTGAATCCCTCAGATGCTATTGGAAACCTGAATCAAGCTTTCGACATTGCTGAGAAGAGTTTGGACATTGCTCGACTCTTGGATGCTGAAGATATTAATGTAGCTCATCCGGATGAGAGGTCTATTGTCACTTATGTATCATTATATTACCATCATTTTGCCAAACAAAAGACTGAGATGACCGGAGCGAGGAGAATTCACAAGGTTGTTAATGATCTAATCGCTCAAGAACAACTTCAAGATCAATACGAACAGATCTCGTCGAGTTTGTTGATTTGGATTCAAGAGACTATCGACCGGTTGAACGGCAGAGACTTCCCCAATTCGTTGGCTGAAATGCAAGAAGTTTTGGCAGCCTTTAATCATTACAGAAATGGAGAAAAGCCACCGAAACTGAAGGAGAAAGGTGATCTCGAGGCATTGTTGTTCACTTTACAGACCAAAAGAAGTGCCATGAAGAGAGATAGATATCATCCGCCTCAAGGTAAGTTAAAATAGCTTTAAAATTTTAAAATGATATTAAGCTGATCAAAAGTTAAAATTTAAGGTCATTAAAGATGGCAGACCATTTTCGGATAAAAAAAATTTTTTTTCTTAGTGTCTACTATAATATTTTTCGTATTTTGTATAGTAAAACGAGCATTTTTTTCAGGTTTATCAATCGAAATCATTGAGCAAGCTTGGATAAGATTGGAAAAAGCCGAAAATGAGCGTCAAATCGCTTTGATCGAAGAGCTACAACGTCAAGAACGTCTCGAATCCAATGCCAAACTGTTCTACAAGAAGGCGGAGATGCGCGACCGATGGTTGGCCGAAATCTTCAAAGTTTTGAACTCCCTGGAGGTTGGAAACACCGCTCCACGTGTAGAACAAGCTCGCCAACTGTTGAAGGCGATTCGAACCGAAGCCGACGCTAAAATCGACCGTTTCACCGCGTTAACCAAGCTGGCTGATGAACTGCACATTGCTGGTTATCATGGTGCAGAGTCAGTTCGACGGTGTGAGCGTGAAATCAGCGAACGCTACGGTGTGTTCCAGCACATGATTAATGATAGAGAGAGGGAGATTCAGAGGCTTTTGGACTTGACCTTCTTGATCCGTGACATTGACACGCTACAGGCCGAACTGACACAACTGGAGCCGGCTGCCCGTAACCGTGATGTGGGCAAGCACCTTATGGCCATTGACGATCTACTTCAGAAGCATGAACTTGTTATCACCAATTTGAATGCCTCAGGCGAATGGTTGAAGAATGTTACAGCGCAATCTCGAGAATACATTAAGAACCGTGGAGAACAATTCGACGTGCTTCAGGGACGTCTGAAGGCCGTCACGGAGCTACATAACAATCTGGCAGAGCTTTGTGAAGCCAGACAACAACTGTTGCTACGAGCCAAAGACTACTTTCAGTTCATTCAAAGCATCGAAGACGAGATGCACTGGGTCGTGGAGAAGATCCACTTCTGCCGTACCGTGCCAAGAGATCTGAACAACATTTCTCAGCTGAATCGCCAGTTCCAAACCCTCAAAACTGACATGGATTCGCACTGGAAGAGGAACAGACAACTTGGCGACAAATCACGCCAAATCCTCCAAACAACTCCAATCAAGGACGACAGTACAGGCAAGATTAAGGTACTACAACAAAGATGGGAGGATTTGCGTGAGGAATCTGGAAAACTGTCCGAATGGTTGGCCGAAGCCGAGCAAGTATCACAATACTTCCAGGAAGTGAACGACGCCGAGTCGTGGATCAAGGAGAAGCTCCCATTGGCCAAGTCAAACGATTTCGGCCGGGACTTTTCGACCGCTTCATCCTTGGCCAAAAGACATGGCTACTTGACGGAGGAGATTCAGGGCTACCGTAAAGACATTCTGAAGCTGGACGAAAAGGCTTCAAATCTGGCAAACACCAAGTTCTTCACAGAAGAAGCTATAGATTCGGAAGATGGTGAGGTTAGGGAAAGTGTAGTACCAAGAGTCCAAGTACTCTATACCTACGAGCCAGAAGCCAAACAACGAGCTGGAATCCCCGTGGTTAAAGGAGATGTACTCGCTCTACTGGACAAGACCACAGACGATTGGTGGAGAGTGCTGAAGCAGGACGGTGTAGAAGGATACGCTCCAGCGAATCATTGCAAAGTTTTGGATGGAGAGACAGTTACTGTAAGACATCGTGTAGCCAAAAGTAAGGGCGCCATTCTTCAACGCCAAGAAGCCATCAACCACGAATACAGAAGACTACAGAACTACTCCCAAACCAGAGCCCGGCTACTGGCTGACGCAGTGAAATTGTTCAGATTTGGCAACGAATGCGATGATTTCGAACGATGGGCTCAAGACACGAAGGCACTGTGTCTCGAAGAAACTCCAGTAGATCATATTGTTGCATTCAGAAAGAAGTTTGACAAGCTGGAAAACGATGTTCACAACAATGGAGGTACCCAACTGAAGAGAATCAACGAAATGGCCGACGAGTTGGTGGCCGAAGGACATTCCAAATCCGACAACATCAAGGCCAGGCAAGGCAGATTAAACCAGATCTGGGCAGAGCTACAGAAACTACTCAAAAAACAAGCTGAAAATCTTGAAGCGGCCGAAAGACTCAACGAATTCAAGGACAAATGTGATGATATGAGAGCCTGGATGGAGGAGAAGTTCGCTCTTCTCAACCGTCGTCCAGAATCCAACGATATTCGTGCGCTACAGGCTTTACAACGTCATTACCAGAATCTTAAGCGTGATTTGGTACCATTGAAGGAAAGAATGATGGATTTGGAAGAAAAAGGAGCAGAAATCAAGCGGAGACACCCAGAACATTCGAGAGAAACCGACAGAGTTTTGGCTGAGCTACAAGCCATGCACGCAGATTTGGAACGCCAAGCACGGCAGAGAATGGAAGAAGCCGAACAAAGCCAAGGACAACAGCTTTTTGATAATGAAGCCAGAAGCCTTATCGATTGGGCCGTGAAGACAAAACAACAAATGTTGGAAGAGCCAGTAGGCGGAGAGCCAGCTGAAGAGCTGGTCAAACGTCACGATGACTTGAAGGATAAGATCAATGCAAAGGACTATGAGTTCAAGTATGTTGATGATTTGGGAAGAAAACTGTTGAAGAAGAATCCCAACCTCAGGAATGTAGAAGAGACCCTACACAAGGTTCACAAAGCGCGTCAAGACCTGGAAGACGCGTGGAGACGTCGTGAAAATGAATACAAACAACTCTTCGATCTCCAGGTATTCAACCGTGAAGCCGAGAGAATCGACGCTCTGATGCGCGGCCAAGAAGTCTTCCTAGACACCAACAACATTGCGGATTCCGTGGAAGGTGTAGAACAACAACGCAAGCTACAAGACGACTTTGATCAGCAATTGTACGCTGAAGAAGGTCGAGTCAAAGAATTCTGCGAACGTGCCGAACGTTTGATCGAGTCTGATCATGCTCACTCCAATTTCATTGCCAGAAAACGTGACGACGTACTGGAAAGACGTGCTAGATTGTACGTAGCTGCTAAACAAAGACGTGCACGATTGGAAGATGCCTTGGTCTTCCAGAATCTGCGACGAAATGCTGATGAATTGGCTAATTGGATTGCTGATAAAAGAAGAATCGCCATGGATGACAGCTTCAGACACGATCCGAATGCTCTAGATCGCAAGCTGACAAAGCACGATGCTTTTGTAGCCGAATTGAAGTCGAACTACGGTGTGCTACAGGAAATCACACGAGATGGAGAAGCGTTGATTGCTCAACAACACTTTGAATCTCCACAAATCGAGGAGATTCTCCAGAATCTGGGTGAAGATTGGACTCAATTAACCCGACTGGTCGATCAAAAGTCTCACAATCTGAAAGAAGCTGATGAGAAGAAGCACCTGGATCGTATGATTCGAGATGCCAATTCAAAATTGGATGAGATCGAAACTCAGCTAGCTACAACCGAACAGAACGCTGCTGGCGGTCTTCGAGCTGTTCAGGAGTTGATCAAGAAGAAGAACGAAATCGACAAGGAGATCGTCCTTCTGGAGGGTAAAATCGGCGAGATCTCAGAGCTTGGTCATCATATGGTGAAGAAAGGCCATCAAGACTCAAATGAAATCAAACACAACATTGATGCCTTGATCAACCGCTTCGATGCGCTACAAGACCCAATCAACCGTCGCCAACTGATTCTGGAAGAATCTCTAAAATGGAGACAATTGGCTTTCGATGCTGACGTTGAGCTACAGTGGATTCAGGAGAAGAACAAAATGATGGAAGCCGGCTTGGTCGGCCGTACATTACATGAAGCCATCAGCATGTTGAAGAAGCACGATCAACTTGATGCAGAAGTGTCGGCACACAAACCTATCGTCCAGGCTACACTCCACAAAGGCGAAGAACTGATTAAACAACGTCACATGAGTTCGAATCTGATCAAAGACAAGTGTAGCGAGCTGGATTCGGCATGGAGACAGCTGATGCACGGTGTCAAGAACAGAAGACATCTTCTGGAATGGTCCAAGGCTCGGGAACAGTATTTGGCCGACGTGGCCGAAGTCGAGCTCTGGATCAACGAAAAACAAAACGTCGTTCTGTCGCGCACAGAAGACGTCGACATTACCGGAGCCGAGCGTGCCTTAGGATCGTTGAAGGCTTTGGCTAAGGATATGACACCATACAGAAGAGAGCTGACCGACCTGAGATCAAAGGCCAAGGAATTGACTGTAGATGAGAATCCGAAAACTGACGCCCCAGTCCAACAACGTCAAGAGAAGGTCGAAGCAATGTTCGCGGATCTAGAGAACCTAGTAACGGAGAAACAAAAAGATATGGAGGTATTCATCTCATTATGCCACTACAAACAAGAGTCCCACGACTTAGAACAATGGATCGATACCCAACTACACACTGCTATGGGCGATGACTATGGCCGAGACTTTGAACAACTTCAAGAGCTCAAAAACAAGTTCAATGAGTTCAGACAGAACGTCAAGGTTGGCGGTGAACGTGTCGTTCTTTGCGGAAAAGCTGCTACAGATTTGCAGTCAAAGGTTCAACCAGGTTCCGAATACTCACGTGACATTCTGAAGAAGCAGGAGAAGCTCAGAAGCGCATGGAGTCTACTGTGGCAGTACATTAATTCAAAGGCGGCACGATTGGATGCAGCTGGAGAGATCCACGAGTTCAATCAAAACGTTCAGGACCTTCTGGAGCGAATGATCGAAAAACGAATCACTTTGTCTACTGACTATGGCAGAGACAAAAAGCAGGTCTATGATCTGATAACAAAGAATGAAGTGGTTAGAAATGAAGTTGAACAATACCATGAACAACTAAAGAACCTTCTCGAGCGTGGTGCTGATCTGAAGCAAAAACACAAAGGGCCAAATGCTGAGCACATCAACGAAGAGCTGAACAGACTGACAGAAGAGTATGGTCAACTCAATGATGCCGTCAACCATCGTAGAGCCAAACTGGTGGCAGCCTACGACTTCCAGAAATACAACGCCTTATGCCGAGACGTCATCAGTTGGACAGACATCGCCAATGCCGAGATGCAAAACGAACAAACCATCCCTGACCTACAGTCAGCTCAATGGTACAAGAAGGAACACCAACGGCTACGGGCTGAGATCGACGCTCGTGAAGAGGAAGTGAACCGAATCCAAGAATTCGCTGAACAAATGATCGCCCAAGGTCATTATGCCACAACTAACATTAGAAACCGACTGGAGGATGTTGTGAATGCCTACGAAGCAGTGAGAAGAGAATGGGCCATGAGATACGACTGGATCATCCAAGCCGAACTGTCTCGTGGCTTCACAAGAGACGCCAACCAACTTGTCGATTCAGTACGAGCAAAGATGGATATCTTGAGCCAAGATCGTGTCATGTCATCGGTAGAAGACGTGGAAAGTCAAATGAAACAGTTTGTTACATTCACCAAGGCAAAACAACAGATTGACGAAAGAGTGGAACAACTCGACACTCTGGCCAAACAATTTGTGGCCGAAGACCACATTGACAAGGTATCGATCCAAAAGATCAACAAATCAGTTCAAGAACATCTTCACACTCTCGGAGATCAGATGGACATCGTACGAAGAGAGTTGGAGGACGCTTTGAAGCTGGCCAAATTCGATAGTAATGTCATGGAGCTGGGCAACTGGGTGGAAGAGAAACTGAACAGAATAAAGCTACAAACCGAAGCCGAATTCAGACAGAACTCGTTGGAAGACAAGCTGAAACACATTAAGCATCATCAAGCTTTGGAGATTCAGTTGTCTACCAACGAACCCAGAATCCGAGCAGTAGCTGATGAACTCGCTCACTTCCAACGCACTCCAAACTCGCTTCCAGAAGGCGTGATCCAACGTGCCGTTTGTCTGCTTCGTCGTTGGGATGAACTGAAACAACGTTCCCGACATCTGAATGCTGCGCTACAAGAAGCAAGAGAGTTATTCGACTTTTATCAGAATGTAGAGCGAGTCCTCAGTTGGATTCGCGAGAAACAACTTCTGATTCAAGCCGAAGACAACGGCCGAGATTACGAACATTGTGAACAGCTTCTGGAAAGATTGATTGGAAGACAAGCTGATCAATCTGTAGACGAAGAAACTCTTCAACAAGTTAATCGTCTTGGTGCCAATTTAATTGCTCAAGGATCCGAAAACAAAGCTGACATTCAAGCTAGCTTGGACGAAGTGAACTCAGCCTGGAGAAACCTACAAGGCGGAATCCAACAGTACCGTAACACGCTGCAAGCTGCCCTGGAAGTCCACAAATTCAACTCGGATACGGCTGAAACTAACGACAGAATCCACGAGAAGGCTCGAGGTCTACAGTCAAGCGAAACCGGCAAAGACCTTCGCGAAGTTGAGGATCTAATACGAAAACAACAAGCCGTGGAACGAGATATGACCGCGATCCTGAAGAAACTTCAAGAACACGATGTAGAAGCCAAAAAGCTGTTCGACAAAAACCCTCCACTCTTCGACACCATCGTACAATCCCTGCAGACGCTACAGAACAGCTGGCAAGCGCTTGATGGCCTTGCCGAATCCAGGAAACTAAAACTGAAGCAAAGCGCCTACGTCCATCGCTACTTTGACCTGGTGAAGCGAACCGAACAATGGGCCAATCAAATTCGAACCAAAATGGTGTCGTATGTTCGGCCGAAGAGCGTAGCCGACGCTACCGCTTTAATATCGGCACATAACGAGAAGTTGGTGGAAATCGAGTCAAGACAAAGTGATCTAGGCGAACTAAGGAAGCTTGGTGAAGTTGTGATCAATGAGCAACCATCGATGAAGGCTGATATTCAAAGAACTCATCGCAGACTTCAGAATATTGAACATCAGATCAGACAAACCTGGGAACAGGAAAATGTCGCTCTTCAGAGAGCGTTGGAGCTTCAGGTATGTGGATTTATAAAATACAGCTAAAATTTTTAAAAAGTTAATTTTTACCAAAATTTGTGACATTTCGTACTTTTTATATTGGGCAGGTTGCAACTATTGATTTTTTGAAAAAATATTTGTTTTGAAAATTAAATTTTTTTATAAAAATAGGAATTAAAATGCCTTTATAAAAATGTTTTTGGTTTTAAAACTATTCATATATGAAAAAGGAAATTTTATTTAATCTATAATTTATATTTTTTTGTATTATGGATAATATCACGCAAATTTTTTTAAAATTATAACTTTTACTAGTCAACGTTTATATTAAATGAAAGAGCATAAAATTAGCTTTGAAATGATGTATAATTTATTGCGAAAATTTTATTTTTAACGTATTATAAAACTCGTTAAATTTTTTAGCTTTATATGTATTTATTGATATTTTCAGAAACTCCACTCCGAAATCACCCAAGCCGAGTCATGGTTGAGTGGCAAAGAAGCCTTCGTCAACGACTACGATCTAGGAGACTCGGTGGACACCGTGGACATGTTAATCAGAAAGCACGACAACTTTGAAAAGACTTTGTTTGCACAATCCGACAAAATCGAGAACCTGAAGGCTGGTGTTCACATTTTGGATGAATGTTCCGAGCCAGACGTCGAGAAAGTCCGACAGAAGTATGAAATTGTAGTTGAGCGATACGAACGTCTATTAGAATCGTGTAAAATCAAGAGAGAAAAGTTGGAGGAATCGCTGAAACTACACGATTTTGTTCGATCATGCGCTGAGTTGATCACTTGGATCAATGCAAAACTGCAGTTGGCTTATGATGATAGTTATGTGGATCCGACTAATTTGAGGAGCAAGTTACAGAGACATCAGACTTTTGACGCTGAACTTCAGCAAAGTGACGATAGAGTTGAGGCCATCAGGAGAGAAGGCGAGAAGCTGATCAATGAAGCTCATTATGAGAGTGAACGGATTCAAGCTCAGCTAGATGAGGTTATGAATGGATGGAATGAACTGAAAACGTAAGGAAATGTGGTATTGGACTTGATATTTTATTTTTTTTTAAATTTTTTAACAATTTTATTACATAAAATAAAAATATTATGTGCAAAAAACCACTAAAAGATAGTTCTGAATAATTTTAAATGTAAAATACGTTGTCTAAAGTTTCCATTTTAGTGTGTCAGCTGAAAAAATGATTCGTCTAAAGGAATCTTACGCTGCTTATCAGCTAGTGAGAAAGGTGAACAAGATCGACGCTTGGTTGGATCAAGTTGAACGTGAATTGGGCACTGAAGACCATGGATCGGATGTTCAATCGGCTGAGAATTTGGTCAAGAAACACTCTCAATTATGTACTGAAATTGAAGCCAAAGAGCCTTTGGTACTGGAAACAGTTGGAAAGGCCAAGCAGTTGATGAATATTGTAAGGTTTTGATGTGTTTTAGAGTTTTTAGGTGTAAAATTTTTGAAGAATATGGATATTTATGTGTTGTTGAAGCTTTAATTATCTAAAAAACATGACACACTTCGAATCATTTGTTTTTATCACTACTTTTTTAAAGGAAAAAGTAATTTTTGATGTATTTTAGGTATTTTTAATTAAAAAATCTTGAAAAATATAATTGTAAATCTATTTTTAGCAAAAAGAAGACATTCGTTCTCTCCTCCAGCACGCTGAAGCCGTCAAAACTCGCTACAACGAGCTAAAGGACCCATGCAAGAACCGTGCCGAGAATCTAGACGAAGCTCTCCGTTACTTCCAATGGGCAGCCGAAGCCGATGAAGAATTGGTATGGTTAGCCGACAAAGTTCCTCAACTTCGCTCTAAAAACTATGGTAACTCTTTGAGGGAAGCCCAGTCATTAAACAAAAAGCATGAGATTCTACAGCAAGAAATCGAAACCCATCAGAATTCGATTCAGATCCTGGAGAAGCGTGGCGGACAAATGTTTGAAGCCGACCATTTCAATCGAATTGACATCCGAAACAAAATGACAGAACTTGTTGACCAGTTTGAGTTGTTGTTGAATTTGAATGCCGAAAGAAGTGTTAGACTCTCAGAATCCTTGAAGTCACAACAATATTACGCTGAGTTGAGTGAAGCTGAACAATGGTGTAGAGAGAGACTACCACTGGTCGATAACGAAGACACTGGAGCCAACCAAAGTGCGGCCGATGCTCATCTACGAAGGATTCTGGCTCTAGAAGGCGAGATTCGCAAGTTCCACGATGAAGTCAAAAGGCTACGTGAAATCAGCGAACAACTAGTCCAAATGAATCACTTTGACGCCACCCAACTCACGGCACGTCAAGTGAATCTGGAGAAGCATTTCGAAGATCTTCAGGCCAAGTGGGTCAGAAGACGGACACGATTGATGGATGCTTCTGCCTTCTACAAGTTCATGAGACAAGTCAACGAACTGACAGCTTTGTTGCTTGAAAAGGAACATCAAGCCATGTCAAATCAGCACGGTCAGAACCTTGATGAAGGCAAAGAACTCATCGATGAATTCCAACTGATTCTGAGGGAATTATCAACCTACGGAGAGAAGCTACACAACATCAGAAGCTACGTGAAGCAAGAACAACTGCTTCGACCAGGACATCCTTACGAAACTTCGATTCATACCACGATGCAAGACCTACAGGACCTCTGGAGTCGTGTCAACACTTTGGCTAATGAAAGAGAACGAGCCCTACAAGATGGTCAACGAGTCCATGCTTTCAGTCAAGATGCTGATGAGATGTTGATCAGATTAGGCGAGAAGGAAGCCCACATCGTGTTGAGAGAGCAGGAAGACGGTCTAGCTGATGTAGGCTTGGCTACAGTGAAATCATTGGCTCAACAGCATGAAGAGTTCTTGAAGTCGCTGAATGTGATTGAAAGACAAGTTCAGGAGCTATGTGAACGAGCTGAGAGATTGTGTGAAGAGTTCCCAGACGCTCGAGGACGTGTGGAAAGCTACAAGGAGGATCTGGAGTTGACACTGAAGGATATTCAACAAGCTACCTTGAATTACTCAGAGAGAATCAGACAAGCCAAGAATAAGCAGGCTTACTTCCAGGAATGGAGGGATCTGATCAGCTGGGCACAGCTTATGAGGACTAAAATTTTAGGTAAATTTTTGAAATTTTAGTTAACAAAAAATCAATTTTAGACCAACTTTTATATTTTAAATTACCTTATTTTCAGGAGAAGCCCTGCCAAGAGACCTACAAGGTTGCCAAGCATTGGACGTCCGCCACAATGAATATTACTCCGAAATCAAGCAACGTGAACCCCAGAAGCAAGCGTTCGTCGCCGAAGGTCGCAAAATGATCCAAGCCGGCAACGCTTTAAGCCAAGAGATCACCAACCGTATTGAACAACTTGAAGATGGCTTCAGGCTACTTTACGAATACTGGCATTCACGTCAACGCATCTACGACGAAAACCAAGACGTTATCAAATGGCTACACAACGCTTCTCTGCTCGAGAAATGGCTAGCCGAAAGAGAAGGTTTGCTGGTTATAGACTGGAGTCAAGCCGATTCGGTAGAACAAGTCGAAGAGATGATCAGACAGTACGATGATTTCTTGGCCACATTAGATGCTCAAAGTCCTCAATTTGAAGCGTTGAGAAGGATGACAAAGGTGGAAGAGAACTGGAACAGGCTAAAGGCTTCGGAAAGCAGCCAAATGTTTGCATCAACAAGCTCGAGCGTGAATAGAAGAGAAAGCAGCTTGGGAGAGAACAGGAGGGACACTCAGTCAATTAAAACGGTCGAAAAGAAGAAGATTTTGCAGGAAAAACGACAGGAACGAGAGAGGAGAAAGACGCAGGAGATCACTTTGTTGAAGAGAACTCCAAGTCAGGTAAGGAATTCTGAGGATTTGGTCGAAAAGTGAATGGAAAAGTGAAAGTTTTGGCTAGATTTCAATAGTAAACTTAGTGTGGTCGATAATTAATTGTATAAAATTTGAAAATGAAAACTTTTTTCCGATTTTTTATTAAAAAACTACCTTTTTCCATATACTTTTGGACCAAAAATCAAGAAATTTCAAAATTATAATGATTATGCCAATTCATGTGCTCTCTGCCAATGTTTTGAGTACTAACCCGCTAATAGAATCACGTGTTCGATGAGCGTTTAATCGAATTTCCTCCAAATGTTTCTTTGTCCCAATGCAATGGCCAATGACAAGATGTTATTTCTCAAAATATGCGACGAAAAGCTAATTTTTGGCACTCTCTGCCAGAACTAATTGCACGAATCCTTTTTTGTTGGAAAATCGCCGGAAAACACGTTTGATTTCCTTTTGTTTTTGCGGCCCCAAATCTTGCGCCTTTAGGGCTTTTTTGGAATTTAACACTTTTTTCTAGAAAAAATTAAATTTTTTTAAAACGTGGTTTAAGGTGGAGGTGGGGGACTTTTATTGTTATTTTTGGGTTTTATGGATTGGCATGGGTTTTAACTTTTAGCTGGGCTTGGGTGGGGTAGGGTGGTGAGGTTTGGGTGGGTAGAGTAGTGACTTTTGGGTGGGTAGGGTAGTGAGGCTTGGGTGGGTAGAATAGTGACTTTTAGGTGGGTAGAGTAAAAGTTGGCCCGCGAGCCAAGCTTGAAAATTTGACCCACAGGTCGGGTTTGAAAAGTGAGGCGATTTTGCAAAAAAAAAGGGGGGGTGTGGTATAATCTTTTTGTTTTTTGAAATGAACAGGGTGGGCTAAGTTAACATTTTTTTCAAAAAAAAATTTGGGGGTGGATTTTCTAGCCTTTCTTTTCTACTTTTCATTCCTTTTAACTCCCTACCTACAATAAACTTGGTTTATGACAGATTTTTATTTTCAATTCTTTAAATTTTAACATTTTCAGGAAAACACAACCTTTTCAAACGCATCCACCTTACCTCGTTCCCGGCCAAATCGAGCCTCAGACCCAATCGAATCAATTGGAATTGAAACCTTATCGATTTCGCAACAAGAACTTCGTCATCAACCGAACCAAGACCTTCACATTCAAACCAACGGTCAACAAGATCAAACAGGACCGTTATCAGCTGGCAGCAGCAACACTGGTACGCTAACATCACGAAGATCCGGATTCCATACTCGGCGGACGCAGAGTATCAAGAATATGCGACAATGGGCGGACCTGAAGAGTATCGACATGAATGGCAGTTTGGACCGGAAGGAACGACTTCAGAGTGGCGGAAAGAAGCCTACTTTCAGGTCGTGGAGGAACTTCTACACGATTCTATGTGGCCATATGTTGTGTTTCTTCAAGGATGAGGATTCGTTGTTTGATAACAAGGCGTTGGCTAGTGTTAGTATCAGAGACGCGGTCTGTGTGGTGTACCCAGAGTATTTAAAGAGGAAGAACACTTTTAAGTAGGCTTTTTTTTATTTTTTAAGTTTTTTCTTTAATTGTTGTAACAAACGTTACTGTAAATATATACGGTAATACAATTCCTTTTTCCAGGCTGAATACTCACGATGGAGCTGAGTACCTATTCTCATGCAACAGCTACCAAAGCATGGTGGAATGGGTGGATAAGATCAACTTCCGAGCCCGATTAGACCCTCAAAACCAGCTGAAAACGTTTGCTAATGAGCATTCACCTTGAACACACTTAACATACGATATTCACAGCCTCTTATAACTTATCTTTGACATACGATAGATAATAATTTACCTTTGACATACTTAATAGCTTTTTATATATGGATTCAATTGGAGTCTAAATTGATTGTATGATGGCGCACATTAACATATACGCCATGTAATCAACTTTTGTTATCTTACGATTGTAATTTTTCACTTTCTTAATGTACTTTTTATATTTTGCTTATACAAGGGTACTGTAAGTGCAATGTAGACGTACGAAGTTTGAATATAATACAAAGTTTGTTATTACATTAAAGTTACAGTAAGATTTGTATTGTAAATGGCCCGATTTACAATCAAATTTAGTACTGATAATTTTTATTTTTGAACTTTTTTTTTTAATTTTTGAGATATCACTAATTAAAAAAATGAAAACATGTCATCATGACACACTTTATGGAATGACTCCATGTTCACGTTATGTTACAGTACCCTTAACCCACCTAAACTACAGCCAAATTAATTGTTCAGACTTTTACTTACTGAAAATCGATTTCATGACGAGTAATCATTATCAAATTTATTATATAACTTATTATGTTTGCTTTTGCCAGTAAAAATATAATCTTGTTTACTGTTTGTACATGTAATAATAATAAACATATTTATCGATGTTTGGAGTTTTTAATGTAATATAGTATGTATATGTGTTGATTACTAAATATCTATTCCGACCTATATTGTCTTACAAGGGAATTGCACCAAATATCTTTCTGTTTTTAGAAAGAGACCTGTATAGGATGAAAGGGCATAAAATTTTACCGGGAAAACTTTTTTTTAAATTTTAAATAACCTTGGCCAGCGAGATATTAGATGCCAAAGAATTTACATAAGAAAATCCTTTAGCCGTTGTCTTTCGTCCTGTGAAAGCGAATGAATTGAAAGATAGACCAGGTGCGGCTTACTATTAGAGGTTTAGGTTAGACTAGGATGCAGAAGGCGGTAAGTCCGAGTCCCGCCGATTTTATTTTGCCATTATGTCAAGACGTTTTGGCTATAAATGTTTTAGTTAAAAAAAGTGTTTATACCCATAATTTCATATAAAAAATATTTTTTTCGAATTTTAAAACTATAACTTATCCTTTAAACATATGAGAATATTGAGCGTTCTATAACTCGCTAGCCTGTTTTTAAAAACGGGTTTCCCGGTAACTTTTTATGCTTTTTCATCCTATATAGGTCTCGTTTTAAAAGCCAACGGATATTTGATGAAGTCGCTGTTTTGTATAATATTATTATTGCTAGTGGAATAGTCATAAACATTTATTGTAATATTCGTCATTTGAAAATGAAAATTCAAAGTTAAAACAAAGTATTTTAAAGAGCAAAAGAGGTATGTGATGTTCAGATATTATAACAAGTAAAGATGGAATTGCAACATTTTTCAGACACGTAACAACAATATTTAACAACAAGGCCTCAGGTAATTTCAGATGCTAAAGAGTTTGAATGCTAAGTAGAATAACAGTATACTGTAATCATAAATACTAAAAAACTAAGCGATCGTGTTAAGAAAGTAAGGTAAAGTCTAATATTAAGATATATTGCGAAGAAAACTTTATGTTTTTGGTTGTAGTACTATATAGTACGAAGAATATAAATTGTGTCGTAGTGTAGTATAGTACGGTGAGTTTGTAGAGCAAGTCATGAAGTAGACTTTTGTCGATTTAAGTTGGTTTGATGGTCTTACAGAGGATTACCTTATAGTAGAACATAAGAATGCTTTGAAGTATGTCGTCTACACGATGCTAAACATTTTAGTAGGATTTGCTTCTAAAGCTTAATACTAAGAGGCAAGAGCGTTTTATAGCTCTTACCACCAAGAGCTACTGTTTCCAAAGTTATGACCAACATATGGAGCTGGTTCAGTTAGAGGTAGCTCGAATGAAGAGCATCGTGGTAGTGGAGGTGGAGCTACAACTCCGCATTGAGCGGAGAAGCCGTTGGAGGTGAAGTTTTCACCCATGATGATTGTGGCTGGGATTTCGGACTTTTGGGCTGAAAAAAAAATTTTGAAATTTAAATTTAAAAAAAAAATTTGAAAGAATTTTAAAATAACGTTTATTACTGTAGTTTAGATGCTGTAAAACTGTTGAAATTTTTAAAAAATTAATTTGTTTAGTACTAATTTTGAGTACTATATCAATAAATGAGCACGTACGATAATAAAAGCAACTTACCATTGTCAGTAAAGAACATTTTGACGAAGCAAAAGTGTAAAAGAGAAGGTGTAAGTTAATGTAGATACGAATGAACTGTGTCTGTTTTGTAGATTCCTTCTACTTTTATACATTCTTCACCTTGGGCAAAGAATCAATTGGAAAAGAGGCGGAACTGATAAGACGGTTTCAATGAAACGCACGGGTGCAAAATGTGCTAGAACAACAAAAATGGGAAGTGAACGATGCCAAAATACAAACTGTGATGTCAGCAACGATACAATAATTATGCTGATGTAGGAGATTGTGTTTTGTTTCAATTTGTTGAACGTAAACAAGACTCTACTATACTTTGTTGTACTTTACTCTACGTTACCCACCATAACTCACTCTACTCTACTTTACCCTACCCTACCCTATCCTACCTTACCCTACCTTAACCTACCCTACCCTACTTTGCCTTACCCTACTTTACTCTACCCTAGCCTACCCTACTTTACCTTACCCTACCTTACCCTACCCTACCCTACCCTACCCTACCCTACCCTACCTTACCCTACCCTACTTTACCTTACTCTACCTTACTCTATCCTACCTTACCCTACCCTATTCTACTCTTCTTTACCTCTCACTATACAATCTTACATTATCATGCCTTACTATACTTTGCCCAAGCCTTACACTTGACCTAGCACTTGCTTAACTCGACCCTATTCTACTCTACTCCGTGGAATCTTGAACTAGCGCACCCTATATTACCTCATTTTATCCTACTCTAGTCTACTCTACCCTTTACTTGATATATATCTTGATTATTTGAAATTTCATTTTATATTAATGTTGATTATAGTAAGTTCTACTCAGTCATTATACTAAGTTTAGCTCAGAACTATCAATTATTTAATTTCTTATCATTTTCAAAAACTTTTCCAAATTCTGCGCTCAAAGTTTATCTCCAGAAGAATGTATTTTGGGTTGTCTGTGGTGTTTCGTTGAAACTTTTGAAAAACGAACGCTTTTCATTCATTGAACTTTATGGGAAAACCTTTAATTAATTGCTCGGAAAACTCCTTTTGCACCTGAAGGTTACTAAATGATGTATCGTCGTTGTAATAGGGTTTTTAGGTAATCTTTAAAAAAATGTTTTTCTCAATCTCGAGAAAATCGAGATTATAAAATTACGTTTTGAATTTCCCGCCAAATTGGCATTGTGTTTTAAGCTTATAACTTTGTCATTTTTTTGACATTTAGGAATCTTTCTTTGATATAATAGTAGAAAACCTTTAAATTAACCTACATTTTTAAATTTGGACGCGTAGCTTGGCTGGAAGGTCAGAAAAAGTGCTTGAAACACAATGCCAAATTGACGGGAAACTAAAATAACTCAAATTTAAAACTCAAAAGCGCGATTTAAAATTTTTTATATGTACTATTAGTGGTACAAAGAATTCATATAAAGATTTTGAGATGATTCTGAACAAGGCAGATTAGGTGCTTTCCTTGGTAATTTTAAAATTTTAAAACCAGGGCGTCTGCAGTGTAATACAGGGTTTCTTTGACGGATTCTCTGAGAGAATTTCTTCTGTAAGAAAAAAGAACGTTTCATCGTTCTTTTACAGATTGATCTTAAAGTTCAGGGAATTCTGATGAGAGTGTAAACTTTAAAGAACGTTGCAAAGGTTCAGTGATTGTTTACTCAGTGATTATTACCATCATATCAATTACACAGTTTTGTTGGCTTTAGAAACTAAAAGTGTGTTTATCGATAAGTTCTGAACCTTAAAAGTTCACATTTTCAAAATTTTCCTAAATTAAAAAGTCTTGTCGTTAATTTGCACTGGTTTGTACGTTAAAAAGCGACAAAACTTTTTTATTGTTAAGTGAATTCATTTTTTTTTCTTTTTTCTGTTATTTATGCCCTAGGGCATAGAAAAGCATACGTCAAGGCAGGACATAGCATGAATGTGAATTTAAAAATCATGTTGTATAACTTTGCCTTCTCTGCCTTCTTTCAATAAAAAATTTTTTTGTTACCTAAATTTATGATATTATCTTTTTTTTGTAAAGATATTAGTCTGCAGTTATGTTTTTGTCAGAATATTAATCTGAATTGTCATCTTGCAGCTGTTATCAATATTGTTGATGATCAAACAAACAAAGGAAGTCATAAGAACAGTAGAATTACGAACACTTATCATTCGACAGATTAGAGCCGAACCGCTTAAATTTGAACCAAAACAAAGAAAAACTGTTTGTTTTAAGTTTAAACAAGGTTTCTGAACCTCGAGGGCTTAAGATAGGGTGAGTGGGCTGAGGCTAGAGCTAGGGCTCTGGGCTAGGGCTCTGGGCTAGGGCTCTGGGCTAGCTCTCTGTGCTATGGCTAGGGTCAGGACCAGGGATGGAGCTAAGACTAAGCTAGAGCTATGATTCAGGCGAATGTTAAGACAAGAGCTATGACCAGGGCTAAAGCTAGGGCTAAAACTAGAAATTTAAGTTAGGGCTAAGGCTAAAACTATGGGTAGAGGTGGCTATTGATCCCGTCCGGTCATTGAACCATGGCTAAGATATTGGCTTTCAAAGGAAAGTAAATGATGATTATTAGACTCAACAAGCCATTAAACTATAAAACAACGTCTTTATGACAACTCTGCTTAATGACCTTTTTAATTGATAAAACTCATTTCAATTTGCAATTACTTTTTATCACCCAATCCCATTGTTGATAACGGTTGTTGGAAAGAAAAACAAATTTGACGAAGGCAAAGTTCAGTTTCGTAGTGTTATTATTACGTTTTTACACATGTGAAAAAGACTGTCAATGGTCGGTTTCCACGTGAAAACAGATAAATGGTGTGATTGCTATCAAATTGTCATGATTGGAGAGTTTAAAGAATAATATACAACTGTTTGGAGATGATAAACAACATTCTTTAAACTGTTTTTAAAAAACATGACATTTTAAACATTTTTTAATAAAAAATACCATGCCATGGCGCTTTCAAAAATAAGATTTTTGTTACCTAAATTATTGAAAATTATAATTTTCTTACCTAAAAAGTTGCTATTGATATCAAAAATATTAAAAATTAGCTTTTTATTACCTAAATCTTACAACTTTTTTTGGTTTATCAACCGTTAAGCTTTGAAAATAACTTTTTTGTTACCTAAATTATTAAAAATGGTCATTTTGTTGTATAAAATTTCAAAAATGCTTTTTATTACCTAAATTTTAAAAGATTTTAAAGTTTATTACCTATATTACCTATAAACTGTGAAAAAACTTCGTTGTTACCTAAATTATTAAAAATGATCATTTTGTTACCTAAAAAGTTCCTATTGATACCAAAATTATTATAAATTAACGTTTTATCACCTAAAACTTAAAAAATCCAATTAATTGGCCAATTTTCAAATATATTTTGAAAAACTCACGTTTTTGTTACCTAAATCATTAAAAAAGGTCATTTTGTTACCTAAAAGTTCGAAAGTTCTTTTTATTACCAAAAATTCACCAAACGTTACAGTTTATTAATCTATAAATTGAAAAAATAAAGCGACAATCTGAAAAAATAACTTTTTTGTTACCTAAATTATTAAAAACTACCATTTTGTTACCTAAAATTTCAAAAATGCTTTTTTATTACTTAAATTTTAAAGTGAAAAAATGAAAGTTATTCAACTAATATTTTTCAAGCCTAAAATTGAATAAAATTTAATTCAAAAATGAAATTCTCCAAATATTTTTCATTTTAATATTTTTATTCGTTGCGAACATGTTGTCTCGCATTTCACTGTTGTTTCTGCTGTTATCATACGGATTTCGCACCAAGGCATGTCGTGAAATACCTGAAGATGAACATGTTCTGGATGTGTCACATGACCTAGAAGATTATAAAATAATCAAAGCCAACGACACGGTCGATGGCTTCAACATTTCTGGTTGTATACTTCTTGGTGATTATGCGATGCGAGTGGTGGAAGACGACTGGTCCATCAGGTTGTATCTGACTTCTGAAAAAGGTAGGGAACTTTTGCGCAGGGTAAAAGCTATAAGGTAATTATGAAGGGGGTGGGCTAGGAGTTGGGCTATGGCAAGAACTAACTCTAGAAAAAAGCTAACGTAGCGTAGAGTAAAAGACTGGGTATGGCAAAAAATAGGGTAATTATGAAAAGCATGAGTAGTTAAGGCTAGGGCAGGGTAAAAAAAGAACGAAGGGGATGCAGGATAATACAAAATTTGAAGAACTGGTTTATGATAAAAATAGTACAGGGCTAGGGCTGGAGCTTGGATCATGGCAAAGAATATGACAAAGACTAAGACCAGGGTGAGGGCAGGTTAAAAAGTAAATCAAGGTAAGGTCTAGGTCCAATGCTACGGCTAGGGCTACAACCAGCGTTTTGCCCATACCGTCCGGCCAAATTTTCACCACACGGTCCAAGAAGAACACTGGCTACGGCTAGAGCTGGGCTTAGAACTATGGAAAAGACTGGAGCTAAAGCTTGGATTAGGGTTCGAGCTATGATAAAGGCTAAGGTCAGGGTTAGGGTTAGATTAAAGCTAAACAACATTATTTTTTTTAAATTAATTAATAATAATATTTTCAGACAAGTTTGCTCCCGAAGAATTGGTAAAGGCTTGGGAAAAGATAATTGCTGCTCACTGGGACTCGTTGGCTTATGGCACCAGGTATTTTGTAAGTCTTTCCATTAGAATATTACCTAAAAATTTCCAATTTTTAAGTTTTTGTTTTTTCGACCATATTGTTACCTAAAAAGTTGACTTTTATAACTAGTGCTAGGTGGGTGACTTCAATCTATGAAAGGTAGCTAGACTTGAAATGGGGCCTACTCGGGCAAGCCCTTACTAGGGAATTGCACCAAATATCCCTCGTCTTTTTGAACAAGACCTATATAGGATGAAAGAGCATAAAAAGTTACCGGAAACTGTTTTTAAAAACTGCTAAATAGATTCGGCTAGCGAGATATTAGCGATTAAAGGATTTAAGGGTTTTCTATTTGAACTTTCTCTTTCGTCTTGAGCAAAACGAATGGATTGAAGCTTCAATCCAGTGTGGTCGAGTGGTTAATAAGTTAATCTGGGGTGCAAAATTGGGGAACTTCGAATCCCGCCGGTTTCATTTTGGCGCCTATACTGACAGAAATTTTTGGCTAGCCAAACAATATTTTGATTGAAAAAATATTTTGTAAGTTGTATTTTTTGCTTTTAGACACTTTTAGGAAGAAATAGTTATCAAAAAATATCATTTTTTGAACTTTAAAGCTATACCTTTTAAATATATAAGGATATAAAGCATACTGTAACTTGCTAGCCAAGTCGATTTAGCAGTTTTTCAAAACAGTTCTCCCGATAACTTTTTATGCTCTTTCATCCTATATAGGTCTTGTTCAAAAAGCTGAGGGATATTTGGTGCAATTCCCTAGTTAGGAAATTAATAAGGGGCTTATCCAAAAAATCGGGTTTTTTTTATTTTATTTTTTGTATTATTACAAGTCTAAAGGTAGCGAAAACCTTTTTTAGGATGCAGTACCAAGACTGGGAGGGGTGATTGCACTTTTGCGTGAAGGAAGTCCTAGCGAAAATTGCTATTTCTCCTTGTTTTTGAATATGCAGTGTTATTTGGATATCAAGAAAGAACTTTTTCAATACAAACGCATAGCTGTTCGACTGTAAGTGATATATTGTTGTAGGTAAACTGATACTAAATTTTTTAGTTATTTATAGTACTTTAGGTACAGTAAGTCTTTTTATTGGCAGTAAAGTTTATGTCTTGGTTAAAGGATCTATTTTAAGGGATAATGCAAGGGCAAAAAAAAGTTTTGTTGTTTTTTAGTACTGAAGTACATGTAAAACAACGACAAGACTTTTTTTTTGGCTTTTTTTTGTTATTTGAATGTGAATAAATACTATTTTTTAAATTTCAAATTAAAAAAAAGTTAAAAATTTGACTTTTAGAAACACTAACACCACAATCGACGTCATTCGTATGACACCTGACTTCCTGTTAATGGCATGCTATGGTAGTACTAGGAACGTTTGTATGACTGTGAAAGATACCGACGTAAATGGCAAGTATCTTTGTCTTGATGTTGAGTACAAGTCTCCGAGAGGTCAACGAGAAATGGAGTTTAAGAACATTAAACAGTTTTCTTTTGCTGACATGTGTGTGGACATATACGATGAGTAGGTTACTGTAATTTTATTTGGAATATATCGATATATGTATTAGATTTAGTACGGTAAGGTAGAGAAACATAAGATAACATAGGGTAGGGTAGGGTAGGGTAGGGTAGGGTAGGGTAGGGTAAGGTAAGGTAAGGATAGGCAAGGCAAAGTAAAGTAGGGTACGGCAGGGTAAAATAAGGTAATATAAGTCAGGGTAGGACAAACCAAGGTGAGACAATGTAAGAGAGAGTTGATAAGGGTAACATATGAACATTCTATGGTAACTGTGTGTATAAACTGATTTCTTTTCAGTAAGTTCGAAAAAATTGTGAAAACCGGAGTGCCAATTCATGAATTGAACCAGTACATTGTAAAATCATATCAGGGCTCAACAAATGCTGAGAGTAAGTTTGTTTGAGTAAAGGAAAGTATGGCGTGTATCACAGTAAAAACTAGAATAATAATGATAATGTCGGTTTTTACAGTTTTCTTTATTTTTTGAAAGGTTTTTTTAATTTTTATGTTTACAGAGACTTTCGATTCAATCTTCGATCCAGACGAATTCATAGGCACTATGGACTTTTCTCTCTGTAAGTGACAGGCATATTATGATACGTTTAACACAGGGTCTTTTCATTTTTTTAGTTTGTAGCGGTTAGTACAACAAGGCAAGTTATTGTAAAAATAAGGCGAGGCAAAATAAGGCAAGGTAAGGTATTATAAGGTATGGTAAGATAAAGTAAGGTAAGCTAACAAGGAAAGTACCCTACCCGCCCCGCTCAGAACCAGCTCAAAATTTTTATATGTATCTCTTGTACCACCAATAGTATCTACAAAAATTTTAGCTCGCGCTTTTGAGTTTTAAATTTAAATTATTTGGGTTTTCCGTCAATTTGGCAAATTTGGCATTGTGTTTCAAGCACTTTTTTGACTTTCTGGCCAAGCCAAACATACAAATTTTAAAAGGTAGATTTTTTAAAGGTATTCTACTAGAATATCAAAGAAAAATGTTTGGAAGTCAAAAAATGACACAGTTGTAAGCTTTAAACACAATGCCAATTTGGCTGGAAATTCAAAAAGTAATGTTTTGATCTCGATTTTCTCGAGAATCCCTGGGAAGCGCGATTTAGTATTTTGCTGAAGATCTTATATTTACATGATCTTTCTTTATAAAAAGTTTGAAGACAATCAGTGCGGGGCAGGTCGGGTACTTTCATTGTAAGCCAAGCTAAGGTAAGGTAAAAGTAAGGAAAATTATGGTAGGGTAAGATATTGTAATACAAATTAGGATAGAGTAGGACATAGTAATGGGGTTGTTTTCTTTTTTGATTTCTTGAGCCATTTAATTTCCAATTTCAGTTATAATATAAATATATTGTTTTACAGATATCAACAACAGTTTTACGTTTTCGTGTTCGGCCAAGGGGCAAATGTTAAAGCCGTTAAATGTTCGATTCTGCACTGGCCACTTTTGTAATTGGCTTGATGAGAAGATGAGGCCACCTGAGGTAGGAAAGATATATTACTAGTACCGGGGGTACTTTGGTTGATTTTTTTTTATTTTGAAAAGTTTTTTTGAAATTTTTGGAATGTTATCATAAATTCCAATTTCAGAACCGTTGCCCAACCTTGCTAGCACTAAGCAATGAAAAATGCTTTTGGGTTGTGGATAATGGCAGATTCCTCACCCTAAACAACTTCCACACCTTGCATAAACGCTTCTACACGCTTACGCCTAAGAAAGTACCGTATATTGAACTGGAAGGCTACAGAACCGAGTTCTGTTTGAATTACACTAGCTGGGATGAATACGTTTTTAAACAAGTCTACCTTACTTTCGAAGGTAATGTTGCATTTACATTGTTTTAAGGGAGTAGAAGGGTCGTTTTGGAGGAATATAGTAGACTTGTGATATAACAATGGTACGGTAGGGTTAAGTAGGGTTATGCTGGCAAAGGAAGGGTTGATCATTGTAGGGTAGGGTACCGTAGGGTTGGGTAGAAGTTTTTTGAAATTGACTTTGATATTTTTAGCCAAACTGCCATCTGTAAATACAACAGAAGTAGAAGACGGCATTGCTCATTATTGTCAAACTAGCACTGGCATCATTGAACAAGGCGTGCCGGTGAATCTTACAGAAAGATTTACTGTGATATGTAAGTAATTTAATATGTTGAGTATATAGATTGAAATCCCCTCCCCTCTTTTCTTTTTCCTACCTTTCTTCCCGTCTTTCTGTCTTCTTGCCCCCCCCCCTCATACCATTTCTCCATCACCTCTACCCCGCTTTCAGGTTCTTGATGTTGGGTTGTTCAAATAATTCTGTGCTTTCTTTTAAAGCAAATCTTTGGGATTAAGAGACACAGTATTATTTGAACAACCTAATATTATAAGGAATAATTTTTAGCTTCACCATATCATGGTAAATTTACTTGTACTATCAGATTGAACAAAGCTAAAAGGGGCGGTACGAAGGTGTTGATGGACGTATCGGTAAGTACTGACAAATTTTTTTTTATTTTGTTAAAATTGATATTTTAGTTCAACGATGACTCTTGCAAACCGATAACTAAGATTCCCACTGACAAGTGTAAGTCGTACCTTTTTATCAAGATTTTCACTTTTCAGGTTGTTCAAATAATTCGGTGTCTCCTAACCTTAAAAATTTATTTCAAGAAGGGGTACAGAATTATTTGAATAACCAATAATATTTGATTTTAGTTTAGTCAAAGTTCAAACAAAAAAGCATAAAAAGCAGTATCGATATTACCCATGTGTACATAATAGAAATGCCTTTTTAACCTAAATTGTATTTTTAAGTATATTACGATTTTGTTTTTAGACACTTCTCCTATTTGCCATGAACCACAAGTAGTAAGATTGTTATCAGATGGGTCATATAATGAAAGGTAAGGTTTTAAAAATTAATTTTGAATTTTTATATTATAGTAGGCTCCGTAGAAGTTTCTATTATGGTTTTAGAGAAGAGATGTATTATATATGAAGAAAAAAGCATTTTACGTTGATTCAAAAGTATATTTTGCTAATTCAAATTCCGATTTAAAAAAAACCTTTATTTCAGCGATTTTAAGCCATTTTTTACCTACACTGACATCTACGCACTGTCTCAATTGGCTAATGAAGTTGCGCTTTACAATGACAGTGGCAATTCGTATCAAATAAACAGGTGTTTGAATAGAATTAACGAGCCAATTAGTTGCCGAGGACAGTGTTACATGTACAGACACGAGTATAATAAGGTGGGTTACTTTATGGTAGACTAAGTGAACATGTTGTTGTATTATGGGTTAAATGAGCTGTTTGGTGAATTCTTGAAAGGCTCAGAACGGTAAAAGGGTTAAGAAAAACTTGGCTTGAAGCTGTGGTATAAAGAAAGCCTACTATTAGAAAAACAGCGTTTAAGGTTAATAATTACAGGGTACTAATAAAAAACCTCTTCAGATATCTCAAGGATGCACGGACGACTTGGACCATGAGGCATTTAACGAAGCAACGGCTTGTAGATTGAAAAAGAATGGTGATTTTATGTACAAAAATCAATGCTTTTTCATCAGTGGTCCTTTGGAGAACCGGCTTGATTACTTTAGTTCAAATGGAGTAAGTTTATAAAGGTTTTGGAGGTAAAGGAATGCTCATCATGTTCATGCCTACCTAACTCTACTTTATTATACCATACCCTATTCTGCCCTGCTTATAACTTAGCCTATCTAACCCTACTTTGCCTTATTTTAACCTACCCTACTCTAGCCTACCCCACTCTAGCCTAATCTACATTACCCTACTCTACCTTAACACAACTTTTCAGGTCCTATGTTGTATAAGTAGCAAAAGCCATTTGTCTCACCGTGATGTGATTGAAAAGTACAAACAAGGACTACCACAACCAGAAGAGCTCAATATCACTCGAGTCGGCAGCTTGAACTATAATTACCATGAAGATGACGTTCAGATTCAACATTTGTTCCCACGAGAAGTCGAACGGTTCCATATTGACCTATGACCGGTTTTCAAATCGCAGTACATTATTGTAGATAATTTTTTCAGTAAACTTTGAATTCAAAAAATGTAAGATACCACAATACCCGACATAATCCTTTACTGTGCTTTACCCAAAGCAAAATACATGCTATAACAATCCTATTTAAGTATATACAGATCACATGACATAAATATTCTCCTTCTTCACTCCCAGCTCTTCCAACGCCGGCAAAACTGCCTTTTCTCTCATCGCCGGAGGACCACAGAGCACAAAAGCGTTGTCATCATCGATTGGAAACAAAGTTTCTTTTATCGAGTCGGCCGTAACGTATCCTTTGAGGCCATTCCATGGTGTATCAGCTTCTGGTTGCGACAGAATATGGGTTACTTTGAAGCGGTTTTGGTATTTTTCGTGCAATTTGTCCATTTCTTCCCTGGAAATAAGTGAAATTGTACAAACAAGTTGAGATACTGTGTGTTACAGTAATCCAATGGAAAAATTTTTAATTACAAAAATGTTTACTATAGTCTGGAGAGTATATATACAAGTTGTTGTAGTGTTACAAAGCTTATTTTAAATTAAAAATGATTTTTTGAAAAAATTCATCTCCCACTTCCCTTCCAAAACTTATAAAATAAAATACAGTGTGTTACAGCAATCCTATCAAAAAGTACTCAAATATAAAAATGTTCCTTATCCCCTAACACATAACTACACAAATTTTCAACTCTTCCCAACAACTATTTTCCAACCTACAACATTTTAAAACCACCTACCTCAACAAGATGTCATTTTCAGTTTGATTCGCGAACAATAATGCCATTTCCACTTTGTCTTCCGAATTCTTCAAACTTTTATTAATCACTTGTAATATTGGTGTGATTCCAGTGCCTCCGGCAATCAACGAGATTCGTTTATAATTGGTATGACGTACATTATCTTGAGCATTCTCATTTGGATTATGTCCTGTAGAAAAGTGACCGTCACCATGATACAGATGCTTGTAGGTTGGGCCGCGGAAGTTCATTGTGTCACCTGGAGTGATATTAATGTTAGTTTATAAAAACTTTTGATTATTTTACTTTCGAAGGAGTATCTCAGCAAAAATACGGATATAATCCATGAGGCTAAGGGTATGGTTTGAAAAAAGTGTAATTCATGAATGCCACTTTAAAATTCATTCAAAATTTTAAAATAAAAGGCGAATATTTTAGATAATGAAATTTTAAATCCATTTTTGTAAAAAAACAGCCAACAGCTATATATCAACCAAAGGATTATATTAACCATGCTATAACTCATAAATTTTGCAAAATGAGGTATAACTCTAAAAGATCAATCTCAAACCATGCCAAATTTAAACATAGCTAGCCAAAACATTCCACATTAATAACTTTACATCCCCTAACCCCTACCCATCCTCACCAATGTTAAGTGAGTCCAAATGTTGAGAAAACTCTCCGCCTTTAGGGAATTTTTCCGTTTTTCCATAAACTTTGATCACCAAATCCACATAGCCAGTCAGATCATCGTCCGATACTGGTGTGTAAGGTCGTCCCACAGTCCTGCCATTAATCTCAGCTGACAGTCGAACATGTTGACACGCTTCCAATCCAGCTACATGTTGATCTGTCGGCAATGCAAAGCGGAATCGTCGAACATTATGGGATACTACAGCTTTTGCAGCCAATTTTAGGGCTAGTTGACGATGAGGTTCGAAGAATGTGACTATTCCTTTGGTGTTTCTCTAGAAAATGTCATTTATAATTTAGTTTTTGGTTGAAGTGTTTAGAAAAAAAAGTTAAAATTAATCAAAAATGTTGGTTTAAACCCATGTTTATCTCATTTTCAGCCTTTTTTTGGCATCTAAAACAATATAAAACCCCAAAACAATCAAGAAACTCACGCCCAGCCATCTCTGAACAGTCAAAAACATTGTGAGAAGCAAAGAACCCCGGTTTCACTTACTTTTTCACCCATTTCTGATATTGTTTATCAAAAACAATTCGCAGCTAGCCTCTTTTTTGCTTTGAATAACTAAATCTAACAGACTTTAAGGCTTAAATACGCTTGTTAAAGGTAAAGTGTCAACAAAATAAAATTGGGAATAGTCACGCTTTGTAGTTTTATCTCAAATTAGGCTACTTATGAGGGCTGGAAATGACGTTTTTCGCTTAATTTTAATGAATTTTGTACAATTTTCAACATTGTTTTAGGGTTTTGATAAGGAACTAGAGTTTTTAGAATGTTTGTAGGCTAGAAATATTGTTTTAAGCAAAAAATATAAACTATAAGAGCATAAAATAATAGTAACTAATAGTCACCATGACTTTCTTTAGAAAAGCCATGCCCCTGACCCATTATTAAGCCTAAAACCTCCTTTTTTTGCAAAACAAAATCAATTTAACCATAATCAACAAATTTTACCAAAAAAAAACCATAAGAACCCATTTGAACCCACTAACACGTTCCTAGACATATTAACCATCCGCCTTACCTTATACCGTCTAGACAACTTTGTCATCGTGAGCTGACCAGACTTGTAGATCATCGCGTCCGGCTCTCTAATCCAAAAGTAATATACACCAGCCCCCACGACAACAGCCGCAACGGTTCCTCCAATCGCACAATAAAACCAGGAATCTTCATCCATTTCGCCTTCTGAAGATGTTAATTACAACAATTTGTTTTTTACTGCGTATATTACCATGGGAGAAACAGAAAATATGAAAACACGAAAACTGATATCATAAAATTAATTTTACTAGCTTAGGCACAGTGCGATTATAATTTGCAAAGTTCCTTGCACCTTGCAATCATTTCGATTATAGTCTGCACCGTGCAGGCATTAGACATGCAAAAAATAATTACTGCATCTGTAAAACACGTTTTTCAAAAAAAAACTTGGTTACTGATCACTTATAGCATATTCAACAAACACACGAAGTTGCAACTGCCAACGTGCCCTTTAAAAAATATTCTAATGTCATCTAGTATAATATAACTTATAATCAACGTCACAAGTCAAACACAGTTATAATAAATAAGGAAAATGCATAAAAAGAAAAAAAAGGATTCAGCACGCTAAAAATATATAGATCAACCTCAAAGAGTCCTGTTTCAAGCAAAACAGATAAGGAAATAAAAGATTATTGTTGAAAATGCTTTGGCTAACAATTTTAAGCCAAAGATAAAGCATTACCCAATACATAACTAAAATTCAATGCTAATTTTGTCAATATACAATTTCAAAGCAAAAAAATGTCTATAACTTGTCACGTTCTCTTCAAATCGTTAAAAAAACAAACAAATTTTACGAATTTTTTAGAAAAAGTATGCGATTTGACACTTCGTTTTGAAAGTCGATAATGTGACACTTCGTTTATCTACAAAATAAATAATTTTATTTTACGTGAAAATTACAATTATAACTTGTATAAAGTAGTTTATTACTATTATAATAGGCAGTTATTTGTTTTTTTAATGATTACATATTTTCAGGGCATAGAATTGAATGGTAGTGTAATATGCTTCGGTTTGGGTCTTCTCGGTTAAACCAACGGTAAGGTTTTACTTTCTTTTTTGAGGTTTAGGTGTGGCAAAGGTTTGAAAAAAAGCCCCAAATCTATTTTTAACTTTAACGTTAAGTTTTTTAAATGTCAAAGCGTGGGAGGTCTGGTGACATAGATAATATGCGATGATTACAAATTAAAAAGCTTTACCTACAAAGTATATCTCTGGTTTTATACAGGTTGATCGTCCGATATGCGACGTATTTACCGACTGCAGCTACTTCAAAACCGGGTTTGAATTCTATTGCCCATGCTCGATTTCCACGACGTTCTACTGGTCACAGGGCGTCTCCGGCTTTGTTGTCTGCTCTGAACCATCAGAAGGTGTTGATTGAACGACACAGGGATGCAGTTGAAGCTTTGGATACCTCTAATATTTTTAACTTAACTGATGGGTAAATTTTAAGCATTCATGTTATTTTTTGGCGTTTTATGTTATGTTATTTGCTGCAATTAGAAAGTTTATTGTTTTTGAAGATTTTCTTGTTTATATCAATATTTTAAGCATTTATTACGGTTTTTAATGTTAATGTGATGTTTAGGATAGAGTTTACTGAATTTATTGGCTCATCAGTTTTGAATGCGGTTAAAAATTTGGTGAAAACTGACGAAAGTAAGCTGAACTCATTGACTGATGCTAGATTGTCGATATTGTTGTCTGTTGTACAAGTAAAGTCGGAGCTTAATGTGGAAAAAGCAAAACGATCTGAGTATCTTCATTTTATATGGCCAAAGATTTTGTCTTCTGAAAGTAAGTAGTTTTGCTTATGTTTTTTGGTTTTAGGTATGACCGAGGAAGTTATTTGATAAAATGGGTTGATTTTGGCTAATTTTGTGATTACTTCTAACATTATCTGCTCTTAATACTCAGTAAATGTTTAGATTTTGGTATTGAATCATTGAATGCCTATTTGGAGTCAAAACTTTACTTGGGAGAGACGTTTTCTTTGACTGATGTGTTGGATATCTTGGCCGAGAAGAAGATTCAAGCTAACGGACAAACTTACGAATGTCTGGTGGCTGAAGCTAATGTCCAAGGGAATCTACAGGCTATTTTGTAGGTTTTTAGTTAACGAACAATTGGTTGCACGTTCTTTTAAGTTAGAAGCTGATTTCGGAACTTATTTTAGATGTTTTTAGGTTTTGTCTAATTTTTTTGAAGTTTTCATAGACAAATTTTTAAAACATGGGCATGTTAGGATAGGAGAATGTTGTCGATGTCTTTGAGAACAACATCGTTAGGTATCATACCTAATTTTCAGTGAAATCATCAAAGAAATGAAGGCCAATAACTGCCCATTGTCTCAAAAAGCCATTGAGAACTGGGTGGAATGTTTGGCTTTGAAAGATGCGAAAAAGGACTTTAAAGCTGTTATCAATGCCTTCAAAGCCACGCTGGATCCTTTCCGGTTGTACATGTCAGCAGCTGTTGGACTAGCCAGGGCTGGGAAGGGCTTAGAAGCTACTTCTGTTCTTATTGATCTACCATCAGCTGAAACCAAGGCTACAGAAAGCAACGTAGACATTGTGTTAAAGTTGTTCATTTGTCTGGTTGATAATGGAGTTAAGGCAGCTGCTGATATGGTATGTCTTTTTATTTGTGAATTTGATTTTTAGGTAACAATTTCAATTTTTTTAAAACTTTTGAATTTTAGGTACGACAATATTTACCAGCAGAGCGTCTAACCTTCCTAAACCAAGGTTTATTGCGTCGTGAAGTTCTGAAACTGTTGAAGGAGAACAAGCCGATTGAAAGAGTGATAGAGATGATTGAACTGGTCGAAGAAGATAAAGCTGTCAAATATGGTCTCATCAACTACGGGTCTTCGCTTTTCCTTGATGAATATGATGACACTTTGAAAAAGGGACTTAATGTCGGTTTTTTGAAAGATTTAATAATTTTTAAGAAGTAAAACATAAAAAGCGAAAAATGTAGTTTAGGTAACAAATTTTTAACTTTAGGTAGAGAGTTTTTAATTTTAGGTAACAAACTTTTTATTCTAGCTAACAAATTTTTAATTTTAGGTAACAATTTTTTGATTTTAGGTAACAAATTTGCAATTTTATGTAACAAATTTTCAATTTTAGGTAAACCACGTAACAGAAAAAGTGTTGCTATGGACAGAAGCTCTAAGAAACAGTGGACTAAGCGAAACGCCTCTAGCTGATTTGATATACTCAGCCCAAGTTAAGCAAGCTCCAATCAAAGACTTCTACAAAATCTTTATACATTCAGAAGAAGCCAAGAATTTATTGTCGGACGAGAACACGCACCGAGCTCACATATTGGTACCACTGCTAAATGAAATTGCCAGGAAGGTAAGGGTTTGCTTAAAGTATAGCTTTATCGTGTTATATGGCTTTGTCATATTAGTTTGTTTAAATAATTCTGGGGCTTCTAACTCCGAAAATTTGCATTTTTTGGGGAGCACAGGATTTTTTGAAAAGCTTAGGAATCCACTGCAGGCTTAATTCTATAGCTTTTTTATGGTTTTGGCCAAAACAGAACAGTAAATGTAATCATATAAGTCAAAGACCAAATAAAGAACGTAAAAAACAGCATCAATATTACCCATGTTTATAAAAATGCAGTTTTATACCCAAATTTCATGGAAAAACAAAACTTTTGCCAAAAGTGAATTCAAACGGAAAAAGGTTTAATTCGCTTTTTGGATAATAGCTGATGGACTGTTACGTACCAGGACGCCAAAAAATATTTTTAAATTTAAATTTTGTTTTGGTTATTTTACAGAAAAGTTAGTGCACTTTGTCATCTTTGAACGTTTGTTTGTAGGCTTTTAAACTGATGAGTTTAGGCTTATTTTTGAAGGAAATTAAGGGTTTTTTTCATATTTTGTTTAAGACCGTTATTAGGATACTTGATAAAATTATAGTAACTATTAGGGTAATAGATAAAGACAGGTTCATTATTGTAAATAGTAGTAGACGCAGGTTTTTTGGTGGGGCATGAAGATTATTAGGGGTAGATTTTCTTAGGGTTTTTGTAAAAAATAATTAAGAGTTGTAGAAAAGTCTTTTGTGTGTTGATTTTTTAAAACTGTTTAATTGATGCCTCTGATATTAATTAATGTATAATTTCAGCTACCAGAATCTAAAGTAGGAGATCAAGTGTTCGAAGACTTGGTTTTCCTAATCAAGAACATTAACGTATCTCAGAATATATCATTGGTCGAAAAGTTGGCTGCTAAAGGTAAGCTTTTTTTTTGAATGTACGGTTATCGTCACTTCATTACTCCATAAAATGTTCAGCTTTCCGTCATTGCTACGTTGAAAGTTATGAAAGTGCAAAGTTTTTTGTAAGAAATTAGTGTGATATCTTGGTTACAGGGACTTCGCTACGGATTTTCTCTGGGGGAGGGGAAGGTCGAAAAAAATTTTCGTCTACAGGTAGACGTGGACTGATTTTTCAAAAATTTTTTTTTCGTTTTTTTTTGCGTAGAGGTACCTTACCCCTTTCTCCAGACGACGTTCCTGCTTGGTTATAAGGACAGATTTGGACTATCACTTAATTGTTATACTAAAGAGGTTTGACTGTAAATACTAAAGCTTAAGTTTAATACTTACATTGTTAAAGTTGTAAGGCCGCATGGTCAAAGCGGCTGCTTTTATTTTTTTAAGAACTTTATGTACTTCTTCAATCTTTAGTTTTTGTATCTAATTTTTGCAAAAAAATGACATTTATTTCTGAAAGCCGGAAGTTGAAATGACCAAAACCTTCTTTTATTACCTAAAAAAGTAGACGTAAAAGAAAGACGGTTAAAAAATGCATGAACTGTACTACTGAATGGCCGAGTTTATGTGGTTTTGAATGGAGGTCAAAGTATTTTTGGCTAGCTTTTATATTAAAACATTGTAGTGAATATTATCCATTGAAGATGTCTTACGAATAAGTCTTTTGGCAGTGGCTGCTTTCAATTTAAAAAAAACATGAAGGGTGAGGCTGGCTTTGTAAATTTTGTGAGGGCAATATATTAGGTTGTTCAAATAATTATGTGCTTTCTAACTCTAAAAATTTTTTATGAGGAAGAGCAGATTTATTTGGACAATACCTTACTTGCCGTTGCCTTGTGACAGATTTTGAAACGTTAAAACAAAGTACTAAAACTAAAAGTCATAAAAGTACAAGAAGGAATTGGGCCTAATCGGTAAAGAAGCCTTTACTTTATATTACACTACTTCTGGTTCAGTAAATTTAAATTGAGAAGATGTTCGTTTGAGCATTTTTTGGAATGGCATTTTGCAGTGAAATCTTTTTAGTATGATTCTCGATAGTGTGATGCCCTCTTTTTGTAATAGGACTCCTATCAAAAAGTACCTGGGTAGTGTGACACCCTGGTTAGAAGGGCAGGTTTGGACTAGTCTCTTGTGTGGCTTAATCTCTTTGGTGTGACAAGGGACTGGTCTAAACATCTTCTCATAGCCAGGCTTTCACACTACCCAGGTACTTTTTGATAGAGGTTCTGTTACGAATAACAGCTAAAAAATGTCATTATAAGGAGGGTGTCACACTATTGAAGGTTATATTAAAGAGGTTTCATTGTATTTACAAATTTTACATTAGTTTCATAATATACAGTACAATATAGTCTATGTTTTTTTTTGTAAAATACGTGTTTTGCTTTTTTTTAAATTTTGAAAAGAAGCATGTTGAACATAAACAGTTTTTATCCTCTAGTCTTCCTATCTTTTTTCCTTATTTTGAATCAAAGCCATACTCAGATTTTACGGCCAAAAAGGAACGGCCCAACGTGCCATTTATTACCCAGCGTTAATTGCACGCCGGCTCTTAAATTTACCGCTTTTATTTTATTTTGAATGAAGTTCCGCCCGATTTGGATGTGTTTTTGATAGCCAGACAGGTTTTAAACGGAGGGATAAACAGCATAAGTAATTGGTTCTGAAAAGGTGCCATAATAGGAAAGAGGGGTTTTGACAGAATTGGATGAATATTGTTATAGGTGGTTGGTTATTTGGTTGGAGACCAAATAGGTGTTTAATCGTTTGGTTGTTTTGGAATGAGTGTGATGGGAAATTGTATTTTAAAAATAATACCGGTTTAGACAGGGCTGGAGTGAGTAAGGTAGAGCGGGGTGAGTTAAGGGGATAGTAATTAGGGCCGGTTAGGATAGAGTAAAGTAGGGCAAGGTAGGTTAAAGTATGGTATAATAGGGCAGTTTGGAGTAGAGTACGGTAAGATACAGTATGTTAGAGTGGAGTAGAGTAGATCAAGGTAGTGTTGGGTAGGAGAGTAGAGTACGGTAGATTAGGGAAGGGTGGAGTAGGGCTGGGTAGAGATATGCAAGAGTGCACTGCACTATTAAAAACTATGAAAATATGAATTTTAGCCTTTTGATGGCATTTTAAAACGTTTGAATTTAGGTATCAACTACATAAAATCAGTGATTGCAAAAACAAATCAGCCGTTTGTCAACAGTGCGTTAGTATACAACATGTTAAACTATGAACAATTGGATCGTCTCAAGGAGCTGATGACAGTGTAGGTTTAGAACATAAAATTTTATTTTTTTTTGATTTTTGAATTTTTTAAAAAAATTTAAATTTAAAAAATATTTTGAGATTTGTCAAGTTTTTAAAATTAAATTTTTTTAATAAGTAATGCAATTTTCAGGACTAAAGACGAAAAGGAGATGAAGTTGGTGATCAACAGAGTCATCAACCCATTAATGAGGATACTCAAGTCCAACAAGTTTGAGGAGAAAGATCTGTCAACTATCGCCAAGATCATCTCACTTGGCTTTAACTGTGGGTTTTAAACTAACTTTAGCATTTTTTCCATTTATGTTTTTTGGGATAATAATTATGTTTTATGTTGTTTGTAGGTATAGTATATATTAGTATTGTCAGAGCGACACAAAAAAATGTTTGTCATCTATTTTTTGAGCTTTATATGGTCAAGAACGACAAGACTTTTGTGACTTTTTTGTATAATTATTTTGTAGAGATAAGTAATGTTATTCTGTTTCAGCCGGCGACAAACAAGGTCAAACACCGGGCGGTGAGGCTATAGCCTCAATCCTGGCCGCTTCAACGATTCCGGATAACCGAGTGGAAAAATTGGTCAGGCTGCTGGTCGATGAACCTAAAGTTACTATCGGAGGTGGTGAAGTAAGGTTTTTATCAGGATTTTGAGGTTTTTGATTTAAAATTATTCAGACGCCTCAAAAGGTTTGGCAATGGATTTTGGTCTTAAGTTTAACTTTCTAATTTAATCCATTTTTAGATCACAAGAATCGAAGCCAAGCTGAGAGAAGTCAACCTACCTCAACGTGCCGTCCTAATCAAATACCTAAAACGAAAGTCCACCGCTTACCAACGATGGCAGAACACAGAGAGACTGGAAGAACTAATAGAAGAATCCGAAAAGCTGGAAGCCACAAAAGACGTGCCAACTGGAGTGCTGGTCAGCCTCTACGAAGTGATATTGAGAAAATCGGTGGAGAAGAAGGATGTGGACACGATTGTCACTGTTCTGCCAAGGTTTTACAAAAAAGAAAAGGAGGACCAAAGCACAAAGATCTTCAAGGTCAAGATCTTCGAAGCTCACAACTACGCTTTTGTCGAGAATTTGAATCGGGAGGCTTGGGAAGCGGCCGACTCGCTTTGGAATATGAAGTGAGTACTATACCTCTAAGCATCTTTTGGGCAGCTTTAGTGAGCGTGTACATGTTCTTTTAATAAATCTTTTTTTTAAAGCAAAGCCTAACATAATATTAGAAAAAATGGGAAAAATATAAGGATGTTCAATTAATTCTGTGCTCTCTATCTATTAAAGCAAATTTTTGAGCTTAGGGGCACAGAATTATTAAGACGATTTAGTAGTTAAATTTCAATTTGCAGACCCCTACGAAACGTAGAAACTGTTCTACTGTACGCTTTAACACTATGTAGAAGACAGAAGATTGAAGAAGCACATGAAGTTCTCAAGACCATAAAAGCAGCCGCTTTGAATCTGCAGCCTTATAACTTTAATAATGTAAGTAGTGCGCTTAAAGTATAGTATTTAATTGGTTGGCAATTATTTTACAACACTTACATAGTTACCTAAACGAGGTTTTTGAGGTTTTTTTAAACAAATTTTTTAGAGGGATAAATGAAGTCTTGTCGTTTTTTACAACGTTTTGCGCGGTTAAAAGCGACATGACTTTTTTTTGATTCAGTGAAACTATGTATTCCTTGGCTTTTAGAACAGTACTTGTCTAGAATGAAAGAACATATACATTGGCCGGTAGCTATTTAGAGGAAAATGAATTTACACGGAGAACTCTTCTTGTCTAGGAATATTTAGCGTACTGTAACTTGTTAGCTATGGTCAGCAGATTGTGAAAATAGTTTTTACTTTTTATGATCTTTTATCTTATATGAGCCATTTGCTAAACGCCGAGGGATAGTTGGTGCACTTTCCTCATAAGAGCATCGTATTGTTCTTGGAACTTGCTGAAATAATCTTTCAGTAATTTAAACATGAAATATTCACTTAGTTTTCAATATAATTTAAGATCGCCGGCTCACAAGTAGTGAAAGCGGCCGAGGAATCGGAGATCGAGCAGTTCTTGAAGTTGCTAACAAAAGAGTTCAACATTAAGTCAGCGTGGAAGGGACGCCTGAAGGCAGAGGTCAAAATGAACAAGCTGAGAAGTTTAATCGAGAAGAAACAACTTGACGAAGCTTTCAATTTGTCAGTTGATACCTCAAAGGAATGTGGATATGCATTTGGAGCTTATGAACTCATGAATCAGGCTTTGGAGGTAGGGTTTATTTTAAAATGGCATTTTTTGAAAAATTTATATAAATTTTTAAAAATTAACTTTCAGATAGAAGATCAAGCCCTGATCAAGAAGCTGAAGAACCTCATCATCTCAGTCGAAGACATCAACACCTTTGTCATCACTTTTGGCGTATGTTTGCTGGAAAGAGGCGACAAGAGAGGTGCAGAGCTCCTAAAGAAGAAGATAGAGTATATTCCATCGAAGAAGCTAACAGAGCTCACAAAACGACAGGTCGGTTTGAAGAATGCAGAGATCATGCACCTCTTGTTTAACATATTCAACAAACCAGAGAACTCGGCGTTGGAGCTGGAAGATTTGATGCGAAATGCCGCGGATTTGTATGGTAAGGATAATATATAAGGATAATGTAAAGTTAAGATTGTTAAATAGGTTTATATATTTATATTAGGATGGTTTTTGTATTGTTTTGGCTATTATTAGGTTTTTCAAATAATTTTGAGCTACTCTCAATGAAAATTTTCGGGGTTAAGGGGCGCATAATTATTTGAACAACTTAATAAGTAAAACTTGATTTAAATACCGACAATTGTGAAATAAAAGCATTTTTTTAGTTAGTAGACGCTTTAAAAGACTTTTCGTTAATTTACTTTGATCAGCGATGTCATAAACGACAAGACTTTTGAAAAGCTTAATAAAAGCTTTAAAAATGAGATTTTCAGAAATGTTTATTTAATGGAGGTATAGTAGAACTTACAGTAATGATAAAAAAGCCCTATAATTATTTTGTAACACATAACTCTTCGTATAAGTTAAAGTATTACCATCAATAAGGAACCAACAATTCAAATTGTTTTCAGAACGCCAAAGCAATTTGGACGGCTTAAAACGGCTGTATGAAGATGCCAAATCCTCTTCAATGCCCTTGAATGCCAAGATTAGAGTGCAGTTCGAAAGTTCAATCAAAAAAGTAAGTCTACGGTCGTTACATTGTAATATGGTATATATGATATCAAATATAGTAAAGCTTGGCAATAATTTCCAAAGTTTTGATAATTTGAAAAGATAATAATATTAGTACGTTCACATAATTCTGTGCTCTCCGACCCAGAAAATTTGCTTTGAGAGGGGCACAGAATGATGTGAACAAAGTAATAGAACAGCTATAATATTTTTTTTTCAGCTAGAATCAACCGCCAAGCCTTCAGAAGCCCACAAAGAGCCAGTAGAAGCCAAACTGTAATCGATTGTTAAGCTCTCGAATAGAGCATTGTACGCTATTTTGTTAGGAATTTCATTGTTTTCAAAATAAAAATATTTTTGAACTTTTTGGTGTTGTTTATGTTGTACTGAACGATGGATATATTGTTTTGTGTTTCTTATTGTTATTCCATTTTATTTATTGTTTTTCTTTTCAAAAAGCTTGTGGTAGATAATAATTTAGTAGATGAAAGAGAAGAGAAGGGTTTTTAAGTAAAGATGAAAGAGAAGAGAAAGGTTTTTTAGATGAAAGAGAAGAGAAGGGTTTTTAAGTAAGGTGAAGTTAGACCTCTAAGCATTTGGACGCCAGATTTTTTTTAGTTTCAAAGTAACATAAGAGACTGTATTTTAGCTTCAAAAGCCAAAATGAGGCGGATTCTGGCGTTGAGGTCGAATATCATTACAGCACGGATACCGGACCAGCCTTGCTATTCAAATGTGATTGCTGACCAAGCTTTGGAATCCCATCAACAAAGTCAACGGTCTTTTAATCAACCAAAGCCCGATATCAATCTAAAGAACAAACTACATATAGCAACAGATTTAGTAATACAAAAGCATCCGGATGATGGAAAGAAAGTTCTGGAACAAGCAGCGAGCGAGTATGAAACTTCAAAACCTCAGGATATAATGGAGAAATTTGAAAAAGTAAAGAACAGAACGGCCAATAAACCTTCAAAAGGCTTCTTTCTCTATGAGGAGACCCAGGTATTGAACAGTATTAGGAAGATATTGATGCAAGCAGAGGGAGATCAGGTGGATATTGCTTCTGGATTTGCGGAATCTTTGGTCAAACTGAAATTGGCAAAGGTGGAAAGTGTTTGGCTGAAGGAGATGGTCAAGTTTGAGTTGGTCAAGTATGTGAAGTTAAAAAGATTTTTAGTTTACAGTTGTTTACTGTTATGGTTACCGCTAAGAGATGACTACATATATTGTATATTGAGTTAAGAGTCTGTATATTGTGTTGGTGATGCACAAATTTTTATCTTTGGGCATGGTTTTTGTATGAGAACGGTTTTTTTGGATGAAATTGTTTTTAACTAGTATATTATGACATTTCATATTGTATCTGCTTTGATAATACAGCTTGAGCTATGAAAACTGGTGTGAAGGTAGATTATTTTAATATTACCAATTATTCACAAGGACGTTTTATATTTATCAGTATTGTAGTAGTTACAGTAAACCTACTACTGCTTGTTTTTTTTACAGATTTTTCAATATTTCTATGACATTTTTTGTTCTATCTCTTAAGAAAATGATGATAGAACCATGAAAATTGGTGAAAATATCGATTATTCTTTAATTCAACTGTCTGTGGAAAAAAATTTTGAGTTTTACAGTGTTTTAAAAGTTACAGTAGACTTAATACCATAAACATATTTGCTTTATAAAAATTTTCAATAATTTTTTTTCAGAAACAATATATCCTCAGCTATAGAAGTCTATACCAGGTTTTCCACCATGACACCTCACAAGAAGCTATTCCCAGCACCAGTCTTTATCATCCTATGTCATATCAGTACCGAACTCGAGAAAACGCCAAAGAGAATGAGAAAAGAGCGTGACGAACTAAAGGCACAGAAAGAGAGGATTCTGAAGATTATTGAAGCATCTGGATCCAAATTACAGAAGATTTGCATGGAAGCGTGTGTATTATTGTACGGAGGAGACGGCCTTGGAGGATTAGATGTGTTGAAACGAAATGACATGGAATTGGGGGTGGATCAGCTGAATTTTATTGTTGAGATTAGTCGGAATACTCATTTGGTAAGTTGTCTTAGATTATGATTGGATTAGCTTTTGTAAGGGCTGGAATTGTGTGTAATATTTCCACTATGACACCTCACAAGAAGCTATTCCCAGCACCAGTCTTCATCATCTTATGCCTGATTCTTAGTCATAAATGGTCAAAAAGTTCCGGAAAATGAAAAAATTCTCAAACTTTTAATGTTTTTGGTGCCTAATTGTAAGTAATATAAGTATTCTTTCAGCCCCAAATACTCCTTCCAATAGTCGACTATGGAAGCCGGATCCTACCTTCACATACACCCACAAAGGTCAAGTTCTACAATGCCGTATTAGCTGAACTAGGTAGGTTATAGCCGTATAGTACTATTAGTTTGTTCAAATAATTATGTGCCCCTAAAGAAGATTTGCTTTGAGAAACGGCTCAGAATTATTTGTAGAACCTAATATAATATAATCAAGTTTGAGCTGTACATTTGTCTCACTATAAACTATTATGTTGTTCAAAAAGTAATGAGCCTTTTTCACTCTTTTTAGCAAAAAAAACTAAAATTTTGATATTGTTGTAGGAAAACGAGGTGATTTCGAACGAATGGACAAAATCGTACAAAGAGTGTGGGAAGAGGTACCAAACAGAGAGCTCTTCAAATACCAATACATATTCCACAGAGCTCGCCACTTTTACAGATGCAAAAACTTGGCCATACCGGAATACCTGCTCGAAATGATTAGAAGACTAGGAGATTATTGAACATTGTTACTGTATAAATATTGTTATCTAAAAGGTTTAGTGCTTGGGGCTCAGAAGCTTTTTTCAAAATTTAAAAATCGAAATTTCAAAAAATTTTTAAATTTTAAAAATTCCAAAATAATCAAAATAATTCGTGAATATCACCTCAAAACTATCTACCGTATCCTAATATAAATACCATCAATATAAATATCCAAAAACTCCCGAAAATGAAGGTACAAAGTTTATTTACATTTGTTTTGAACAATAGTAAGTTACAGTACAATTATATTGCGAAATGTTAAATGTGACAAGTTGAAGTGAGTATCGTATGGTACAATGATAATATACAAAAGAACGTAAGTAAAGAGACCTATATAACAAAAATAAGTTAAAAACCTAATGTAAAAGGCAACTGATGACTACAAAGTAAGGTATACAGTACTATAACCAAACAGTATGGTACAATGAAGATACTATAGCATCATGTACGTATATCATCTATGACGATAGTATCACCTATGATATAGTAAACAATAACAATTCAACAAAGACAGTACTATAACATTTCAGTGATGTAAAACCCTACCACATAGACAATCAGTAGTACATAGCATTCACTTCGGCATTAATGATGGCCTGCTCGGCAGCTACAGCGTTGTGAACCTGGGCTTCATGAACAGCGTGTTCGGCTTCGGCCACATGGATGGCATTCACGGCCTGAGCATGATGGATGGCTTGTTCGGCTTCAGCGTGGTGAACGGCGTTCATGACTTGAGCGTGGTGGACAGCGTTCTCGGTTTCGGCGTGAATCAAGGCCTGTTCCGCGGCGATTTCACCGTACAACTGACGTTTGGCTCTGTATACGTGAGGTTCGTAGCCATAGTCATAGAACTCGGGCTCCTCGCGAGGTCCGTAGCCTTCATCGTAGAAGTCGGGGCGGTCTTCTGGTCGGTAGCCTTCTTGGTAGTAGCCAGGTCTGCCTTGGAATTCAGGTTCGAAGCCGGGTCTTCCGCCGAAGCCTCCGTCTTGATGAAGTTCAGCGTTGGCAACCATGTTTTCAGCTTGAGCATGATGAAGTTCGTTCTCAGCCACTTCCTTTTGAAGAACAGCGTTGTTCACCTCAGCATCGTGAGTAAGTTGATGAGCTTCAGCGTTGGCAATAGCTTCTTGTGCACCGTAGCCGTACGCTTGACGCTTTCCTCTGAATCCATGTAGCTCAGCGTTGTAGACATCTTCTTGGGCATGAACCTTGGCTTCAGTTTCATCTAGATGCACCTGATTCAGAACTTCTTGTTGATGAACTTGATTCTGAACTTCGGCTTCATGAAGTTTTGTTTCAGTTTCAGCATGGTTAACTTCAGCTTGTTCTTCAGCGTGTAGCACAGCTTCTTGACCATAGAGTCCGCCGTAGACTTGGCGCTTGCCTCTGAATCCATGATGACCAACATCGTGATGAAGTTCAGCACCAGAAACAGCATTTTCAGCTTGAGCATGATGAAGTTCGTTTTCAGTAGCCTCTTTTTGCACGATATCGCCGTTGACTTCAGCATCGTGATCAAGATGTTCGGCTTCAGCGTGAGCAATGGCTTCTTGTGCGGCTACTTGACGTTTTCCTCTGAATTCATGAAGTTCAGCGTTGTCAACAGCTTCTCGAGCATGAATCTTGGCTTTAGTTTCATCTAGATGCACTTGATTCTGAAGTTCCGTTTCATGAAGTTTCGCTTCAGCTTGGTTAACTTGAGCTTGTTCTTCAGCATGTATCACCGCTTCTTGACCATAGACACTACGTCTGTTTCTGTAGTGATGAAGTTCAGCATTCACGAGAGCTTCTTCGGCATGAAGTTTAGCTTCGGCTTCCTCAACATGAATCTGGTTCTTGATTTCAGCTTGATGAAGAGCATTCTCAGCTTCAGCGTGATTCAAAGCAGCTTGAGCTTCGGCATGCAACACCGCTTCTTCAGCGTAAACTCCACCGTAGACTTGACGTTTTCCTCTGAATCCATGTAGCTCGGCGTTGTAGACAGCTTCTTGGGCATTAACCTTGGCTTCAGTCTCATCTAGATGCACTTGGTTCTGAACTTCCTCTTGGTGAACTTGATTCTGAACCTCGGCTTCATGAAGTTTTGTTTCAGCTTCAGCGTGGTTCACGGCAGCTTGCTCTCCAGCGTGTAGTACAGCTTCTTGGCCATATACTCCACCGTAGACTTGACGTTTTCCTCTGAATCCGTGGCCAGCGTGATGAAGTTTAGCATCAGAAACCAGATTCTCAGCTTGAGCATGATGAAGTTCGTTCTCAGCCACTTCCTTCTGAACAATCGCGTTGTTTACCTGAGCTTCGTGAACGGTGTGTTCGGCTTCGGCATGCGCAATGGCGCCTTGAGCTACAGCTCCAGCGTATCCACGTTGTCTGTAGCCATGAAGTTCGGCATCAGCAAGTTCTTTCTCAGCTTCGGCGTGATGAAGTTCCTTTTCGGCTTGGACTTGATGAATAGCACCTTGGGTCTCCTGAGCGTGATGAAGAACGTGTTCAGCTTCGGCATGGTGAACATCATTGGCAACTTCAGCATGGTGAATAGCCTCTTCTTCTGCGACTTGTCCCAAAAGCTGTCGATTGGCACGAAGTTGAGCTGTGGCCGTCAAGCATAATATGCTTAATATGAGCACGATGGAACGTGACATTGTCAATGTGACTGAACCTGAAAAGACAAAATCAGGCTTGAATAACCTAAACAAAAGCATAACCAATAAAAAATTACCAAACTCGAAAATAAACTCACTAAAACTGTACAATTGAAGTTGATCCTCGAGTCAGTAGATTATATTGATGTAGATAAGAACAGGTTAACAAAGTTGATCGTACTGGAGCTGCTGAGCAGTAAAAGGTAGTGTTAGACACTAGGTTGTCGAATGAAAAGGTCTGAAAACATCAAAAAATAAGTAAAGCAAGGTAAAAAGTTAAACGCGCCATTCTTTACGAATCAAAACGAACCTAAAGCCAAAAAACAAAATCCTAGCCCACCAAACATTTTACTAGATTTCAAAAGCAAGAACGGCACGTGCACAACTTGATCTAACTCAAAACGCACTGTTCTTATCGCCTGAAGCTAAAAAAACGAAAATACATGTGAAAGCCAACAAAATTAATCAAAACCCCCAATAAACATGAACAAAGGAAAAGCAACAAAAAACATAGAACAAAACCAGTTTCATCTATAAACCACAAATAAACCCTAAAATGCCCAAGACAATATCCGAAACAATATTATCTGAAGAACTCTAGAAGAAACCTGCTAGAAGAGACAAAACAGAATCAAAATGAAGTCGAATTGATGAGATCTGATGGCATATAGCCTGAGGAGACTTCTCACAAAAGGAAAGTCCAAAAAACGCCTTGATTTTCTGAAATTTCGTCAAATTTCCGAAAAATTCAAGAATTTTCTAGAAAATGCGTCATTATTTGTCTAGAAAATAAGTCATAATGACGAGTTTTGTTTAAAATACGAAAAAAAGCCAAAGTAGTTATTAAAAAATGATTTTTAGCTTAAAATTTTAATAAATCAGACGTTGATTAAAATCAACTTCCATCATTATATTGTCATAGACGTTTTTGATGTTAGATCCTACTGTAACTTTAATTTAACGTTGAAACATGCATTTGTAATAACAAAATGACGTATGTCATGACGGTGGTATTAAAAATTACCATTTATAAAAAATAAATTTATTCAAATCACGTAGATGAGACCCGAAAACATCGAAAAACTCTCGACCATCGCTCTTAGAGATGATTGTTTTCATCACATTTTGTTATGAATAATATATGGGGTGTGTACTTGGATGCATAATATAATTGTTTGATTACGTACTATGGTTTTTGGGGTTTTGATACCTAAACTTGGCTTTTTGTTTCATTAAACGGCCAAAGCAAAAGTTTTGTCGATTTTTATCGTTCAGACCCATCCAGATTGACGACAAAACTTTTTTTCTACCTTAATATAACCAAAAATTCAATAATATCATACTATATTTCAGTTTTTATGGCCGAATTCTTCTCTTCAACAACGCAACGACTCAGAGATATCAAAAGTCTACAACAAGGAGATACCCAAATGACAGAATACATCAAACTGTTAGATCAAATCGACCAATACGCAGATCAACATAGACTAAACAACTATGAAAGGGTAATGTTAGTGCGAATACGACAAGAACTGACTAGTGCCATGTTGGATAATGGCATGGATTACATGCAGAATGTCATGAGACGTATGTAGATCCACATGATGATGTGGATAAACATGATGATAATAGAGCCGAGCTGTTTTTCTGTATATAATAATAAAGTACTTAACTGTAATAGTTATTCGTTACTAAATATTCAGTCAATCCCGAAAAAATCGAAATCAAAAACTACGTTTTGAATTTCCCGCCAAATTGGCATTGTGTTTCAAGCTTATTACTTTACCATTTTTTGACTTTTACTCATTTTTATTTGATATACTAGTAGCGTAGCTTATCTATAGGCGAAAAAAGTGCTTGAAACACAATGCCAAATTTGCCAAGTAGGCGGGAAATTCAAATATTTAAATGTTAAAACTCAGGAACATTCGAATTTTCGGTCGATTTTGGGAAATGCATTCCCAAAAACCAACCATTTTTACCACCCATTTTCTAGCTACCGGTCGGCCGAATGTTGTTGGCATTAGTCCCGATCTTAGTCATGATACAGATTGAAGTTCTAGTCATATGCAAGCGAAATAAGCGCAACCAACAAGCCGTGGATCGACCAGGCGGCGCGTGGAACAAAAAATTCGACCGGACTGGTGCACCGACCAAGCAAGTGGTAGCAGGACTGCCGAACACCGAGCCTAGTGAGCGAATTTCCATGCACGGTAGTTGTCTGGATGATGCGTCGTCGGCGGCCAACTTCTTGAAGTCGGGCATTGGAGCTGGACGTGCCGCGGAATCCCAGAAGAAACGGGTGGCATCGAAGGATAAGGTGGAACAGACGCCAGGTGCGTCGTCGGAACTGGTTGAAGACAAAACCATGGCTTCTACTACTTTAAAGGCTGTAAGTTTGGGTTAAATTTGCATGGCGAGTTAAAGCAAGGGTAGGATAGGTTAAGTTAGTGTAGGGTAGGGTAAAGTAAGGTAGGGTAGAACAGGGATAGAAACCTAAAATTTTTTTTCTAAATTGATTTTGAAAAAACAACAGAATTTTCAAAAAAAATTTAATTTTTAAGTTTTACTAAATAAGATTGTTAAGATTGGACCATCGCATGTTGACTACTATAACATAAGTTCAAAGTTTTCGAAAAAATAGAAAAATGTTTAAATTTTTTCGTTTAAAAAATAATTTTGAATTCCAGAAGGACCCATCGCACGATGTCATACTCGAGCCCACCCAAATGTCATCGAAGAAAAAGCGAAAGAACGACGACGGGGGGTCCTGCGACAATCTGATACAGGACACACAGTCATCTTATGCACCATGAACTGACTATATTTTTGATTTTTATAAATTTTTTTCATTATTTTTAACTTTCGGCATAATTTGATTGAAAAACTTGATTAATCAGTTAATATTGCCTACAATACCAGTTTGTTACCTAAAATCCCATTTTACTACTTAAAGTATCATTTTATTACCTAAAATGCCATGGTAAAACCTAAAATACAGTTTTATTACCTAAAATACCATTTTATTACCTAAAATAGTAGTTTATCACTTAAAATACCATTTTATTACCTAAAATACCGTCTTATTACCTAAAACACATCATAGTCCCTCAAAATTACACTAAAAAGCAATATGAACAATATAAACCATAGTAAGTCAATCAACAAAAACCCAAATATCGTCAAAAAATCCTTTAGTAAGTCAATATGAGCCAAATATTTAAAGAAATAAAGTTAGTAAATACAATAATCACACGTCCTGTTTAACGTCGATTAGGACTTGACGCATCTTCAACTCGACCTTGTGTTTGTCCGATTGATATGTGGTTGATAATGAGCTGATGTTTTCGGTGCTCAAATTGTTGATCAGGTCGTTTAGAGGGTCTTGGCCGGTGTGTATGTGTCGGTTTTCTCCAAACAACCTAAAATAAATTGAGTTTTACGTTATTTTTAAATTTTTCTGGATTTTAGAAAGGTTTTTGGTTACTTTAAAGCCTTTTCTTATGCCAATATTAAAGATTTCATACTATGAAATTCAAAATATGATAATATAAAAGTCACAAATAGCCTTGTCGTTAAGTCAGAAAAGCTTTGAACGTTAAAAACGACAAAAACTTCCTTTAGATCATAAGGTATACAATTTTTAGCCCTAGCCCTGACCCTGGGTTTAGCTCTAGCCTCAAGTTAAGCTCCAGCGCTAGATTCAGCTCTAGCTCTGGCTTTAGGTTCTAGCTCTAGACTTATTCCTAGTCCTAGCTTTAGATTCAGCTCTAGCCCTGGATTTTAAATTCAGATCTAAAAATAGCTCCAGTCCTAGGTTCAACTCTAGCCCTAGCTCTTGCCTTTGCCCTAGATTCAGCTCTAGACCTAGACTCGTCCGCAGCCTTGGTACTAGATTTAGATTTAACTCTAGCCTTGGACCTAGATTCAGCTCTAGCCAAATCTAAAGTACTAACTAATGTTTGAAAAACAATTCAAAAATGTACTATAATATAATCAACAAAATTTGATTTTTAGCCAACAAAACCTAAAGTCAAGTATTAAAAATTCATAACCGTACCAATTCCCCAAGTCCCTCAGCTTTTCGTCCTTCTCCTCTCGTTTTATAATCCATTTCTTTAAACTTTTCAAAGTTTTGAGCATTGATTCTACCGCTTTTTCAAATTCAACTTCATTGCGAGCGAAGGCATTGGCATGGCCAATGAAATACCAAATCTTCTGGATTACAGTTCGATTGCCATCGTTCGTACATGAGTCTAACCTCATTCGGTCCACGTATTTCTGTTGGCATTTGGCAAAGTCGTGAATGTGCTTGATCTGAAGGTATAAAAGATTAAGGTTAATATTACAGGTATTGTTAATAATTCGTAGTTTAAATTAGTACACTATGAATGATATCAGGCTTGTATATAGCGCCAAACAGATGATTCTAATCAAAAATAACAAAAAAAATTTAAAAAAGATGTTTTTCAGGAATCAATCTGAGGCCAAACTAGACCTGAAACAGAGCCAAATAGGCCCCGCCCTAAGATGGAATGGAAGACAAGACCATAAAACCCCCTTACCTTTCGTATCCTCCTGACCAGTTCATCAGTCTCTCTTTTGACAACATGTTCAAATACGTAGTCATAAAAGTTCTCCAGAAACTTGATGACAAACACTAGTAAGGTCAATTGATCTTGATTCGCATTAATTCGTTCTTTGAAGGCTGATGCTGTTCTGTCTTCACAAATCGGGAATCTGCTCTTGTTTGACTTTAGTAACGGGGCTGGGCGACTGTTCCAGTGGTAGGACAACTTTTTCCTGAAAAAAAAGATTTTTATAGGTTTTTACTAAATCTATAATTTTACTAACTTTTTAGGTATTATTACGTTGTTCAAATATAAAGGAGCCTTTCAAAGCAAGCGACTTTGATTTTTTAAAGTAATATACTCAGTAAATCGTATCATTACTTAAGTCAAAACATTTTTAAAACTACAGTAGTTAGTATTGACTCTTTGTTACCCATACATCAAAGCCTGGCAATTGAAGACAAGAAACGACAATTTTTAACCCCTCCCAACACTTTTTCAAAAAAAACCGCCCCCCCCCCTTCTCCTCCTGTAAAAAATATTTTTTCAAAAAACAGTACCCCCCCCTTCACCACCAAAAGTCGCTCAAAAACCTCACCTCACTAACACAAAAATGCATCGTTTAATAGCATGTGATAACCTGAACAGTCCTCTGTATATCTCAATGACTGGTGCTGGGAAAACCATGCCAAAGTCTTTATGGGTATGGTAATCCAGCTCCATCTCCACAATTCTTTGTTGTTGTACATCATTCGAAGGGGGATGCCAAAAGTCATGAACAGAATGTACTGGGATAATTAGTGAGAAGTTTTTGAGGAAGTCATTGTTGTGCCCCGAACTGAATATGGCTTCTTTGAATATGGCTTTCAGGTCACTCTGGCCAAGTTTTCCTGTTGGTATTGTCATACATTGGAGGGTTTCCTCGTTTTCCGTGAGTTTTATGAACTCGTCTATCCAGTTGTTGTTTACGCCCCAGAAATACGATGGTAGGACTCTGAAAGTAAACTAGTAGTATGCTTAAGAATGTAAAATACGCTTTTCAAATCTTTTTAAAATAAGAAAAATTCGTCTTATTTAGTCACCGCTGAGCGCAAACAGTCCAACTTACTCTTTCCCATATCCTGTCAGGTTTTCCCTTGCTTTTCCTTACCTTACCTTACAATTAGCTTACCCAAGCCTTAAAGTAGCTCATCCTAGCCTTATGCAAGGCTTATCCAGGCCTTTCTCTAGCTTATCCATGAATTACCGTTGCTTATACTAGCCTTATGCAAGCCTTATCCAAGGCTTATACCAGCCTTAACCCAGCTCTTCTTAGCCTTATTCTATCCTGTCCAAGCTTTAAGCGACCTTTTCTTTACCTTACCCAAACCTTATCCTTCTTTAGGAGCCTAGACTCATGAGCAAGCTTCATTATTACTGAAAAAGTAATTGCCAACTTACTCCACCAAATCCCATAATTTAAATCGTTGATTGGCCAATTTTAGCAATGACAAACCTTCGTTAACGTATGTATCTTCGACCAGTTCCACTATATTTGTATTTTCTTTTCGAACTTCCTTGTCACTCACTAAAATAACACAAAAATTACATTTTTATACCTAAATATATATGTTTTTCATTTCCAAATTTATTAATATAACACCCTACCATTATAATACAACTCCTTGTAGTACTTGTACTTTCCAATAGCTATGATCTTCTTCAACATAGACTTGTATTTCTCTGGACATAAGCTTTCTACTACTGCGAATCGTCTAGAGAATACTTCAGACGACGTGGAATTGTGGCCGAGTTCTTGGATGTTCACTGATGATAGGTAGGGCCTAAAACAATAATAAAGTTCACTTGAATGTGAATGCTATTATATTTTTACAAACAACAAAACAAACTTAAGACACAGTTTTTAAAAATAGATTTTGATACCTAAAAATTCAAAATTTAGAATAAGTTCAATCAAAATCTAAAAATACTCACGGATTCTCAGCGTCTAACACAATATTCTCCTTCTTTAAACTCCTTCTACACATGTCCCAGATAAAAAACTCGTAGAAAGCATCCGAATCTACCTTGCTGTCATGAATCCAGTCGTATAGGAAATCATTCATCAGATTCTCACAATCGTTAAACGAATTTTGTACAATTTCATCATAGAAATTGGCTGATCCAATTAGAGTTTCATGTTTCGATAGTAATAAATCGTAGAATTGGCCTCCAATATAATTGCCCTGAAGATATATGGATTAGTATAACATATTTTTATCAAGTAAAAACCATAAGAAAGTTTAAAATAACGTCAGTAAAAGCTAAAAACAGTTTCAACGCTTTTAAGTAACAAACACAACTTACATCAATAACCTCTTGTATCAAGCTCAACAACATCTTCAATGGCACTTCAAATTCCTGACACATTCTAATTAGCACATTTATACTATAATGTTGCCCGTTATTTGTAAATAAAGCCAAATGCCTTCGGATTCCTGACCTCAAGAAGCAATCAACGTGTTCAACAAATGATAACACAAACTTTCCAGCCAAATCTGTGTTCTTTTGTAAGTCTAAAACAATTTTTAATTTAAGGAAGAAAAACTATTCGTATTTTACAATTATAGTTAATTTTAATTGCTTTATACGAAAAAATCAAAATTTATGCTATTCATTCGCCTAAAATACGTTTTGCCATTGTTTGATACCAAAACTGTCCCAATTTGCAAACCCACACAAAAAATTGAACAACACCGATCGAACAAGACCAAACTTAGTTCGATCCAATGACCTATTTTCATATCTTTTCGTTCTAGCTCAACATATAACCTAAAATTCAAGAAAAAAGCAAAGGCCTTACCATAAACACATTTATGAAGCTCAGTGAACATGTTAACAACATTCAAAGCAACAAGTAGATGTTCTTTTATTGAATTCTTGTAACTATGCTTCAATTCCCACTGATACGTAGCCTCTCCCGTTTCTTCATCTTGACCATGTTGACATTTAAAAGTTACAGTTGATTGACCCTAAAATAACTATATAAGTTAAATTAATTAATACAAAACTAAACTTCTTTACTCTTTCAAAACACCAAAAACTATATACATGCCTAAAAATTAGTATTAGGCCAATATATTACCTGAACTGCTTGAACAAAGTCGAAGCACGTTCGTTGTTCCAGTTCCTCTTTGTTAAATTCCTTGACTTGGTAAACTTCCTAAACTCAAAAAATTAACAAACCAGTTTAAAAACATACCTTAGAATGCACTTTATTCATCCCTATTGAGAACTGTTTGTTATTTACATTTTTTCCATAAACTTCTTCAACTGAAACTTTAACAGTTAACATTGATAAAAAGCTTTTGAAAAACGTTCTTAAAAGTTATCTTACCCCTAAACCTGTTCTTTAAAAAGCGTAAAACTTACTGAGTAACCTCCTGCACGTTTTCCAGTCCTCTCCGACGTAGGTCATGGTGTTTGACACCTAAAAATATAAATTAAAACAATGTAAACCTTTATATAACTACTCTGATAACAAACTTTTATGTAACAACTTGAACAAAATAATAAGATGTTGAAAAATGAATATATATCTATATATACGTTGATCTTTCCAAAAAACAGTTGCTATAACAACAAAATAAAAAAAACATTTTGAGATTTTTTTTCGCGCGAAACGCGCCGATAAATCAATATGTTGAGTGGCTCTTCGTCGAAAAGCCTGTGTTTCTGGCTTTTTCGCGGTCGTTTTTAATATTTGATAAGTTACTTGTGTGACGAACAATATCGTACATTTGTCGTGTTATAAAGTAATTTAGTATTATTTATTTAATTTTAATTAATTTATATCACTTTAGAAGATGACCCAGTTTCTTCCCGACAATTTGTTAGCGCTGTTTGCTGCACGGCCTCCACTGGAGTACAAACCTCCTCCAGACCCGCTGGTCGTCGATAGACATCGTCCACAAATTCTGGTATGTTTTTTTTTACTTTATATATTATTTTTTATGTTATGTTTGTAGTAGACATTGATAACATTTAAATTTAGGGTCTCTCTCAATATGTTAGCTTATTCGAAGATCCTGAAGACACACCAGCTAAACCTGTGGTTCAAACAAAGGCCGAGAAAAGGGAAGAACGACGGAAAGAGAAGCAGGAACTGTTGGCTTATAAAATTGAACAAGGAATAGCTATGTGTAAGTTAATTTTGAATTTTTCTTGGTTTTTAGGTAATATTGAAAAAGACGTTTATTGCTAATAGTTAAGAAAGGGTTTGAGCATATTTAATCTTTTTTTTCACTTTGAATTTTTTTTTACAACTTTTCAACTGAGAATATATTATAGTAACATTCTTTTCAGGGGCACCTGCAGAGAACTCAGAAGCGACAGAAGATCCCTACAAGACATTGTTTGTAGCGAGAATATCATACGAGACATCTGAATCGAAATTAAAGCGAGAGTTTGAGAGGTTTGGGCCTATAAAAAAAATTGTTTTGGTTCATGATAAGGATGGTAAACCACGTGGTTATGCGTTTATTGAATATGAACACAAAACCGATATGTCTGGTAAGTAATTTTGTTTTTATTGGTGTTTAGGAGATGGAGGTAGAGATTATGAAGATGGGAATTGAAATTTAACTATCTTATAGGTTCTTAGGGTGTTATAGTAGTTTAGGTAATGGTTGAGCTATAAGATTTTGGTTTAGCGATAGAAATTGAAGCTTAGACAACTTGAAGTTAATGTTTATACGATGAGTAAGATCTGTTTACTAAGTTAAATGTAAATTAGTGTATAGAAATAAGGTGGTTTAAGTGCTGCAACAAAAAGCATATTGTAGTAGGCAACAAAGTTAATTTTTGTAGTTTTTTTAATTTTTTATAAAACTTTTACTATAAGATACTTGAAGAAGATGAACTAGGAATAGACTTACTCTTTTGCACAAGTACATCCGGTTATTTTTAGCCGAGAAATTGGCTTGATTCAGTCCGCACATTATCTGGCATAGGTTTGTTTTGACAAGGTAAAATAATATAAACGTTTTTAGGATAGGTAAGATAACTTTTTCGATCTAAAAGTGCATGTTTAAGACAAAATTTGATAGTGTAAGAAGGAGCGATACTTTTGTGAGGGTAAGTTTCCAACCAATCAGGTAAGGAAGCAAACCAAATTGGTGGAAAACAGGTAATTTTTGGAAATATTGTTGAGTTCAAGATATTTTACAGCTCTTTATGAATCAAAAACGGCAAGGTAAAGGTAGTAAATTTAAAGAAGTTGCTGTAAAAGGCTTTATGAAGCTTCTAAAGGTTAACTTTTTTGATAAAACAACATGATTTTGCTCTAAAATGGTGCGTTTTTTAAAGGTTTATATTATAAAATCGTTCTGAAAATTTGTTTTGAAGTCTTAAAAGATGCAAACTGACGGTAAAAAGTTCAAGAACGCTGTAATCTCGTAAGTGAGACAAAGCCTAAAGGTAAAGGTCAAGTGTAACATCAGCAATAAAGACCCGGAGCAATTGTCCCCACTTTTCAGCTGCTTACAAAAAAGCCGACGGTATGAAAATCGACGGCCGACGAATCATTGTCGATTACGAGCGCGGCCGAACCCAAAAGACCTGGTTGCCGCGACGATTGGGTGGAGGTAAAGGTGATTCGAGAAAGACCAGGGAGAAGCGGGCAGGTAGTATTGATGAAAGAGTTCGCTACGACGAAAGTCGACACTCCAGGGATCGGGATCACGGTCGATCCGGGTCGAGACATCGTTCCAGATCGAGAGATCGTGAAAGAGACAGACACAGCGATCGGAATGGCAGGGATCGGCATGGACGAGATGACAGAAGGGACAGGTCGGTTTATATTTTATTATAGTGGGATTTGGTTATAAAATAGTTTATATCAAGGTATATTTATGAATTATATTGTAGTAGGTTTTATATAAAAATTATTTTAACTGTATTATTGATTATCTTCAGAGATCGTCGCTACTAATGTGATAATAACTTGAGTATACGCCTGCCTGTTAGTGCTTGGATTACTGCGTAAGTAATGGTTGTTAAAAGCGCAAGATAACCTTTTTTACATTAAGTTATGTTAAGATTTGGTCTCTTAATAAATATTCTTTAATTTGAACTTGGATTTTAACTTTTTGGATCCATTACTCCTACTAGGCCTACTTTAGTGATTTTGTCTAAAAAAAGCTGTAAAAAGTGATTTATGGTCCAAAAGTTTATGGAGGTTGCCAAATTTCAAAAATTTTTATTTTTTGAAAAATTTGTGGTTTTGTAAAATACGGACTGTGGGTTACTTATGAGTAAGTAAAAAAGTTAGATTTTGGTGCCAGGTTCTTTCTTCACATCACAACTGGGTTTATTCTTTGTCAACAAGTCTTTTATCGTGTTGGGAACAACCTTCCATTCAACGGCTCCAATCAGGTTACTACCATCAACATTAAAGAATAAACAAGAAACGGCACGAAGCTCGAATCCGTTTGCTATCGTCCCTGAAAGCTTGGTTATAGTTCTTGTGGCCTACTCTGTAAGTTTATAAGGTTTTTATGCCATTTTTTACCTAAATTTTGGCTTAAAATTTGGAAAAATCGTTTTTTGAAACAAAAATTTTCATTTTTAAAGGTTTTAAATGCCTACGGGAAATTTTTGATTTTTTTTTCGCTAAGAACGAATAAAAGTAAGCTAATTGATAACAAAACCTACCAGCGATTAGATATTCTTCTCCAACCTTCAGTGCTGATATTCCACAAGAGCCAGAGAAGGCGGGTGATATGAATTCTGTCGATAAATCGTTTTCTGGCTTCTGAAATTTAAGTTTTCACAAAATTAAAAAAAAACGTTTTCTTATGTTCAAAGCTCGGATTTAAAGGCAAAAATTGATTCTATGTAAACTATTCGTAAGATACCTTAAAAACTTCGATATGTTCTGCTGTGTAGATGGTTGTCAGACGGTCGTGACTGCTCTTCTTGTCAGTGACTTTTAGGTGTGATACTAAAATGATCAATTAGAGCGTTAGGATTTTCACTTTTTTTAAAGTTAAGTAGCACCTTTCAATTGGTTATACTTGGAAAATGAGTTAATGGTAATATCAAAACTGGAAAGCTTGTTATATTTAGTATTATATACTATATTATCACATAATATACTAACGTATTTTGTAAGATATTAGAAATTCTAAAAAATGTTAAAACTCACTCCACTTGGCTTCACAGTAGGTGTCTTCATTGTCTGTTGGCTTGCATTTACAGCTCTGAGCTGTGCTTATACAAACATAGGTATAGAAAAGGATAATCAGGGCTTGTAACTTCATCTATAAAAGGTTTTTGATTAAAAATTGGCTTGTAAAACATTTTTTAGGCAAATTTATTTTCAAATTCACAATTTCAAGATAAGAAAAACCATATTTTTGAAAAAAAAATCAAAAGTAGTGGTATGTTATGTTATACTTATCATCCTAGGTTGTTCGAAAAATTCTAGGCCTTCTTATCCTAAAAATTTGCTGTGAGAAAAGCACAGAATTATTTGAACAGCCTCAAAATAGCAAAAAAAGTGTATCTAAACCTCCAGTTTTTAAAGTTTTGAAAAATATTAACCTTCACACTAGAGTGAAACAATAAGTAATGTAACAAATGACATAGAAGGCCTAAAATGACTATAACATAAATAAGTAATAAAGACAAAATATTCTTTAAAATGACCTTTTTCAGTACCTAATAACTCTTTTTGACAATGTTTTTTAACTATAACGACAGCAATAAAAATAAAACTTTATAGCCGACTTAACAATACGAGAACAGTGAACCCGATTACATAGTAAATCCACTTGGTTTTTGTCTTACCCATTCGTTTTCATATATTTTTGTTAAAAAAAGCTACGTCAATTTGCTTTATTCAAGGTTATTGTTTCCGTTTGATTAGGTTTACAAGCCTACAGCTGTAAAGTCTAACATATTTTTGGATTACAAAGTGTTTTTACTATATAAATACTTTTAACTGTATTTTTACTACGTACTAGAAAAATATGTTCAATATGTTATTCCTTGTACTATACCTCAACAAAAGAAAGTGCGAAAGTTCTGAAAAAAGTCTTGTCGCATTTTAACCTTCAAGTGCATGTTAATTGACGACAAAACTTTCTTGAGCACGTTTATATTAATCCTAATGCTAAAAATGTAAAATACGTGCTTGATCAACAATTCGATACTTAAAAAAACATACAGCTTCTTCTTATTATGAAAACAACCCTTTTAAGATGTTAATATCAAAGCCATAAAAACAAAACGATATATGGCATCTATAAGATGACTTATTAAGTGGCAGTCTAGTTTACTGTATGTAAAAAGTAAAGTTATAGGTAACATAATATAATAATACACATACAGTGTAAATTCTGTATAACGAATCGTCCGGGGATTGAAAAGTTGCTGGTTATACACAGGGCCGGGCGCTGGTTATACAAGAGTTTGTTATACACGCGTTCCACAATAATGTATTAATACACGTAAGAAATTGATGTCTAACGCACCACAAAGTTAATTTTTAAAAGTTTAAGGAACAGTTTTGTTATAATACTGAGAGTTTTGAAATGAGATTAGAGTGAGCGGAAAAGCAAATAAATTGCTTGTGATCTTCTTGACAAACCGGGATTAGTCATATTAAAGTTGTCTAGAGAGGGACGTATTAATGATCAAATATCATTTTGTGATTTTTTATTTAATCTTCACTAGTAAAATGGGGGTAGAGGCAGTGTATAATGGGGAGGGGTAGTACAATGAAGAAGGGCATAATGAAGAAAAAATAAATGTAAAATGGGGAAGTATAGTCGAGGTAAGAAGTTGAGAAGAATTGGAGATGAACATCAGTCCAAATTGATTTTTAGGTAACAAATAAATATTTTATTAAAAAATTTTCAATTTGTACAACAAATACATGATACTACGAAGAAAAACATAAATAATTAAAAAAAGCTACAGTAACCTTTAACTAAATGGCTGGGACCATCTTTGGCAGGTTATTGTAGCGGCATAATGACATTTACCAAGCTGTCAGGAAGTCATTATGACTTTTTACGACTCAACCAACTAAAATTTTAAAATTATTGTTAAAATGACACGTAAAGATTATAAAATTTAAAAAAAGTTATGTTTAACGTACCCAAAAATTTATTTTTTACCCTACCCTACACTACCCTACTCTACCTCACCCATCTCTGCTCTTTCACAGCCCTATCTTACCCTACCCTACTATAAAGTAAGTAACAAGATTTTTAAAATAATTAACTAAACACCTTGCAAACCCTTTTAAAAATCGACAATTCCACTTACCCTTAGCCCATCTGGTTGAATGTTAGTACCAATCTTCTCATGCTCATACGCAGTACAATTAAAAGTGTCACTATCAAACTTATCGCCCATCATTTCACTATCAGACCTAAACCTAATCGTCGGCAGTTTCCAGTAGTAATTCTCCTTAACATAATGTAATCCTCGTTGATGATAGGTGCGGTTGAATAGCATCTCATGCCAACAAGAAATGGCACTAAAGTCCTTCTCTGGCATCATTTTGTTAGCGAAGAAGAATGGTGAATCCGCGAGTTTTGGGACCAGGTCCTCTAAGCCAAATACACATAAACCGTGACGAAAGAGTTTACTTTCACATAAAGTGGCATTTCGTTGCCAAATGTTGTATCTAAAGAGTCAAAATTCAAAATTTTAAAATTTTGATATTTTTTTGAAATTTTTAAAAATTTACTGTAAGAATTAAACAAAAAAATAGTTTTGTCGTTTTTAACCTATTTTTACATTAATTATGTTTTGGCACATTTAAATTTTTAAAAACAACTGTTTCAAGCTGCGCCCGCGAGTCCGCCGGCTGCAGAACTGCCTTTTCTCAATTTTTCTTGTTTTTGAGCTCTAAAACAACAAACCAAACAATAATATAATTAAAAGTGGCATTGTTAACATCGCTTTCAAATCAAAAAATATCGTACCTAGTAATTCCAGTAGTAGTACCATTATTTTTAGTACATTTGCTCGTAAACCCTCCAGGCAGTGCAATATTGTCGTTGTTGTTGATCGTGCTGAACAGATATTCATCTTTGCTCTTTGGATATAAAGAGAAATAGGCTATCGTAACGTCTAGGAAGAGTTCTTCTAGTATAAAGTCAACCGCTGCCTTTGATAAGGTCGATTGAACGAAGCCACGTGTTGGTACTAGCTTTGGCTCGAAATTATTTTGAACTTGACGGTTTCTGGCGACTGGAAATTGAAAAATGTCAAATGATATTGTGGAATAGGCGTAGTTTTTTAATTTTGTTCAATTTTCACAATTTCAAAAAATTTTTTTTTAATTTTGAAAAAAAAATTTTTTTTAAATGTTGCAATTTAAGATGAACATTGTTACAAGCCGGGCAAAAAGCCATAACTTACTATTCTTAAAGACCCTCATCGACTCAAAGTCCCATTTGATTTTTGGAGTTGGCCTAGTAGGAACCGTAGTGACATCATTTGTACCATGGAAGGTGGTCAAGATGTGTACCATCTCTTCATTTGTATGTAACGCTACATCGTGGTTCTAAAAATAAAATTTTTTTAAAAAATGGTTCCAAAGTTTTATATTTACTTTGAATTGTAATTTTTTTTGTTACCTATTTTCAAAAATTTTTTGATTTTTTATTTTTTTTCAAAACTATTAGGTTGTTCAAATAATTCTGAGCCCCGTAACACCAAAAATTAGCTTTGCAAAAAAGCACAAAATTATTTGAACAACAACTTTAACACCTTACCTGTAACAAAAACAAGTACTTATAAGGCTTTTGAGTCTCTCTCAAGACCTTCATGCATTCAATGTGGTACAAGTTTGTGTTATGCCCTTTACTATCCATCGTATATCGGTACTCGGTCAAGAAGACATTGTTAAAGCATTGAGACAAGTTTCTCATTCTAAGCTGGAACAACGCATCAGATTTGCCATCAATTCCGAAACAATACAGGTTTTGAGGAGCATAAGTGGTTGAGAGCTCCATTTCTATGAAACGGTAGTCCTGAAAATTTTAATGTTAATTTTTTACTCTAGGTCAATTTGTATTTTACTTTAAAATTGACATTTTAAAATATTTTGTGTTATGTTTTATATATTTTAACCTCTGACTACAAAAACACTGTAAACCAGCATTTTTATGTTTACTGTAGTAAATCTTTTTTTCAAGTGGTTTTAGAAGTTGAACAAGTTGATAAGCTAAAATGAAAAGTTAATGTAAAATATAATTCAATTATAAATAAGTTTTAGATATCAAAAAACTAATATACATTCAAAAATGGCCAAAATGTCTAAAAATCCCGGAAGAATTGGGTTTAACAAAAGAAAATTAGATAATTCGTCATGTTACAGTAACCCAATTAAAGACTTAAATTACAAAAATGATATTATTGTTATTAGTGAATATGTATCAAGTTTTATAGTTCTACTTTGTTCTGAACTAGTGCTATGATAAAAAAAACTTTTAAAATTAAAAAAAAACAAGAATTAGCTGGAAAAACCCATGTTGGTTGGCTAATTCTTCATGTTACAGTAACCCAATCAAAAACTTTTAGATTACAAAAATCTTTCTAATATTATTGGTTAAGTATACTTCAAGTTTTATAGTTCTATGTTGTTTTAGACACTTGTTATGACTTGAAACTCTAGAGCTTGTATCTCTCCTTTCCCTTCGACCAAATTAGTGACTCTAGTTTTCGTACTTTGACCAAGCTCGATTATAATGTATCTAGCTTTACAATATCATGGACTATATTGAAGCACAGATTTTCACGCTTATTTCATTTTATAACTTCTAAACCAGACCTTATAAAGACTTTTTAAAACGTTGTCGAACCCTACCTTATAAACATTCCTAGCATAAGCCAAAGGAAAGTCTTCTTCTTCTCGACTCAATGGCTTTGTGTAGAAGTTGTTCCGTAGCCAAATGGATTCACAATCTGTAGCCAAATCTTCTTCAAAGTCAGGATCTTTATAAGTTAGTCTGTACTTCTTCCCAAATGGATGCTTATCAATCTGAGGTTGAAGTAGGTGATCACAAGGAACGTTCTCTGTTTCCATTGGCTTCACAAAGTGTAGCTCATTCAGTTCCTTCAAGACCTGTTGAGTATGAGGATCGATGAAGTTGCCGTCTTTGTCGAGGTGAAGGTCTTCATGACCTTCATGATGTCTATTGTCATGATTGTTCTTGCTGGAGCCAAAGCCTTTCTTGTCGACGAAGGATTTGTGGATTGAAGCATGTTGAGGATGAGGTTTGTGGTGGTCTTTCGATGAATGGTGACTGTTGTGATGGTCTGCTGAGTTGTGATTGGGCGACTTATGTTGCTCATGGTCCTGGCTTTGAGCTTGATAATGTTCGTGAGCTTGACCATGACTTTGTTGATGAGCAGAACTTTGTGAATGCTCATGAGCTTGTGCATGACCTTGCTGATGTTCATGACCTTCTATATGCCCCTGTTGATGCTCATGATTATGGCTACTTTGAGGCACATGGCCATGCTTATGACTTCCTTTCTGGTTTTCTGTATGATGTTGAGTACCATGAGTTTCAGGGTTGTGATGTTCATGACCTTGTTGATGCTGTCCTTCATGTTGATGATGTTCTTGATCAGGCTGATGATGAGATTGACCCTGCTGATGTTGTTGTTCATGACCGTGAGATTGTTGATGATGTTGAGCTTCGTGATGGCTAGCTGTAGTGTGATGATGACTATGATATTGACTTTTACCTGAAAATACTCTATAAGTTTCTAAATTTCTAGAAACAAGTTTTCAGGGTTAGGGTTAGGTAGCACAGAATTATATTAACAATCTAGTACCAAAACGAGTATAACTTACTGCAAACTAGTAACAGTAAAGACAAAAACAAAATAAGTTTTAAAAACATGTTTAGTAGACTATGTCACTTATGTTTCATTGGTCACTCCTTTTATAACGACAAGAACCTTACTACAGCTAACTATAATGTTTGTCCATCTGCAACATGCATAACCGAACTTATTTATGTTAGCTTCCTTGTTTTTTATTTCGTATAGATCATGTTTGAATGGTCTTAATGTAACTTTTTAGCAAAATCTGAGCAGAATTCAAATTTTTAAATACTGCAATTCATTATTAGAATAAAATCAACGTTTGAACTTATTATTGTACTAATAACGTATAACTTGAAGGGTTTAGGTAAAAGAAAATAAAGGTTTTTAAGTTTAAAATAATGTTGCTATTCATTTTAACAAATTTTTTAACAACATGTAAAGAGACGAACTCATAAAGTCATTATGCAATCCTAGTTAACCCTTCTTCGCAAAGATTAAACTATAATCAAAAAGGTAGACTTTGACCTATTGCATATTAAGTTAACTATTCGCGCGCTTAAGCGCGAATCATAAAATCGGTAGACAAGAAACGTTTACAACCATCTACTATAATATACAAAAATTTGTGTGGATTTACAGAACACTATAAATAGCCTTCAAATCTCTTAAGTTCATCAGTTGTTTAACTTGACTATACCCACCACCTTTTCTCCCAGCAACTTCAACCCACTTTCATTAAAAAAGTAAGTTTTGTCATATGGAACTCCTTTATAACCACAACTCTGTATAATATTGAAATATACAGAAGTTCCACTGTGTATGTATTTACTCAAAACCATTTATAAAAGACGGTATTGACATGGCTCTATTCTTAATGCCTTCTTATACGCCCAAGCCTAAGCTCAGACCCGCTTCTAAATACAAAAATTACAAAAATAAAAAAGTTTTATAAATATAATTTCAAGCCTTATATAAAACATTGATTTTCCAATTTTAGTGATCTCAGACGCCGACTTCGATAGAATGAACAGATACTTCGAAGAGAACCCATTGCCTGAAGATAACTGGCAGCGAGGACGTTTGGCACAGGCCGTGCGTAATAATAATCTGGACAGGGAGGAAAGAGAAGAAACCAAGTTCAACAGAAGTAGCGAGAAGAACTAATAAGACTAATGCAACCGTACCTTACTTTGTTGATCTACCATCTTTATAACAACTCTAATTTTATAGCGAAATCAATAAATATTTGAATATAAACAACTTTGATTCTAAACATTAAGCATCTACTTATATATATTATGTGTTTTACTCATCGTCTACAGTAAAAAACTATAATCAGAATAAAAGTCATAAGGCTTATCAACCTCATTTCCTTGACCTTATCCAATACATCAGCCGACTCTTTATTCAAAATTCCATATGAATTGACTGACTTACAGAACTCTTCCCTCCCCCCTTGAGAGGCTGGACCTAGGCCTGCCAAAGGGTGAAGCCAGACCTAAGTTTTAGCTCCTCCAAGCCTTGTTATGTGAAAATTTATTTGGCTCTGTTTAAATTTTGTTGGCCCGGCCCAGCATGGCCCGAATCGAGCCTAGTAGATCCCTTTCTGGTCTAGCCGAACCGGCAGACAAATGTCAGCTTTAGAGCGGGAGCCCAATGCAAAGCCCGACCCCTTTACAGGTCTAATCAGAAAATTGAAATTTTTTTTTCAGTTAAAAATTTCTTTTTCAAAAAATTTTGTTACAAAAAGACTAAAACAAGTTCACCTAGCAACATTCGTTCCTCTTCCAATATATTGTAAATCTCTTTTTTCTTTTTACTTACTCTTTCACTAGATATATCCTTTCATTTTCTAAATTCATTCTTTTAAAAGTGCATTTTACATCTTTTAACTTTATATATTTTATATAACTATGTCTTTATAAGTATTTGTGATAGTTATCATTGTAAATTTCTGTTTTTTAATTTTTATTTGGTACATTAACATCTACGTGAACCATTTACTTTGTCCTACTTCAATGGTATTACCTAAATTTCAAAAAAATTCTATGAGATTAAAGCTATGTTTAAAGTACGGTGTCTTTTACTGATAACATGTTTTATAATGTGTTCTTTATTCGTTATCTTTTACGATGAAACATTAGACATAACAACGATGTTCAACATCCAAGAGCACAATAATATCTTACCAAACGTGCCAAAACATTGCTTATGTGGTGATGAAAACGTAAGTAAGAAGATTTAAAAAAAGAGTAGGTTAGAGTAGAGTAGGATAGGATAGAGTAGGGTAATGTAGGGTACGGTAAGGTAGGATAGGTTAGGGTAAACTTTTATTTCTAAAATTTCAGTTCTGCTACGCTGGTTTTACCATAAACGGTTCTACAGCATACGGAAAACCTTTTTCATGTTCATTATTATCAAGCTTACAAAAGTACAAATTGTTGCAAGCTGATATAGATGCTACGACTGAATTAATAAATAATATGGACGACACTTGGAGCACAGTGTTTGTGGCCGCCGTTTCTGAAAATCACTTTTTTGAATTGAGAAGCTTTGTAGCTAAACTCAGGAAATATTACAAAAAGAGTCGACTTGTGGTATATGATATCGGGTTGAGCAGTAACAGCGTAATTTTTTCGTATTTTATGTTTTGTAAAGAAAGTTCTTGCCATTTTGTGTTTTGTAAAGAAAGTTATTGCTATTTTTTTTGTTACGTAAGTAAACTTGTCGCCATTTTTTAATTTGTGAGGAAAGTTCTTACTCTTTTGACTTTAATAATCTTGACATTTCTAGATATCAGAGATTAAATCATGGTGCTACGTAGAGTACAGGTACTTCAACTTCAGTCATTATCCGGAACATGTCAAACACTTGGCCAATTATTCATTTAAATTAGTCATTGTGGTAAGTATTATCTATAATACCTATATAACACTATAAAGCTAGCTAAAAAATCTAAATCTCCTACCCTGCCCATCCCAGCATTTTTAAAATTTTTCGTTAGACGACCTCAAGAAACAAGTACCTTTACCTATTAAAACATGCCATTCTTTGTGCTTCAACTATAATAAAGACTAAAAAACAAATTCCAGGAAGCTCTCCAATCCCTGAATGCCTTCTTCTACGTTGACACGTCGGTGTCTTTCAAGAAAAACGGCCACAAACATTTAGTGGAATCGGTCAAGTCGAGGCTTCTTCAACCATTCTCTACATTTCCATATACATTTCACAATGTTTACGTCGCTACTCATCCACAAATGTACGAGTATATTCCAACGCCCGAGGTTGCTACAAAAATGACAGAACGAGTGGCTACGGCAATGTTTGTGGTCGATTCACCTTATACTAGGAAGATCATGAAGTGGTAGGAATTTGTACTATTACATACTAAAAGTTAGAGTAGAGTAGTATAGTAAAGGTAAAGTGGAATAAAGTTAAAGTGAGATAACAAATGGCAGGGTAGGGTAAAATAGTAAATTTTAAGAGTATAACTGTAGGATTTATACGGATCACGTTAGGCTATGTTAGAATGTAGGACAAAGCAGAGTAAGGCAAAACAAAGTATTGCATGGCAGAGGTCAGTACCATAGAGTAGGATAATGTAGTTTAGGGTAGAGGAGATTAGGGCAAGGTAGGATAAGGTAGAGTAGGGTAGGGTAGTTTTAGGTAAGGTAGAGTAACATACAATGAGGTGGGACAAGGTAGATTACTCTTCTCACAACACTTACTACTCCCCTTCAGGTGGTACCTCTGCGCCATGACCCCATCATGCATATCACCACCTAATGCCACTCATATCTGTCATACCAGAAGGCTTAGAAAACGACCGAATTCATATGCAAATTGCCATCGTTTTGACCAGTCCTTCTGGAATCTAATGTATCTAAACGATTTATTTGGAAGCTCAAGTTTTGCCATTACCATGGGACTAACTGAACCTTATACTGAACTCAATCGAAGTATTGTCTTTGAAGTTAACCGAGGATTGAAAGCGAAATTAGAAGAAGTTTTTAGAAGAAGCGTTAGAATTCGAAAAGGTGTCAAAATAAAAAAGTCATTTGTTGACAAAAGTTGTTTTTAGCGAATAAAGTTGACCTTATAGTTACTTTTTACTTCAATATATGAACAAAAAATTTATTCATCTACCCTATCTCACATTGAACCACCCTGTCCTACTCTAACTTAATTTACGTTACCCTGGCCTACCCTACTCTACTCGGCTCTACCCTACCCTACCCTACCCTACCCTACCCTACCCTACCCTACCCTACCCTACCCTATCCTACCCTACCCTACCCTACCCTCTCAATAGGAATCGCAAAAAGTTTCTTTTGACTGTCGCAAGTCCCCTGACTCCAGCGACAACCGACCGGTGCGACAATTGGGGGCTTGCACTGTGCATTCATTCAATTATCGTTTGGGGTTGCAAGCGATCGCGGGGGAATCTGCACGGTGGAGTGGAATAAAAGAGCGCGATTTTCTCAGAGACTGCACAGTGCAGAGGGACATTCTTTTCGGGAAAGACTGATATTTTACTATAATATACGATACTTTCAACACTTTACTAACACAATCGACTGTGTAATATAACGTAACTTAATCTACTAGATATGTATCAAAACGTACCATATTCTAGCAGCTATATACTATAATATACCATACTGTAACATAGTACAATACTAACCATGTACTATAACGTATAGTCCCAACAACCAGAAGAACAACAACCTTCCACTCCAAACAACAACATCAATATTCCAGTAACACATACGATTAAGCTCAAAAGTATAGTTACACTTTTACTTCCTACCTCAATCGAGACATTTTCTAAACGCCCAATAAGGCCAATTTAGAAATGGAAACCCTACGGTAACATAACAAGTGCCCCACAGACAGAGAAAACTGACAACGATTCTGGGAAGACATCATGCCATTTTAGGTATTCGATTTTGTCCAAAATCCCTTCCATTCATATTTTGGTGTTGTTACCTTTTTTTCGTTTTACCATGTTTACTACTGTATGTTTAATCAGCTTGACTATTGTGGGGAAAAGTCAGGTAAGGTAATCAAGGTTGTTGTAGTATTGGCATTAGTTTACATTCAGTTGAAAGAATTATCAAAAAATTTCAAAACTTTTCATGGTATAGCAAGGTTGAGTAGGGTAAGGTACAGTAAGATCACATAGAGTACAGTAAGCTAAAGTAAAGTAGGATCGGATAGGATAGTGTAGGAGAAAGTAAGATTGAGTATAGTAGGATATGGTAGGGCAAAACAGGGTGGGGTAGGGTAGTGCAAGGTAGGGTAAAGTAGAATACAGCAACATCAAATTAAAAAAATTTTAAATTTAAAAATCTGTACCAGCCACTCCAGGATGCCCCAACACCAAACATATTGCCAACACTGCCAACTCTACCCACATTACCTCCACTACCAACATTACCCACTCTACCGCCACTCACTTTTGCTACAGTACCTGCAACCACAACTACCGTAACCGTACCTACAATAGGTTTTCCTACATTACCTACATTAGCGCCATTTACTTTTCCTACCTTAGCACCATTACCTACCATGGCTCCGGTGCCTACAGTAGCTGCATTAGTTATACCTACAGTGGCTCCTTTAGCGCCTGCTGTGCCATTAGCACCTTTAAGTTTTGGTAAGGATTTTATGGTATTTCTATTACCAATGGTATAAGCTAGCTTGTATTAACTTACATTGTTTTAGATCCCCCAAGCCTACAAGCCGCCCAAAACCAACCTATTCTAGCTACAATGCCTTCCCTACTATCAGAAACAATCCCTACAGAGCTTTTCATCAAAGAAAATGATGATACCATAGCTACATCAATATCAAATGAATCAAATTTAGCTTCAGAAGCTACTAGAATACAATTTGATGCTTCTCCAAGCCCTGGTTTATCTACAACAGAATATAATCCATACTTAGCAACCTCAAATACCAGCTCTAATATTAACGTCAACACTAATCAAACTGACGATTCCAATATTTATATAAACCCAAACTCAAACCAAAACCTAAATCCCGATGAGAATGACAATCCTTATGCCAATCTAAGCCTACAAAAAGACACTCCAACAGTATCATCGCTATTACAGTCAGTAACACTACCACCGACAGCCCGACCGCCACAACCATGGTTACCTACAGCACTTCAAAAAGCATCACCTGATAAAACTCAGCTGATTAATGGCGTGTATAACATTAAAATTGGCCTAATCTTTGAACAGATGGACGATGATAGTGTTGGGTTTTCAGGATCAGCTGGTGCCATTAGTATAGCGTTGGATCAAGCTAAAGCACAAGGACTGATAAACAATATTAATGTGACGTAAGGGTTGTGATTTGAAAGTTATTTTGGATTATCCATCAGGTACTTCAATCCTTTGTTCCTTGCAGAGACGAAAAATAGACGATGTCTGCCTAGCCTGACTTTACGATCGAGGTGGCATTAAGCTAAAGTTGAAAAGAGACGGGTATAATAGTTGCCAAATTATTTTTCACACCTCCTTACCTCTCCCAGCCCCACTTCAAAAAAAATACCCTGAACAATATTAACAAAACCCAAAAATTTCATCTAAGCCAGCATAAACTAAGGTTTTAAGATTTGAGTGGCAGTTAGACACAGGAAACATATCAAAAGCAACGGGTTTCGCCAACTCAATGATGTATGACAGTCAAGTCCATGCCATTTTTGGGCCAACCAAAATAGACGCCCAAAACGCTGTAGCAGCTTTGGCGTCTTATCAGCAGATACCACACTTCGTATGGGGAAGACCATGCCCATATGCTTTCAAAGAGAACCCAGATCGATATAATTCGACGGCCGCTATGAGTGGTACCACTGCTGGGTAAGATAATATCTTTTAAAACGTAGAATTAAATGAATTTTGTGACCCACCTAACAAATAGGTACCTATAAACATAAAATTATGTTAAACTTACGTTTTGATAAAGCTTTCGGTCAGAAAGCTCTCGTTACAGACAACATTGAGTAGATTTTTAGAAATCACACCTCTTGTTGACTATAACAAGCCCTTCTCTTCTTAAACGAGTACCTATCCTTTCAAAAAAAATGTTCTCATCTTAAAAAGCTTGAGTTCATCATAGGGTAATTGCTTTCAGAAGTATTGTAGCCCTGATTCATGTATGTGCGTTTTACCAATGGAGCAATGTCGCCTTTCTCAACCTTCAAGCCGATACCATCTCTTCCGGCTATTGTGGAGCCATTTCGGACAGTATTGACGTAAGTTTTGATTGAACACATCAAGAAATCGAATAAAACAAGAATGTAAATCGACCTAAAACATTTAAGGACTGAAAGCCACCTAAAATATCAAATAAAAGAAAAGATAGCAAAACATACCTTCTATATTGATAGACTACAAGCCACTGCACAAGTGGAGATCCTGCTACATCTTTCCAAAAACAAGTACAAAAACAAACTAAAACATTTTTCAATCCCAGACTGACTTTTCACGTCTGTACCTAAATTTTTCAGTCTGCAATTCAAAAATACTCTGACAACAAGATCAACTTGGTATTCAAACGAGAACTCTTCGAAAGAACGATTGACAATTATAAAAAGATATTGTTGGACGTCTCTGAAGTTGCCAGAGGTAAGAAATTAGTTTATCGGCAAAAAAATCTTCTTTCTGCGCCCTGTTATCAAAAAAGGTTTGCAGCCTGCGTTTCCTGGAATTTACGATCGAGCTCCTCCAGCTAACTGGAGCTTCAAGATTTGTAATATTAAAAGTATTTTTATATAACTTATGTTAAAGTATCGTTACAAATTGTTCTCAACCGTTTTTCTTATATTTTAGGTTATGTTTAACGCTTTGAACTATGTAATATTATCTAAAAAGCTAAGTTTAACATATTATTTTAGTTATAATACTATGTTTCGACGTGGACACGGAAAAACGGGCTTTTATGTTAGCCGCTAGCGAGAACAACATGATCAACAACGATTACGTCTATATTATGATGCAGAGTGGTGGCACCACCTATAGTAAGTTACCTTTTTTGTTGTTTTAAGTGTTAAACGATTTGAAAAATATTTTTTGGGGGTTTTTATGAAAATATTATATTCTAGTATTGAGATTTAGTTACTACTGAGTTGTGTAAGTCAATATTGTTGTAGATAGTGATGTCATGTGGATTGCAAACGATGGAAGAGACAAAGAAGCCCAGGAAGCGTTTAAATCTACCTTAATTGTAAGTAGTTGATCAAAGCAAGGCTTTATTTGTAATCTTATTGGCCATAAATAGAGCTGGCTATCTTTTTTATATAATTTTAGATTGACAAACCGACCGGTAAAATCTATTCAAATTATACAGACAAAGTGGTCCAGAAGATCAAAGAATTTCCTTGGTTGTGCACCAATTGTACTACTAAAAATGCTTCAACCTTAAGTTACTACTTAGGAGACGCTGTACTTGCTTATCTTACCGCGATCAATCGTACCATCAAGATGTACGAGGACGATCCGAATCTAGTGACTTCAGTACTATACAACTCTTCTATTGTTCTATATCAATTGCCAGAGTATATGAACGGAATTGAGAACGACTTGTCGGTGATCAAGTTTAGTAGGGTCAGGGCTGTCAACTATGCTTTATATGGGTTGGGAAACGATTTAACTCCGAAGCTGTGGGCTGATGTGAGCACGTTGATCAACATATCGAATATTGTGAGTTTGGATAGGATTCGGTCTGAAAGGGTGGCCACTGGGTTTGGGCTAGGCCGACCTGAGTGTCGGAGCCCAAACCAAGACATCAATGGCCTAATCCAACCTCGAGGGGCCTAAATCAAGCCTCTAGAGTCCAAATATTGGTTAAATTTAGCGAATGTTATTGTAGAAAGACTTCACACCAACGTACACAAACCCAGCTACCTCAATATGGGCCACTCGTAAAGGGCATCAGCCTTTGAATGAGCCGGAATGTGGGTATCAAGACAACAAGTGTACTGCACCAACTTGGGCTTACGTACTCGTCGGCGTGGCTTGTAGCTTTTTATTTGTCGCTATATTATTGTTGTTTCTTGGGTGCATCTTTTGGTGAGTTTAAAAGTGTTATTTTACGCTATTAGTAGTACTTCGAAAACGTTGGTTAGGATGTTGTAAGGTACGGAAGAGTAAGGCAGGGTACGGTTGGGTAGCGGAAAGTAAAGTAAGGTAGGGTAGGGTGAAGTAGCGTACGGTAGGTAGGGTAGGGAGGATCAAAAAAAAGTTTTTTTTAAATACAGGGAGGGTATCTTTGGCAATTAAAGAAATATATAAGGAGGGGCTGGCAAGCTTAAAATTCAACCAAACTTGATGATCTTGTTGTAGGTTCCGACGAGTACAACAAAAAAGGCTGAATGCCCTGTGGCAAGTTGACTATCATCAGCTGGAGAAGATGGAAGAAACTGTAAGTTAATACAATTTAAACACATAAATGTTAATAATAAAACAATTAAATTAATTCACCCGTATTTTACAAAGAAAACAACTTTTTTCCCATATATGCATGTTATCGTGATGGGACCAAAAAATTCGAATGTTTTGCTTTTTTTGGCTTTTAAATGCCTAAACATTAACAAAAAGTTAAAAAATTTACGCTTTTTTAAATTTTAAAACATCTAAAATTAAAAAAAAATTCTTTTTCAGTCTAGATCAGGCCGTTCAATGAGCAGTTTCACCATTTCCAACGCCACAATCGACAGTCTAACCCAAACTGACGTTCAATATCGTTACTTTAACCATGAGATCGTGACAATGAAGAAGTTTCCTCCGTTTCGACAGTTTTCGCTTCGAAATGAAGCTGAATTGAGAGAAATGAGACAACTCGACCATCCTCATCTGAATCGATTTTTGGGCCTAACACAACATGGTCCTAGTTGTTACACCATCTTCAGGTACTGCGAGAGAGGTACGGTGGAGAATGTGATCATGGAATATGACGAGAGGATTGATGGGAGGATTATCAGCAGCATGGTGGCTAATATTGTTGAGGTATGGTTTTGGTTGAAGTTTTAGGGGGTTATGGTAGGGTATGGAATGTCGAATGATGGGTTAAGGTAATGTAAGGTAGGGGAGTATAGGGTAGGGTAAAGAAGAGTAAGGTAATGTATGGTAGAGTAGGTAAGGTAAAGTAAGGTACAATTACGTAAATTTTGAACCTTTAGTATAAAGTATTGTTTTAGGGCCTTTACTACCTTCACAACTCGAAATTTGGTGCTTTGGGTTGTTTGAATGCTGAATCATGTCTAGTAGATGATAGATTTCAAGTCAAACTTCAGTATTATGGAATGACTGTGATCAAACAGAACGTTGAGGTCAAGAAACATAAAAAGAGTACGTTTTCATTGAGTTTTTTTTTTGAGTTTCAAACATGTTTTTTGCCATTTTTAACGTTTATAACTACTAAAAACTTCAATAATATTAAGAATAGAACAAAAGATAACATATCTTAATGAAAATCTTTTTTAATCAAGCTTTTTAACTTCACAAAAGCTTTGAATTAACGTCAATTAGCGTCCAAAAGTGTCAGTAAACAAAGCTTAATCCTTCCAGAAGCCCTATACATATCTCCCGAGCTCCTTCGACGTTCGTACGTCGACATGTGTGGTACGAAGCCAGGTGATATCTACTCATTAGGCGTCCTACTCACTCAAATGTACTCAAAACAATCAGTTTGGCAAGTAGACGAAAAGCAGCTGGACATCAATGACATAGTAAAACGAGTCATTAAAGGCACCGAACCTCTGGAAAGGCCGAGTCTTGAGTTTGGCCATAACGTCGAGTACAACGAGCAGATCATCTTCGCCATCAAGAGCTGTCTACTGGAAGACCCGGATGAGCGGCCGGAGATCAAAAATATAAAGAATCGGCTACAAGGTGATAAGACCAAGAATCTCATGGACTACATGTTCGCATTGATGGAGAATACTGCTAATGAACTGGAACAGCAGGTCCAGCAAAGAACGGCCGAGTTGGCTGAAGAACAGAAGAAGGCCAACCTACTGTTATATCGTATGATGCCAAAGGCGGCCGTTGATGTGCTACGGAACGGTGAAAGTGTGGAGCCTCAGGTGTTTCGAATGGCTACTGTATTCTTTTCGGATATTGTGTCGTTTACTGTGTTGTCATCGAAAAGTACACCTCTGCAGATCATCAACTTTTTGAATCAGGTATATACGATGACTGATGATGTGATAGAGCGGCATGATGTATATAAGGTGGAGACGATTGGGGATGGGCTTCATTGTGTGTCAGGTGGGTTGCAAATTGTTTTTTAGTGTTATAAGATGTTGTAGTAGGTAGTTTTCACATATTTTTCAAAGAAAAACAAGTTTTTATTTTCTGCAGCCTGCGGGTAACAACTTATACGAATGATATTTTACTTTTAACCCATTTATACTAATGTTTTGCTTTTTAAACCCAATTTTTTGCCATTTTTTATTGTTCAAAGCTAGCTTTAGTTGTTTTTGTTTATTATTTCAACAGTATGACAATTATTTACCACTTTTTATTTATGTAACAATATATAAAATCATGTTATTGTAGGTATTCCAATAGAAAATGGAGAAAATCACGTGAAAGAGATCTGCGATATGGCTATTGGCCTCCAAAAAGGTGCCAAAACTTTACATTTGGCCCATTTGCCAAACGAAAAAGTTCAATTGAGATTGGGCGTGCATTCTGGAGCGTGTGTTACTGGGATCGTTGGTATGACAGCACCCAGATACTGTGTGTTCGGGGATACTGTAAATTTGGCTGCGAAAATGGAAAGCACTGGAAAACGTATGTTTTTACCTTACCCTGCCTTACTTTATCCTACTCTACCCTATCTTGCTTTACTCGAATCTACTTTCCCGTACTCTGCCTTACCTTGCCCTGACCTACTCTACCTCACTCTGCTTTATCTTACCTTACGTTAATCTATTGTACCTTAGCCTACTGTACCCTAATATACTCTATCTTAGCTTTTTTTACTCTACCTTGTTCTACCTTATTTTACACTATTGTCTTCTACCCTTCCCTACCATAGTTACTGCATTGTATCTCACCTTACTTTATCTTATCTTACTCTATCTGCCTTATCAGAGTTAGCCTAGTCTACTGTTTTCCGCGCCGTAATTCTACTTTTTTAGCCGGTCAAATCCACCTTAGCCCAACCTCCAAGCTGTTAATCGACCAACACTTTCCCAAAAGATATCATATAGTATCAAGAGGTGAAGTACTGATCAAAGTAAGGATTTTAAACATTTATATCATAAAAGCACGTATTGTAATTGCTACTACAGTAACTTAGAATGTTTTTTTCTTCATACGATAAAGAAAAAGTAAGGTAGGTTAGGGTAGCGTAGCGTTAGGTACTATGAGTACTGTTACTACAAACAAACGGCACTTTTTGCCTTTTAAAAGATACTTGTATCGTACTAAATATTGAAGTACCTAAAAATTAGTTTTTCTTCAACAAAAACACCGTACTCACTAACACAACATGGCAATTTTATAGTGACACAAAAATTAATTTCTTATACTTCGTACTACTATTAGTACCCGAAACATTGTTGTTTTCAGAACCGTGGTAGTATGCACACATACTGGGTAGTGCCTCCAGGCGAAACCATACGACCGCCAACTTAAAGTCTCAAAAATTATGACAAAAAACAACCGTGTAGATAATAAACAAATCCTCTTTTTGATCTTTGGTTTAAATTTTGAAATTTTGGTTTATTCAAATTTGTTTTTGGCTCAGCATATCTTCAAATTGGTCTTTAAAGCGGTAAGGGTGAGGCAGACGGTAGTGTAAAGGGCCAAAAGATATAGGTGCGCCAAAAGTTCTGTTACACGGCTTTTTAATCAAACATTTATTTTAACAACAAATATAACTGTATATGTTGTAAAATATACGGTAACTACTGCGCATAAGTTTACTCAGTATTACAGTATTAAAAGGACGTTATAAGTTAAAAACCAAGAGCTCAAATTAATGTGAACGAACGACTATTATCGATTGAAAACAAAATATTAGATTATTCAAATAATTTTGTGCCCCCTCTCAAAGCAAATTTTCGGGGTTAAGAGGCACAGAATTAATTGAATAACCTAATATATTAAAAACAATGCTAAGCCAGACTAACGTTGTTACAGTCATCGAAATCGACTAAGATTTAAGACGAGGAAACTATAATATAATAAAGAAGACTTATATTGCCTACATAAAGGTGTTGCAACAAGAATGGTCATGTTTCTTTACACTTTAAGTGCAATAATATTTTGTAAAATTCTTTAGATTTCGAAATCTCATTTTTTTACTTCCGGTAAATTGTTTTGTTAAAAAGGTAACAAAACGTAAAAAATGTGCTAAAACTATTGAAAAAGTAACGTAATTATAATGTAATGTGGCAAAATATAAACAGAGCATATATAAAAAGCAAAGTTTTAAAAATTTTCGATGAAAATGTACAAAATTCTACTGTGGTTATGAGTGGTGCTGAGCTTGGGTAAGTCGTACTACTCCAAGGAAAATGGCCAATCTGCCCGGCTTAGAAACTGCTTTAATTTTTTGTATGGATTCTTGGTATAATACCATCAATAGTACCCATAAAAAACTTAGCTCGTGATTTTGAGATTTAAAATTTAAATATTTTAATTTCCCGCGAATTTGGCAAATTTGGCATTCTGTTTCAAACACTTTTTCCGTCTTTTAAAACAATATACCCTTACAAATTTTAAAATATAGGTTCATTTAAAGATCTTCTATCAGTATATCAAAGAAAAATGATTAAAAATTCGAAAAATGACAAAGTTATAAGCGTGAAACACAATGCCAATTTGGCGGGAAATTTAAAACGTAATTTTTAATTTCGATTTCCTTGAGATTGACTCGAAAGCACAATTTATTGCTTTGCTGAAGGTCTTATATTAACATGGTTTTTCAATATAAAAAGTTTGAAGTCAATCAGAGCGGGTCAGGTTCGGCACTGTCATTAGATAAGTTGCGCAAACGACTAAAATACTACTTCTTATCTTGTCACGGGAATAACAATGTAAACTTGGTGAAACCAAAGCCAATTTCCTATTTTTGAGGAGTACTTGTCTGGTTTCTAATTCAATTTTGTTTTTGGTTCCGCTACAAACGTACGTACGAACGTGAAGGGGATACCATACAAGGTGGGTGACATAAATACTCAAAACTCTTTTTCATACTGTTTCTATACCTCTAAATAAGGCCTAATTCTCACATCTTATCACTTTCTTTGTTGTGTAATCATAATTATCATACAAAGGTTTCATACCGCTTAGTATCATACAGAGAGCTCGTTATACTCCCCTTATCATACAGAGCTCTCACACTCTCCGGATCATATTGAAGATTCTCAATACTCTCCTTATCACCCAAAGGTCTCATCTGCTCATTATAATCTCTAATTCATTTACCATGCTCTGCCAATCACCCTAGTATTCTCTCTCTCACCACAACTCTAACACTCTCCCCAACTACTTTACCCTACCACTCTCTTCTTCTCTTCAACTACCCCACCCTTCCACTCTCCACTCCCAGCCAAATCACCAAATCTTGTGGAAACACGGAAGTTGTGGTTCAGAATCCCTTGAAATGCACGGGAATTTCGTATTTTAGAGGTTTATCGAAAATAAAGTGGTCTTCTCTTTCGTAATCCCATGTTCTCCATCCTTCAATCGAAGGAGGGAAAGCCTTGGAAGAATGTGTGAAAATAGATAGGAGGACTGGGATTGGTTTTGACACAATTTTACAAAATCTCTCGGTTTTTAACGTATCTTGTGCTATTTTTCGTCACTTTGGTAGTACTGCTTTATTTTTGGTACTATTGAGCACTATTTTTGAATATAGTGCTGGCTCAGTACGACTTTTTATTTTTAGTACCATTTTTTGTTTTTGGTACTGTTTTACTGTTTTTAGCACTATTTTTTGTCTATTGTACTTTCTAAGTACAATTTTAACTTTTGGTACTATTCAGCACTATTTTTCTACCTGGTACTATCTGAGCACTATTTTTTATTTTTGGTGCAATTTCAGTACCATTATTTGTTTTTTGTACTATTTTACACATTTAGTACTATTTTGAATAACTAGTACTGCCAGAGTACTGTTAAACTTATTTTTGTACTATTTTTTTTATTTTTTTTTGCTATGTGGTGCTTATTATTCATTGTTATTAGTACTCTGGTTAATGCTCAGGTAAGCTTACACCAGTTTTAATTATTTTTATGTTGTTCTTATTGTAAGAAACGTTTAAAAATGTCATAAAAACCATCCTTTTCGTCAAAAAAATGATTAATTACCTAAAATGTCAAAAAAAACCACTTATTATTAAGATTATTAGTTTGTTCATATAATTCGGTGCCCCCTATCAAAGCTAATTTTTGAGGTTAGGAAGCACAGAATTATGTGAACAAAGCAATATTAAAAATATTATTGTTTTGTTTACTATAACATTGCTTTTTAAGACCTCACTCACCACTCCACAGTATAACATCAAGTTGGGGTTTCTATTTTCAAGTGGCAAGAAAACAGATTCGTTGGTCGGGTTTGCTGGTTCAGCTGGTGCAGTTAGTCTAGCAGTGGAGACGGCAAAAAAAAATAATTGGCTTAGAAATATTAATGTTACGTAAGTTACCCTACCCTACAGTACCCTACCCTACCCTACCCTACCCTACCCTACCCTACCCTACCCTACTCTACTATACCCTTTCAGATTCGAATGGCACTTTTCGAATGGATTTGCTTGGAACGCCTCAGGCTTTGCCTCTGATTTGATATACCGATCTAGGGTACATGCCCTATTTGGTCCAGTATCAAATAGTGAACAAGTACCAGTGAATGCACTAGCCTCATACTACAATGTACCTCAGTTTATTTGGGGCAAGCCATGCCCTTACGCCTTCAAGGCCGACCTTGCCAAGTACAACTCGACTGTAGCCATGAGTGGTACTGCTCTTGGGTAAGTTGTGCTGGTCAGTACAGACTTTTCACCTCTAGTCAATTTAAGATAGGAGATCGCCAGTTACCCTAATATATGAATTCTTGACATGGGGCCTTAGGGTATATTATTTTCTTGCTAAAACTCTTTTTCAGAAACATACTATCAGTGATGCACGTGTGCGATGAGTTCCAATGGACACAGATATCGTTTATTTCGATTTCATCTGACGAAACAGATCAGAATCTACCTTACTGTGACTCTATTTCTGACGCTATTGATGTAAGTCATATGGTCTTGCAAGACTAACGATAGATAATATTGTGTTAGGTCATCGTTTGTCTAGTATATATACATAACAACTTTTCATGGGTACTATACTTGAAAGAAGGCCCACTATATCTGGCTTGGCAGGGCCAAAACAGATTTAAAAAGGGCCGGGCCAAAAATTGAGCCCGTTCCCTTTACAAGTCTTATGAGCACGATAACATACAGATGCATTACCGCAGGGTTTTTGTAACGCAAAGACCGTAACATCAAAAACTTAGTCATAATGTTAACAAGTTTATATTTAGGACACTATAAACACGTACAGCGCCAACATCACCTTGGTTTATCGACGAGATTTAGCCACAAAAACAACTGAAAACTACCGAAAAGTTCTACGAGATATGAGTGAGGTATCGAGAAGTAAGTTTAGTCATAACAAAAGCTAGTGAAAGGTCTAGGGTAGATTAGGTACCGACCTAAAGAACCTGCCACACCTTGCCTGTAATTTCCTGTAAAAAATGGCGGGTTCTTTATGTTGGCGCCTAATAGAATATACTACTAGGCTTGTGAAAGACACTATTACACTTCTGAAAGATACGATTAGGCTTGTAAAATATAAGATTAGGTTTGTGAAAGATACAATTACCATATGCCATTAAAAAATATTTTTAGTTATTTTACTATGCGCTGACAATGATATTCAAAAACGAGCCTTTATGTTGGCGGCCAGCGACGAGGACATGCTGGGTCAAGATTACGTTTACATCTTAATGCAGAGTGATGGAGGAGCTTACAGTAGGTTTTTTATGCTAACCTTTCTTGTTCCCATATTTAAGCCATCATAACAGTTACCAAAGTAACAGAATCTATAGGACTGACAACGTTTTCAATTTTTAAAACGTTACTTTCAGAAACCCCAATGTTATGGGTAGGTACGGATGGCAGGGACGATGAAGCGAAAAAGGCCTTTATGTCTACATTAATTGTAAGTGGATGATAATGTTTATAAAGTTGAAAAAAGTACAGTCAACTCAGGGACGTCGCTACGGATTTTCTCTGGGGGAGGGGGAGGTCGAAAAAAAATTTTTCGTCCACAGAGGGACCTGTGAACCAATTTTTCAAAAAATTTTTTTTTCGTTTTTTCGCGTACAGGTACCTACCTGTGCAATTTTTTTCGGATCGGCTCTGGGGGAGGGGGATCCCCCCCCCCCTCTCCCTCCCCCCAAACGACGTCCCTGAGTCAACTCTATTATACAACGATTCTTACAAGGAAGGTGCCCGAACTGCCCCCCCCCCAAATTTCCCGCCAAATTGGCATTGTGTTTCAAGTCTACAACTTTGTCACTCTTTTACTTTTAATCACTTTTCTTTGATATAATAGTAGGAAACCTTTATATACACTTACATTTTAAAATTTTTAAGCTTGTTTTTTCTGGAAAGTCGGAAAAGGTGCTTGAAACACAATGCCAAATTTGCTAAATTGGCGGGAAATTCCAATATTTTACTTTTTAAAGGTATAAGGTTATATGATTTTAGATAGACAAACCGACAGCAGTCTTATCATCAGAGTACAATGAGCGAGTGATGGAGCTGGTAAAAGAATACCCATGGTACTGCAGCGGTTGTAGCACAGATACAGGGAATGTAAGTGAATACGTTAAAATCTACTGAAGTTCCAAAAAACTATTGTCTAGTATCTACAGTAGTATCTCTATACAGCAACACAATAATACCTCTATATAGTGGTACGGCAGTATATCTATATATAAGCAACACCATATACAGTAAAAATAAGATGTCATACATAGGGGGTTGCTTATATATTAGGTTGTTCAAATAATTCCGTGCCTCCAAATTCCAAAAAATCGCTTTGAGAGGGAGCGCAGAATTATTTGAACATCCTAATAGAGTATAGTAAACATACAACAGTACCTAATTATATTTCTCTTCTAGGCTTCATCACTAAGTTACTATCTCGGAGATGCCGTGCTAACTTATTTGTACGCCTTGAATCGTACGATAGAAATGTACAAAACTCAAGCAGATGTAGATGCCATGGTTCGAAACTCGACTATTCTGTTAGCTAATATGGCCGAGACTATGGCTAGTAAGTTGTGATAATGTATAATAATATTGTTAAAAAGAAGTGAATGCGTATTTTACATTTTATTTGGTAGTTTAAATAATTCTGTGCCTCTAACCTCGAAAATGTGCTTTGGGCACAAGATAATTTGAACTACCTATATAATATTCCTCTAAATTTTAAATTTCTGAAACAGTAAGTACCCCTTTATAGACCTAGAAGGAGACACAACAATAATGTCATCTGGAAGACGCTCAGTCGACTACGCTTTATATGGACTGGATCCAGACGGATCTCAAAACACTTGGGCTTTTGTAGCTAGTGTCAGTCAACAATCAAATAAGTTTGTAAGTGCATGCCTTATCGTACCCTACTCTACTCTGCCCTATCCTGCCTTTTTCTGCTTTGCTCTGCTTTGCACGTCCTGCCTTACCCTACAATACACTGCCCTGATTTGCTCAGCCCTCCTTCGCGCTGCTATGTTTTGCCCTACCCTCTTCTATCTTGTCCTGCTTCTTCCTCCCTTGTTTTACCCTAACCTACCCTAATCCAGCTTATTCTACCCTACCCTACTCCAACTTATTGTACCCTTACCTTAATCTTTCTATCGTATCCTACCTACCTTACTTTATCTTACTCTACCGTATCTTACGCTATAGCACAGGAAAGCATGGGTTTTAACTTCCAACTACAATATCAACATAACAGCAAGGGCGGACAAAAAAATTTTTTTTTGTCTGGGGGTCGATAACTAACAACTACCCGCCCAAATACCAAAAATGATACACATTTACCCTACCTTTAGCCATTTCAGAACCTGGACCTATTCACTCCAAATTACACCAATGCCAAGACTACCATCTGGGCCAATCGCAAAGGCTATGTACCATTGAACGAGCCGATATGTGGTTACCTCGAAAACAGATGTCCCACCTCTCCAGTGACAATCGTTCTGATAACAGTGGCTTGTGTGTTCTTGATGATATCATTCTTGCTTCTGTTCATTGGCTGTTGTATGTACTTCCAGCGAAATCAAAGAAGACGGCTCAATGCCTTGTGGCAGGTTGATTATCACATGTTGGTGAAGCCGGATCATAAGGTGAGTTATTGGTTTATGTGACTAAAATCATGTTTTTTGAAGATTTAGGTAACAAAAAACGTAAATTAGGTAAGAAAATTGAGGTTTAGGTAAGAAGAACGATAATTTACTATGTTTAGGTAGCAAAAACTATAATTTCTTAGGTTTAGGTAATAAAGAAGATAATTTACACAGTTTAGGTAACAAAACCGATAATTCTCAAAGTTTAAGTAAGAAAAACGATAACTTACAAAGTTTAGGTAAAACGTTCGATAATTTACTGAGTTTATGTAACGAAAAAAGTAATTTACAAAGTTTAGGTAACAAAAACAATAATTTACATTGTTTAGGTAACAAGTTATGAATTTCCTATAAAATAAAAGAATTTTCAGTCAGAAGGAATGAAAAGCCAGCGATCCCTAAGCACCAACAGCTTATCATTGATAACAGTTGAAGGCAACCAATTCGAGAATGTCAAACTCTTCTACTATCAATACGAGCTGGTTGTGGCACGCAAATTCGATCGATTTCAATTCAATCCAGCCATTGAGGCTGAGCTACGAGAAATGAGACAGCTGGATCATCCTCAACTGAATCGTTTTCTTGGTATAGCCATGTATGGGCAAGTGGGATACAAGATATACAGGTACTGTGAGAGAGGTACGATTGAAAGTGTGCTGGATGAGTATCAGGAGAAGATTGACGAGAGGATTGCTAATAGCATGATCAAGAATATTGTGGAGGTAAGGGGCGTTTTATTGACGAAAAATGAGGTTTAAAAGGCGATATTATAGTAGATACTTAATATTGTAGTAGGCATAAAAGGGTAAAACCTTGAGTTTTAGAGGAGTATGGGCAAGGTAAAGCCTATAAATTGAAGACACGTTATCTTATTGTAATATTAAAAATATTTTTAACCTTCAAAACTTACAAATTTAATCTTTAGGGCCTGTTTTACATCCACAACTCTCATTTCGGAGCGATGGGATGCTTGAACTCGGATGCTTGTGTGGTTGACGATCGATTCCAAGTCAAGTTACAGTACTATGGTCTGCACATTATAAAGGAGCATCAAACTGTGGCATTGGACAACAAAAGTGAGCTTTTTCTTTATTATAATATGTTTCATTTTAAAATTAAAAAAAATTAAAAGTATTGGGAAAAAGTAGGGATGCGTCGTTAAAGTACTGTAACTTCAAGTCTTTTTTAAAATTAAAAATTTTGTTTTTTGGGAAAGTTGAAGAAATAAATAAGCTATGATATCATTTAATTTGATGTTGTTACCTATTTTTACAATAAAGTTAGGATAAAAGAAGGTAGCACTATATAACTGTATAAGCCTGCATAAATATTTTTTTTAAAAGCTTTGCCAGATTTCAAAAATTTCTTTTCAGAAGCCCTGTACCTAGCTCCAGAGCTTCTTCGCCAAACCCCAATCACCTTAGCAGGCACACTACCAGGAGATATCTATTCTTTATCAATCATCCTCACACAAATCGTAACTCGTCGATCAGTCTGGAGTATATCTGAAGAAAACCTCGCCATCGACATGATAACTCGCCGTATTATAAAAAGGACCGAACCATTGGAACGTCCATCTCTACATTATGATTCTACAGTATACGTGGACCCCACCCTACTTACCATAATCCAGAATTCGATGGCCGAAGAGCCGGAACAACGTCCCGACATCAAGTACATTCGAGGAGTGATGAAGACGCTGGAGAACGGGCGAAAGTCCAATTTGATGGACTATATGTTCGCATTGATGGAGGACACGGCCATGGACTTGGAGCAGCAGGTACAGCAAAGAACGGCTGAGCTGATTGACGAACAGCGGAAGGCCAATCTATTGTTATATCGTATGATGCCAGCTGAAGCCGTGGACGTGCTACGGAGAGGAGAGAGTGTGGAGCCGGAACTATATGAAGCTGCTACCGTATTCTTTTCGGATATTGTGGGATTTACTGTATTGTCATCGAAAAGTACCCCGCTTCAGATTATCGCGTTTTTGAATCAGGTTTACACGGTAACGGATGATGTGATTGAACAACATGATGTCTATAAGGTGGAGACTATTGGGGATGGACTTCATTGTGTGTCAGGTGGGTTGAGAATTGATTTTTAGTGTTATAAGATGTTGTAGTAGACAGTTTTCACATTTTTTATCAAAGAGAACAATTTTTATGCTCTGCAGCCTGCGGGTGACAAGTTATACGATGAAGTACCCTTTTTTATGATTTTTTGAAAAATTGTTTGATATTTTGATTTATCATGAATTAAGATAGTATTTTATGAATTTTAAATTTCAAAATTAAAAAAATTTATCTTTAAAAATTGCAGGAGTTCCAATTCGAAATGGCAATAACCACGTAAAGGAGATCTGTGACATGGCATTGACACTTCAAAAAGCTGTCAAATTGCTCTATCTTCCTCACTTACCTAATGAGAAGATTGAGATGCGTTTTGGCGTACATTCAGGACCATGTGTGACTGGTATTGTTGGTATGACAGCGCCCAGGTATTGTGTGTTTGGTGACACTGTCAGTTTGGCCGCTAAAATGGAAAGCACTAGCAAACGTAGGTTTACTTTATCCTTTCCTACTCTATTCTACCCTACCCAACACTACCCTATCTTATGTTACCCTACCTTACCCTATCTTACCCTACTTTTCCTCGCCCTACCCTACTCAACCGTACACTACCTTACCCTACTCTACTTTACTCTACCCTACTTTAATTCTCTTATTGTACCCTAAATTACTCTATAACACAGAAAAATATTATGTTCATACATTATATTAGATTGTCGTATTTTACCTACTCATTAAACGCAAACGTATTAATAAAACTATGATTTTCAGCTGGCCAAATTCATGTTAGCCCAGTGACTAAAGCATTATTGGACAAGCACTTTCATTCAACTTACAACCTTGTTGATCGGGGAGAAATCATTGTTAAGGTATGTCACAAAGTGGTTTTTAAATAAAGATTTTGTGGATTTTTTTTTTCAAACTTTTAGATTTTTTTTTATTTGAAAAAATTTAAAAATCTGAAAAGTCAATACTGTGCTCTTAATTAAACATTAAATTATTTTTAAAATTTTAATTTTTTTTAAAAGTTTCTTATTGATATTGACATTTTAGGGCCGCGATCCCATGAACACTCACTGGCTGATGCCAATTGGACAAACTGTCAACTTTTAAATGTACAAACTATAATTTATATTATCATACTTTAATATCTAACTGTATACCTCAAAATTTATGGCTTATTCACTTTTTACTGTCCTACATTTTACTTGTACCATTGATGTATAAAGCACTATTTACTGTAAATAAATTTATATATATAAAAACTCGAATACATCTACCCCTAACCAACCTTACCCTACCCTGCTTTATCCGACTCATTCTTACCCTGAATTGTCTTATTATGCCTTATCCCATTCCATCTTACTTCACCTTACCCTATTGTACCCTACCTTACCCTATCTTACCTACCTTACTCTGTTTTACTTTATCGTATCCTACTCTTCCTTTCTCTACCCTACCTTACCCTGCTCTACCCTTTCGTACTCTATACCCCAGACACCCACAGTATTTAACAAAGAAGAGCACAGTTAACAAAGCACAATCTGTGCAACGTACAAGCTGTAGTCCAGTGTCCAAGTACATTTGCCCTTGTTCGCCTTAATGCCACAGGCACTCAACAGGCTTCGGAAACCTTGCAACGCTTAAATTTGGAGCGAAACAGTGTTGATAACTATGTAAAAAATTGGTTATTAGAGGCCGGGGAGTGTTTTACATTGTAAAACCACAAAGATATATTATCTTACTGAATAAACTGTAAATTTTTGAAACTTTGATTATATTTATATTGTAAAGTTTTGGCTAGTTATTTGGTTTTAACTTATGAATCTACACGTTGTTTGATGTTTGTTTTGTTCGTTGTCTTTACCTACACTTTTGAGACATCGTACGGCCAGGTAAACTTTATATTTTAGGTAATAATACAGTAGATAATCCTGTATAACAAATGTTGATTTCTTTAAAAAATTCGTTATATAGACATGTTTTACTTAACTGTGATAAAACAACATGTTTTAGTTACTAGGAAAAATTCCATTGTACAATGCCCGACTAGGGTTTTTGTTCACAATGGATGACCAAACGAACCTAGACGTGGGCTTTGCTGGAACGGCTGGAGTGGTCAGTTTGGCAGTAGAAGAAGCAAAAAGTATAGGGCTTCTAAATAATATAAACTTAACGTAAGTATACCATAAAATTCAATATTATACTCAGAGGGTCTTACTACTTTGCTAGGCCTTTAAAGAAGCGAGCCCAAGCTTTTCTTTGGGCTTTGACCCTCGGGCAAACACATGCTGACCCGGCTTTCTCAACTCAAGTCATTCGTAGTGGGGCTTAAGCAGTGCCCTTAGGGACTAGGCTTGGGCCTGAAAATTGATTTCAAAGTTTTAGTCTATAAAGCCTGTTTAGTTTTACTTGGCGTTTTGACAACGCCTCTACCCCTTTGGCTATGGGTTACGCTTTGGAGCTTTATAATCAAGAAAATGTAGATGTAATCTTTGGTCCAACTGATCCTGATGCTCAAAGTTCTGTTAGTGCACTAGCTCAATACAAACAAATACCTCACTTTACATGGGGAATGCCAGCGAAATACGATGTAAAGTTTACTTACAAATAACAACAAATTTTTCCTCGGCTACTGTTAAGGCTAGTTATTTTTAGGAAGCCAACATCTTTAACTCTACTATGTATATGAGCGGTTCTGTAATGGGGTAAGTTACCTTTTCTATTATAAAAAGCTCTGTGTAGCATTGTAAGTTATTTGCAATCAACTTTAAAATTTCACTTTACTATCTTTAGAAACGTAGTAGCAATGCTACATGTTCTTGAACACTACAACTGGACGTCAGTAAGCTTTATTTACTCAAACGAAGCCACTAGCCAAAGCGCTCTACCTTATTGCGAACTTGTTGCTAATAACATTGATGTAGGTTAAGTACCTCTATATTAACGTATTTTGTTAAATACCTTTATATGTATTATCTTGTTCAAATAATTCTGTTCTTCCTATTAAAGCAAGTTTCTGAAATTTTGAGGCACAGAATTATTTGAACAACCTAATATGACGGAGTCATATTTTAGAGTGGTATAAAAACATTTGTGGATAACATAACTGTAGCTTACAACAGGCAGCTACAAGTTCATACTGCTGAAAATTATCAGCGCGTTTTGAAGCAAGCTTCTCAAGTTTCACGAGGTAGGATTTTAAACCTACTGTACCTTGTTTAACTATTATTAATTTTTTATAAACCTAGTTATTTACACATCTACTTTAGTAGTATTGCTACAAGCGTCTTACTTAATGCAATGACCTTATCTTACGATAAGATACACATACAATCTCCTTTTTTTCACCTGAATCATAATCTCTAAACCTCTTGAAAACTACAGTTTATTTTAGTTATTGTCGTATGTCTAACAAGCGACCTAAGACGACCATTCATGTTAGCGGCGAAAGATGGCGGATTTACATCGCCGGATTATGTGTATCTGTTCATACAAAGCACGGGAACATCATTCTGTAAGATTCACGTTCTATCTGACGCATTTTGTGTTATAGGTTTTCTTCAGTACAGTGTAACTCTTAGCTAACAATGGCCTAAATAATGAAGAACTCATAGAAAGAACAACTTTTGAATATAATAAAAGTATACGTACTGAAAACAAAATTCCTACTTTCAGTATTACCTACGCCAATTTGGGAATCTGAACCTACAGATGGCCGTGACACAGACGCCCACGAAGCTTTCAAATCAGTCTTACTTGTAAGACAAAACGGTTCTAAGATTAAACCTTTTTTTAGCTTGACAAACCTGTAAACGTACTACCTGCCGACTACAATTCAAAAGCAATGGACTTGGTGACACAATATCCTTGGGACTGCTACGAGTGTCCTACATTAGCTAAAAATGTCAGTTTCGTAAATTTAAACTCATTTTTTCTTCAGTACCTATGTTTTTGAGCTGATAGATTAATAACCTAACGTATCTGAATAAAATGTAAAGACTCCATAAAGACCCATTTTATATTACCCTACCTAATATTACTAATTCATAGTTCAGGCCTCGCTGCTATCTTTCTACCTCGGAGATTCTGTGTTAGCTTACATATATGCTCTGAATAAGACAGTTGAGATGTACAAATCTTACCCAAATCTGCCACAAATTATCAAAAACTCCACTTTGGTTCTGCAGAATATTCCTGACGGGTTTGTCGGTAAGTATCAGTCGAACGTTATTTAATAGACCCCTTTTAGTTTATTTTCCTGTAAATAAAACGAAATTATACAATTTAACATAAAAAACAAGATCTGAAATGTTTTCTGGCGCCAAAATATTCTTGTTTGGGAAAAATAAATCGTTGCGGACCCAGCAGTATTAGCAGTGTATTTCATTAGTCTCACTTTTAAATATAAGTACAATTTTTTGATTTTCTTGAATCTATTTTATAGATTTGGAAGGAGAAACGTTATATTTATACTTCAAAAAAAGTAGAATCCTCGACTTTGCATTGTATGGTTTGGATACGGCTGGTAATCAACAGCGATGGGCATACACAACTACGTTGGGTGACAAGGGCTTTATGGTAATTTTGTAAACCTTTTGAAAATACTATTCGTTTAACACTTTGGAACGTACTATTCGTTTTGTATTATCAAACGTTGCTGTAAAATTTTTATTTAAAAATTTTTTAACATTTCATTAAGTAGTCGATTATTTATGATGACTTTTGCATTAATATTGTGACAATAAGCTTGTAAATCATTAGAAAACTTAAAATAAAAAATTTCAGGACAGCAGGCCATTTATCGAAAACTACACAGACGCAGCTACTACAATATGGGCTACTCGAGAGGGCATACAACCATTAAATGAGCCTTTATGCGGGTTTTTAGGTAACAAATGCCCAGTAAAACCATGGGTCCTGCCAATAAGTATTGCTGCCGGATGTCTTACCTTTGTCATCAACTTACTGCTGTTTCTTTTTTGCATATATTTGTGAGTTTTAAAGAATACGGCTTTACATTTTAGTTAAAAATTGTCTTTTATAACTTACAGCTGTCTTCATATTCCAAATTAACGTAATTTTTTAATGGTTTTTTAATTTTATTTTACAGGTTTCAACGAAACAGAAGACGACAGCTAAATAAATTGTGGCAAGTGGACTTTAATGACATTGAGTTTCCAGATGAAACAATCAGTGTAAGTTACTATCATTAATATTAATTTGTTCAAATAATTCTGGACCTTCTAAATTTGAAAATTTGCTTTGTATTCGGGAACAGAATTATTTGAACAACCTAATATCATAAAACTTATTACTTAGTCTAGCCTTACGTAGTCTAGATAAAATATTTTCTTAAATTATGATTAACCCTTTTATGGGGTTCATTATAATACGTTGTACTTAACCTTTATGAACAATAAGAAATTTTAATACAAGTCTGATTCCATTTTTAATATTTTTTTTTAAAATTGACATTTGAAACACGTACATTTTTTCTTCACATACCATACATAACAAACACCCAATGTTATAATAACTTTAAATATTAGCAAATTTTGAAGAAAAACGGCTTCTTTATGAACTTTTAGGGCCGAAAAAAGGTTTTTTACATCTATGTAAACAGGATTTTATATTTATATAGTACATGGTATAGTATTAACAAAAAGTGGCATTTACATACTTACATCGTTTTATAAACACTGTACTATAATATTAAGTGACAACATAGAGAACCCGCCATTATTTACAGTAAATTACAGGGAAAGTATGGCGGGTTCTTTATGTCGGCACCTAATACTATACCCTTCAAGATACGTACCTTTCCAGAAAGGGACAAAAAGCACAAGATCAGTCCGCACGATAGCCAGTGACTCTTACTTATCAGCGATTGACAACTCAAAGACCAATAACATCAAGTTCATGTACCTTAATCATGAGCTAGTGATAGCCTGGACTAGTCCAATACTATCCGATAAAGAACTGTCGCCAAACGAAAAAGAACTCCGGGAGCTGAGAATGTTGGAACATCCGAATTTGAACAGATTCTTGGGTATGACGGTTGGAAATGGCAATCTGTACATTTTATGGCGATATTGTGAACGAGGTTCGATTGAGAATTTCATTGAGGATTATAAGGACAAGATTGATGACAGAATTATTCATAGCATGATTTCACAGATTGTTGAGGTAAGTTCTAGGGTCTATAGAGCAAGATTTAAAATTTTCTGTATGGTACAAGTTATACGATGAAAACTGCCTGAAAAGACAAATTATACGATAAAATCAGTCTGGGAAGACAGGTTATACGATGAAAGGTGTTGTATAACTTTTGTTTAATTTTTATTGGCTAATCAAAGATGTGTTTGTAAAATGTATTTTACATTAAAATTTACTAATTTAGGCCTTATACTTCATTCACAATTCTCCCTACTCGCCACTGGCTGTTTTGAGTGCTGATAGTTGCGTTGTGAACGACCGGTTTGAAGTCAAAGTACAGTACTGTGGGATGAATAATATAAAAAAACTTGAATTATTTGATGATTCTAACAGAAGTATGTTTTTGTTTTTGGGTCACTAAAGTGTCAAAAAAAAGTTTTGTCGTCAATTCATGTGTATTTTCACGTTGAAAAGCGACAATACTTTTATTGAGCTTCTGTAGAGTATATAACGGTGTAGCAAATTTTGTTGTGGTATAGTATAGGTTGTTATAGCTTAAAATAATCTACTATAGTACAGTAAAATCCATTGTTGAAACATCTGCTTCAGTATAAGGGTTAAAAAGTTTTGTGATTTTCTAACACAGTTTTGCACGTTAAAAAAACGACAGGACTTTTTAAACTTTCAATATACTGACCAAAATGCCAAATTATATATAGCCATAAAATTTCAGAAACCCTATATGTAGCGCCGGAAATTCTCCGTCGGCCCAACCGTAACATTGAAGGATCAAAGGAGGGTGATATCTATTCGTTTGGTATCTTAACCTCCCAAATCGCCACCAAGACCTCGGTTTGGCGAATGAAAGAAAAAGATCTTACAGTAGAAGAGATCCTCTTTCGAGTACGACAACGTACCGTACCGTTGGAACGGCCATCGGTTCAACGTGCCGATGGCCTCGAGATGGACGCTAGATTAGAATCCTTGATTCTGCAGTGCTACAGTGAAGAGCCAGCAGCTCGACCTGACATACGATTGGTCAGGGATCGTATACGTTGTCTGGAAGGTAACAGTAAGAAGAGCAACTTTATGGATTACATGTTCGCTTTGATGGAGAACACGGCCGTTGACCTGGAACAGCAAGTACAATATAGAACGGCTGAGTTGGTGGAGGAACAACGACGTGCCGAAGTACTGTTGAATCGTATGATGCCTCAGAAGATCGTGGAGTTACTGCGGAAGGGAGAGAGTATCACTCCAGAAGTCTACGAGAATGCTACAGTATACTTTTCGGATGTGGTTGGGTTTACGATATTGTCATCGAAGAGTACTCCGTTACAAGTCATCAACTTTTTGAACAATATGTATACGATATCTGATGATATTATAGAGAGACATAAGGTGTACAAGGTGGAGACAATCGGCGATGGACTTCATTGTGTTTCAGGTAGGTAAGGGTGAGTACAGTAGAGCAGGGAACGATAGGAAAGGGTAAGATAAGGTATGATAACGTAGAGTAAAGTAGGGCAAGGCCATTCAACGCAAGACAAGGTAAGGCAAGGCTAATGCAACTATAATATAACCAAAACAGAATATTTCAGGCATACCAACTCGGAATGGCAACGACCACGTGAAAGACATTTGTGATATGGCTTTGGCAATACGAGAAGGAGTCAAAAGCCTGAGAATGCCACATTTGCCAAGTGAGATGATTCAAATTCGATTGGGAATCCATTCAGGCGCTTGTGTTACTGGTATAGTCGGAATGACCGCGCCGCGTTACTGTGTTTTCGGAGACACTGTAAATCTGGCCGCTAAAATGGAAAGCACTGGGAAGCGTGAGTGTTTTGAGACAAAAATCCTCCCCCCCCTCCCCCTCAAGAAAAATTTTGTAAAAAATTAAACTTGGTTCCCCTGTTGATTTTTCAAAAATTTTTTTCGGCCCCTCGTTTTCGCCCAAGATAAGTTCCTGAGGCCAAATTTCAACGAAATTACTTAATCAACTTTTTAAAGCTGTTTATTTTAAAATGGCAAACAATTAAGCTTTACACTTTCAGCCAGTCAAATCCAAATAAGTTTTGTCACCAAAAATCTGATTGATCAACACTTCCCCACTTTGTACAAGACAGAACATCGTGGTGAAGTTTACATAAAAGTAAGTTACAAACAACACTTTGTAGAGCATAAACATGACAATAAGAAAAATTATTTTGAATAGTAAACCTTGAAAATTCAAAAAATTTTTAAAAATTATTTTAAATTGAATTTTTCAGAACCGCGACCCCGTTGAAACATACTGGTTATTATCGAAAAACTTTTAAAAAGCACAACTTCCAAAGTAATGTAGTAATGAAAAACGGCTTTATATTGAATATTTTGTCTCGATATTAACTGGAAGAGGCAATTTAAGTATGTATTACATGTTTTAGTGGATCTGTAGAGCTAAAGGTTACTTATTTTGTTATTATTAATGATTTTATTGTAATTTCTTACTTAATAACTAATAATTGACCGATTTACCTTAATTTATATAATAATTAACCGATTTATCGAAAAGTTTACTTTACTGTGGTCCATCTTGTTTTGGAATTGCCAGTGTAGCCTTAACTTTGATTTTCCTCATTTCATTATCTTTACCCTTTGTCTGTTTCTGTCTGATTGGGCCTTTCTCTGAACTTTGTATCCTTCGAGGTGAAGTTGCCTTTAGGGTATTTGTGGGTGTGCTGTTTGGGTTCGGGCTGTTTGGATCTAAATTAACTTGTAAGTCGCATAACGCTTTAAAAACCTCTGAGAAAGTTTTTAAATCGTAAAATAAGGGTTTTAAATTCAAAAAATTAAATTTAACACCTTAAACCCGTTATTCAAATAAAAATTCAATCAAAAGTGACATTTTAAGCGATTTACCTTCATTTTGGCCACTAATACCTCCATCTTTTCTAGCTTTTTGTCCAGATTCTTTTGAAATTCTATTTTCTTCACTAGCATTAGCCTTTTGACCAAGTTCTCCACCTTGTGCTGGCCTAGTACTATTACGAGCAGCACTGCCTTTACCACTTCCACTTGCATTTCTATCTTTGAACTCAAACACTCGATTATTATTGTCCAAACGACCTCTATCTTGTCCTGCCGTGCCATTTTGTATCGTCGAACTGCCATTTTGCCTACCTTCACGATTACCTTGAGTTGTCATACTTTCCTTTTGTCTACCATCACCTTGAGTTGTCGTACTGCTATTACTTCTACCTTCGTCTGCAGTTATCATACTACCAGTTTGACTTCCCGTGTTACTAGGCATACCTATACCATCATTGACAGTGCTTCCCATGCCATTTAGCCCTCCTATACCATCATTGAGCGTCATAGTAGAATTACTCTTCTCTTGCGCCGTATTCATGTCACTTCCAGTCGAGCTGTGAAGATTATGCTCTTTACAGACACTGCAATTGGCCACACAATCAACGCATCGACAGTTGGAGGCGGTGCTCTTTGAGCACTTTGAAGTAGGGGTCCTTTCTTCGCCCGTGGCCATATTTTCCATCGATGGCACTCTGGTCAGGGGATTGGAGATCGTTTCTCCTGCACTCCAGACGGCTGATGAGTCTCTAAAATAATTTTTTAAAGTAGGGCTAATACATTATCCGTCCTCACAGCAACTTTTCCAAGCCTAAATTTCGAATTCAACTATAAAACTCAAAAAACCTACTTATTTTGAATCATATCCGACGAACTGGTACTCTTTGTAGGTGTTCGCAGAGTAAAAGTATTAGCTTTACTCTTGTTATTTGTGAAAACAGTTGAAATTGCATCATCATTATACTTTGGAGATTCTAATGGATGTTTATTGATTCCAGCGTCACGGAACGGCCAAAGGTATAACATAAACTTCGGAGCTGGTTCATTACGGAATACCAAGGTTAATATCAGCAGAATAAACTGAAAATTCAAGATTTGAAAATTAAAGTTTTAACTCTACCTTACTCTACCCTGCCTTATCGTAACCTACCTTACCTTACACTGCCCTACCCTATATTACCCTGCTCTGTCCTACCTTACCTTATCCTACTCTACCTTATCCCACCCATCTTCTCCCTTCCCTTACCTGCAAAACAGCGTAAACAAGCAAAACCGATCCGTAAAGATACTCGAAAGTGACAAAACTCAACGCAGCAATGATCGTCTCCATCATCATCAAGTACAACAGAGCAATGACAAAGTATTTGATAAAAGCAGCATCAGGTTTGAAGATTCCTCTCATCCCCAACGTGTAAACCGCCGTTTGCACAGCGACAATAGCAAACCATCGTCGAACTTCGTCAATCACTGGCAATCCTGGAGTCAGCGATACGGTTGCAACGAAATGGATCACGAAAAAGATGGTTAAGGTGCACTTGAATAAGGTCGGGACTCTCCAATCACTGAAAAAATAAACGTTATTACTTATATTTACATATATATAGCTGTATGTTAAATACTAGTTAAAAAAAACATTAAAAATCTAGAAAATCCGTCAGTTGCCTTGGATTTTCTAGAAAATCTGTCATGAAAACTATTTTCCGTTGGACAAAAATTTGTTTTTTGAGTTTTTACAGTTTTGAATAGTTCACTTGTTATAAAATTTACTTTATATATTAGTTAAAAAGTATAAATCATGTTATATTTTAATTTAAATATTAAAAATTCGCAATAGGTGAAGAATAATAATGTCTAACAGCTATATTATAATAAATAACAAGTTAATAAACTTTTTTTATAAGTAATTTCAGTTTATATTATCTTGTTATTAAACATTCACTTCATATATAACTATGTTTTAAGATAAGAAAGATGTCAAACTTACTCAGCTAGACTAGAAAACGCGCTCTGATCCAGTCCGGAAGGATTTGGATTTGTCATTTTAGCCAGGAATTGTTTTTTGAACCGACCAAGTTATAAAGTAAAAATGAAAAAATGGTTTTTTTTTGACAAAGTTGTGGATGTATGTGTAAAAATTTGTTTTTTAGTTTGTTTTTCAAAATGTTACCTAAAATACGTTATATTGACTTTGTTCTTAATGGAATTTGCCATTAAGCTTTGTATATCTTGTGTTTGTTTTATATTTATGTTTATTATCGCTTTTCTGGTTTATAGACGAGATTTTTAAAGGATTTTTAAAGACGTTATCCTTAATATTGTTATGAATATTTTAATATTGATATCGATATTTTTCGATTTTTAGGCATTTCGGATAGGATTGGCTTTTTGTTTTTAGGTAACAATTGAATAAATGAACATTCACGATGCGTTTCATCAACTTCGAACGAATGTAACACTAAAATAATCTGTATTCAGATCTGTAAGATAATATCTGGTGTTTTTAAAGTTTTGTTTGTCTTTTTAGGTAAAAATTGGATAAACGAGTGTTGAAGATGTGTTTCATCAATTTCGGACGAATAAAACACTAAAAATTCTGTATTATGAGCTCTAAAACAAAGTGGTATGTCTTTAAACTTTTGTTTATGTTTTTAGGTAACAATTGGATAAACAAGTTGATTGTAGTTTATTTCAAAGAAAAATAATGTTGTGGATGTGATTTATGTTAAAAGAATATTAGTCAACAACAATACTGACCTTTCTGTGGTAAATTTTAAGGTTATTTTGCAGTAATATTACTGTATTACAGTAATTTAAATCGCGTTATCCAGAAAACAATAACATGTTTATGAGTCATTTTATGTCATATTGTTCGGCAATCGAACTTTTCATTATCATAGTCAACTTCCGCCAACTTCCGAATTGATAACTCTGGCGAATTGATCACTTTTATCTGACGTTTATTGCCCTTGAGAAGAGGTAATAAAAGGAACGGTTTCACCGTGTTTTACTATCACTTCCAAAGTTACAACTTGTTTTGTTTCGATTTTGTAATAAGTTTTTTAATAGTTTGATAGGTCTTCTGGTTTCTTAAGTTGTTTGTCAATAGGTTGAAATTTGGTTCCTGACATGTAGTAAATTTAAAAGGAGATGTTTATGAAAACAATATACTACAGTTTACTTTACTTTTATTGAGGGTAGGGGCTTATAACAGAGTATAAAAGGAGTTGTTGTAAGCTAAATTCGGAGTAGAATAAAGTTGGATGAGTGTAAGACAGGGTATAGTAGGGTAAGGTAAACTAGAAAAGGGTAGAGCAAACGTAGTGTTGAAGTAGGGTAGCAGGGCAAATGGCTAGGTCACTTTTTATTAGCATGGCTTCTCCTATGACTTAAATACTCGCTTAAAGTATATTTTCTAAAAAACCAATGCTCACTTTACTATTACAGAATGAAACTCCTCATCTTATCACTTTTTATATCCTCACTAGCCTTATCAACCCTCGCCCAACGTGGTGATTACAGTAGGTTTGATCGACCATACGATCGAAATAGCCGAGCTTTTGATCGTGATTTTGATAATAGCAGAGGATCCGATTTTAACCGAGGAAGAGATAGTATTGGTCATGGAGCTTCAGTACATGGAGGTGATAGATACGATGACAGGAATGGAAGAAACGATCAAAGAGATCGATTTGGGAATCAAAACATAGATCGCGATAGAGGCTATAATCCAAATGGCAGAAGAGACGATGATAGAAGGGATGATAGTTTTGGAAGAAGAGGTAACTTATTATGTCATGTTAATGTTAAATGTTTTTTTTTGTAAAATACGTGTGAATCGTGATAAAAATAATGTTGTCTATATCTCCAGACGATGACTACAGCCGCTTCGGTGGCAACTCGCACAACCAGCCAAGAACCGCTGATAACTTTGGTCGCCGCGACCGTCGTGACTCTCGCGGCAACCACGAACAACATCATGAGCAAAGTCATCAAGAACACCATGGTAATCAGCATAATGAACGCGAACGCTTCCCAAGACAAATGGGTCAAGAAGTTCATCGAGAAACTGAACTTCGAAAAGATTCTGATTTCGATCGTGATAACCATAACATTGGAAAAGGCGGAGCGATTGGAGGAGGTACTGTGGATGATCATCGAAGTGTTGATGGACCTTTGATTCAGAATGACGGAGTTGGAAAAGGTTCTGCAGTTCGCGGTGACAGAGTTGGGGGACACCGATTCCGCAGAAACTATGACATTTATTAAGGAGCTTGATATTGTTTACATATACACAGTTGTTAATCACAATAAAAAATATTTTGGATTTTGTTATTTTATTTAGTAAGAAGTGTTTTTCCACAGCTTACCCTTGGTTTAGCTTACTTCCATATCTAACTTTAAGCCCAATATCTGCCCTTATCTATGCTCAGCCCACCCTTAAATTACTGCGAGAACCGAAATTTTACTTTGTAATTTAGCGAGAAATCATATGTAACAAGGATGATTTTTTGGTCCAAACCCTAGTGCTACTTATTTTCCTACTTTACCGATCATACTTTACTCTAATTTCTTTTTACCTTACTCTAACTTAACCTGTCCTACCTCACCTTACCTTATCTCACCCTACCTTATCCTACTTTAGTTCTTTTACCCTATCTTACCCTATCACCATATCCTCACTTCTACTCGATCCTAACCTACCCTGCCTCACCGTGTTCTACTCTACCCTACCTTACCTATTCTGGTTTACTTTGCTCTACCCTACCCTTACTTTATTGTAGTCTAACTTTGTATCCTTCTTGTTCTACTTTAGTTTTATTCTAGAAGAACACACATGTAAAATACAAAATAATTTAAAATTTTATAAAATAATTGTTATGAATCAACACAGACAATAATCTATAAAATTTTTACATAAAATCAGGTTTGACTAATATTATAATAACATATTACAAATGCAAATTCTTTAACTCTATTGTATTATCACATTGTTTGTAAAGTTGTGAACGTTTGCTTTATATTTCGATAATATTATATTTTTAAAACGGTTTTTAAACTTTGCAAAGTTTAAATTTTCATTTATTATTTGCTTTTTGCACTGTATTAACGCTTCGTTTTCTAATATTATGAAAGTGTTAAGTTTGTTTCTATTAATCACGTTATTAATGGAAGCTTTCTCGAAAATTATTTTTGGCCGTGACTTGGAGTTGGCACGGAACAAACGTCTTTCGGTATGTCTAATAGCTTCATAACAAAATAAATGAAATAATGTAGAGCGTTTAAAAAGTCGTGTCGTTTTTAGGGTGGAAATATTTGTCCAAAAACGACAAGACTTTTTGTTGTTTTTAAGTTTTTATAAGTCTTTCTTTCAGTAAAAAGTTCCTCGTTTTAGGTTATTTTTACCTATTAGGTTGTTCACATAATAGAAAAGGCGAAAAATCGTTTTTATAAATTTAGGAGTCATTTATTTAGAGTTTGTACCGACAAGACCTGTATGACACCGTGGGCGATGCGTTACATCCATTTCCCGAAAACTTTTATTACAAACGAAAATGATGATTAATCGAGAAGCGAATGCTGAACAATCGTTAATTTTTTTCAAAATTTTTTTGTGAAAATTAGTGTTTGAAATTAAGCTTTAATTATCAATAAATTGTAAATAAAAAACTTTTTAACTCTCCCCCCCCCCTTCCCCATTATTTTCTAAATTTTGAATTAGTTTTACTCTGCGGTCATACCATATTTTGCTTAAATAGCTTTACCCCAACCTATTCTATCAATACCTACCCTACCCTATTTTACCTTACCCTACCGTGCCCTACCCTATCATTTCTACCTTACCCTACCCTACCTTTTCCTACCTTCCTACAGTGCCCTACCTTACCTTACTGTATCCTACCTTATCTTAGTTTACTCTATTCTACCGTCACCTATCTTACCCTATCTTATCCTATCATAACATCCTGTTCTACCTGTAACCCTCTGTTCTACTCTAACACCCAGTCATACCTTAGCACTCTGCCTTACTTTATAGTGATTTTACTTACTGCGTTTTTTTACCTTTTTCTCTAACTATACTCTGGACTCACTGTAACATTAGGCCATTTTTGCTTAGCTCTACTCTTATTCTGCTTTGCTTTTTTCTATATAAAACTGTATTCGCTCTACCTTGCTCTGGCTGCCTACCATACATCCTATTCTGCCGTACGATACTCTGTCTTATCTTTTGATTATGTAGAGCAAAAGCCTTCCAAAACCATTTCAATCAATAAATAAGTGTTTATCCAGATTGCCAGTTTAATATGAAACAGAGATAACATTGTAGTAGGAATGCAATACGATTATCTTCCACCTCCGGAGGCTCCACCTCCTCCAGAGGCACCACCGCCACCAGAAGCACCGCCACCGCCTCCAGAAGCACCACCACCACCACCGCCTCCGCCGCTTGCGCCGCCTCCGCCGCTTGCGCCGCCTCCGCCAGAGCCTCCGCCATCGGCGCTGCACAAGTTGCACGTCTTGCTACAGTACATCTTCTTTTCGGCGTCTGAGTAGTAGTTACTTTGGCAGAAGCCATTCATATTCCACGATGGGCATCTGAAGTGGGAAAAATTTGAAAATGGTTTTACGTGGCTATGTTAATATAAAAAAGATCTTTCTATTAGATGGTTCAACTAATTCTGTGCTTATTTAAATGCGAATGTTTTTAATTTACGTGTATTTCCAATTTCAAAAACGACAAAACTTTTTTAAAACTTAAAAACTAAAAAAAAATTAAAAAATTTTTTTTAATTTCAAATCTCAAACTTATAATCCTCTTCTACAGTAACATCTTACCTTGGTGAATTGTCCTTACAATCTCCAGGACAGGCATTACATGTTTTTTTACAGTAATTTTGCAAGATCGAAGCATAAACTCTGTTGGTGCACATTTGAGAGAACTGTGCACAGTTAGTACCATCATCTTTACAATCTTGAGCTAGTGCTATGTTGCACAAAACAGCTAGTCCAAGACCAGCTAATAGGTAGACCTTCATCTTATAGTAGATATGCTATACAATACTGTTGTTATGTCTACAACAATATCGTATAAAACCAACGGTAATGTATCCAACCGATGTTACTACGGTTAAAGTGGATACACTGTAGCGCCGTTGATACGATGACAAGATATGATAGATGGGATGACAGGCATAAGGCTTTTATACATGTTTTAAAAACTGAAGACCTATTCTTAGGCCAGGACAAACAGTCCCATGCCCTCCGGCGGCCGACATTGTTTTTGACGCATAACAATGGAAAAAAGCTGAAATGAACATAGGACATCTGATCAAACAGTCTTTGTAACTCAATGACTAGATTGAATGTGAAAAAAAAATGAAATTTATGTTAGAATCTGCACTTAGCTTGATGCAAATTTTGACGTTTACACGTACTGCAATGACAAACATGCACTTTAATCTTTGTAATCACGTTTTGAGCACAACTAAATTGCGTTACCTATCTCAAAACTTATGTTACAAAAAGAAAACTCTATGTTAGATGTTATTTGTTTTTTAATATTCTCTTAGAGGGCACATAATTATGTGAACAGCCTGATAGAATTGAACAATTAAGAATTCTAAGCCTACAAACTTTATTGTTTACCTTCTGTTAGTTCAACGTGTAAAACTACGGTCTTTTGATCAATCCAAAAGCCAAAAGTCATTATTATTTGCATAATGAACAAACCCAATAATGTTAATTCAAAAATTGAATTATTTACCAAAAAATGTACATCTACAGTATACACAATAAAGTTTTTTAGGAGAAAATGTAAGCGCGGTATGATAAGCTAGCAAAAAAATATTTCTGTATGTTATTTTTTTAAAACTTTATTCTAATTTTCGACGCAAAATATATAATTTCAGACTTGAAGGTGAATGGTATACTCTATTGACTAGTGTAATGTACCTTTTTATACTAAAATACGTGGTATATAATTTTTTTATTTTATAGGGAAATGGCGACATTTTGTTGGCAGAAAGATGCCTCAGAATCGCTTTGGCCTGCTCACGCTGAATTTTTGTGTAATTTAGGGATTATCAAAATGCGAACTGGTTATCTAGATCAAGCTAAAAATTTATTTCAAACAGCTACCAAAAAAGCCCCACATTTGTTTGAGGCTTACTTCAATTTGGACTGCTTTGTTATCAGGTGAGTCACACAAGGGTGTTTTTTTGGATAGGGTAATGGAAAGTAAGGCAAGATAGGGTAAGATAGAGCAGAGTAGAAGAATAAGGTAAGGTAAAATGTGGCAGGGTAAAAGTAAAGGCTTAGGCCTTCGTTAATTTCCTACCTTTATCACTTGGCTCTCCTTACCATACTTATCAACAAATTTTATTAAAAGTTTTTTATGTACAATGTAAAAAACAAGGTTGTATAGATTTCGTATATACAATAAAAATGAATTCACACACTTTGATGCTTACTAAAATTGTTTCTTCTGAAATCTGATCTTCACATTAGCATCACCTTCTTCGTCTATGTGACTTGTCTGTAGTTTATTCTTACTTTTATTGACGTATCTTTCTTCAATTCCAATATCATCTTCTGTGTTGTTAGTATCTTTAACATTAGTTTGATTATAAATCTTGTGTCTTCCTTTCTTGCCATGTTTTGTATTACTTTCCTTATCAACTTCCTCATGATTACCTTCACTATGTTCACCATGACTTCTTGTAGTAAAGGCCACACTTTTTATAGTTGTTTTAGTTACAATGCTCTTCGTACCTTTGACATCATTGCTACCAGTAGTCTCTCCACTAGTACCAGTAGTCTCACCACACAATCCGCAAGTTTTACTACAGTAATTCATCTTTGTTTCGCTACTGTAAAAGTTGCTAGAACAAAACCCATTAATCTTCCAACTGAGACACTTTGTATAAGTGTCTACACAAGTTAACGCGCCATCGTCCTTACAATAATGACAGGTCTTCTTACAGTAGTTAAAAAGCATTCCACGAAAGTAAAGGTTGTCACATAAATTAGCATATTGGGCACAATTTAACCCGATGTCATAACACTGATTGGAACTGGATGCCTTTACAGAAGAAAGACTTATAATCAAGAGGGCTAGTATAAAGAATGGCAAAGCCAACGCCATTTTAAAAAATGATCCAAGAGTAATGCCGTATTAGAAGTACTACAGTACCAAAAAAAACGTTCAAGAGTACTAAAGTACCAATATACTAATAAGACTTTTTTTTAGAAATACGACTTTAATTAAGTAAAAAAATAGTATCAACAGTAAAACCACAGCACCGTCAGTAGAATAAAATAATTGCTACTTGGTCGATAGTACTAAAGCCTTGATAGATTTAATTTTATTGTGCTACTTAGTCCATTAGTACTGTATAGTATCACCAAAACAATAACTACTATAACATAAATGTAGAAACAGTTTTAGCAGTAACAGTATACAGAGATTGCTCCTGTTTTAGTAGTACTAAAGCCTTGTCAGTACAGTACTCTCTCAGTACCTTGATTAAAAAAAACCAATTTTTTAGTATCAAAACAGCTGCCTCTCGTCAATACAATCCTATATATACCTTTTCCAATCAAATATTTCCTGTAAAACACAAAGAACCTTAAATATTTACAAAATCAAGCCAATTTCAAACAACAATCGTAAGCAAATCTAGCCAATCAAAATAACAACAGCTGATAATAGCCACAATTGACAAGCTTTGGCTAGCACAAAGCTGTTGTCAGCTAAACAAATACTTTGATTTCTTGTATTTTATATCAATTTTATAGTGATAAGAAGTTAAAATTGAAGCAAGTAAAAAGTTAACATTGATAAGATCAAAACCAACTGATTTTCAGACATTTCCGACAGTCGATGTGTCGATAATAATAAAAAGAGAGATTATCAGTGAAATGAATTCTTCAACTCTGTACTGTAGTTTGAATTTTAAAGATTTATCAAGTTTTTTTACAGAAAAAAAATTATTTTGAAGAAAACATTTTTTGAAGGTACGACAACAATATCTTTGAAGGTTCGTGGTCAGCAAACTGTTCCAAAGACTGTTTTACAGCCGTGTAACTCTCGTAGTATTGTCCTATCTGTAACACATAAAAGGATACTAATAGGTTTTCAATATCCTACAATACCATACCCTGCTCTACATATGATACCCTACCTTACATTACCTTATCCTGCCACATTTTACCTTACCCTATTCTTCTACTCTGCTCTATCTTACCCTATCTTGCCTTACTTTCCATTACCCTATCCAAAAAAACACCCTTGTGTGACTCACCTGATAACAAAGCAGTGCCAAATTGAAGTAAGCCTCAAACAAATGTGGGGCTTTTTTGGTAGCTGTTTGAAATAAATTTTTAGCTTGATCTAGATAACCAGTCCGCATTTTGATAATCCCTAAATTACACAAGGATTCAGCGTGATCAGGATTCGAAGCCAAAGCGATTCTGAGGCATCTTTCCGCCAGCAAAATGTCACCATTTCCCTAAAAAAGTAGAAGATGCGCCAAAAGTTCTGTTACAAAAATTTATCGGTCGTTTTCTCTATGTTGCGGTTAAATTATTTAAAATTTTTTATTTTGTCTTTTTCTCCGTGTTTTTTATTGTATAATCATAAAAGATAAGTCTTCATTGTCTACCGTCTGTCTGTATTTAGATGTCAAAAATGAGGACTACCGTCATCAAATTACATAATGAAGGAAAAAGTAACTCCAAAATCGCGAAATGTAGACAGGACGTATTTTACTATAAAAAATATACTATACTATCCACCACAGTTAATAATTAAGTGTATGATTTTAGTAAAGCCAGTTACTTACAAAAGCAATATGAGCAGTATTGTACCATAAGTCTGGCTGTAGCTCATCATCTGCTACAGCATGTGCTTGTTCAATACAACCCAATGACAAGTCTAATTGTTGACAGTAGAAACAACACAAACCAACGTTTAAATACAACTCGGCTGTGTTCACTCCCATTTGTAAAATACGTCTGAAATAATAGATATCATACATTTTTTTTTGACAAAAAATCAAAATTTTTAAAACTTTTTTTACTTACTCTAACTTTTTTTTAATTGACGACATACCCAAACAAATATAAATATAAGCTAAAAAAATTATTTGTTTTTCAAAAAAAAATTTTTTTTCTTTTTTTGCCATGCCCTATCTAATAGTGTAAGAAAATACTGCCTTACCGATAAAACTTGACGGCCAATTCAGGCTGATCACTGTAGAAGAAGTTGGTCCCAATACAAGCAATAGCTTCCACGTTCGACGCTTCTTGATCCAGTACTTGTTTGTAGAATTCAATCGATTTGTCATTCTCTCCAAGTTGCTAAAAATGACGTTTTTACTTATTATCATGATAAAAAAAGTATACTTAATATATATTTCAGTACCCAATCTGCAATTCGCTGAAACACAACGCCAATGTGGCGGGAAATTCAAAAAAATGGTTTCTAGACCTTGATTTTCTCAAGTCTAGCCGCTCCTACATGTTGCCCATGCCCAATAAGTAAACCAATTATAAGCCCAGAAATACCTCAAAGATCCTAGCAAGTCCAGTAAGTAGAGTAACATCGCTGTGAAACGAGTCCAGTCCAGTTTTATAGTGATCGATGGCGCTTAACGGTTGATCTAGTCTGATATACACCTTGGCAAGATAAGCGAATGTTTCGACTAGTTTAATGTTTCGTAGAGATGAAGAGAATTGACGTTCAGCTTCACGAAGCATTCCTAATCTAAAATATTTTTTAAATTTAAATTTAAATAAAAAAATAAGAGTATAACATTAGTAATCAAGTGTTCTTTCATTATGTCAGCAAAAACCGTATTTTACTTGTAACACAAGATAACAGTATATATAAGATCTCATGTGATCTTATGTGAATGAAAGCGTATAAGTATCCTTACCTATAATAACACTTTCCTAGCTGATTCTTCCAGTACCAATCTCCGTATTCTGCTGCTTTTGTTGCTGATGCTGCTATCTAGAATACATAGTACTGTAATATATCTTGTTATGTTTACATAACAGTTCCGTAACATGTACTACATTGTTCTACCCTACCTTATTATAGTCATTACCTTGCTTTATGTTGAACTACCGTATCTTACTTTACTGTACTACTCTGTCTTACTCTATCTTATCCTACCCTATCTTACCTTACGTTACCCTTCTCTATCCTACCTTACCTGTTACCTTACTTTACCCTACCCTACTAAAACCTACTCCACCTTATCCTAACCTTACCTATAGTACTATGCCGTACCTGCCTCTACAATACTTTTCCCTGTATTAAACCATATCACATTATCCTACCCTATCCCTATCTCAACTTGTACTAATTGTTCAAATTAAAAATTGCCTTACCTGATGCGCAGTCTTCATATCGCCTTCATGCAGAAACACGTACTCAAACAAGTACCTGTTCACAGTAGGATCAGCCGCATACTTGTCAATGTTCAACCGTGACAAATTCAGAAATTGATCTTGTTGAGCGATCATCGACGCTGTCCCCAACCTCACCTGCCGTGCCGTCGCTGAAGATATCGGTCGAGAAGTTCTGGCCGTCCTAGACGTCCGTAGCTGCTGTTCCATGGTACCAGTCTTGAGCCGACTGTCTGGTCTTACTACTCCACTTAAAGGTCGTCCAGACTGAGTTCTAGGCCGGAGAGCTGGCGAAGGACCTCCGCCAGTTGTGACCGGTCGATTCAGCGATGTTCCCGGTCGTGCTCCTGTAGCTATGGCATGGTCATCCATGTAGGCATCAGCTAGACCTGCTTCGTCATTTTCTAGTTCGTCGATGAAGACTTCTTCGGTGAAACAGGCTAGTTTGAGAGACCAGGCGGCCTAAAATATGTATTTGCTTTAAAAGGGTTTTTATCTAAATTTATACCTGAAAAGCAGTTATTATACACTTTATACAAAAATTATACCTAAAAAAAGTATTTATGATACCTAAAACACATTTTGAAACAATAAAATTGTATTTTTTTAATTTTAAAACGTCAAAAAACCTTAAAATCATGTAAAAAAAGATATTATAATAGATGCCTACCTGATCAAGTGGGTTTTTCTCCAAAATTTTAGAACATTGTTCAGAAGCCTCATCAATTTTGTTCATTCTATAATATAATAAAGCTAAATATAATGGATCTAATTGCTCCATTTGGCCCGAATTTTAGGCTTCTCAATAAAAATCGACTTGTTTAGACATTTTTGAAAATCAAACTGGTGTTGCTATGGTAACAAAAAGAAAAATATAAATAAAAAAGTAAATTTAGAACAATATATAATATGCATAAATAGCTTTGAAAATGAATTTAAAATTGTTTTTATTATTAAAATAATACCGTACCCTACTCTACCCCTCCGTAACCTACCCTAACCGACTCAACACTACCCTATCCTACCATACGCTACGCTACGCTACCCTACCCCTCTCTACCATTCCTTACTCTACCTTACCCTACCCTGCCCTCCCTACTCCACTGTACCCTAGGGGTGAGGAACAGACGGGGTCACTTTTCAACCCGGCCCGTGTTCATTTTTACCTCAGGCAGGCCCAGTCCGTGATTTTTTTAAAGTGCAAGCTGGCCGGGATTTGATTTTCCGGCCCGGCCCAACCTAAATTCAGCACAAGGTCAGACCGAGCCTACACGACCTATTTCTCACCCCTACTGTACCCTACTCTTCCATACACTGCCCTACCCTACCTTACTCTACCCTACCCTAAACTAACATACCCTACCCCTTTTTACTCTAGCTCTACCTTACCTTACCTTTTATTCTACCCTATTCAAACATATCTCACCCCTCTCTTTACCTTGCCTACCAGTTTTTACTTGTTCTACCCTTCACTTTATCCCAATCCCTCTGGCTCTTTATCAAAAATCTTATAAATACATAAGTAATCCCAATCAGCAAAAATACAACACCTAGTTTAAAAATTGAAGCCCAACTAAGGAATTTTTTATAATTCAATATAATATAATTATCACCTTGACAAGAAAAATAAAAAAATCAAATTTTTTACAACAAGAATTATAAATAATGACAAGATTATGACAAACATTTGCTACAAATCATTAAATTCACCCTTTTAATATTACTTATTACAACGTCCGCGCAATGTGACTGATGGAAGAGACCCCCAATTCAAATCAAAACAAGCTTCAAATGTTTGTAAGATGTTAACCTTAATATCAATCGCCCTGTTCAGCCTCGTCAATTGTGAGATCTACAACTCGGGCCATAGTTGCTACCAGATATGTTTGAACTACTCCATGGCTATTGGAAAACTGACCCACGAATGGTGTAGTGAATATGCTAGTGACGACCTTTGTGTGAGTTCTTTGGTTTTGGATTGGTTTTTGAAAGATTAGACGTGAATTTTTAGGTAATATAGGTTCTGTGCTTAAATAAGCTTTAGTTTTAATATCGACTACTATTAGTTTACTGTAACAGAATTTATTAGCAGCAAAGTTTTTGGGATCACTTCCCACAATATGGTTTTAATGGAAGACTGATGATTTTACAAATAGAAAAACAGTTAAAAGTCAGACAAAGACTATTTGGACAATTTTCTTTGTCTTCAATCTTACGAAAATATGTTGATTTGTTAACTTGTTTTTAATCGCTTTTGCGACAGGTTCTAAAATGTTCGGATTTGTTAATAATAGCTGCCAAAACTAAAACTTGTAAGAAGGTCTAATAAAAAATGGCAAAAACTCCCAATTTAACATAAAGTTCACATATTAACCTTGATTTTTGTAAAATACGACACCGAAATAAAAAACAAATTTTTAGAAAACAGCAGAATGTTGGAGTATGTGTCGAGACCTAATAGAGCCAGAAAACTCTATAGATTTCTACTCGTTTCAATCTGATAATACCACCGAACTTGTTGAAGTTGAGGAAGAAGATGAAGATGAACTACAAGTCATAAAAGCTGACGAACATAACAACAGATTATCGTGTACGTTTATATCCTTAACATAAAAACCATATTTGATCTTTTGATAAACATAAACTAGCCCTATACTAGCCAAATAACCTTGGCTGATCTACTACAACATGTTTTTAAAAACAATTTATTTTAACCCCGCCCAAAAATAAAAACAAAATTAAACGTATCCAATATCTAAATTTAGTATTTGAAGTAAACTCACGTACCCTCTACATTGTTCTCGCCTTCTTGGCCGTTCAACTAAACGTTCTTGTTCTGCTCATCGCTTGCGGCGTCCGACGATGTTCTCCTGAAGGAATTGGAGTCGAAATTATATGACGTATACAACATTATATTGTATAAATTTTCATTTTTTTATATATACTTGAGTACAATAAATATTTTATTGTAAAATGACCAAAAATCACATTAAAAAAAGTATACATACCAAGGTAAGAAAGGTCCCACAACGCAAACAACTAGTGCGAAAAATTTGTGGCATTGTGTTTTAAGAATGTACAATTTGTCAGTTGTTGATCTAGATCAATTTAGCACTAACAAAGTACAAAATAAACATGTTTGCAACTTTATAAAATAAAAAATGTCTTTAGGGGATTTGTTTTTTATTTATATATCTTGTCGTATATTATTATTTGCCTAAAACACAAAATAAAGAAACCGTTACGCGAACACTTGTTTATGACTTTAGAAAACACTTCTAATCATGCAAAAAGCTTTCAGACATGGGCGGAACACATTCACAGCCAGAGGAAGCAAAATCAGTGTACATCAACGAGGACGATGTGCCTGAAGCTTATAGGACTGTGGGTGTATCACAAGATGTGGTAAACGCGGTAAATCAAGCTCAAAACAGGACCGGCAAAGTGGTAATAGAAGCAGCAACAGACCCAGAACTTGCGTGAGTTATTTTTACTTGTTTTTTCGATGTTTAGGTTATGGAAAAGTTAAATTGGGATCAAAAATGCATGGATAACATCGAAAAAGGCGGAAATAGTGTGTAAAATTTTGCTTTAGAGCTTACATGAGTTAAAAACGGATAATTTAGAGATTTTTTCCTATTGGGAAATTCAAAAGTCAACTTACATTTTTATTGACAAAAATTATCAAAAATGAAAAGTTTCCTTTGATGACACTAAAAATTTGAATAATTTGTTTATGACGTGGTTATTTGAAGAAAATAGCAAAGCTTTCATTTTGGATTAGGTTTATCATTGATAGTTCTGTACCATGGCGATTTTTGGATGTTGTATTTGTGAAAAAGGAGGTGTTTGTGCTGAGCATACTAAACCTGTTATTGATCAATCTAACGCGCCTTGCTGCAAGGTTGATCAGAAGCCGTTTAAGGGCGATATTGCGTTAGTTTTTTTGGTTACTTTTACTTCTGTTAGGGCTTGAGGTTTTGCCAAAGCTTTTGTATAGGTTTAAGGCCGGTAGTTACGAGTTAAACGTCATGTACGGTATAATATATTATTTTAGGTTGATATAGTCTTTTTTAAATACTTTTAAAATTTATTTTGAAGTTTTTAATATTTGATTTTTAGCAAAGAACTAGACCGACAGAGAGATGAGAACCGAAAACTTCGCGAGGAGATGTTGAGGTTGTCACAACTCCAATCGCGACAACTTTCTTCTGTTTCCGCCAACACTAATGACAGTCGGGCCGAGATCGAAGAGAAAAAACGAGTATTCCAAGACACCGTCGACCGTGTGAAAGAGCAGTTCTTTGGTTATCAAAAGGAGAATGTGTGTGCTGATGTTGAAAAGGTAAGTCGTTTATATGTTCAAAGGTTTAGAAGGAGGTAGGATAGGAACTAGCTATTGTAGTAGGTGCCATGTGATAGGATGTTGGAGTTGTGGGTTAAAAGTGGGTATTGTTTATGTTTTTGAGTTTGGGCTTATGAATTGTGACTAGAATCATTTTTTCAAGATCAAGCCATTTTTTTTCTTTGTTTAACCGCTAGTACGTCTAAGTTAATATTTCCCAATTTACAGTAGAAAGCTTTACTTACTGTAGCTTTTGAGTGTAAAATTATGAGCGGAAGAAGCGTTTGACTCATTCCGAGCGGCGCCTTTAAAGTCCAACCTTGATTTTGATCTTTATCAATGCGAAAATACTTCTTTACGGCATTGACGATTAGCTGAGTGAGAAAAAAGCGACAAGTGTAATGTAGAAGTGCGGGAATTTAAATATTAAAAATTTGTGAGGATCCAGAGGTTTTATGTGAACGTGATATGCTTGATATGACTTTGGTATTATTATCTATTCTTTGTGGATATTAGTTATGGAATGGTTAAAAGATTCGTAGAATAGGGTTTTTTGTTGATTTTTTTGGGTTTTTTACATACTTTTTGATTGAAGAGTAAAAATATGGATAATATTGTAAATCGTATTCTTCATGATTGAAGATCTGAAAGGTGCTGTGCCGACGATACACGTGGGCCCGAAAGCCGGTGCCCAAACTAAGTCGCCAGGGGCCCATTACTTTATAGGTCTACACGAAAGTCTTTATTTGGGCAGGGGCGGGCATTTTCATCTTTTTTTTTTTGACAAAATTTGAACGTGGTCCCTCCTGTTGATCAAAAAGTTCAAAAAATTTTTTTAAAAAGTTTTTTTCTGGATTTAAAGACGTCACTAATATCAAAATAGTTGACCAATATTTGAATTTTTCAAATTATTTATTGAAAGAAGTGAAAGCAATGTCCAGGATAAATATTTTCGTATTATTTTTAGTGTGATTAAACGATTTCGGCATTTTTAATGACGGTTTTATGACGATTTCAAAGGATTTAAATATGTTTGTTTTCATAAGAAGATGACTTTTAATTAATGCCATTTGAAAGGGAAGTTTCTCAATTTTTAATTTTAGGCGATAAGTTTAGAAATTTTGAGAAAATAGACGTTGAACTTGGCTTTAAGTTAAGTATGGGACACTGCTACAAGTTTTTTTTTCTGTAGCGGGGGAGGGGGGTTGGGTTAATCTAGTTTAAAATTTGGAAAATGGAAACTTTTAAAATTTAACTTTTTTGAAATTTTTTTTAAAAAAATATGTCAATATTACTACAGTAACCCCCAACAAGATGACCAAATTCGTTGCGAAAACCAATTTTATACCTTTTCTCGTACACGAAAACGTGCGATCTAATGGGATTTGGGTGGCGGATTAGGGATGATTGAAGGCATTTCCAGAACAAACGACATTAATTAAACAAACCAAGAACGACCTCGTCATAATTGTGACATTTTCTGAGGGGAACGAAAGGTTTTTGAGTAATTGGATGGGAATTGAGATGGATTTTCATTGGCTTATATGTAGAGTTCCTGAGGGTTCCGAAGCCGGCTCCGGGGTAGCTGCGGAGCTGGAGTCGGAGGTAAAATATAAAAAAAAGGTGGAGCCGGAGATGCAGCTGATGTTGGGAATTTTACATCTGGAAATTTTACTTATAAATAGCAAAGTTAGGCTTTGGAAGTGGATTTTGATTTTCTTTATTTAAAAATTTTTTCCGAAATTTTAAATTTGATTTTAATTGAAATTATGACTTGATGACATGACTTTTCTCATAAAGCGTAATGTCAAAAGGTCGGCTATGAAACAGCGTTAAAAACGATGTTATATTTGCTTACCTGTCGGGTTATGTAAATGCGAATATGATTGATTTGCTCTGATTTCCGTTTAGCGCTTCTTGGAGTTTTCATTACTGGGCGGCGAGATTAGGATGGGGTTTTATGTAAAATACGATTTGGATATTTTTAGAATATTATTCTTTAGAAACCCAAGAATATTGTTGACTATAACGAATCTTTCCTTATGAAGAAAGTCGTCTATATTTCAAAGTTTGATTTCAATTTTACAGACCCCTGGCGCTGTATATTTTACAAACTCGGGGCGGTTTTGTAGGTTACCGCGCCGTATTTACGACCAAAATGAGGCGAGTATTCTTCTTTTGTTTGACTTTTACGAAACTTGAGTTAATTTTGAAAAGATTTACTCTTGTTTGAAAATGTTTTATCTTGACTTTCAGTAGCCATGAAAGGGGATCACTAGGGCAGGACTGGACTGGGCCAGGGACGTCGCTACGGTTTTTCTTTGGGGGGGCTACCTGTGGACCGATTTTTCAAAAATTGTTTTTTTCTTTTTTCGCGTACAGGTACCTACCTACCTGTGGATTTTTTTTCGGATCGGCTCTGGTCACCCCGAACCACCCCCCCCCCCCCCCCCAAACGACGTCACTGGGCAGAAGCAAAATTGAAAGGCGTTTAAGGGCCGTGGTTTAAAACGGGTTCTAGCGTTTTTACAGGTTTACTTTTGAGCTTAAAATTTGTTTTTTGTTATATTATTATGACTTTTCTTATTATAACTTACATTTTTATAACTTTTTTGGCAAAAAATGATAAATTTTGGCCATTTTTTGATTTCAATTTTATTTTTGTTTAACTTCCTAGCTATTATTCTTTCATTTTTTATGTTTTTCTGTGGTTATTGTGTCATTTCTGTCGTTGATCACAATCAGGTTTATAGGTTATGCGGCCAGTTTTTATAAACTGACACTTGCGCAGTGATAACTTTTATTTTTAATCCGAGATGATAATGTGATTGTAATGCTTTGTCGCGGGTTTTCTGGATTGTGGAACAGATGGGAATGTCAAAAAATCAACTTTCGAGTGGGGTGGCCGTATTTTACCTTTTTTGTGATAAAAATTAGACAAATTTTTTAGTTTTGGATATTAAGTTAGGCTTGTATTGGCGTTTTGTAATGTTGAAATAGTTTTTTGGCACTGTTCTTTCTAGTTTAGCTAAACAATGCTACTACACAAAAATAAAACTCTTAGATTGTTTAAATAGTTTTGTGCTCCTTATTAAAGCAAGTTTCCGGCATCAATGGGCACAGAATTATTTCACCTACCTGATATATTAAGTTAGTTAGTCACTTTACTTTTTCAACTAAAATAAACTATATACGGTAGTAAATCAACGAATCGTGTGTCAACTCTTTTCGCTGAAGCTCGTAAATTAAAATACGTTTGATCTACTTGCCGCTGGTCATGGTTTTCACCTAATTTACGAGGTTAATCACGACTAATTGCGAAGTTTGGTTTGCATTTTGGTTGTTGTTTTAATCAAATTTATTGGTCGGTATATGAGAAGTTGGGTAATGGGTAATTCGATGGTGGTTAGTGCAAGTTTCAAAAGCAAAAAGGCTGTTCAGGAGAAGGTATTCAGAGTTATGTAGGGTTTTGAATGGTTATTGTAACGAGGAATGGAGAAGTTAAAATGGTAAAGAAGCTTCAAGGGGTTGGTTTGGCCTTGGTAGATTTTACAAGTTTTTTGTATATTTGATGATTCTTAGAGGTTTTAAAATGTAAAATTACACTGTGCAGGTCAATTTGTATTAAATCTTGGGTCTTTTGGTTACAGTCAATAATAGATTTGTAAAGAGGCCTGTCCTTGGTGTGGGATCCTACACTTTTTGCAAGTCAAATCTATTGTTGCGGCATCTAAGCTGGCTTCCGGAAACCAGGTTGGTATCAAATCTTGTAATGAGAAAATTTAAAAATTTATAATGCTCTTTTTTAGTGTTGTTTTACATCTAAAAAAAGAGTTTTTAATGTTGTTTTACATCTATAAATTTTTAAAAATTATAAACTAATATAAAATATTTAATATTTAAAGTAGATACGTAAAGAGTAAGAGGTCGACCCCAATTTTTTTGGCCTATATCCTTTAGAAGTTGTTTTTTTCAGCCTGGGGGCGAGACCGGACCGGGCCTAGTGGGTAGGTATAATCTAAAGAGATGTTTTCTTAAATTTTTTAAAAATGAACATTTAAACGAAGTTTAAAAAGGAAAGTCTACTTTTTCATAATTAGTAAGAAAGTAAAGACTAACTTTATTTATAAAAAAAGCTACGCTAGATTTTATCAGTCGAACCTGACAGAACGTTAGTTTTTTGTTTGTGTATGAATTGCAAAAGTTTTGTAAAATACGTTAGGAAATTCGAAATTTATGAAACAACTCATAACATTAAAAACCAAGAAACTACTCATAGTTTAAAAACAGTTTTGAAAAGTGTATAAGAACTTGACTCAAGGCCAAGATATTCAAATTTTCTCATGACCCTCAAACGGTCGAGCAATGAGGCAAGTCGGACTAAGAGGCTCTCGCGATCGAATGAATGTTTTGAGAAGAGGAATCGGTTTCCACCTCAGCTGGAAGCATTCTTTTCTCGGTGTATTTTGGGTTATTGAGATTCTTAACGGACGATTGAATGGGAAATTCGTGTCTGGATCAATATTATTAAGGGATTTGGGGGCAGGTTATCTTGTTCTTGGTTTGTAATTAGAACTGAAAGGGCGCTCAATAGGCTTGGCTTATCGTTCTGTATGGGGCTATATGTAACTGGTTTTCATATCAGAACGACTCGATAAAGGGTAGAAAACACTCGATAAAGGCCAAGACTAGCGCTATGTCAAAGTTAGAGAATATGTCGCTACACATGACAGGACGTGTTGCTTATTATAAAGGTCATATGCTAAAGGATACTGTAGCTCAAGATTTAAAAAACCTTTAATTTTGGGATTTTTCTGTTGTTTTAAACGATGTACTATACGAAGATGACTAAGCCGACCATTTTTAGGTAACGTGTTAGAAAATAGTCTTGTTATGTATTGTTAACCTAAATACATTACTCATGCGTTAACAAACGAAAATGAGTAAAAGAGCTAAATTTGTTAACACAGGCTCTCTTCGAGTGCATTAAAGACACATAAGTTACGTTAAGAGTGAGTAAGCAAATACGAATGTTACGAAAAACAGAATGAGGAAAACATACAAGCTTTACTGTTAAGGACAGCGAGATCTCGCTGTCGTCAACAGTAGAGAGCGCCAGGCGAGAGGTCAAGCTTTTGGGGAGAGGTCAGGGCTGAGGAAAGGGGAAGGGGGTGTTGAAGTAGGGGAAGATAATCAAGGATTTTGTTGGAAAGATTTAGTCTACTTGAGTAATCGGTACTGCGTTAGAAAAAGGGGTCTAGAGTATGATGACTTTTACTTTTCATAAAGCTGGGTACTGTAAAATTTTGTAAGAAAGTACACTGTAACAAAGACTATGGCAACTGATTAGTCAGTGATCTTGAAAATTCGTTGCACTGTTCGGATATTATGATATTGTTTGTTCAAATAATAAGGTGCCCCTCTCAAGGCGAATTTTCGCGGTTATAGGGCACAAAATTATCTGAACAAACTAATACGTATAGAGCCATACTAAGTTAAGAACTGCAGTTATTTCAAATGTCTACAGAATTTTACAACAGATTTTCGATTTCAACTTTGTCGGACTGTAATTCCTTTTACAAAAACGAACGCTCACTTTTGAATTTGGCGTAAAAAATGGCGCGAAAGATTGCTGGACGAGATAAGGCCGAGCTGTTAGACGTTGAAGTAATAAATAATAAAGATAATGGATTTAACGGACAAAAGGGCATCTGTTTTGTATGTGATAGGTATCTGTTTTGGAGCTTGAGGGTTTTTGATGGAAATTTTTTTGGTGGTTTAATTGATATTTTTCTGATTGGTTAATAAGTTTATGGACATTTTTGTTGTTATGGCTGAGTGAAGATGCATAGATTTATTAACTTATATAGTTGAGAAATGAAGATTGCAAGTTATGGCAAAGTCTTGTAAGCTTACAATTGAAAAAACAAGCGAGCTTAAATTTAAAAAACGAAATTTACAGGGTTTAGAGATTGCTAATTTTGACTTTTTTAAAGATTTAAGACTTGAAATAACTGAACCTTTAAGATTATAAGCTTTTGAGATAGTAAGGGGATTGTGAGATAACAATTTTTCTTCAACAACAATTTTTAGCAACTGCTACGCTGCCTTCAACACAACAAGACGAAGGTGTTGAACTGCGAAAGCCTACGCTTCGAGCTGGACAAGTGTGTCGCTGAAGTCCGCAGCGACGTCCTAAAACAAGCCTAAACGAAGCGAATGGTCAGAAACAGGATTTGGTTTCTCTCCAACTACCTTCTAGTTGTATCGTTCAGTTTTCTTAGATGTTTCATAAATAAATCTACATAGACGTGTAGTTTTGATCGGTTTTAGGGGTTGGGGGAACAATTGAGGATTTTTCTGAAAAAATGGATGTTTTTCGGAATGTAAAATGTGGGTTATTTTGGTGATAGAATGATGGGAATATCGTTGAAGAAGGTATTCTGAAGGTGTATAACTTTATATTTTTTATGAAATTTTGAGTTATCGTGACCTTTCTCTACATTTTGAAGCCGAGTTTGCGTGTTTTTGTAGCTTTTTGAAGTTGTAAAGCCTAGGGACGTTTGCCTGTATATTGGTTAATATCTTGAAAACGAAAAGCGTGCAATAACTATAATCCTTTTCATTCCCTTTCCAGGATGACAATAGACTTTGGCGACGAATGTCTGCCATCCCCAACACCATCAACCTCATCTCCCGTCCACTTATGGCCGTCAAAGTCGAAAAGGAAGTATAACGTCAATAAAACACCGCTAGGAATCCCGGTTTTATGTTGGGTTTTATTGAGTATTGGATTGGGTTTGGTGATCCTAGGAACGGCCGGTATTTACCTGATTGGATTGAGTTCCGGCCCTAGAGTTTTGTACTTGAAAAGTGGTTTGGAAGAGCCGGTTGATTTTGTACAGTGCAGTTATGGACAATGTACCGAGTTTCAGAATTGTAGGTATAGGTTGGGAGAGAAGATAAAGGCATATGTTCAACCGTTGGTGGAGCTGGTGGATGCGGTAAAGAAAATTTTAAAATTTTCCAAAGACTTTTTTTTAATTTTTCAAATAAATTTTAAAAAAATGTTTTATTATCTGCTCTAAACCTTTAACCACCATCCTCTTTCAGGACGGCGCAGCGGTTGCCGCCGTATCAGCCGAGTTCCTAGCCCTTCGGAGAGCTTTTTCAAACCATGTTGAGCTGGTTGATAGTGCCGAAAAGGCTTGTTTAACTGTGCCTGGTGTTGATTTTACAAATTTGATGAAGTTCAGGTCAGGAAATGTTGTTCAAAGAGCTATTGAAGCAGTTGAAAGGGACCTGAATGGGGCCAGGACAAATATATTGTTGTTCAACAACATTGGAATGATTGAGAAAATGCAGTACAAGGTAATTTTTTAAAATTGGCGGGACGTTTTTAAAATTTTTGAAAATGAAAAAAATTTTTTTTGTGAAATTTCGAAATTTTATTTAAAAAAATTTTTTTTTGAAAATTTTAGAATTTTTTAAACTTTAAAAAAATTCTCAACTAACTATGAAAAAAAGTAAAATTTTAGCTAAAAACCTTATTTTAGGTAATATGGGCAAGTGCCGAACTCACAGCGAAACAATTCCGCTCTCATTATGATATTGCCGTTCCACCTTTGAGACCATATAACTTACTATCAGCTGATGGACTACAGAATCAATTATTCACAAAAAGAGAAGAGATCATATGGACGGTCTATACTAGATTCGCTGATCAGAAAGTTTTTGCCGAAATGGAAAAAATCATGAATTTGTACGAACCAAACGCTGATCGGATCGTTTATGGGGGTAGGTTAAACAGAAATTAGTATAGCTCGAAAATTGGGTTACGGATTGGGCTGAGATTTTGGAAATATGATAATAATGTCTTGTATAGTTGATAGGAAAGAAGACAATGTTAATTTTTCAAAAGTTTTAAGTCACTAAAGTTTGTATTTTGCGCCAATTGGCGTAGCGTTTCAAAGTTTCATTATAGCAGATCAAACTGAAGTGGATCCTTATGACATTTTCAGCGAATACAAATACCTCTCTCAAATCAAATTTTTGGGGCTAGAGGCACATTATTTTGTAAACATCATAATAATAGCGACCATTTCAGTTGACCTACCAGGTGACAAATTCAACGTGACCCACATCTTAGACCAAAAATCGAACGAAGTATTCGAATACTCGAAACTCCTCAAAGCCTCCACCTTCACCATCATAAGCGACGATGTGCCAGGCTATCAGCTGGCCATAGTAGACGCCCTCCAGTCCCAGTCCATCCCCGTTGTCATCAGTGATGAATATGTGTATCCTTTCGGCTCGGAACTTGAATGGAAACGTTTTTCAATTAAGGTACCACGACAACAAGCCAATAATCTTGTGATCATACTGAACAAGTTTGACCAAACTGCCATCAAAGAGATGAGAAGCTTGGCTAGGGTAGTGTACGATGAGTTCATGGGCTCACCGGAGAAAGTGGTTCAGGCTACGCTGGCTTCGATCAAAAGAAGGTTTTCGAATGACATCTATGGAGGCATGGACAGGTTGGGAGAGGGAACACAGGGCGTTAAGGTAGGTGTAGGGGTGAGAAGGTTTATTGGATGAGTTACAACATTGTCAGTACTATTCTTTATACAAAAGTTATACCATAAAATGCTATTTTGAACTATAGGTAACATTTTATTAAATTTTAATTTCTTAAACTATGCCACTTTTCAAAACATTTGTTTTAGATCTTCAAAGGGATCCCAATTCGATCAATGGCCAAATCTGTTGATATTATCTTACCAATAGAGAATGCCAACGATTCCCACACCCTCCAAGACAAAATAAGAAACATCTATGAAGTTGTAGGCCAAAAAGTTGAATCAATCGCTGTCTTTTGGCCAGATGACTTAAAAGTAGAAAAACCGACTTTACTAAGTGAACATGTTCATATATTATCCACAGACAGACGTTACTTCAATAAAAACCCTGACGAAGCGGTCAGAACCCTCAGCAAGAAAAGCGATGTCACTTCAGACTGCTGGGTTGTATGGTCGTATGAAAGGAAATTCAACATGTCACAGGCCTTGTTTGATCAAGTATTCACTGTGTGGAAAGAGAACGCTGACCAGATCGTCATTGCACAAAGTAGTGAATCTGAAAGGTACAACGTTCCTACAGGATTGACGCTAGTGCATCCAGTAAGTTTTTAACTTTATCGAGTAAGACATTCATCTTTTTTACTAGGTAATGACACAGAATAAAACTGGTCAACAAATTAAATTGTTTTTTTCAGAATCTGTTGGTCGAAATGATAAAAACAAATTTCTCGACGGACAAGGCTCCTTGCACCGAGCACATTGTCCAAACTACGTCGTGTGCAATGTCAGATGGTGCGTGTGAAAAAGCGCCGGTACGTTTATGCAGGACGAAAGATCATTAAGCTACACTTTAACCACAACTACAACAATACGGGTTTTATCATTGTATTCAAACATGTAAATAAATAAACGTTAGAATTACCTAATGATAGACAATAAACGGCAGTCTTTTATTATTAACGTAGCTGATGATTAAAGGCTTATATTGATCCTATTAGGTGGAAATTTGTCATCGCTATAATATGATGAAAGCACTGTTCTATATATCTCAAACCCTTCAAATAAAGTCAACAATTTATGTATAATAACATCTTTACTGCAGAAAACAACAATAACGAGTAAAAAAATTGGGGGTTTAGATAGCTTCGTCTTTGCCCTTCTTTTCTGGTTTTCCTCCCCGAATTCTTCCGGTACGGCGGGCGGCGATGAGACCGACCTTGCGACCAGCTGATGTGCCTCTCTTGACTGTCGATGGGTGACCAATGTGTTGATGGTTACCACCACCATGAGGATGCTCTACAGGGTTCATGGCAACACCACGCACAACTGGCCAGCAGTTTCTCTTGGCCTTGTATTTGTGGTAAGCACGTCCAGCCTTCAACAAAGGCTTGTCTGTTCGGCCACCACCGGCGCAGATACCGACCATAGCGCGGTTGGCGGAGGGGACGACCTTCTTGGCACCGGATGGGAGACGGATACGGGTCTTTTTGGAGTCTTTGTTGTGAGCGACAATGATGGCGTAGTTACCTGCAAAATATAAATTAATAAAGTAAAAAAAATAAAAAGTATAAATTAAAAATATTCTACATTTCTCAATATGCCGAATGTCATGCTCAATAGAATTGCAATAAAATCATTAACTGACGAAATTGCGACCGTCAAACATCGAATGATTTTGGCGGGGTATCGGCCCAGGTAACGTACAAGACACTACCTGGTTCCTATCCGCCTACTATTCTCATACTCAAACCTTTACATAAAAAATTTCTCATTACTACACGAAGTCCACTAAATTACTATACCTAGATTTACCTAAAAGTCTTAACCTTAAACTAAATGTCACGCTGATTAAAATTGCATTTAAATTACAAAAATTAAAATGCGACCGTCATACGTCGAATGCTTTTGGCGGGGTATCGGCCCAGATAAAGTATACTACATTACCTGGTTCCTATCCGCCAGCATCTTACACCCATGTGCAGAAATAAGCTTCTAGAATAATTTAACTACTACTTCCCACATTACTTACGCTACCTAAACCTATCAAAAATCATTAAATATTCCACATGATATTCCATTTTTTGTGACAATATTTAATAATTCTTATGTTTTAAATGTCTTGTCCAAATGAATTGCATTTTCCTTATAAAAATTAAAATGCGACCGTCGAACATCGTACACTATCGGCGGGGTATCGGCCCAGATTAAGTATTAGACTTTATCTGGTTCCTATCCGCCACAAACTACCTTTCAAAATAAACTAACCAACCTTTAACTAACCTAACTTATAAGACCCTAGTAAACCTGAATCTAGCTCTAAAAAGACAGACCAAGCTTCCTACCAGTTATAAGTCATAATCTAACTTTTCCAAAACTTTTCTAACCTAAGGTAATATAAAGCACATTCCACTTCGTTTTTACCTAAATAATTAACAAAAAACGAACAAGACATACCTGAGCACTTAGCCAATCGTCCACGGTCACCAGTCTTCTCTTCGACATTACACACAGCAGTACCTTCGGGCATTTCACCAACAGGCATGATGTTACCTACACCAAGATGAGCTTTGCGGCCGCAGTACAAGAATTGTCCAGTGTGTACACCTTCAGCAGCGACGAACAAATGCTTGTCCTTCTTGTACTTGTATTGGTTGCGGAATTGGACGACGGCAAGTGGAGCACCACGTCCGGGATCGTGAATAATGTCCTTCACAACACCACGAATGTAGCCATGACGTTCGGCGAAGTCTACCGGTCGGAGCTTGGCTGGTCCCTTACGGTGCTTGTTGTGGGACTTGAAGACTGATCCACGTCCCTTACGCTGAGAACGGATTCTACGACCCATTTCACCCTATAATAATATATAGAGTTGTTAAACTGTTAATAACAAGCACGGAAATAAACACGAAAAAAAAACATTAATATCAAAAACCCTAAATTCTTTCAAAATATTCTTCCCAAACAATTTTAGGTAACAAAACCACACTTTTCAAGTAAAAACCTATCTGTTCTAACTAATAAAACAACGTAATTCAATCCTTACATCCAGCAAACATCTCTCTAGCTCTAGTTTTCTTCCTAAAAATTCAAGAACAGAATGAATTAAAACGTACCTTTTACTAGTCCAATCAACTTTTACCCTCTAAAACAAGATAAACAATAAAACTTAAATATATACATACAAATTTACAAAGTAAAATTATAAAATACTATTGAAATAATTTAAAATTTACTAAAAAAGTAAAAAAATTACGGATAATTCCCAAAAAGAACAAAAAATTCGCAGTGGAAATATAGGTCTACAGTAATTTCTGGCGTTCCGCAACCTTTTCACGGCGGGACCTAAAGTGCGCGCACATTTAAAAGTAGTTTTTCGATTATCGGACTTGCGGCATTGAAAAAAGTGCCAGAAATGGATATGTAAAATAAATTTTGTTTACGAAATAGTTTTTAAATTTAAAAAATTTTTTAAATGAATTTGAAAAATTTCAGTTTTTTATTGATATTTGGTTGTTTTTGACGTTATTTTGACTTATGTCATCGATTTTAAACTCAATATACGTTGCAAATTGTCTGCTTTATTGTTTGCTAACTTTAAATTCAAGTTTGGTAAAAGTTTTTCGCTCGTACGTCAAGATAATTAGTCTGTACGTTAGTTTATATGTCGAAAATTGGCCAAATTTCCTTTTTTCTTACAAATTTTGCCAGTTTCACCGCTTCCATTTGTGGCCACACTACTGCCAAACGTTTTGTGCGCTTTTGCTGAACGTTTTACACAGTAGAAGGCCATAGTAACTTGGTTTCATTTGAATAGAATTGGCTATTATCAACTTTTAATAAACTATTGTGCTTTTCACCTACTATAACATCGTATAATATTGCTATTATTACTGGTTAAACTGCGGAGCTTAATATAAAAACTGTAGTATGGTACCTTTGTTACCATCTTATCTGACATTGTTTATAACAGATTATTGACTCTATTCCTCTCATATTACACTAGCATACCTAATGTTCCCGATAAGTTTGCAAATGATGAAACAGCAGTTTCAGACCAGTACCATGAGTACGTACTCAATGAGTTCACAACATTTCGTACCATCTCCTGATGTCATGATGACCATCGTGTTTCCGACCATCATATTTTGTATTGGCATGGTTGTGGCCATGTTGATAGGTATTAACAGGTGTAAACAATGGGAGTTGGATAAGATTGTTGAGATGAGAAGAACAAGAAGAGTAATACAAAGGATAACAGCGAGATTGAGGGAGAAGAATTTTAGAACTATACAGAGTAAGATAGTGGTATTTCATCGAAGGTTGTCTATGTTATCATATATTACTTATTTCGTGCGTTCAAATAATTATGTGCCCCCTTTCGAAGCAAATTTTAGGTGTTACGGGGCACAGAATTATTTGAACAAACTAACATAATCAAAAGCAAAACTAATCAAGTAAAAACCAAAAATAACCAAGTATAACATCTTCAGAAGCCCGTCACATTCGAAAGCGAGCAGTAGCATCAGTAAATTCAGAAACGACGGTGAATCGAAACTTTAAAGGATCTCCGGCACCGCCTGTGTACTCCGACCGGTCGGTGCAATATTCTCCGGGGAATTCACCTCCACCAGCCTATGATGATGTGTTAGATGACTTGTACTACGAATGTATGCCGCCGAATGCCAAAACAAAGAATAAGGAGCATTGGAAATAGATCATAGTCCTTCTTCTGATAAGATTTTTGATTTTATATTGTTTTAGAATGTTCAGAAAGTAGGTTGAAACTATTTTTTAATTTACATGATCTTGCTCGCTTTGGCCTTCATTTTCATGCTTTATTATACTTACTTTTTGACCAACAAATCAAGCGTTTAATAGGTCTGTTTGGCTCTTCTTTATTAGATTGATGTCTATATTTTTAAGACTTTTCACAAAATTTATATTTTTTTTTTAATTTTCAAGTCTTCAAGCCATATTATTATACATTACACTACCATTCCATTGGCCTTGGCACAACATTTTACAAATTTCGCTCATTTTCAAACCCAAATAAGCTTTTTAAAATAAGTGTAATCTTATGCTCATTGTTCAATTTTAATGTAAAATTCATAATATTGAAGTATCAAAAAAGTCTTGTCGTTTCTGAAGGCATAAGGCAATAGCAATTGACGACAAGACTTGTTTTATACTATATCTTTCTTTATATATCCCGATATATATGTTATCGTCTATTTCAAGCCCTTTCAACCGTAGTAAATCCTGTAATTTCGTTGTATCAAGGTGTTTATCAGCCAAGCAATATCAGAAAAACTTTTAAAACCCAGTTTTTGTGTTTTCATGTCGTATAAACTGATATATAACTCAATATAGCATTTTCAAGACTTCTTTTTGCATTTATCTATCTTTATATTAATGTGATTCCTTATAAAAATATTCTTTATGAAGAGTATCACTTTAACTCAATTTTTAAAAGCATTACGTCCATTACAATGTACAAATCTAAAAGGTTTTGTCTATCATAATATAAGGAACGCAACTCATATTGTTTCCAACAGCTAGGCCAAGTTTCCTATTGAATTTTACGTCAATTACAATCTCCATTTTTATATTATGTTATATTACAAGCTTACATTTGAATAAAAACTACAATTAACACCTTTAAACAGTATACTGCGGTAATATAGTAAACCAGCTTCAGCAACGTTCTCACGGCCTTTCTCCCACAACGTTCCACTTAAACTTTTAATATAAATTAATATTCACGATAAAAGCTGGACATAAAACAAGGGTGGGTATGGGGAAATATCATGTACACACCAAAATAGATTTAATTACCAAGAGAAAGTGGGGGGACTGATCGGATAGTTGGATCACAATTTCGTATGCTTCTTCTGAACATGGCCTTCTTAACAGCAACCGCCCGACTTCTTGTCTTGGACTGATTGACTAGGTCCGATGCGGACGGCTGATGGGTTGGCACCGCCTTGTTGTAGCGGTCCCATTCGGTTCTTGATCTCGGTTGCCATCGTGATGAAAGCCTTAAAGGCGTGAGTTTAGTACATTAAAATTTTAAAAGCATTTTAAATAAAATATTAGGTTGCTCAAATAATTCTATGCTCCCTATCTCCAAAAATGAAAAACCTCATGGGGTTTTTGATTAATTTAGATAAAAACAGTAAAAAATGGTGAAAAAGAGAATAAAGCTTCAACATTCCAACCAGTCAGAAAATGACGTTTTAACACAGTCTTTTAACTAAAATAAAACCAGTTCCTCAATTTCTTTGCCCAAATCTTACTTCACTCAAGTATTCATTAACAAAAAATGTAAAAGATTGAAAAACTTAACATAAACTTCATTCTTTAAATCGTCATGATAAAGAAAACAGTTATATTAACATCAAAATTTGATGATTTACAATAAAACATCAAGTTTTCCATTCAAAATCTCTTTTAGGCACATTTTCAGTTAAAAAAGCCTTGAGTAAAACGATAAATTCGTTTATAATTGCTCCCTTTCCAATATTGATACCTAAACTATAAGAAAATAATGCTCAAAAATTACCTGTTCGACGTTAGTAGATGACTTTGCGGAGGTTTCGAGGAAAGGTATTTGAAGTTGATCAGCGTATTCCTGAAAAAATGAAAATATAGGTTTCGAAACACTAAAAACAAGCTTAATTTTATCGTTTCTGACATTAACAGACAACATTCCTGCTTTACCATTTTAAAAAATTTAAAAAATCTAAGTTAACATTTTTTGATAAAAATCAACATATATTATACTAAAAAAATTAAACCGATCCGTAAAACCCTTATAAATATACAAAAGCATTTAACTAAACATACCTGAGCAACGGCGGTTTCGACAGCACGTTTGGGCTGGAGATCAGACTTGTTTCCGACCAACAACTTGTTCACAGATTCGTTGGCATACCGGTCGATTTCCTGCAGCCATTGCTTTACGTTGTTGAATGTGTCCTGGTCGGTGATGTCGTAGACTACGATGATACCGTGCGCGCCACGGTAGTAGGATGAAGTGATCGTTCTGAAGCGTTCTTGGCCAGCCGTGTCCCAAATTTGAAGTTTGATGGTTTTGCCTTCCAATTCGATCGTGCGGATTTTCTGAAAGAACGCGAATGTTAATTAAGGTAAAATACGCCATATTATACCAACAAAAATAAAAAATTTGCTAACATCTAAACCAATGTAAATATAAAGAAAATACTCTAAAATATCAATAATAAGACATAAACTTACGAAATCTACTCCGATGGTGGAAATGTAAGACTCAGTGTAAGTGTCATCAGCAAATCTCAACAACAAACAAGACTTTCCTACTCCCGAATCACCAATCAACAACAATTTGAACAAGTAGTCACTGAAAAATAATTTTATTAGAACATTGTCATCATTATCCAATCTATACTACAAACTTATGCCGTTCTAAACATTAACTAACCTCCTAATTAACAAAAAATATATGCAAACAAACATTTCCGATATAACTAGAATTAATTTTCAAAAATAACTGCAGAATACCACCTTTTCATACCCAACGACCTAAATCTGCACCTAACTCAACATTATTGACAAAAAATCACGTGTTACATCGAAGTCACGTTGAATATTGATTACAAAACTGATGGTAAATAATATTATTTTTCTTTTCCCAAAAATTCTTAATTATTCATGTAATCATACGCCATCCATCTTTAAATTTCGTAATCGTCAAAATCAATAAAATTTATAGATGTATATCATAATATAACTCGTTACAGAAACGTATGTTGACCTATTTAAGACTTTAAAACTGTTGAAAATGTTTTACAGTCTTTTAAAAACGTCATTAGACAAAAATAATTGAGTTGGCTTAACAAGCTTAGTTATTTTACAAAATATCTGATTTTAGTGCTTCAAAACTGTCATTACCATTAAAACATCATCAAACGCCTAGAAAACTTTTACTTCTAAGTACAAAAACATCGTCAAAAGTTAAGCAAGACTCCAGCCAACGTTATAGGTTCAAAAACATCAAAAATGAAGCATCTTAAACCTTCTAATTTCAAGGTATTACTCACGACATCGCTACTAAACTTAATACCTCAATTTTATCAATTTTTATGCCTAAAAACGTAAACAACCAAAAAATCAAACCAAAACTTACTATTCGGGGTTAACGGCCATTGTGTTAAAGTGGACTAAACCCGGAACGAGACTAGTGCAGACCTAAAAAAGCCACGTTTAATGATCGATTAAGCGCGACCACGTCACCACAACACGCTAAATGAAACATGAGCAAAACAACCCCACAAACGGTCAATTAAAATATAGATTATATAACCAAAGATAAGATTAACATCTCAAACATCCGATCCAACCACAACGCAATCAATTTGGACGAAAAAGATTGCATTGTGCACCGTTCCTCAGCCCGTAGACGCACTTTGACCGTTTTCGGGGCGGACTGAAGGCGTCTGGAGAGCAGCGCGACAAATGGAGCCACGCAGACATCGTGCGGGTCGGAGAGAGCGGTCGGACAGTGTTTTAGACAGAGCAGCAAGATCATATTTTTTTCGCGACCCGTAAAAGTAAGGAAAGAAAGGCGCAGCTCGCACAAGGGAAATAATTTTGGGCGCAGACCGCGAAATAGAAAATTCCCAAGAAATTTAAAAAAATATATGAGAAAGCTCGTATTTTACAAAAAGTAATTAGCAAATTAGGTAAAATAATAAAATAGTTAGATGTACTTATTATCTGACTTACTAAAAAGTTGAAAATTTTTGTTAGAAATTTCGGCTTTTAAGGGCCAAGAATAATTATTAGCTCTAAAGTCTTGGTGAATATTTAGTGTCTCAATGAAAAAATCGAAGAAGAAAAGAAAAATATCCAATTCAGTAAGTCATAGCAACTAAAACACTTTCAGTAAGTTAACTTAGAAATAAGTCGCTCGAATAAATTAGGGATATAGAGCAAATATTAACTCGTCCGCCAGAAGACATGATAAATGTTTTAAGACGATTTTACTAAAAATAACGAAAATAAAGCAATGTACAATTGTAGTAAGTAAAACCTGCCTTTTCTGTAATCTAAAAATACTTTTTTGTAAAAGTTTTCGATGCCTTTGAAGTTTTATAGATCAAATATTAACTTACATGCCTATAATACAACACAGTTGGGCTTCTCAATTCAATTTCATTTAAAACTAACAGTTAAAATTATAAATTCTTTATGTTTTCACAAAGAGCTGCTTTTACATAAGCTATTTCCAAAATTTTATAAAATTACAATATACCAAAAATTTTTTATGAAGCAATATATTTTATACACCATGTTGTATATGACTGAACTTTGTAAACGGTCTGGACTATCGAAAAATAAACAAATCTCTAAACTGATATAAAATTCACGGAAATATACTTTTCTGTTCACTCTTAATTATCCTGATTTAAAAATTTGTTGAGATAGGCAAACAAACTTGAAAAACTTTGACCTATAACAATATTAGATCGGTAGACTTTAAAAAACGCAGTAAATTTAAAAATTGAAGTAGTCTACGTCTAAAACATTATTTCAAAATTCTTTTAAAGCTAAATTACGGTTATAAATTGAAAAACCCTCAAGTTAACGTTGGATTTCGCGAGTTATCTTCGAAATGCTTCAGCGAATCCGGCTTTTCCCTTCTGCGCCCTCCAAGTTTTTGCTCCAAAAACTTTTCAACTTCCATTTTCGTCACGCGAATTCAGAAAAAAACTTTCAATTCTAAAATTCAGCCTGGCACTCTCTCGAGTTTCTCACAAAAACCGCATTCTTTTCTAGATGTACATGTTGTGCGTCAAAATTTTGGGAAGAAATAGGGGATAAAAGCGAGAGACGGCCGAGAAAAAGTTGGTGAGGCAGGAGAAGAGCTGACCCAAGATTTCATGAGTGGGACAAGTTCTTTCTTATGATTAATTTTATCGAATTAGACGTTGGGGAGGATGGATACTGTTCGGAATGGATTGAAATGGCTAAAGATGTTCATCAACTATATTTCTTAAGTATCAAAATTAATAAAAAGGTAGTTTTTATTGTTATGGACATCGAAATCTGGCTAGCTTATGAAAAATGGATAAAATGGGTAATGGTTTTGCCATTTTTTATTGGTGTTACATCAATTTCTAATAGAGCAAAGATGGTTTCGTTAAGTTGAATTAAACGCACAATTCAGGAACGTATTTTACATTAGATTTCAATTTGTTCCCGGAGGCGAAATCACAATTTAAAAGCAAAAAAGTACAATTGTCTGGTTATTAACAGCCACTGAATCACTCAAAACCCGAAGGAAACGTTGATATTTCTTTTTCCCACTGACCTCACGTGAGTCAGATGATTGAGAAAAAGGGGGAAAGGGGGGCTAAAACAATTTCAGACCCAAACTTCAATTACAAAGTGCATCGTTTTTACATTCAATTAGCGTTAGTGGCTGTGTAGCGCATGATGGTGATATTCTAGACATTTTTTGGGTATTTTAGTCATGTGAGAGGGTATATGTTGATATATTTTTTAAAGTAAAGTTAGGAATACAAAGTATTTTTGTCTGTAGTCCATATCGCTGATATTGTAGTAGATCTTTCTCATTTATTACCTATTTTTCAAACTTTTATTGAAAAATTTAAAACAAGCTATAACATAATGACATCAGGTATCACTCTTATTCTTCTATTACTCGTCCTCCCAGCTGCTTCTGAGCTGTTGAAAATGAAGATCAGTGCTTTGAATCACGTCGAAGATCATCTCCTTTCCATTAATGTTCTGTTTGAGAGCTGATGTTTGTTGTTCATCAACTTTAGACGAGCTTAGTAGCTTACGAACATCGTCGTACGTTACATTAATGTCTTTTTTCCACAAGTTATTTGAATTGATAGTGACGTAGAAGGATATAGAGAAGCCTATGTTAATTACGGTGATGGCGAGGGACCTGTAGCCGAAGAAGAGCTCCTGAAACCACTTGTAATAATAGGGTAGGGTAGGGTAAGGTAGGATAGGGTAGGGTAGTATTTAGTCCAGTAGTCTTCTCAAGGATAAGCTATAATAAAACACAATTCCAATCCCATCGTATAACTTGTCCCCCGCAGCCTGCGAACCCTTCAAAAACCCCCACTTACCCCATAAGTGCCATTGTACGTAGCATAACCAACAGCATAGAAGACGGCAGTGATACAGCCAACAATGACAAATATTTGAATTCCATTTCGAAGCCCTCGGGTCATTTTGATGTTTTCGATTAATTGAAATCGTTGACTCAATGTATAAGACTTCTTGTTTTGGATGGCTACACCGTATCGTTGCTTGTTCCAGATTTCAATCAGGCGGAGGATCTGAAAGTTAAGCTATCACCGGATGTTATGATATTAGGTTGTTCAAATAATTCTGCGCTCTCTCTCAAAGCATTCACCACAAAAATTTGCTTTGACGTGGGGCACAGAATTATTTGAACAACCTAATATAAATAAATAGATTACCCTGAAAAGTTTATGTAATTTGACTTACTATAACATGGTATGTAATATAACTTACTATAAGTGAGGTAATTAACGATGAAGCAATGAATAAACAAGTCAATTGGATGAGAAATCGAACTGAAACATGTCAAAGTTTATTCAACATACAACAACATGACCATCCATAAGATTATAATCAACTCACTTTTCTCCGAAGTATTGTAGATTTGGTAGTAAGTCATGTAGCAGAATATGGTCAGAGTAAAAATAAAGAGAGTTATTAATAGAAACACGTTCTTTCGATGTTCGTAACTGGTATTGAATACTGAAGCAAATAATCGTTCAATAGCTAATGCCACAAAGTCAGAAGTCACAGAGTAGAAGCCGAGGAAGGTGAAGAAGGCGGAGATGTCAACTACAATATGGTCAGTTAAAAAATGGGACGTTACAATACCATACCTTACCCTACCCCACCCAGTTTTGCCTTGCCTTGCGATACCCTATCCATCTTGTTCTGCCCTGTCTTGATATACCCTAACTTATCCTATTCTACTCCACTGTACCCTACTTTTTATTCTACCCCATTTCCTTCTACTAAGCCTAATCACAAACTTTGCTTTACCACACCCTCAGTAAATGTTTTCTACTAGCTCAGTAAACAAACCCCTACAGTAACATTAAAAACCAATTAACATACACAAAAGGTCGCCACGTCTAGGAGCCAAACAGAAGAAGAAAAACTGTCCAAAGACTGTGGCCAAAGCACCCAATTGCATTTTGATAACAATAATCCAAAAATGTATATGTAGAGCACCTTTTCTTCGTGTTATCGTTAATGTGAATAGTAAAAACATGACAGTAAATACCACTGAAATACCCAGCACAATCCTACCAGTATAAAATGTTATCGTACTTATGGATTCGATGTTGTCTTCCATAGTAAAAACGGGTAAAAACAATGTTGTAGTAGGTGCGGAGTAGGTAGTAAACCGTCTTAATAGTAGTTTAGTTAGAGTAAAAGAACTTGTAGGATGACAAAAGTAGTCTTTATAATACTATGAAGGCAGTACGACTAGAATAACTGTAAAAAAGTTACTTTTTCAGTAAGGTTTGATTTACAATAGTAGTTATACTATATGATACTAGTTGAATCAGATTTAATTACAAGTGAAAGATAATATACGACGTTTTGCAATAAAAGTAATGATCCAAAAACAATATATCTACTAGCCCTTTACCTCATTTCAATTACAATATTATCCAGTAAAAGTCCCCAAAAACCTTAAAAAACTTTAAAAGTCGACCTCAAGCTTGTAGACCAACAATTGCCAATGTTAATATAGCTCAAAAAACAAATGCAAACAGGTGAACTTAGAGTACAGTGAAAGTTGCAAGGCCAAGAACGGGAATGCCAAGTGGAAATCTTTAATTATTTTTGACTTTTTCGCGTTTAAATAGCCTCGAAATTAAAACTAAACAAACACCCCACACTTACGGTAGCGTTGTTTACTTTGCCGCCACGTGGTAAACACACTGGTTGTTGAGATGTACGTGTTGTTACATCTATATATGCGTGTACAGGCTTTTAGCACTAAAGGTCCTTGTTTTAGTCAAGTTTGGAATGACACAAAAGGACGATTATGGACCTAACATATTTTTTTATTTTAAATAACAAATATAATAATATATCTTATTTTTTAAGTTATTGTCGCTAGTCCATTTCTGCATATAAAATTTTAAAATTTTTAAAACTACGGATTTTAAACATTCAAAAACTAAAGAAAATATGAATTATTTTAAAAAAATTTATGGGGCTCTCTGAGAGAACACACCCACCTTATTATACACACCCACCACCTATTTCAAGCACCCATTTATTCAAATTTATAAATTTACAAATTCCATTGTAAAATGAGTCCAGAAGTGATGTTCGGTTGTCGTAGCGCAAAATGGGCTCGTCCAAGTAAGATTTCATCAGCTTTTTGGGAGCTTCGTGTGCCATCGAAGAAGTTGGAGTATCATCTATAATGTCGGTGTGTCATCTATGGGGTTGGTGTGTCACCTATGAGGTTGGTGTGTCATCTGTGAGGTTGGTGAGCCATCTGAAAGTTGGGTGTGTCAATTAAAAGGTGTCATTTAAGAGGCTTGGGTGTTATCTAAGAGTTGGGGGTGCCATCTAAGAGGTGGGGGTGCTATCTATGAGGTGGGGGTGCCATCTAAGAGGTGGGAGTGCCACTTAAGAGGTGGGGGTGCTATCTATGAGGTGGGAGTGCCATCTAAGAGGTGGGGGTGCCACCTAAGAGGTGGGGGTGTTATCTATGAGGTGGGGGTGTTATCTAAGAGGTGGGGGTGTCACCTAAGAGGTGGGAGTGTCATCTAAGAGGTGGGGGTGTTATCTATGAGGTGGGGGTGTTATCTACGAGGTGGGGGGGGTGTCATCTAAGAGGTCGGGCTGTCATCTAAGAGGTGCGGGTGTCATCTCAGGGGTTGGTAGGTTGAAACTGGCTGTTGTGGTACACCTTGGACGGACACTAAAAAAATTGTTTGAAACGAAAGACTTACCGAGATTACCGATGCTTTTGCATTCCCATTTCGTGCTACGTAACCGATGATCCACAATTGTCCACTTTTGATAGGTCGGCCTTGACGATCGTCAACTTAAACAGGAGTGAGCTCTCCAAGACGTTTTTCCATATCCGCGCTACCGCACGGGAACAGAGTTAATTTTCAAAATGAAAAGAAAATCACAATTGCAAAAAGCAATTTTTAGATTTTGTGGATTATTCAAATTTGGGTGTGTATAATAAGACCGAAATTTGGGTGTGTCAAATAGGTTGGATGGGTGCTTTAAACAAGGGAGCGCCAAATTTATTAATACGGCAAATCGATTTCCTCGACTGTGGAACAGCACGGTGTACGAGCGCCGCAACTCTTCATCATTCTACTTCTCCGGCCTGAACAGCTCGTTCCGGAATGTTGGAACCCTCCTTCCAAGATTTGCGGTTCTTTCGCTTCTATCACCTCTTCTATTCACACGTCTTGGCCTCATCTCCGGCTCCATACCATACCCATGCCGTCGAGTCATCACGCCATCCACTCCTTCAGCCAAAAACATGGACACCTGTTCCATCGCTCAAAACACAATCAACTGGTTGATGGTTGCAAAAAAAACTTTTGATCAAATTTTATAAAATTTGTATTAATTTTTCAAAATGTAAAATATTAAAATGAAAAAAAGTGTTTTTGCTATTCTTCTGCCAAAAATCGGTCGATTTCTAAATTTATTTTTAAAAACTGGTCGGTACCCATATTTTTTATAAGATAATTAGTTGATATTTTTATTTCTGTCTGTAAAACTTGTAAAATGAAACGACATAGACATAGTGTACAACAAAGAGTGGTGGTCGAGTCTGACGACTTTGATTATTCTGTCACTTCAGATGATGTACAAGGTAACTTGGCTAACTTATTAATTTTAAAATTTATACAAATCCGACATACATCGTATTTTACAAACTATTAGGTTTTTCAAAAAATTCTGGGCCTTTCTTAAAAAAAATTTCGGGATTAAGGGGGCGCAGAATTATTTGAGCAGCTTAACATATTATTTTAGGTAATAAAACATAACATATTGTTATTTATAATGAAAAAAGAAAAAATAACTTTTTAGAAAAGAAAGACCAATGTACTCAACGTGCCGAAAAGATGGTTCAGTTTTACAAAGAAAAAATCCAACGGCAGCTCAGTGACTACAATAAGGTCAGGAACGAGGAGCAGAGGTTGTTACAGGAACAAAATGAACTCAAGGCTCTGTAAGTAATTTTTAATTTAAAATTTTTTAAAATTTTAGGTATGGCTTGACAATTAAAGCTCATTTGTTGTATTTTATATTAGGTTTACAAGTTGAAACGTAATGCCAATTGGCGGGAAATTCAAAATTTTGATTTCGAAAATTATTGCCAAGGGCAAAATGAGAGCTAGAGAAAGATAATTTTTTTGCGATAGGAATCAGGGCATTTTTAATATTTTTTTTAATTTTCAGAAACTCTCAACTGGACAAAAAGTTGGAGGCCCTAACCCTACAAGCCGCCAAAGGAGCTCAAAAAGACAGTTTCATGCACACTATGTTCAATGAAATGATGACAAAAGAAAACCCAGAGGTGAAGATGACTAGTGAATACTTGAAAAAGACTATGCCAATTACTGAAGAGCTGTTTGAAACTTTGAATGTTACCACTAAGACTGAGAAACAGGCTTTGGATGTGAGTTAGTAAAATTTTTTCTTTGTTAGGGTAGAGTAAGGTAGGGTAGATTAAGGCAGGAAAAAGAAGTAGAGGACAGGACAAGACAGAACGGAAGAAACGGACAAGGCAATACAGAGCAGGTTATGGTAGGTTAAGGTAGGGTAGGGCAAGGTAGGGTAGGGTAGGGTAGGGTAGATAAAATGAAAATAATTTTCAACTACAGAATCTATCAGACATTGAAGCAAGTGCCCGCACCACCCTTCAGCCTCTAGTACAACAACGAACCTTGTTGGAGAAGAAGCTGAACGCCTTGAGAGACAGTTATGACACTTCACAAGAGATGAAGAGATCTCTGTTCGAACAAAAAGTAAAAAGCACTACCGAGTTGGACTGCCTCAACTTGGAGCTGGACTATATGGAGATAAGAAAGAAGAGCAATACATAAATAAACTTATGAAGATAAGGAAAAAGAGCAATTCTTGGTTGGATCAAGCTTAAAAATATGGTTTTTTAAATAAATTCTAAATTATATTGGGGTAGATATATTGAAATAAGAGGCTATTCTAGTCGTTACTTGTAAAATACTAATGGCCATATTGTAATATGTAATGGTCATTTTTAGTTCGATTTTTTGAAAACGGTTCTTATAAAGCCTATGATCAATATAAAATAATTGGAACTTGAAGTTTGGTAAGGCTTCGGAGTAAAAAATTGGGCTGGGACAAAGGATAGAGCTAAAGCTATGGTAGGGTTTAAGGAGTATTTTAACGTGTTAAAAAGAAGATTTTTGGCTTTGTTGGTTGCCAGAAGGCTTTCTAGGCTTAATTACAAAGAACAATGTTTTCTCAAAATTTTAAAGCTGGACATGGGCCCTGCCTTGGTTAATGGATTTTAAAAAGTTGGGCGTAGTACAAAAATTTTTTTTTATTTTGGGGGAGGATAATAAACTAGGGCTATATAAAGTGTAGAAAAAGAAAGAGTTTTTCTTAATTTGTAAGTTTGACATGTCCCCTTCTTCGGTTAAAAATTTTTTAAATTTGGTTGGGGTAATTTTTTTTTCAATTTTGGGGGTGAATAATATAGCCAGGGCTGAACAGTTTTTTTAAAGTGCAAATTCAAAATTTGCATATTTTTAAAATTTTTAAAATCAAAATCATCAACTTCTTCGACCGTTTCAAAACCGGTTCATTTTCACCTCGAAGATCGGCCCCGGTGACGTTTGATACCTTTTTTCATTATAACCCAGCGTTTTTTCTTCTTACCGGTCGGGAACCAAAGCCGTGAGTCTAAATGGGAACGGTGAATGCGCACGACGTGCTGCTTCGGCTTCTGAACGTGGGTTCGCCGGATAAAGGGCTGACGAAGACGGTGAAGGACGAGGAAATCATTCAGATCTGCAGTAAGTGGGTTTACTACAGTTTTACTATGTTTTACTATGGTTTTGTGATTGTATTGTGTTGATTTGTATAGGTTTTTAAGGTTAATATAATTTTGTAAATAAATTATAGACTTCTAGACCTTATACACACATTTTCGTACCTATAACAACTTTCAGATAAAGCAAGAGAAATCTTCCTGAGTCAATGCTCGTTGGTCGAAATCGAACCGCCACTCAGGATCTGCGGCGACACTCATGGACAATATTCAGATTTGTTGCGATTGTTCAACCGGGGTGGCTTTCCACCAACCGTGAATTACCTCTTTTTGGGCGACTACGTGGATCGTGGACGTCAGAATCTGGAGACTATCTTGATCTTGTTCGTGTACAAGGTATGGCTTGGGTTTTGAATAGGAGTTTGCATCTGTGTTGTTTTGTTGTTTTGACACTTGGATAGTATTTGTGAGTCTAGCTAGGAGTACGGCAAGCTTAGGGTTAGAACTAGGGTTAAGGCTATAAATAAAGCTAAGACTAAGGCTAGGACAAGAGTTTGGGCTAACACTAAAGCTAGGATTATGAAGAAGGCTAGGACTAAGGCTAGAGCTAGAGTTAAGGGTGGGCTAAGGCTAGCGCTAAGGCTAAAGATAGGTCTATGAAGAAGGCTAGGACTACGGCTGGGATTAGGGCTAGAACTAGGGCTATGTTTATGGCTAAGGCTAGGGCTAAAACTGTGTATGGCTACGGCAAGAGCTATTGCTATGACAAGGTCTAGGGCTAGGTTAAAGCTAGTGCCATGGCTTAGGCTAGGACTAAGGCTATGACTACGACTAGGATTAGGGCTAGAGATAGGGATAGGCCTATGACTAAAGCTAAGACTAGAGCTAGACTTAGTGCCAAGTCTACATAGACAAGGTAAAACTTATTAAAGCTCAAGTATTAGGTCAGCAGATGATCATTTTCAGCTCAAGTACCCAAACAACTTCTTTTTACTGCGTGGTAACCATGAGTGTGCGAATATTAACAGGGTTTACGGTAAGTACTTACTGAAATTTTATTTTTAAAGTTCTGGGACGGTACTCATCGTCAGTTGGAAATATTGACCCGGGGGAGGTGGGTAAAGTTTTTTAAAAAATTTGTTAAGCAGGAGTAGATTTTGCTCCGAATTCTAAAATTTACTTTGATAAACTCGATAAGTTTTCAGGCTTTTTGGACGAATGTAACAGAAGATACCCGAGTAATGGCGCAAAGATATGGGACGCGTTTCAAGAAGCGTTCTCGGTGATGCCATTGTGCGGCCTGGTTGGGGACAGGATTCTGTGCATGCACGGTGGCATCTCACCGCATCTGAAGTCGCTACAACAACTTCGCGAGATCAAACGCCCAACCGACGCCACCGGTCCGACCCTCGAAATGGACTTGTTGTGGGCGGATCCTGTGGCAAGTAAGGGGAATTTTAAGAAAGTTCTTGCCATTTTGTGTCTTGTAAAGAAAGTCCTTGCTAATTTTTGTTTTGTAAAGAAAGTTTTTGCTATTTTTTACTTTGTAAAGAAAGTTCTTGCAATTTTTTACTTTGTAAACAAAGTTCCTGCCATTGTTTTTTTTGTAAAGAAAGTTACTGCCATTTCATCAAACATGTTACCTAAAATCTGTTTCAGACATTGAAGGCTTCCAAGAGAATATGAGAGGAGCGTCATTTGGCTTTGGCCCAAAAGCATTGGCCAATTTGTGCAAAGAATTGGATATTGATCTAGTCGCAAGAGCTCATCAGGTCGTTCAAGATGGTTACGAGTTCTTTGGCAAACGCAAATTGGTCACCATCTTCTCGGCTCCACATTACTGTGGTCAGTTTGACAACGCTGCCGCCATAATGTGCGTGGATTCCAACTTGGTTTGCTCGTTCATGGTAAGGTTTTTTATGGTAGGATAGGGTAGGGTAGGGTAGGGTAGGGTAGGGTAGGGTAGGGTAGGGTAGGGTAGGGTAGGGTAGGGTAGGGTAAGGTAGGGTAGGGTAGGGTAGGGTAGGGTAGTATGTGTTAGGGTAGTACGTGTTAGGGTCGAGTAGGGTATTTTCTGTACTTATTTTACTTTTTCAGATTCTCCGCGCTATCACTGGCCGTGCTGCTCCTAAAACCATACCTACGACCAAAGGCAGAGACGCTTGATCAACGGGATTTGTACAAAGATTTTGAAAAAAATAAACTTTACTGAATTCAAATTGTATTTCATTTTACTTTATGGATTTCGATAAGCTGAGGCTAGGGTTATTACAGTTGGGGATAGGGATAAAGCCAGCGCTAGAGCAAAAGCTACAACTAGAGCTAGGTCTAGAGTTAAAGTCAGAGAGCTAAAGCTAGGGCTCATGCTACGCTGATTTCTTCTTTCGGAAATTTATTATTTTTACTATTAGGTTGATCCAAAAGTAGTGAGACACTTTTTATTTATTTTTCAATTAAAAGCTGTCCCAGTACTCTTAGTCTTAAAAACTACATTTTTTCGTAAAGAAACTGTTTTCTTTTACTAATGCATGTTGTTTGGTTTTACTTTTTTTTTAAAGGGTGGATTAAAAAATTTTTTTTGGTGACGACAACGTGATATATAAGTTTTTCGTTGCCTATATGAAGACTGCTTTTTGTCAACTGTATTTTACAAAACAAACCGTTCCTGTATACGAGGAATATTTTTTGTATATGAGTAACACCATAAACAAGTTGAATTGTAAAAGGTGTACAATAAATTCCGCAAATATAAAAATTAAGTGTCGTTTTGTTTTTTTTTCGAACGAACAAAAAATGTCATTTAGAACCAGATTTTGGAAAAAACACCTGCAGTGAAGACAAAAAGGAAAGGCAGAAGCTCGGTTTAATTTGAATTTCTTCTGTTTTTTGATTATTACATGATTACTTGCTGGTTCTTCAATCTTTACTTGTCATTTCAAAAAAAAATTTTTGAAATTTTACTAAAATTGGTTTACTCAAGCAACACTATATTTTTATAAGCTAAGTTAGAGTAAAGTAAGGCAGAGCAAGATAGAGTAGAATAAGGCAGACTAGAGAGAGTAGGGTAAAATATAGGCCGAGCATGGCATAACCGGCTAAGCTAATATGTTAGGACAGGGCAAGGGATATAAATGCAGGAGGAGGGGTATTACTTTAAAAGTTTAGAAGGGTTGGGTATGGTAAGATAGAGTTGAGTAGGATAAAGTAGACTAGTAAGGGTAAAGTAAAATATGAGGGGTAGGGTAGGGTAGGGTAGGGTAGGGTAGGGTAGGGTAGGGTAGGGTAGGGTAGGGTAGGGTAGGGTAGGGTAGGGTAGGGTAGGGTAGGGTAGGGTAGGGTGGGGTAGGGTAGGGTAGGGTAGGGTAGGGTAGGGTAGGATAGGATGCACTTTTACATTTTTAATTAGTTTTTTTACCTCAGATACCATCTGATACTACAAACTAAAAAAATGTTCCCGGTTTTACTACTTGATTGACGTGCTTTTTTCTCGGTTTACGTCTTTCTTTTTTATGTACGCAACATTTGTTAATAAAACTTTTTACAATTTACTGTATTCGTCAAGTGACGACAAACTTAGGCTTTAATTTTAAGCCATAAAAAATTTTGTTAGTCTTTTGGTTTTGCAATTTAATGTTCCAAATGCAGTTTTACAGCACAGTGTTGTTATTTTAAAGTTATGTTTACGAGGAAGTGTTCCTTGCCCCTAGGCTAAGGTTAAAGGTAAAAAGAAGGATAAGCTTACGGCTTCACTGTAGACATTATCTTATGACGATAGGCAAGTATCATATATGTATATAATTTAAAAAATATTTAAATCCGCAGATTTAAAAATTTTTTTACGGCTTTTAATTTTTTTTTTTACTTAAGAGCTTGTAGCTTATAAAGAGCTCTTAAAACCATGTTCTTCAGGATTTAAATCGCCGATATAAAGCCGCGAATTTTGTAAAACCTTGGCGGCTAGAATCCGGAAAACTTTTTCAAAAATCGGCTTTTTTTTGATGAGCGAAAAACAAAGCGCAAAGGTGTGAATACATATTCCAAATTTGTAAAGAAAAAATGATTTTTAACTTTAATATGAGGTTGTTCACATAATTCTCTGTCCTCTACAACAATATACAAAAAATGTTTTACAGTTCGATTTAAAAGCGAGCAGAGAATTATGTAAACAATGTTATGTATGTTGTTTATGGTTTGAGTATTTTACTGGATTTTTAGGTAGTTTTTGCTAATTTTGAAGCTTTGAAGTTAAAAAAAGGCTTGTTTTTGAAATTTTTAGGCGTTTTGCTTTTTTCTATTTTGAAAAAGTCTTGTCGTCAATTTACATTCATTTTCACGGTAAAAAACGACAAGAATTTTCTGATTCTTTTACATTACTATTTTTAGTCTAGAGTTACCCAGTTAAAATAAAAAAGTTTTGTCGTCAATTTGCATTCATTTCTACGTAAAAAACGACAAAACTTTTTGGACCCTTTTATATAATATCTTCATTTATAGTCTAGAAACCACTCAGATAATGTAACAAATAAAGCAACCTAACTTGACAATCCTTTTATTTTAGCTAATAAGGTAGTTATTACATATATTGATTTGATCGTTATTGCGCGACTAACCACTCTTTACGACATTGTTTTTTTTTACTTTTCTGGATATGAGTGGACGTGTTATTACTCATAACTACCTAATTGGCGGTCAATAAAAGAAGTTATTCGTTTGCTTATAGACATGGTTTTTGGGCTGTTACTATAATATACAGAGTGTCATTTTGGGGTTGTAACAAAATTTTGAAAGAAATATAGATATTAATATAGAAGCTTTAGGGCTAAGGTAAAATCAAAAAGTATAATGAAAAGGGTGCATACTATAACATTTTAACACCTAAGGTAGGGAAGAGGTAGGTCAAGGGTAGATTCTAGGGCTTTGTTCTAGGGCTCTGGGCTAGGGCTCTGGGCTAGGGCCCTGGGCTAGGGCTCTGGGCTAGGGCTCTGGGCTAGGGCTCTGGGCTAGAGCTTTGGGTTAGGGTTCTGAACTAAAGCTCTGGGCTGGGGCTCTGGGCTAGGGCTCTGGGATTAGACTTAAGCAAGAGCTTGAGTTAGAGCAAGAGCTAGAACAAGAGCTAGAACAAGAGCTAGAACAAGAGCTAGAGCTAGTGCTAGAGCTAAAGCTAGATTTAAAACTAAGACGTTTATTACCGTACTGTATTTTCAATACAATGGAATGGGCTTAATTAATGTAAATATGTAAATTTTTCAAAAATACTAAACAATCTTTTTAAAATTTCAAAAAAAGACTAAAACAACAAAATTCTTTAAAAAAACCTGATCCCGCCGTTCCCAGAACGACTATTGTTCCAAAGTGTATTCGTGGTGCAGGCTTTGTTTATTAGCCTGATATCATAACAACTCTGAGCCCGGAATATTTGATAAACTAATCCCTCTGTAAAAATAGTATAATATGCTCGTTTTTAAAAATATTCTTGTTATTTTAATACTCTCGTCTTTCCACCGTCTCAAATTATGTTTATCGAGTGACGTATAATATGGTTAGGGGAAGGTGGTGAGTCTTGTTAATTATCTGTCCTTTCGATCAATGTGTCATAACTTCGGATCGAGGAATTTTAAAAAAAGTTAGAAGGGGGTTTAAATGAGGTTCAAATAGGTAACGGGGAAGTAAATTTTTTAGTCGAGCAGGGGTTAAAATTTGATTAGAGCTTGAAAATAGCGTTTAAAATTTAGATTTTTTTGTACTATAATTGGTAGGGTTGGACAGTGGGGTAAGGCTAGATAGTGGAGTAGGGCTAGACAGTGTAGTAGGGTTAGACTGTGGGGTAGGGCTGGGCAGTAGGGTAGAAGCAGACATCAGATTTTTTTCTTTGTGCTTTTTCTTAAAGAAGTTGACCGTGGTTTCCCACTTCGATTTGCTTACGAAAAGTTAAAAAACATTCCGCTGCGTCTTATATACAAAGCTAGAAGATAAAGGAAGGGTACAGTTTAGTTAGAGCAAGGTAAAAATAGGACAAGCGCAAGATAAAGGTATGACTTTCTCCAAGACTAAAGCTTGAGCTAAGACTAATACTAAAACTATGGCAAATATAAGACAAAGATAGGGTAATTTCAATTTCAAAAATAAAAAAATGTTGAAGTTTCGTATTAAACTGACAAGTTTGGCATTGTGTTGCATGCACTTTTTTTCACTTTCCAGCCTAGATACGCTTATAAATTTAAAAATGTGAGTTTATTTAAAAGTTTTCTACTAAAAAAATGATCAAAATACAAAAAATGACAAAGGTGTAAGTTTGAAACACAATGTCAATTTGGCGGGAAATTCAAAAAATACTTTTTTTACTTTGTTTTTCTCAAGACTGGCCGCTAGCCGCAAACTATAATAGTAGAATGCATAAGATCTTACATTTATTTGATCTTACTATAGAAAAAAGTTTTCAGTGAGTCTGAACTCTGCAAATTGAATACCTTCCTTGTATACCTAATCATCAAACAAATCAAAGTTCAGATGACAAAAAGTATAAAAACCTATTAACCTTTTTACCTTTCACCTCTGACTCATTACGACGTTTTCTCGGTGATTTTCGTTTGTCGTATTGACGTCACCGTATCTTCCGTTATTCGTATTTTCTCTTTTTATTTTAGGGGTTAAGGATTCAGGAAGATTGACACGGTCGCTTTTAATTTCATTTTGAGAAGCTGTGCGTGAAGAAGGCTGTCGTCATGTTCATCCGCACCTTGATTCTGGCTGGACTGTGCCATGGAGTTGTGGGGCAGGGCATGTGGGTAAGGTTGTGATTTTTAGATTTTTAAGCCATTGTGGTTACTTTTCCTCGTACTAGTACTATACCTCTAGTACTAGTACTAAGCCTTTCACTTTCATAGCACTAAAAACTCAACTCATACTGTAACTTTCAGGAGTACGACTACCCTATGTTTCCCCAATTCCGATTCCGTCCAGCTGAAACGGGTCCATTGTTTGCGAATATGCAACCAGAAGCTCCAGGAGCTTTCCAACCACCTCCAATGAATCTTCTTGGCCCTGCGGCTAAGCCAGGACAAACCCCGATTCATCGGCTGTCAGCTGCAAGCTACAGAAGTGGAGACATCTCACGACGATGTAAGTTTATTAGGCTAGGAGTAGGGTTAGGGCTAGGACTTACGATAGGGAATAGGCTAGGGCTCAGGATAGGCTTAGGCTAGGGCTTAGACTAGGTCTTAAGCTAGGCTTCCGATTAGGACTTAGGTTTAATCTAGGTCTTAAGATAGAGCTTAGGCTTGGTATTAGGTTAGGACTTAGACTATGGCTTAGGCTATGACTTAAGCTAGGTCTTACGTTTGGGTTGAGGCTAGAGTTCAGTCTAGGAGAAGGCAAAGATTTAAGACATAATGCCAAAACTAATTTTTGGATGGCTAGGCCAAGCCCAAAAAATTTATAAATTCATGGCAAACTTTGCTTTAGCAGCCCAAAAGTCTTCGGAAAATGGAGATTTGGACACTTTACTAGCCAGATTAGTAACCAAGCTTCCAAAAATAGCGGAAAGAATTTTGGGTAACAATAACAATGAAGAAGAAGGCAACGACCGCTTCCAACCATGGAAGATGCCCGATCAAATGACTCGGCCAAAGAAAGAACAGTCCGAACCGGCCAAGGTTATCAACTCTATGCCCAGTAAGTGAAATTTAAATTTTTCTTTAAAAAGAGGAGGCACAGAATTAAGTGAACGGTCTAATAATATCAAATAAAATTTTTAAAAAGTAAAATTAATTTCAGACCCTCAAGGCTTTTTCTCATTTGACAAATTACTGAGTGCCTTTACTGGGAGCGGCTTGGGTTCCAAAGATAATATTGGAGAGAACAAGGACTCTTCGGTGGAGAAAGTTGAAAAGGAAAATGAGTTCAACATGGATAACATCAAAGGAATTCCTATTCAAAAAGTGAGTTATTATACGTTACCTACCCTTACCCTACTCTACCTTACTTTACCCCACAGTACCCTATGCTACCTTACCCTACCTTAGCTTACCCTACCCGACCTTATCCTCCCTTAGCTTACCCTGCTCTGCCCTACTTTATCTTACCTTGCTTTACCTTATATTACCATACTTTACCTTATCTTATCCTACCATATTTTACTTGACCTCAGCTACTACATGTTAGTCACCATGCTATGTATATTACCATAAAAATGCATTTTAGGACATGGACCCACTTCCAATGACAGTATCAGTAGACGAAGTGATCGTCCCTTCTCAATCAATTGAGAATTCCCTAGACGAAAGTGGTTCATCTGAATTCATCGACTTATCCCACCACTTTGACACTACAGAATCACCACGAATTGAAGTTACACAGACTTTAGAATCTGTTAAAACCTTTGACAGAAGTTTTGGAATTCAAAAGTTCACTGAAAATTCAGAATCTCAAAGCCTTTCCGGCCCTTCAGAATCTCAAAAAGCAAATTCAGAAGCCCCGAACCCAGCTGATAACCTTCTGGGAAGTCTTTTGAGTGGAAATCTGGAGAAAATCAACTGGGTTGACTCCATTTTTGGCCATAAAAATGAAAAAACCGAAGGAAATGCGTTGAGCGGACTGTTTGGAGGAGCGGGCGAGTTCGGCAGTCTAGGCCAGTTTTTGGGCTCGGCTATGGATGCGCCTGGCAATGAGTCGGTCAGAAATTGAAATTGAGGTCTCTTTCACAATTTTATTAATTTTGGTCGCAAAATTTGAATATTGTCTATGACTTTTGATGTTCTTCGATCTATTATCAATTTTGGTCTACTTTCTATGGCCTGGAGCTCCAGCTGGAGTATATAATTGTACAGATTATGTTCTTTTTTTGTATGAAAAGATCTTACTAGTGGTTCCTGAAATGGTGGTACTGGAAAATACTTTTCACAACAAAGTAGTACAGTATTATGACCGCAGTTAGTACTATAAATGGTACGAATCGCTAGTACTACTATGAATAATTCTAATAGTAGTACTACGAATGTATTAGGTTGTTCAACTAATTGTGTGTGATATAACCGCACAAATTTGCTTTGAAAGAGAGCACAGAATTAATTGAACAACCTAATAATATCATAAATGGTCCCAGCTTTCGCTTTATACCACTACTACCAAAAAACTCATTATAAAAACTAATAAATTGTAATGGCTTTACTTACACTGTAAAGTAACAGTATTTTACAATGTAATTCAGCAAAACACTTTGTATTAACATTTACAGTATCTCAATTATTATCATGGTACGCAGCTACGGTGAAACTCAGCTTAATTTATTTGTGTAGAAAGTATTGTTTAATAAACTTGTTCAACTGTTAGATATGACTATTATATGTATTACTATATATATTAAAAGCACAATCTCACACAAAACCCCCCGTAGGCGTTATAAATTCCATTATGTATGGCGCGAACTTTCCCGAGTCATCCAATGCAGCCAACGCTAAACATCTTTAATAGCTTGGACAACTTAACTAATATATCAAATGTAGCTTTTTCAAAAATATTTACAAATTAAAATTGAATCGAAAAGCCATACCAATCATTGCCACTTATTCTCAGCTAAACTCGGGCTTAAAGTAAGATCCTGCAGGTATAAACAAGGTAATATAACCTCAACAACCACTTCAACGGACCATAGATAAAATATAAACGAGTTACCTTCTACAAACCAGATATAACAACACAAAAACACGATATAACAATACAATAAGATAAAACCAATATCTAGTTGGTTACCAACATTCTAACTGTTCCTTGTATCTAATCTAAACTGATCCGCTCTCCTATTGCTCTGCTGGATAAAGTAAATGGTGCAAAATGCCAAGAGCTTCGTTGTCGCGGCGGAACCTGAAGAGTGGGCTCGTGCATGATCCAATTCGCTTTCGTCCTCTGAGTTAACGAGCTCGGCATGTGGAAAACACACCAAATTGAAGTAAGGTAGAGGTGATGATCCTTCCACCATGTACAATGTCAAGAAACCTTGATTATGACGGAAGTTCTTTGTTTTTCTTCGAAAATTCTACGAAAACTACGAAAAGTAGACAGATTTTGAGAATAAAATTACTTCCGAGACAAATTTAAAATGTTAATGGAACATTAACGTAGCCGAACGTGGTAATGCATTAGAGTAACATTGTTTCATTGTGGGATCTTCGGTTGGAGATGTATTCGCAGGTCCGAAATACGGGGTGAGTTATATTATTTTAGGTATGAATTTTTTGCAATATCAACTTTTTGAAGATTTCAATTATTTTTGTTACCTAAAATTTTAATTTTTTAAGTTTTGTAGTTTAGCTTTGATGCTTTTATTGGGTATATTAACATACAACATCAATATTCTCTTTCAGCTACTTCAAGAACAAAACAATCTTCATATCAGGCGGATCCAGAGGCATAGGCTTAGCCATAGCAAAGAAATTCGCTTCAGATGGAGCTAATATTGTTTTAGCGGCCAAGACTACTACTCCACACCCAAAACTGCCAGGCACAATATACACAGCTGCCAAAGAGATTGAAGAAGCTGGAGGAAGATGTCTGCCATGTGTAGTTGACATACGATATGAAGATCAAGTGAAGAGAGCTGTTGAAGAAGCAGTGGAGACTTTTGGAGGTATAGACGTGTTGGTCAACAATGCATCAGCTATTAATGTTGTTGATACTGAAGTTTGTACTATGAAGTGGTTCGATCTAATGCATGCTATTAATGCTAGAGGCACTTTTATGTTGTAAGTGGGTTTTGTGTTGGGGAAAGCAGGTTAGGGTAGAAAACGGTGGTTTATCGAATAGTAGTGAGCGACATAGTTAATATTATTTTTTTAGGTATCAGACCTTAAAAATATAGCAGTATCTTGTTCATAATACATATTACCTAAATTAATATTTTCTTCACATTTTCAGATCAAAATACTGTCTCCCCCACCTAAAAAAGTCCTCCAACCCTCACATTCTCAACCTCAGCCCACCTCTCAATATGGATCCAATTTGGTTTGAACAAGCTGTCGCCTACACTATGGCCAAGTACGGAATGAGTATGTGTGTATTGGGAATGGCTTCAGAATTTAAAAAGTACGGTGTAGCTGTTAATGCTTTATGGCCAAGGACTTTGATCTGGACAGCAGCTGTATCCAACTTGTTGGCATTGGATAATGATGACATTCGGATGAGTAGAAGGTCCGAGATCATAAGTGATGCTGCGTATGTCATGTTGATGAAGGATGCGAAGAAACATACTGGAAACTTTCGAGTTGATGATGACGTGCTGAGAGAGTACGGAGTGTCGGACTTTCGAAGCTATGCTTATGATCCAGGTAAGAGAAAAGGACTGTAGAATAGGATAGGCAGGGGAGGATAGGGTGGGGCGTAATAGGGTAGAGCAAGATAAGGGTTGTGTTATATAATAGTAAATTAAAAATAAAAACTTATGTTGGAGTAGATGTACGTTGAAAAACAAAAAGATTATGTTATTTCAGACTATAAGTACTATTAGGTTGTTCAAATAATTCTGAGCTTCAGAACTTTGCAAATTTGCCTTGAGTGGTGGCTCAAAATTATTTGAACAACCTAATATAAAAGTCTTGTCGTCAATTTAAATTGTTTTGTAAGGAAAAAAAGCGACAAGACTTTTATGACACGAATTGTAGTATTAAGTAAGGTAATATATAGTTAAAGTTTTGTAGTTTTTGTATCAACCCAATCAATAGTTTGTTTTAGTTTTACTTTTTCTTCAATCTTATATTCAGACAACATGTTTCTAATTAGATTAACCTTGTTTCAAGTCATTTCATAGTAACTTATACAAAAAGAGTGTAAACAATTGCAGACCACGAACTCATGCTCGACGGTTTTCTACCAGGAACAGTACCGGGAACTAAAGCCAAACTATAGATAATTAAAATGTTTTGATGTTATATTAATTACAATATGTATAAGAATTAAAAATATTGGAAGAGTTACTAATAAAAACTTAAAAATTTTTTTTTTGAAATTTTTAAACTTTTTTTAGTGTAATATAGACAATATATTGGGGTATGTGGAGTAATGTAGAGTAGGGTAAAGTATGAAAGGATAGATTAGGGAAGAATAAAGTAGGATAGGTAAGATAGGGCAGGGTAGGTGATGTCTAGGGTATCTGTAGTCTCTGTAGGGTAGGGTATAATAGGATAGAATAGGGCAGAGTAAGATTGGTTAAGGTAGGGTAAAAAGCGTAAGATAGGGTAGGGTACGGCACGTCAAACTAGGGTACTGTAGAGTACGGTGTGGTATAGCAGAGTAAAGTAGGGGAAGGGTGGTTAGGGTAGAGTAGGGTAAAGTAGGGTAAAGCTAAAACAACATGACTTTTCTATCAAAACATTTTCTACATCAATATACTGAATGGTACATTGCGATCAATTTTTTATAAAATATCAAGCCATAAATCATCCACAACTTCAGTAATGTTTACTTTCTACTCTCTAGTAAACACAAAACTTAATTATTGCAACAAACTCGAGAGTAATCCATCTTTCCATGAATTAAAGGGCAACAAAGTCAAGGTTCAGTGGAATGGTCAATGATATAAAACAATTCTTTTTTGCGTCGAAATTCAAAAAGCAATCAAGGTGAGGCTATAGGAAGTGTAGTGAACAAGGTAATAGATCTATTTTCATTTGTTTTGGCATTCTTGGTTGATTGAGAACGATTTGGTGTTGAGAATGAGCTCGCAGGTTCGGAATACTGGGTAAGTTATAGTTATTTCCTAATTTAGAGATAATTGGAGTTAATTTGTTACCTAAAAATATTTTTTTACTTGGCGAAGGTTCAAAATTCTTCCCTTATTCTCGTCACATCAACTATAAGTTGAGATACGACATCAATATTACCAGTTCCTTTCAGCTACTTCAAAAACAAGACAATCTTCATATCAGGTGGATCCAGAGGCATTGGTTTGTCCATAGCCAAGAAACTAGCAGCCGATGGAGCTAATATTGTTTTAGCGGCTAAAACAGCCACTCCACACCCAAAACTGCCAGGCACAATCTACACAGCAGCCAAAGAAGTTGAGGAAGCTGGAGGCAAATGTCTGCCATGTGTAGTTGACATACGATTTGAAGATCAAGTAAAAAAAGCGATTGACTTGGCTGTAAAAACTTTTGGAGGTATCGATATTCTTATCAACAATGCTTCGGCTATTCATATTGCTGATACTGAGAGCTGTACCATGAAGTGGTTCGATCTGATGCAGAATATTAACACTAGAGGGACTTTTATGCTGTAAGTGGGGGTTTGTAATAGGAAAAAAGAGGGTAGAGTTGGAAAAGGGAGAAAGCTTTAAAAATTTTTTAACCGCAAGCAATAATGAAAATTAAAAAAACTTCATAAACTGCCATTTCCAGCTCAAAATACTGTCTTCCCCACCTCAAGAAGTCCTCCAACGCTCACATTCTCAACCTCAGCCCTCCCCTCACCATGGATCCAGTTTGGTTCGCCCGAAACGCAGCCTACACTATTGCCAAGTATGGTATGAGTATGTGCGTGCTTGGAATGTCATCCGAATTCAAAGATGACGGAATCGCTGTCAATGCTTTATGGCCAAGAACCTGGATTTGGACAGCAGCTGTTGGAAATATTTTGGCATCGGATTCGAATGATGTTAGCTACAGTAGAAAGCCGGAAATTTGTAGTGACGCGGCTTATGTTATGTTGTCCAGAGATGCCAAAAGTTATACTGGCAACTTTGCCATTGATGATGATGTCTTGAGAGAGTATGGTGTTTCGGACTTTGGTGGTTATGCTTTTGATCCAAGTAAGTGACGCCATTCATGTATTTTTTAACGTCTGCGTAATTTAGGTAACGCTTTAGTAAATTAATTTTTCCTTTGTTATAACAAAAAATCTAAAAATCTATCAAAAGTAGAAAATAATCAATTTTTGCATTTCGTCTTTAGAAAGCCAAAATATTATTTTTCTAAAAATATTTTTCAGACCACGAACTGAAGCTAGATGGATTCTTGCCAGGAACACGCCCCGGAACAAGAGCCAGACTTTGAACGCTTCGAAGAAAAATGTATTATATTTCTGTACATTACGAATATTGTAAAAATAAACTTAATTTTCTATTTTTATTCATTCTGTTGTGCTGTACTTTTTAGCTGTCATATGTTTTCTCACTATAACCTTCCGCTTTCTTCGGTGACCGGTCGGTTTTCCTTCCACTGGGGCTGTCGCGGGGAGTACCGGTCAAAATGGTGGTAATGGCGAGAACAGGCTGAATATCGAGACTTTCAAGGTTCGAGGAATCAAAATGGCAACTCGACTAGCAGATTTGGATCGAAATTTTTTTAATGTTACTCTAGATGTTATCAGCTTCTCAAAAACCAAAAGTCCTAAAAATGAACATATTCATCTTGGTTTTGGATATATTGTTTTTGCTCCTTTACGTATTTTAAATGAGGGGTTCGCAAATAAAATTAACCTTACAAAGGCAGTAATTTACTAATTGTTTTAATAATATAAACGGATACAAAAATCAATGTTGGGGAATACGTTCAGTATCGATATCAACAGCCAAAATCTTGACCGTTTCCGTTTTGTCCAATTTGAAGAATCCATTAAGGCCCCACTCTTCGTTCCAGCTGTTAGCTAGCTTCCAGTATTTGCTTTCGCCTTCTTCGCCCCATCCAATCAGACGCACAGCATGCCAACCATAATATTTTTCGCCGCTTATAGGCTAAAAATGTTCAAATTTTTGCAACGTGTGATATTATGATATGAAAAAAATTAAATGTAAAAAAATTGTGGCTACTTTACAAACTTAAAAGCAGTTATTACCTTATAAATACCAGAATTGTAGTACAAAAAGCTTTCGTAGGCATTAAAGCCTAAAATAAGTGTACCATTGGCCATAATGGCTTTTTGAGCGTCTGCTTCAGACTCAACGCTATGATATCCAGTACCAAAATATAAATCATCCTCATAGCTTTTGTTGTAACCTGGCTGACAAGTATGGTAACATTGATTAGCTTTATAAGCAGGTAACGAAGAACATTGAGGATAAGTTGTGGAATGTGGGCCATGAGCACAATGCTCAAATGGGTATGGTTGGCAGCCTTCTTTCTTGTCATTTTCTGAGCCGGTTGGTATGCCATTAGTTATAAATGTATCGAATGCCGCATCTATCGTACTTGCAATACAACTATAATAGTAAGATTACAGGGAAATATAGATGTATATACCAAAGTAAATAGAGATATCTTACTAAAGATTAGCACAGAATAGAAGGCAAATATGCATAATGTGTAAAAATATATAAGGTACGGTAAAGTAATATATTATCTCTTACCCATCACCGCCAGCACAAGCCGCAGCTTGGTACGATGAAATAGAAACCTTGACACTTCCATTAGTGGCAACACAAATTCGGTCGGAAATTGCCCCAGCAGCACTAACAGCCCAACAGCTTCCACACTTTGACTGGTCTCTGATATTGTTTACAATATCAGCACATTCTGGGTAGTTAGTGGCTACATCAAACTCATCTGGAATATCGTCACTAGGGGATGAACTTGCTCTCCATAGCTTTTGATTTCGATCGGGAAGTAAACCAAGAGATCTCTAATATTGTTCACAACATCAGCACATTCTGGCCAGTTCGTGGCTACATCGAATTCTGTTGGAAAGTCGTTGCTAAAACCAAAGTTGTTGATCGGAACGGCACGGTTAGGATCAATTTTTAAGCCTAGCGTTCTTGTATTCAAAGCTTCTGGATCGTAGACGGCTTCGAATAGACCTTTTTTGTTGATACTATCTACCAAGGCTCGGCCTGTTAATGGAGCTGGTTCTGCATTGGCAAGGCACAACAATGTGCCGACAAGAAGCTAATGTTTCTAAAAAAAGCAAAACATGTCAGAATTAGTCGCTAATAAGCTATAAATAAAAATAACTCCCTCGAAAAGTTAGCTTACCATCTCAACGATACTTGCCTACTGGAAGAAGAAATAAAACTTGAACAAAGAGATGGTGTATTTATACAAAAACGTCGCTTCATGATAAAGATGTTATGCTTTGATGTAAAATGTTGTGTAAAAATAAAATGTAAACATAAACTTTAATTAAAATTAACATTTTGCAAATAATCATGCATGATATTAATGAGTTATAAACCTTTTGATTATTATATAATAGTAGGTACAGTAGTAACAAAAGCCGGAAGTATGATCACAGAGGTATTAGGAAAATGGGTAGGAAAACGACCGTCTGTACCAGTGTAGAACGCTAAGTAAAAAACAGAATTTAATGTTAATTGCCTTGCCTTGCCTTGACTTGCCTTGCCTTGCCCTATTATCATGGTATTCCGTGCATTGTAAAGACTTTTTTGCCGTTCCACGCTCTATCGTGTCTTGTAGTGCCCTGCCTTTGTTTTATCTGCATTGCCTTTCCCTGTCCTATTATTCAAGCCCTGATTGTCCTATCAAGCAATACCTTACTTTCTCGTGCTTTGCCTTGCTTTTCAGCCCCTTGCCTTTTAAAGTCTTTCTTTTTCTAGCTCTGCCATGTCTTTCACAGCTCTTCCTTGTTCTGTCGTACCTTTTCTTGCTCTATTCCATCTCTTATTTCATAAAAATGTTTATTTCAAACTTTGCAGTGCATATACCATATCTAATTCAAAATACCATCTACAAAAGTAAAAGCCCGCCATTGACAGGCAACGTAGCCCCAGTGACATAACTGCATCTGTTGCTAGCAGCAAAGACAATCATCTGAGCTGATTCCTTCGCTGAGCCCATTCTATGCAAAGGAACGTTCTTGGCAGCACTTTCTAGTCCAGACGGTATCCTTCCATTACTGCTTTTCGAATTTCGAGTATGAAATGGAGTCTCAGTTATGCCTGGAGCCACATTATTCACTCGTACTCCAAACTCAGCGTACTCAAACGCAGCATGACGAGTATAATGTTCGAGTGCTGCTTTGCTTATCGCGTACATTGGGGTAGCTGGACCTATTTTTGTGGCTAGGCCAGAAGAGATGTTGATTATATTGCCTTTGGTCTTCTTGAGGTAGGGGATGCAGGCTTCTGTCATACCGATGACACTGAACATATTTTTTTATGTTATTTTATTTTACTGTGCTATATAGTATATACTAGGTATTGAAAAATTTTTTATTTGTTACAGTATTATTGTTCAGTACTACATTACTAAAAAATTTTTAGAGCTATATATTACTCTATGCTGCTCTCAAAATTCAGTACTATATAGCCAAAAAACAAGAAAAATTTTAGTACTATATAGTATCATATAGTTAATACTATATAGTATCATACAATCAGTACTACATAGTATCGTATAGTTAATGCAATATAGTACTATATAAATAGTACTGTATAGTACAATATAACTAGTATCATATAGTACCATACAATTGGTACTACATAATATTATATAAAAAATTGTCATTTTATGTTAACCTACCTCTTAACATTAACATCGATGCAAGCCTGTAAACACTCCAAACTCTTAGGATTCGTATCAGAGTTACTTGACCCAGCATTATTGACCAAAACATCAATTCGACCAAACTTTTTCACCGTTTCGAAAGCGATTGTCTTCCAGGTTTTTTCGTTTTGGATTGGACCGGTTATCAGTAAAACTTTGTCGGATGAGCTGGCTTTTATTATTTCTTTGGCTGTTTCCTAAAATTCAATTTTTTAAATTTTAAAACGATTTCAAACTACCCTACCATACCCTACCCTACCCTACCCTATCCTATCCTATCCTACCCTACCCTACCCTAACCTATAGCAAAAACTCACGTTTAGACGATCTTCATTCTGACCATGTATAACAACATTAGCTCCCTTCTTGGCAAATAATAAGGCGGCTTCTTTGCCAATCCCACTGCTAGAGCCAGTGATAATCACAACTTTGTTAGCAAATGTCATTTTAAAATTATTTTTTTAAAGTTTGAAAAATTTCTAAGTACGTGCTATACAGTACCACAAAAATGTAACAGTCTAGTATACTCTGAAGAAGTATGGTGCTCCAGAGTAGTTAGATATTGCTCTAAAAATCTTTGAAATTTATAGTACTATGGTTTACTTTGACAAAGTAGTACTATAGTACACTGTCAAGAGCTTTAATAGTATGGTTGTATGATGAACGTTTGAGCTTATATTATAGTACAGATACAAATGCTTCAAAAATAAGATACAGACTGTTGTTTTGCTTGTATTTATAGTTCCCATTTCCATTGGCTATTATGGTTTCCACGGTAAAAACGTGTATGTCGAAGCGGTCGAAAAACAATTCAAAAGTGTAAACATGTAGTTTATGATGCGTCTAAAACAACAAAGAACATAATTTAAAAGTATGGCTTTTAAAGCTTTTAAAAAGTTTGCAAATGCCTTCCATATAGTTAAGCAAGTTAAAACGACTTAAGATTAAGTAGTTGCACTGTAAATTGATATAAATGTATTTATTATACAAATAAAACTAAAAAAAATTTTTTTTTAAAAAATAATTTATTTTTTATTCTATAATTGTTTAATTCTGTACTAAAACAAAGTTTGAAGCGATTTATAACCTAAAACAACAATTTAAAGCGTCCGCCGACTCTCCGCCAACGCGGAGAACATAAATTTTTGTCTCAAAAATGCATTTCCAACAAAAAAAAACAAAAACTTAGAAATCCATAATAAAAAAAGTGATTTTCAGCAAAAATATGTGTAATTTGGGTAAAAATGAGCTTTTTTTCAAAAATGCGTAACGACCTTCATATGCACTTTGAAATTTCAAAATTTTTTGTAAGAAATATACATTAGCTGTATATTACGGGTGCAAAATTTTGTATTCCTACCTTTTTTCATGGCTGAGTAATAATAAATTTTTCGAAAGTTAAAACTTGAAACACCCTGTATTTGCCATTTTCAGAGTACTGTACTATATAGCTCTCAAAAAAAATTTAACACTAAAGTACTACAAGTTTTTAAACTAAAATTTAAAATTACATCTACTATAATACATTTTTTGTTGTTTCTTTTTTATTTTTGACGAAACCAAAGATTGCACAGCAACAAAAACCATAAACAAACAAACATTTGGCCCAAAATTTAAAGTTTTTCACAAATTTTCTTTCATATTAGCCTTTTTAATTTGTCAAAAGTATAAAATACGACATTGACACTTTAGTGTTTTTCCAAACTTTTCAACATTTTTAAAATAAAAACCCCTTTTCCCCACAAACAAGAGCCACTTTGTGCGATAACACATCCCACAAACTATATATTGTATGTTGTGTTTTGGAAGTTCGACCTACATTTTCTTACCCAAAAATAAACAAAATGTGCTTAGAACCACCTATTAAAACACGTTGAGAGAGAGTATAAATACTGGACGTTCCTTTACTTTGCTTATTACTTTGTTTTGTATTGGTAAGGGCTAAAGTTACTCGTTTTGTATAGTAAACTGAGTTTAATTCAGTGCTTACTATACCTACAACAAGTTATCTTGTGTTTATCTATACCTAGTACGACTTACATTGTGTATATCTGTACCTACATCAAATTTTTTTTTCAATTTACTACTACCTATAATAACTAATTCTGTACAGACGTCTACTAAACCAAAATAAACCAGTAATGTTTGCTAATAAAGTAGTAATTGTGACCGGCTCGAGCAGTGGAATTGGCAAAGAAGCTGCCTTGATCTTCGCCAGGGAAGGCGCCAAAGTTGTTGTACATGGTCAGAATGAACAGAGATTGAAGGTGAGTTAAATACCTCAACAAATTCTAATTGTATACTATAATCCTTCAAACTGGCATTTTAAAACAAAAATTTAAAATTTTGAAAAAAGAAAAATATTATTATAGATTGTTCAAAAAAGGTTTCATCGTATAACTATATAAATATTGTAGGAAACAGTAGATGAAATTGCCAAGATCACCTCTCCATCTAAAGTAATATCAGTGAAAGGCCCGATTCAGGACGAAAAGACCTGGAACACCATTGCTTCTGAAACTATCAAGAAATTCGGACAAATTGATATCCTCGTTAACAATGCTGGCTCTAGAGATGATGGCAAGGACCCGAAGAGTCTTGATTGCTTCCAGTATTGCATGGATATCAATGTTAAGAGGTATATTTGTGATATTATACTCTTTAGTACTATGTGTACTTTACAATAGCGCACTACCTATATATAGTATCATACTATATAGTACTTTACATACTATATAGTACTATACATACTATATATTTGAGTACTGTACAAAATCACTAAGCGATACATTATGACCATTTATGACCTAAAACAATATCTAATTCCAGTGTCATCGGTCTGACCCAAGCCTGCATCCCTTACATCAAGAAGACCAAAGGCAACATCATCAACGTCTCTTCCGGCCTAGCCAAGAAGATCTCTCCACACGCTCCAATGTACGCCATAAGCAAAGCAGCACTCGAACATTATACTCGTCATGCTGCTTTTGAGTACGCTGCTGATGATGTCCGAGTGAACAATGTGTCTCCCGGCCTAACCAATACCTACTTCCAACAACGTCACATAAAGATGCCAGATGGAGCGTTGGAAGCATTTGCCAAGACGTTGCCTTTGAAGAGGATGGGAACGGCCAAGGAATCGGCTGAGATGATAGTGTTTGTGGCCAGCGACAAGTGTAGTTATGTGACTGGAGAGACGTTGGGTGTGCATGGAGGAATATTGATCAAACCATAATGTTTTTGATATTGCTTTACTATTGCATATATTCATTATATACGTATTGTCCGAATCTATCTTATTTTATATTCAAAAATAAAAAAACGTATTTTATTAAAAAGTTTGAAAAAATCAATTTTTCCTTTGAAAGCACGAAAAAATAAACTTTTTATCAATTTGAACTTCCCAAAAACACAATTTCAAAAAAAAACAAAACCCAAAAATAGCCTCAGGCGTACGTGTGATATCATAACCGAAGTTCGTGATTACAGATATTAACTTTAGTTCATTGGCTCGGCCGTCGCTCGAACTCGCGCACTTTGGAATCAAAAGCAAGAGTCAAACCACTTGGCTACAAAGACACGCCCCTTTCTTTCGTTTTTTCTTTATATAAAGGGCAAGTGCAACATCTTCAAGTAAAAATACAACAAAATCAAGTAAAAATACATGAAAAAATTTCAGCTCCAACATTTTTTAAAATCCTAAAAATAATTAAATTGCTATTTCTTATTAAAAAATACATAAAACTAGCAATTCTTCGACTTTATTCACCCTAAAATAACTGTTTCGATAAAAAAACGTCTCCAATAACATTCATAAAAATTTAATGGCACAAACTTACAACAAAAACTTAATAATCTCTCAAAACAATAACAAAAAATTACCTTTTTGACTTTTTTTGATCTCGATGGCGATCGTCGAAGTCAATGCGACGTTTCTTATCTGATTCTCTCGATCTGTGGCCGTCGTCTTTGCCCTGCTTTTCTTTATCACTTTTCTTATCAGATTCTGTAAGTTTGTGCTCCTGCTTTAGGTCTTTATCACTTTTCTTCTCTGATTCACTAGTCCTATGGCCATCTTCTTTGTTCTTCTTCAAATCCTTATCAGTAGCCTTATCTGAATCTCTGACTCTATATCCGCCTTCTTTGCCAAGCGGGTCCTTATTACTGTCAACATATGATTCTCTAGCTCTGTGGCTTTTCTTCTCGGTTTCTCTGGACTTATAGCCATCGTTACCATGCTTCGAATCCCTATCTGATCCTCTGGACTTATGGCCATCCTTCGAATCCTTATCAGATGCCTTCTCTGGTTCTCTGTGCCGTTTATAGTCAGGTTCTCTAGACTTATGGTCACCTTCTTTGCTCTGCTTCAAGTCTTTATCACTTTTCTTTTCGGATTCTCTGGACTTATAGTCATCTTCTTTACTCTGCTTCGATTCTCTTTCTAACTTCCCAGATCTATGGATATCATCTTTATTTTCATCTACCTCCTTATCACTTTTCTTATCAGATTCTCTAAGCTTGTGGCTATCGTTACCCTGCTTCAACTCCTTATCTGATTCCTTGGACTTGTGGTCATTGTCTTTGCTCTTCTTCGAATCCTTATCAGTAGCCTTATCTGGTTCTCTAGATCTGTTCCGTTTATAGTCAGATTCTCTGGATCTGTGATCTTCTTCTTTCCTCTGCCTCGATTCCTTATCATTACGTTCACTTCCTTTAGCATTATCCTTTGTATAACGACCAGAATCCCTTGTTCTTGACCGTGATCGACGCCTAGGCGAGACAGCGCGACGTTTCTTATCCGATTCTCGATACTTATGATCATCTTCTTTATCCTTCTTCTTATCCCTATCACTGCGTCCACTTCCTTTGCCACTTTCTTTTGAATGTTGATCTGAATCTCTTGTTCTGGATCTTGATCGATGCTCAGGTTCATTATAAGTGATCAAACGGCTACTTCTCTTGTCAGGTGTCAATTTTTGTGTCCCACGGCTTCCATTCATCTCAGTTCGTATTAAACTGCCAACATCTTTTAACGTTTTGTCCTTCTTGTCCGAATCCGGAATGGTGGGTATACCATTGACATCTGTATCCAGGTTTGAAACGTTTAAAAACTCTTTCAGCTGTTCTCCATTTTTAAAATCCAATTCAATTTTACAAGCACCTTTGAGAACCTTCACATAACTTGGCAGAATGCGTTGTTCGTACGCAGTAAAGCTATGAGAACAGCTCGGACATTTCACCATGAGGTAACCAGATAACCTAAAATATTCATTTTTAGAATCTTTTTAAAAAGTAAACAGCTTTTTCCTAACTGCTCGAAAACCCAATTTTTTCTTCTTAATAACTTACATACAAATTTCAACCTAAATTTCAACAAATAATATAAAAAATCTTACTTTTGTTCGAGTGTGACATTCTTTTTCCTCAACCGATTGATCTCGGCCTTTGCATTAACCAACAAAGCGTGAAAGTTCTTCAAAAACGCCTTCTTCTCATCTTTAGACATATCATTTTGAACCAAGGTTTGGGATTTACTCTCACTTTTCGAATGAATATCAGGTATCAATGAATTCTCAGACATCAACTTCAAACTCATCTGGCCCAAATCCTCATCCTTCTCCTGCTTTTTTATTGCCGGTTTTTCCTCGCTCGTAGTTGGTTCCTCATCTTCCACATCAACATCAGTCCCATTCAACACGTCTTCGTCTGAAAAATTGAATATTACTTTAAGTAGGTCGAGATGTTGATTTATAAAATACTAGAACACTACTTCATACTATTTCAAAATACAAAAAAGCTGGAGTATAACATAACGTATCGTAAAAAACGTCGACTGTTACCAAAACATTTTTCCAAACTGGAGAAACTTGATTTTTCCCTTGACCAACTAAAAATAGAGAATATAAATAATAACCTACCAACTTCATAAAGCCAATCATCCATAGGTACTGAAAATATTCTCGTAGACTACCCTACTCTTCCTTTTTTCCGTGTTTTTGATCCAAAAACAAAAATTTCAGAATTTTGATCTGTTTTTTAACAATGCGCGAAACGCGCCCTCTCAATGATCAACGTTCGTGCTTTAATTGAAAGTAATAATGCACGTATTAAAATGTTTATATGTTTGAAATTTAGGTTTTTAATATTAAGAAATAGTATGGTATCATTTTGTATTTGCTTTTGCAGTGTTGTGTCAAAAGTTCATGTTGCATCGTATAATGTGACGCACGCAGAGTTCACTTTTTCGCGCAAAATTTTGTTTGATTTCAATTTTTTGAAAAAACATTGAAAACAGTTGATATTTAGTGTTAACCATGAGTGTTCAATCGAAACTAGACTTATTCTTTAATGTAAAACCATCAACTTCAGAAGTCTGCAGCCCCAAAACGTCCGTAAAACGACCAAAACGGCGGAAAATCGACGATAATCAGTATGTTTTGGATGTTGGACAAAAGCGAATTGGGCTGCAACATTGTTTGGAGGTAGGTGTATGTTTTATTTTGTTTTTATTGAGTTGTAGAAATTTTGATATGCTTTTCAATGATTTTTCACAGCCTTAGGTACTTTAGTTTACTTTGTTTCAGTGTGACATGGCTTATAACATTGATGACATAGAAGATAGGAAAGCTCACGATCTTCGACACAATAAAATGGATAAATTGAAGGTTTTGAAAATATCTAACGTACAATTCACTGCTTGGAAACAGTAAGTTTTTTACTTTTTGATTTTTTTCAAAAAGTTGATTGACATCTTATCGAAACATTGATAATATTAGTTACTTTAATTTTGTTTTTTAGGGCTGTAAAGTGTAAAAAAGTTTCTGATGATACTACTATAACATTGTTTATGTTTACAAAGGATTGTAAAAGCTCAATTATTAAGAAAACTGAAGAAATTATAAACGTAAGCGTTTTTAAATCTACTGTAACATATTTTTTGCAGTAACTTTTGTTTTCTATTATAATATAGTTTTAAAACACACTGTCTGAAAGTTAAAATACTACTTTTTAGGACATTGTCAACCCCAACTTAGGCTTGTGCCCAGACGTTCCACTATGGTCAGAGACAACAACAGTGCTTCTCTTCGTATCTTCTCAAGAAAACGGCCATGTAATCAACTCTGTAGCGGTCATAGAATCTCTAAACGAAGCCGAACTTTTGCCAGATCATCGACTATTCAAAGGCAAATTTATTGGATTAAACAGATTGTGGATTAACCGTCACGCTAGCAAGGATTCACCTTCACAAGATCAAACATCATGGACATCAACATGGGTATTAGACCAGATCCGTCGTTATTTTGACAAAAAACCGTTACCTCGCTCTCGGATCGCTTTCAACGTGGACAATATTCAACTCGGTATAGATTACTTCGGTGATAACTCACAGCGATACGTCGGTTATGCGAATGAATAGAACTTCAATAAACTTTCTCATGATTTCTCGAGGGAATTTCTCTTGTCAGGGGTTATTTTTGTGGTATTATATAGGTTTGAAAGATGAAATTAGTCTTGTAGGTTTTATTGACATAGTAGTGATAAAAAACAATATAATACTGGTATACATGGTCAACATTGTCTAGAATCTAAAATTGGGCGCAACTCGCTCGAAAACCTCAAAAAGAGTCGACTCTCACTCTTCTTTTTAATTTCCGGTCAAGTGTTTCTTTTCGTAAGAATTTTATGCTTTTTTTCTAATGAACGTTTCACGCTAGATAAACGTGTCCGCTGGGTGTCGCAGAAGAAGCGTTGGAATCCGAGAATCAATCCGCCGGATGCCAGCGGATGGCAGCTGGACCTGTGCTGAATGCGCCACCAGCACCAGCCAACCAGACGAGCACTTTCTCCACGAACATTACGATGGCTCATTTATATGCAGGCAAGCCCGGTTTTCCTATCGTTTTGTAGTTTTTTTTCAATGGTTCATGTGTTGGTTTAGAAGTCACGGGAGGTTTTTTTAGACTTTTGTAACGTTTGGATGAGAAACGGTTTGATTTTTGAGGTCGTAAGCATGGATAATATCGGGTTTTTGTGATAGAATGTTAAGCGGGTGTTTTTGTATGTAAATCTGGTATAAATCAACTAGAGCATGGTTTTGGGAAGCTTTTTGTAATACCGGGACTTTAAAAAGTTATTGTTTTAGATACGAAAAGTTGGGTTTGTTTTGTTGTACGTTATTGTTGACTTCTGTATCTTTTCAGATTCTGCGCTTTTCCGGCTTCGGATCAAAAGGAGTTGGTTACACATTTTCGTGAAAAACACTTTGCTGAATCGTCACGTAAGTTCGTATTTTCATTGTTATTCTTTTGGGTTTAGGTCGTGAATCGGACATGAATGAACTGTCGTTGCGGCCGTCGTCGTCAAGTTTTACGGTCAACAGGTGGGTTATCTACTTATTACTTGAATTCTAAGGTCTTTTTATAAAACTTTATGGTTTCTGGGACTAGATAATATTATAAAAAGGTTTTTATAGTTAACTTCAAACTTGAAAATTGTCTTTTGAGCCTAATGATATCATAGAACCTTTTTTTGAACTTTTACTGCTTGAAACCTATAAAAAACAGCTGTTTAGCACCCCTTTGACTCACTTTAGGTAAAAATGCGAATAAAAATCTAAATTAAAGTTTATGAAAGATAAATATAATACTTAATTACAAATTAAAGAAGATCTTATCACTGTTTCCTAGTAATACTGGAATATTATGTTAAGTTTAAGTTTGAAAGACTTGTCTTTGGCTAGCGTTTTCTTTGTTGGCAGTTTATACTATGTTGCGAGGGTCGTTTCGACGGCTACGACTTCTTGATGGTCTCTGGAAATGAAAACAAATAGTTTTGACTCTAGTAAAGATGTTTAGGGTATAAAAGTATGCTTTGAGTAGGGTTATAATGGCATAAAATAAAATTCTAATGGTTATTATCGGAAATAGAACTTACTCTTTCTAGTTGATCATGGTCGCTTCCTTTTTTGGATTTCGATGACGATATTTGTGAGATTTTCTTAGCAATTTTGTTCTTCAGCACGTTTTCTGTGAGATATGCGTAGAGATAGGTACCACCCTAAAATAATATGCCGCTATTTTCGTTTTCAGTCACTTCACATGGATAATATTGATATTAGAAAGCAAATTTTCTTCATAATACGTCGTTCACTTAATCCTGCGCCCCTTCTCGAGGCCTTGATGCATTTTTCGAAAAAACTTATTTTTCATATTTAAATTAGTCGTTTTTCCTCACCTGTATCAATGACAAGATTGACAATCCTAACCACATTCCGATAGATCCTCCCAGCGCGGCTATGAACGATGTTACACTCCACACCCAGTCTTGTTTCATGACCAAATACTCAAAAGAACCCCACATAAGATCAACTCGTGTTAAATCGGGCCTCTGAGACTTTCCTTTCGTATGATGTACAACATTGTAGCGGACTTGAACACAACTACGACGACATTTCTTTGTGCATGCTTCGTCTGTCGAGTTTCGACCGTTTTTACTAAAATTTTGGGGGTCATTAGAGTTTTTCTTCTTATCACTTACTTGGTAATACACTTGGTGTAATCACAGATGGGATAGTTTTTGGTCGTTTCCAAGTAACTCAAAGTTGCCGGAATACAATGACATTCGTCTTTAATCATTTCCAGGCGACATTTCATACGACAATCGAATTCGTTTTCATTTTCTGAAGTCATCTCTCCACATTCAGTGCCTTCCTCATTGTTTTCAAGCATTTCGTATAAGGCTTTGATGTCTACTACAATCTCGTGACGCATGCCAAGGCATAACTAAACAGTTTTTTGGTTTATAAAATAGGTAAAGACATTTCTATACTCAAAATAGTAAAATAATCATAATATTAGGTTGTTCAATTAATTCTGTGCCTCCTCTCAAAACAGATTTACGAGATCAGAGAGCACAGAATTAGTTGAGCAACTTAATAATCAACCTACGTCTTCAATGTATCCATCGTTAACAGCCGTTGCTTGTGTATACCTCGTTAATGAGGATGGTCTTCCATGAAAGTCAACTGTCATACAATCGACTTTCTTGTCATCTAAGTTATGGTGGTTGTGGGATGTGACAAAACGGAAAAAGTAGCCTGAAACATTTGTCATTTTAATATTGTTATAAGGCAGTTTAGTTTATAATTTAAAATTTTTTATATTTTATTAGATTTTAGTTTCACTTTCTATGCAAAAAGTGTCATTTAGGCTTTAAATGACACTTTTTGCATAGAAAGTGTGTTAAAAATCAGCTTTTTGGGCCTTACATGGTAAATGTAATAAATTTTTTGAAAGTATGGTTAGTTTGAGGCTAGGTTTTTGATATTAAAGCTAGCTTAAGGCTAGTTTTACAAAGTAAGGCCACTTTTACCTTGATCAGTAATGTCTTTTTTCAACGCATATTGAGGCTGGAAACAAAATTCTTGCTCAGAAATCCAAGTTGTTTTAAGTGCCGTTCCAAAGTCGTCGTTCTCGTTGTAGGAGGTTCGCAAAAAGCTTTGATTTGACCGCCGAAACACCTCCAATCCCACTTTCTGGGTGAACTCCTCGAAGTTGACGTCACGTTTTTTGAGCTCGGCCATCCACATCTGGAACGGATTTGGTTTTAATGGACATCTTTAAAGATAATGGCTTTTAAAATTTTATGTTTTCGAAATTAAGGCTGTTTTACGAAATCATATATTGGCAAGAAAAACATGTTTTTTATATAAATATTAATCTAAAAAGGTATTTGAGGATCAGCTAGGTATGAATTCTGGAAAAATCTAGCAAAAAAAAGTAAAAAATTGTGTGATAGATGTTGTCAGAGATGTTATCAGAATGTATTTTATCATAGAAGAATTATGAAGAAGTTAGTCCTTATCCGCATAAGTTAGATCGGTGAATCAGTTAGTCTTACCTTAATCATTCTCCTTTTCGTTTCAAGTCGTCGATGAGTTCGGAACATGTGTATTGATCTCATAGTACCATGAGATGTCGTTTCACGTTCAATCGAACTCAATGCTGATATTACTTGATAACCTTCGGCTGCCAAACGGTAATCCCAAGGTTGTTTCAAAAAACTTTCCCTTGTCTTCATTTCATTCAGGCTTTTCTGAAAAAAGGGATAACATTATTGATAATACTTGTATAAAAGCTTCCATCTGTAGTAAGGTAGTATTGGAAAGGCTTAAAAAGATTTATAGCTCAATATAAGCTGCCAAAATTCTATATATCTCTAATATTATAGAAATAGTTGCCATAATTTTTGGGATTTATGAACCTTAAACTTCACTACTGACAAAACAAATCACTGAAACGTTACAGTAAGCTATAGCACACCTACCAAAACAATTCTATCCCAATTAGATACATTTTTCAAGTCGAAATGGCTAAAAGTTTGCATACGTCGCATACAAAACGTAATGTCGGGCATCTTCATAGTCTTATTGAACCGTATGTTGATGTCTGATTGTTTCGGATTTTCACAGTATTCGGCTACAAGTTCTATTACGTCTTTTACAGTCAGTGCGGCTAGAAAAATGACGATGAACCAGAAGGCCATCTTCCTCATTCGCTTTCCAGCAAAGATTTCTTTACATCGTTGTCGAGTCCAAATCTTGCCACGAGGGTTGTAGAAGTAGTCTTCGAACTGGTGTTGTCTGAATTTGTGAAGTTATGGTCTAGGTTTTGCTATATTTCGATTAGAAAATAGATTTTGTTTTATATTGTTAGAGCCGAGATTCGCTTAGAAGTTTTGATCACAAGTTTTAGCAATATTCTGTAAACTTTTTGACCAAAATATAAAAAATTAGACAACCTTAGGAATAGACTTTTAAAAACGTTTAACCTACTGTTTGTCATCCTTCTTCAACCTCTTCTTTATCCTCTTGTAAAGCATATCAAACTTGTCCACGGGTTCTCCATTGTTCTCAGTATCAGAACTAGAAGTACTAGAACAGAAGCCCAAATCGAAATCCAGTTGTTTGGCCAATGTTTCAGTCAATGTCGAACTTTTTCTACTAAAGTTTTGTCGTTTCTGAGCAGCGGTCAACGGTTTCTTTGTACCAGAAGTTGACCTATTCCTCGGTTTTCTTTCACTAGGCTGTCGACTGACTTGTTGAGCAACATCTTTTTTGGAGTGTTCATCAGAGTTGTCTCCACTGTCATCAAGACTAGTCACAATTTGTTCCGGATTCAGAAGGTCATCGTCTTTGCTATTGTCGGTGGGTAGGGAGAACTCGCTTTGGTCTGTACTGGTTTGGGTTATGTAGCTTTTGAAGCGCTGGAAATAGAACGTTAGACTTTATTAGGCTGGGGAAGTATTAGAATAAGTTTTTGCAATTATTGTTTGAACTATCCTCGCTAGAACTCCAGGTATGGAGCTGATTTTTTGTTTCGAAATTGTGCTATATGAAAACTTACTGTGACTATAAGCGGCCGATTTTGAGCGGAACACTGTGAATGGGACCTGTTTGAGCGACCTGAAAGCATAACTTTAAAAAGTGCTTTAAATTTATGCTTTTGAGTAATGTACCATTATTTTGGGCATAAAGGTACACTCCTTTAAAGATTTTTTTTAACTTTTAAAACCCTTACCACTAGGCCGATTTTCATCTGAAGTCGAAGCATTTGAAGACGCATTATTAGTTTTGTCTGGAGTGGTATCTCGTATTAATAGAGCTGTAGAAGAGTCGGTAGAATATTGGGTCTTCAAAGGCTTCCGCATGATGATTAGTCATCGATCTAAACGAGATTTATTGTTACAAAATTGTGATATTTTAGAAATTTTTTGTAAAATACATTCACAAACGCGTTCCTTTCTAAACTTTTAACACATAAATTTGAATGAACATTACAAGATAATTTACAATAGTAAAATAATACAATATTAACAAAAATAAGAAATACTTTGCAATACCGATTAAAATAAGAAAGGCATCAGCACAATTTACTATAGTACCAAAATAAATTTTTATGACAAATTAAACACAGAATTAACCTTTTTTCAACTATAATGAGCAAGATAAACCCTACGGCTAAAATGAAGCTAAATTCAATCACCATAACCGTGCTACGATAATAAGCATTTAATAGCTACGGTAATAAGCAAGCTAGTACGAAAACATTTGTTAAAATAAGTAATTTCAAAAAAACAGCGTTTTCTGATCAGAGTGACCGGTGTTTCGTATTATGAACGGAAGAAGGGAACTTTTCAGCACGAATTCCTCGTTTTGCTTTGACAATCACTCAAAGGGTTTAAGAGCCCTGAAGGCCCGAAGGTGGTTTTTTTTTCAATCGGAACAACTGTTCGTGTCGTTTTTTTTTCGGTCAGTACGAGAGTTGAATGAGGCCGGGCCTGGCCACTATACCAAAAGAACCCATTAATCAATTTATCACCATGCATGAACATGGAAAATAAAAATAAATAGGTGTGGGTGGTAGTGATCATAATAATCGTAATGGATGTTTTTAGTCACAAAATGGGTCTAGATAAATAGTTTTTTGATTTTTGGGGTATTGATATTATGATTATTTGAAGATTTTGTATACGCACGTATATTCGCTTTTAATGTTCGACTCTCGTTATAGGCAACAAACGGTGTAGTCTCAGGAACTCTCTTTGTATCTAAAAAATGGCCTAGAAAGGAAACTTAGTAAGAACAACTTTTCCGTGTTGTATGGTTGCTTAACCTTGTGAATTCTATTAGTAGACAACAAGAAATACCGAGAATGTTGTGATTACTATAGCAAAATTTTTTGATATCATGCGTTTTTTAGATATAAAGAGGGTTTTTGAGACCCATTTTGTTGCCTATAACGAGAGTCGACCATTAAAGCGTATATGTGTATATATAAAACCTTCGATTAATCAGATCCTCTAGAGTCCCAAAATTAAAAAAACTATTTACTAAAACTTTTTTTATGGCTAAAAACGTCAGTCACGTTTACTATGATCACCACCAATCACAAATATTTATTTTTACTTTCCATGTTCGTGCATGGTGGTAAATTGATTTATAGGTCTTTTGGTATAGTAACAACGTTAATATTCAGAGCCTTATTATTTATAAATAACCTTCTAAGAAACATTGAAACCCAACTCAAATACAGAAAAGGCAAAGTTATCTTAAATAATCAATATTCAACTAACAAAGGTCATTTTAAAGATAAATAAAGTTGTCATAAGAAAAAGTAAGACATGTCATTCGGTTACGACGACACTATTCGATTCGAAAGCGTCTGGCCATTTGGCCAACCTAACTCTCGATCCTCTAATAGTAGTTTATTGTCATTTTGTTTTTTGCTTTCTCTGGTTTATTATTCCAAAAAACGTTTAAATTTGTACGAATGTTTAGTCTTTTGGCATTTTCAATTCCAAAATGCGAACTCGTAAAGTGGAGAGGAATAATTAATGATTAATAAAAGTAAAGGAACATGTGTATGTTAAAAATAGTTTGGTTTGTGTACATGGTTTATGTTGAGGAGGGTATGTATGAAGTAAATGAAAAAGATGATATAAAGGAGAATTATTATAAGAAGATGATATAAAGGAGCGTAAAATGGAGTTTGTGATGCAAAATTAAGGTTATTTTAAAGTTTAATGTAAGAAACTAATATTGTAGCCTACAGTCTGTTTTGGTAGTATAATAAATAAATTTTTGTGCTGGTGTTCTGTTGGTATCCCTGATACTACTGGTCATTTAGTAAACTCATTTCTTGAACCTTTGAGACTTTTCAGCTCATTTTTTGATGTTTCAGCATTTCTGCAACATGATGAATGTCAGGGGTTTCGTATTAGAAAATAACTTTCAAAACAAACAGTTGTCACATTTTACGGTAATTCGACTAGATCATATCCAGTTTCCGACAAATCAAAAAACAATACTTATTATTTTTGAGAGGCTGTACCAGGTGTACTATTTTTTAATAAAAGGGCTTGAAAGGGAGGTTATAAGCCTTAAATTAAAAAGTTTGAAATAATATGTTTTATTGGTTTAAAAATTTTAAATCTCATGACAGATTTGGTCTTGCGGCTTGAAATACAGTGGAACTCCTGTATAACGAATCGCTCGGGAATTTGAAATTCGTTCGTTATAAAGGAGTTTCGTTATAGAGGAGTTTTAAATGCACTGTGTAGTGCTAGACGGGGATTCAAAAGTTGTTCGTTATACATGAGTTTCGTTATAGAAGAGTTCGTTATACAGGAGTTCCACTGTATCTTTGAAATTAAATTTTAAATGTTAGGTTCTTCAAATGATTCTGCGCCCCATCTCAAAGCAATTTTTTAGGGTTAGAGGGCGCAGAATTATCTGAAAAACCTAATAGAATATACATTATTTAATTAATTTTTATTTTTTAGTTACACTCAAGACCTGTCGTCAGTACTAACTGATTCAAGAAGGACGAAGACTGAAGCTACAGTCTTCTTTACGAGGCATTGGGGAGATGGGTTTGTACCAAAAAAGGAAATACCACCATCTTCTCATATTCCAAAAGTCAATGCTGACACTTTTAAACATTATTTGGCTACAACGGCAAAGGTAAAGTCTTTTTGTCTGTTTTAGTTGATTGATTGATTTTTAAGGTGTACAATATAAAAATGTAAGCGAGTTATAAAATCCAAAGTTACTAAAATATTTTTTTTTTCAGAAGCACAAGCATTACCTAAAATCCAAGCGAGCCTTACGGAAAGCTTTAGCTCTACACAGTAGAGACGTCAATCTAACCTCATCTGATGTACCTTCGCTCTTCTTATCATCAGACTTTACCCTCAAAGACCCATCAACCTTTGAATCGGTCTTTCTAGAACCACTGGAAGGATCAATCGATCGAACTGCTTCGGATGCTGAGCTCAAGAAGTTATTCGCAGGATCAGTGTCATCCTCAAGACCAAGTCTATCACGAGCACCATCAACCTCATCTGTCGTGTCGTCACAAAGCTCACAAATAGCTCCGGATTCCACGGACAGAAGTTACAGGCCATATCAAGTACTACACAATAAACTGGAGTACTATCACGATGTAGTTGGAGGGCTTTTGAATAACGAGTTGAGTGATAAAGGGGAAGAGTTTTGGAAGACGGTCAATTCATATGGAACGTTGAATGAAGAGCTGGCTGACGCATTGGATAAAGTTAAGGAAATGAGGTGGGTAAAATATTTTTTATTCAGATTTTTTGTTGTAAATGATATAAAAACAAGAATAGAAGTTGAATACGATGATGATATGAATAAAACAAGTATTTTTTAAAGGTGTATTAGGTCTCGTGCGTGGTGGTGTCCGTAGTGTTTCTGACTTTTGCTTTTTCTTCTTTGTCATCTGTGTCCTCTTTTTGATTCTCTAGGAATGCTGCCATTTGCCGTTCCGTATATCTAGGTGGGTTCTCTGGGTACTTCAGAAAACTTTCGAGCAATTTTCCGAAATTGGCTGGCAGCACTAAAATAATAAAATATTGTCTTATATATTGATGTTTGTTAGTTATTTTTAACGTTTGGGGGTTAAAAACATAGTTACAAACCGGGAATCTGGGCTAGCTTAGAGCTTGGTCTGGAAGCTGACGAGAAATCAACACAAGATCTCGGCCTAGCTCTAGAGCTTAGACTTGAAGTTGAGAAAGGCCTGGAGCTTTATTTTTAAGTATTGTACTTAAACTTGAATTTAGTATGAATATGTAGCAAGTTTGCTAAATTTTAGGCTTATGAGTATATATCCTATTCGAAAAGGAAAACATGGGTTATAAACTTACTTTTAATTGAAGTTAACGGAGAAGAAGGGTAAGGTAGGCTGAGGTTGAAATCAATTAATGAACCGACGAGGACTTTTGTTGGAATAGCTACTAATAGGACTCGCATAAAGCTGTATGCAAGCGCTGATGGATCTTTATTTTTTGGCGGGTTGATATGTAATATTGTAGATCATAGATAATTTTTTAAATTTTTTTTGGAAGGAGAACTTTAAACCAATCTTATGTAGCGATTTACTTTTTCTTAAGATCTTGTTAGAAAAGTTGAAAAACAAGGTAAACTACAATACTTATAAGCATAAAACTAAAAAGCGAGGTTGTATCAGATAATTTTATTGCATTCTTGGTATAAAATTACAGTAGGTATTAAAACATAAGGGTTAAAGTAAACAGGATAGTAATGGATTGACTGTAGTTATACTAGTATTTGTTAGTACTTTGGCTGGGTTCTTGCATTAGTTTTTGTCGATGCTTCTACTGAACTTTGACTCGTCTCTCTCTTCTCTGTCTAGATTATTGTTCCGGACGGCCTGCGCCAATCGTCCTCGCTGCCAGTTATTTTCTGGTAGTGGGTTCTCTGCGAAGTAACGGTTCATACGGTCGAAGTCGGTGTCGGAAATCACTGAAATAAGAAAACTATAGTTTTTTACTAGTAGATGATTTTATACCAATTTTAATATTTTTTTAGCTTTTTTTTGGGTAAAATAGACATTCGAAGGCTAGCCAGCTCTTGCTGTCCCTTTTTATGCCTAGTTTGGGCTTATGTTGCAAATCATTGAAAAGTAATAGGATGAAGATTATTAAAAGTTACCACAACAAACAAAAAGAAAAAACTTACATTTTTATTGAAGATTGGCGGAAGTTGATGAAGAAGAAGGTACTGGAATTGGTCAGGTTGAAGAACTGATTAAGTTAAGAGAATTGATGGGCTATTTATAGTGTTCTGTAAATCTACACAAATTTTTGTATATTGTAGTATATGGTCGTAAACGTCTTTGTCTACCGATTTTATGTTTCCCGCTTAAGCGCGCCAAGAGTTAAGTTAATATGCAATAGATCAAAGTCTATTTTTTTAATCATTTTTTTTAGAAGACGGGTTATATTAGGCTTGCATAACGACTTTATGATCTCTTATCTTTACATTTTGTCAGAAGAAAAGAGTTTATATTTACAATATGTGGAAAAAATTAGAAGAATGAATTAAATTGCAATTTAAAATTCAAAAAACATTAATTTCAACATCCAAAACCTTAAAATTCAATTTTCAGAAACTACCTAAACACTGTCAAAACCAAAGTCTACGATCGAACTCAACATATCCTAGCACTGCAACGAGGGCGTGAGAATAGGATAAAGCTTTTGTCAAGATTGGAGGATATAGCCCTACTACGAGATGCTCAAGCTACTGTACAAATGCTTCTGAATCAAAGCGACTACCCGAAGGCATTGGAATGCATCGAAACAGCTCAAGAAGTCCTCAGATCCGAGCTGAAAGGTGTAGTTTGCTTCAGGCACTTGAGTAGTCAGTTGAATGAGCTTCACAAAGCTATTGGCAAGATGTTGTTGGATGAGTTTGTCACTATTATACAGCGGGAGTTTGGAAGACCAATTGAGAAAGAGGGCGATGCTGCATATCAGGAGGTAAGAGAGGAAATTTTGGGGTAAAGTCGGTGTTATTGTACTGTAAATCGTGAGCTTTTCTACAAATTTTAAATTTTACTGTATAGTAATCTTTTTTTTACAGAGTCAATTACAAATTATAACACACGGGTTAATACGTTGCGACGAGTACAAATTTATGACCATTTTGCGCAGTGAAATCGTCGAAGCTGTGAAAATGACGATACGAACGGTGGTCAAGAATCGACTAGTTGAGTGTGAGGCCATGATAGCGGATTATGATCCGTCCTTGAGGTAGGACAGGTTTTATATGACTTATAGGTTATTATTGTGGCTATAGTAATTTTTTTAAAAATTTTTATTTTGAGTTTTTTAGAAATATTTTTTTTTATTAAAAAAATGGTTGAAATAGTCATGAATAATATAAATGTAACATTTCTGGTTTAGCCTGGGCGAGCAAATGCGACAAATGAGCTTTAATCAATGGCTGGACACTCTGGAAGCCATCTTCATGTCTCTATATTACCTTTGCATGCGGGTCTCCAGCATTCAATCCATGATCCTAGACAATGCTGATCGAGTACACAGTATACGACAACTTAGGAAAAAGAATTCGGCACTCGAATCTAAATCATCAACAGCACAGGAGCCAAAAATAGCTAATGGACATATCAATAGAAGTGAAAAGGGTGAAAAGAAAGTGAATATTGAGGAAGATAATGAAGAAATAGATGAAGAAAATGATAAAGAAGGTGAAGAAGAAGCAGAAAGTAATGGAGTAAAGGAAGAGAATGGAAAAGGAGAAGGAGAAAAGGAAGAAATGAAAGCAAAACATGATGAAGTGAAAGAAAAAGTGGATGAAACGAAGGAAACAAACAAAGAAATAAAGAAAAAACAAGAAGAAATGAAAGAAAATGGAAAAGAAGTAAAGGAAACCGGAGAAAATCATGAACAATCAAAACAAAATGGAGACATTTTAACAGAAAATGGCCAGATGAACATGCAAAATGGCCTAGCAAAGGACCAAAATGGACTGAAAAATGGTACTCAATCCAACTTTGCTGTAGCTTTCTTAAGTCAGCCATGTAGAAGTTTGGAGCAACTGAAAGAAGCCGCGCCATTTCTAATTGAACACGCCATATTGGCGGCGGAAGAGCGGGTTTCGAAGAGGTTGGGCAACAAGTACAAGGTAAAATTAATTTTTTTTAATTCTAAAAATGAATTTTAAAAGTGTTTGAACGATTCAAAAATGATGTTATAGTAGACATTAGATGGGCCAGAAATGAAAATTTTTAAAAATCTTTTTAAAATTTCAGGACAAATTCCTGGAACGATGCACATCAGATCAGTTTTGTCAGTTCGAAAGCCTAGTACGAAGTTTTATCAAACAGAGCAGGTCATTAGTGTCAACTTCATCTGTCTTGAGTTTATCCAACGGATCTGAAGGCTTAACTCCACAACGATCGCCACTAATTGGCACGATACAACTTCAAACTGCCAAGTTTATCATATCATTCCAGGAAAGCTGCAAGCAAAAATTGAGGTAAAATTTTAAAATGATTTTTGTTTTGTAAAATTGTGGGGTAAAGTTGATGTTATTGTATTGTAAAATACGACCTAGTGGCTTTAGTAGCTGCACTAGAATGTCTTTATAACTATACTTTACTATCTTTGTAACTTTACTTTAGTGTATTGATGTTATCCTTACACTTGTTAGGTTGTTCGAATAATTCTGCGCCCTTTAACCCTGAAAATTTGCTTTGAAAGGAGCTCAGAATTACTTGAAAAATCTAATAAAACAATATTAACCACTAAATATCACGTTTTCAGTCACGTCCTGGACGTAGAAAAATGGCGACCAACAGAAGTTCCGTACCATTTTCAAAAAATCATTGATGATTTCCTGGAGAACGGTGTTCTTCGTGACTCATCCTCAACATCAACAACCGAATCCTCATCGACCGTAACATCACCGGAACCAGAAGAGCCAAAACTATACCTAGAGCTAGGAAATGAACAATACTGCACAGTAGGAGCATGCCTACTAATGATCAAAATCATGGCTCAATACTGTACAGTGCTTGCCCATTTCAATCAGTCTGGCCCGGAATTGGTGATCCATCTGGTGGGACTGTTGAAACACTTCAATTCAAGGACTTGTCAGCTGATTTTGGGCGCTGGGGCTATGCAACTGGTCGGGCTGAAGACTATCAGTGTCAAAACTTTAGGTATGAAGTTGAATTTTAAAGGTTTGGGTATAAAATTGGATTTTTAAGGTTTATGCATGAAATTGGGTTTTAAAATTTGTTTTTTGGTCTAAAAAAGTTTGGCAGTCAAAAGGTACTATTTTGGTGCTTGAACATGTATTTCAGGTTTAACAGTACGATGCCTTCAACTAGTCTCTAGGTTCATTCCACTAGTCAAAACCGAATTTCTTAACGCTCTACCAGCTGACAAACAAAACTTGGGCCGACGTTTCGATCTGACCTTACGAGACTATGCTGATCATATTGATGAGATTTACAACAAACTGGTCTTGGTGGTGGATCAACACTTGCTCAGTGGCCTAGAACAATGGACATTGTCATCGAACACACCATCAAACGCATTCCAACATATCATACGACAGATTGGTAAATTCTACAACGGGTTCTCTTCTGTCATGCCGCCGAAGGATACCACGGTAAGGGGGGGGCGGGGTAATTAGGGGGGGGAGGGAGTTAAAGATTTAGAGATTTTGGGAAATTTTTTTTGATCAAAATTTTCTGTTTGAAGTACACGTACAAAGGGGCTGTGCCGGGTCTAGTTGACCTCTTAAAAGGTCTTAATTTCAAAGAAAAATTTCAATTTTTCAAAAAAAATTAAGTTTTTCGCCTAAATCTGCTATTTTTCAGCTTCTCCTCCGCCGCATTCACGAAAACTTCAAGGTGCATTTGGCAGAGAAGATGATCCAAAAAGGTATTTCGCCGCACGACGCTTTAAACTACGGCATGGCCGTTCAGGAATTCAATTATTACATGGAGAACATGCGCTCACTTCCCGATTGCCTTGAGTTTCCCGACGATTCACTGGCCTCACTTCCTCTCTAAAACACTGTGATATTCGATGTTAAGGTGGTGGATGGCGTGTAGAGTTTATGGTTTTGGTGGTATGGGCTTTGGGATGAGAGTCCAGGGCTGGGCAGGATACTTTTTCAAAAAAATTTTTTAAAATCAACAGGGGGGGGACCAAGTTGAACTTAAGGGGAGGTAACCCGAAAATTTACTTTGTGAGAGGGTACATAATAATTATTTGAACAAGCCAATTGTATACCTAAAACCATGCCAAAACCATCAAAACAAACTTTACCACTACCTTAGCATATATGTGTAGGCTAATTTGTAGTTTACCGTAGTAAATCTAACTATTAAATCTTTATTGGTTGTACGTCAGTAGAACATATGGTTGTATATTGTTTGTTTAACGCTAATTTATCCATTCCTTTTGCTAATATAAAGTCTTACAACAGGGTAATTGTGTCTTGAAAAGATGATTTTTCGATTCGAAAATCGTATGTTTGTATGTATAATTTTCGTTGGCTAGTCAGGGTTTTATTAATATAAAGCATATTGATCAAGTTGGAGATGGTTTTTGATTTTTACTATGTGTTGGTATATCAATAAGGATTTATCTTGTTATAGGACTTTGATTACTGTAGCTAGAGTACTGTGATGTTTGAGAAAAAAGGTGAGCAGGCTCATGAGTCAGGAACATCACAGTCAAATACTTCTGATTAATTATATATATAAGCTTTAGGTTCAACAACCTAATCCACAGACTATACCATAACCTCATCTGATGTCCCTTCTCTCTTCTTATCATTATACTTTACTCTCAAAGATCCATCTTTTGAATCAGTCTTTCTAGAGCCATTGGAAGGACCAATCGACCGAACTGCTTCTGATGTTAGCACGCTGCGATCAGTACAATTTTATAATCATTTTGCGAAATGAATTTGGTTGAACCTGTGAAAACGACGATACGAATGGTGGTCAAGAGTCGACTGGTCGATTTTGAAGCGATGATAGTGGACTTCGACTTGAGTTTGAGGTAGGGCAGTTTTTAAAGACCTTTCTTTAAAGTTTGATTTTTTTTGTAATATTAAGTTATTTAAATAATTATGTACTCTCTAACTTCTAAAATTTTTTTTGAAAGAGGGCACAGAATTATTTGAACAATCTATTATTTTTTATATAAAAATAGTACTTGCCTCTTTAAAATAGTACTATAATACTTCGACCGTAATTATTGAAGTATTACTCACAAAATATGTATAGACAATTAAACAAATAGTCAAATTTTCAAAAATAATACTAAACATGACCATTATTTTTTCAAAAAATAATTAAAAAATTCAAACAAATAAAGTCAGTTGTTTATTTCGTCAAAACAGTCGAGATCAATTTGGATTCAGATTCTTCTTGGCGGGTTGGTGATGGGGGTGGATTCGCCGACGAACGGGTTGGTTGGGCCGCGACGGTCTGAAAAATTACATTAATATAAGCCTATAATAATATATCAACAAACTTCCACTAAGCCTATCACTATATAGTAAAAAACCCACATCTTCCACTGTACATCAATGGAGTTGGTTCGACCTTCTTCTCCACCTTCTCCACGCCCTCCTCCTCGTCCTGAACAAAAGCCCTACGCACTGGGCACCATTTGAATGGTGCTGGTCGTTTGTGAGGACCATCCTCCTTCCTCACGGCGTCTGACACGAAGGTTGGACGCTTCTGGGGCAGAGGATTGTCCGAGAACCAGCGTTTCGGCGGAGCTGGAGCATTCGAAGAGGCGGAGAGTTCTGGCACGGAACGCTGACGGCTCACCGGGACCAAGGCACGGCACGAGTTGTCCTCGTTGACCGAAGTGACGGTGGTGGTTGAGGTTGATTCGTCGGCTTCACGGTAAATGTCGATTCGGACGGCTTGATGTTGAGGTTCTGGCGCGTGTTTGGCAGTCGGGTTGATAATGTGATTCTGGAAAAAAATTTTTGTCATTTTTTAGTTTGTAAAAAAATTTCTTGCCATTTTTTACTTTTTAAAGGAATTTTTTGCTATTTTTAACTTGTAAAGAAAGTCCTTGCCATTCTAATCATTAAACAGTAAAATTAGTAAAGAAAACCCATAAAACCACCTACCGTCCGACACAACTGACGATTCTGATCGAGCACAATGTTGGTGTTCACCGCCCGCATTGGCTTCACCTCCGCCGGCAACGCCGAGTCATCGTTCATGGCGCACAACAAGGCGTTGATGATCAAACAGATCGCGAAGCAGAACAACAACAACGCCACCATGGAGAAGAAGACGGTCAGCCATTCGCTGTCCGACAACGAAACCATCGTGAGTTCGAGGGTCGAGAAGTAGTGGGACTAGTCCAGTTGGGGGTTAGTCGACCAGTGGGCGGTCGTGAAGCGGCCGCTCAGTCGGGTGGAAATGTGAGTAATGAAGTGATTTTTAAGACCGAAATTTTCGTTTTTTGATTTTGAAATTTGCATATTTTTAAAGTAAATTTTTTTTGAATTTAAAAATTTTTTTTAAATTTAAAAATTTTTCAAAATTGTGAAAAAACTTTATTAAAACTGCAAAACCAAAACGATATTAACTATAACATTAATAGCCGGGAGCAGTTCGCGGTGGTGGGCAATGTTCACAGCCTCCAGCCTCGCCAGGTGGTCCATCTAGTCCTCGTGGTCCATGAACTCCAGGTTTTCCAGCTGGGCCAGGTGTGCCAGGACTGCCAGCTTCGCCCGGATCTCCATCTTCACCCGGTCGACCAGGTGCTCCAATTAGTCCTAATGGTCCCGGTTTTCCAGGTTTTCCGGGTGGTCCAGGTGGTGCAGCTGGTCCCGCGATCTCGTGAAGTGTACCAGGCCGTCCTTTGCTTCCCACTGGTCCTGGTGCGCCTGGAGCACCTTTGGGACCTTTTAGGCCGCGACGACCACGTGGTCCGGCTGTTCCTGGCTTTCCGTCTGGGCCATCGGGACCTTCTGTTCCTGGTGGGCCTTTTGGTCCCATTCGGCCGCGTTTTTCCCGGCGGGCCGGGATTGCAGTCAAAGCACCAGTTCTGAAATGGCATTTTTTGTTTCAATCAAATTTGATTTTTTTTAAAGTTTTTGAAGTTTAAAATTTTTTGTGAAAAGGTCCTAAAAATCAAATTTTAAATTAAATCCAAATTTCAAACCCAAAAATGTAAAAATACCTGAGGCGGCGTAGGGAAAGCGTCATCTTCAGGTGCATCAACTCCATTAGCTCCAGGCCTACCAGGGGGACCATCATCACCGGGATGTCCTTTGGCTCCAGGCGGTCCTGGTGGGCCAGGTGGGCTGGTACCACATCCGCAACATGTGTTATGTTTAGATGCTCTTTTGTCACGCTGTACTCTGTCTATTTTTACCTAAAATGCAGTTTTTAAGTGAGCCGTATTTTAGAAAAAACAAAAATTGAGAAAAAGTTGATTTTGATGCAAAAAGAATGGCGTGTTAGCATAGAAAACGGATCTAAAATATGCCATTCTTTATGTCATTGATATCTTCATGAATATCTGAAAATTCAAAATTTTAAAATTTTCATTTTGAAAGGTAAAATACGGTTTTTAAAGCATTTATAGTTAAATTACTTACTTCAGTCCGACTGATTTCTCTGTAAATATTGTTGGTTCGAAGCCGGCAAAAATGTAGATCATCGTGTGCAATCGACTGTACTCGTTGTAAATGTGCATAGAGAAAGGGAACAAGTAGAATAATCAAAAATACTGAGAATGCTGATATTGATACACCGAAAATGGCAGTTCGACGAAGGTGCAGGAGCTGCGCTTCTAATTTGTCTGGTAATAGAGGCTCTCGCATTTGACTGAAAAGTAAATGAAGGTTATCCAGTTTAAGAATTTTTTAAAAGATTTTTTTTAAAATTAAAATCGAGGTTTAAAACGCAATTATAAAACCGAGGTTGATTAAGAAACGTTTTACTAAAAAAAGGGGGGGGGGAGTAAGAACGGAGAGAGGGAGGTAGTGAAAAATATTTTTTTTGATAGATGAGGGTTTTTTAACAGTAGAAAGGGTATGGCGAATAATTACATTGTGAAAGGTGGGGTAGAGAGAGGGGTAGATCGTCTTTTGTATATTCACTACCGCCTCATGTTCATTGCTACACTCCCTCTTTTCATTTTTCTCTTGCTTACTTACCCTGCCCATGTGGACGCTTTTTCTATTGTATTCTGATTTACTTTGTCTTACACTATCGTACTCTGCCCTACGCCACTCTTATTCTATCCTGACCTGAGCTGCCGTGCCTTACCCTACCTGCCGTACTCTAACCTACTTTACCCTACACTATCTTTTCCACTTTACTGCTCTCTTCCTCTTCCTCTAGCCTACTTTCTCTATTACCTAGCCATGCATGTAAACTCTATTAAAAACTACAGTATTACAGATCTAAAATACAAAGCAAATATCTCACAGTAAATTAAAAACTCGATTACACCACCCCGTAACAAGAAGCATCAAACCGTTGTCGGTTAAGGTAATTAAAACGCTCATTCATAATATTACTGTTTCAAGAAGGAAGGGGAAGTAACCGTATTCCTCTCATTCATCCGCCGTTTCGACTGGATTCAGCGTCAAGAGGTGCTTGAGAAGACAGTCCGGAACGTCGCCGGATTAGTCATTTCAACAAATTTTTAGGAAATAACAAACTACATGACATTAAACTACATGACATGAAACTGAAAGTGGCATTACAGCCGATCTAAGACAATGTCTTTGTAGGAAGCAAAGCGTGATTATCTTTACTGTAGTAAGGGTTCTAACAAAGCTGAATAACATTTAAGCTACCTTTATATATCATAGCACCTCTATTTTAAAGTTGATCATACCAAGTCCTATACAACTTTACTATGTCGTAAAAACCGGGTGTAGCTCGCTCTTTGTTATAACACACACCAAACACAAAGTAAAAAAGATGATGAGAGCGCCAAATGTAATTATGATTGACGGCTAGCTTAAGGGCAAGCCTTCCACAACATCAAAAATGGAGTAACGAATATACCATGCCGTATTCAAGTGTACTATAAACTTGAGTTTTTGAGCTTTTTGTTTTATAGTAGACTTTTGTTAAAATACGACGGTTTTCTTTAGGATTTGTGTTGGTGTCGGGCGGTTCAAAACTTTTGGCGTTTTTTAATTTGAATGGGTAAAGCAGGGTTGGTAGCGTAGTGTAGGGTATCTTAAGTTACGGCAGGGTAGGGTAGGATAGGGCTGAAAACCGAGCCAGTTTAGAGATAAAGTTGAAACGGGCCGGGCTTGGAAGGTACCCCCCAACCCCAATTTTTTTTGCATATTTTAGTACTTTATTGAACGAGCTGGGACAGGCCTGAGAAAAAACGTAACCGGGCTAAAGCTAAATGTTACGCTCTGTGCCTATGCCGGTCTTTAAAAGTGGGCCCGGCCCGTTTCTCGATCTTAAGAGCGGGGCAGGTAAAGCAACGTAAGGCAAGGCAAGGCATAATAGAGTACGATAGCGTAGGCAGGTCAAGATAAAATATTTTTTCTCTTCGAACAGCAGTATTTCAGTCCTTTTTTCAAGTTTTGATGCAATAAACAAGTGTGACAAACTTTTAATTGAAAAAGTGTAATTAAGTTAGTTTAAAGTGTTACTTTGAGAAATTGTAATATGTACATGTCATGGCATAACCGAGAGTTTTAGGTTTAAAGAATTTTCCGCTGTTATTGTTTTAGACTTCTTTTTATAGTTAAATTAAGTTTTTTATTTGAAAAAAAGTTAAAATAAATTTGGAAATTTAAATTTTTAAAAATTTTAGCTTTTTCACATAATTCTGTGCCTCTCTTAATGCAAATGTTCGGAGTTAAAGAGCACAGTATTATTTGAACAAGTTAATAGTAAGATATTGTTGCACGTGGTTGTTCAAATAATTCTGTGCTCCCTAACACCGAAAATTTTCTTTGGGAGGGGGCACTGATTCATTTGAACAACCCAATAGACAACATAGTTTTGAAGGTGCTTTGTACTAATACTATGAATGAAAACATTTGCTTTTAGGTACTAGTTGGTACAAGATTTTGGTACAAAAAGTTAACAAAATTTGTTTTACTTGCAGTTATACCTAAAAACCGGGTATTTTTAGTTGTTGTGCCGAGTTTAGTGGTCAAGTTTGTAACAAAGTAAACTTGTTTTCCAGTAAACTTTTACTTTTATTTTTGTTTATCTGAAAAGAGAACCACAAATTTTATTGTTCCAGACATCCGGCTAATTACCTTGTTTAGCATTGTTTCTTTCCCGTGGCTTTTTTTAATACTTTTGGGTTTTTTAATTTTTAATGCTTCTATACAGCTTATTCTATAGTATGTTTCGTTTTTTATTACTGTATTCTGCGCTGGGTTGAGCAATTGTAATATTTATAAGTGAAAATATAAAAAAATTTTTAGATTTTAGGTATTATTTCAGAAGAGTTTTTTTTGAAAATGAAGTTCTAAGAGAGGGGAGAAGGGATTAAAATTGTTTTCCTTAGTCGAACCGAGAGCCCTCGCCTAGAGCCCTAGCCCAAAGCCCTAGCCCAGAGCCCTAGCCCAGAGCCCTAGCCCAGAGCCCTAGCTCAGAGCCCTAGCTCAGAGCCCTAGCTCAGAGCCCTAGCCCAGAGCCCTTTGAATAGAATATTTAAAAAAAACTTTATGATAAGATGAACCGAAGAGACCGTTCAAATAAAAAATTTTAAAAATTTTTGCTGCATTTTTCAAATTCACCAAACTGCAAATCTAGCCTTTTCCCAACGTTCAAAGTTCAATGCCCAACCATGTTTTTTATTTTCCCGTCCCCAACGTTCCGTGATTAGATCAATAAACAAGTTGGACGGTGGACCAGGTTCGTACCCGTGGGGCCCCCCTCCACCAGCACTTTGAATATTTTTCGACTCGATTTCAATTCAAAAACGGCGAAGCGGGGCCAGCCGGCTCGCCGTCGGGGCACGATGAGGAAATTCGGAAGAGGAAAATTGAAGAAGATGGGGCCGTCTCTTCAATATCCTTTTAGTAGGTTCGGCGACGAGTATGAGTTAACGACCAACTGATTTTATACCCAAATTCCACTTTTTTTATTTACTATGCCACTTGCGCCGTAAATACAAAGTTTTTGGCAGAAAACGTTGGGAACGATGACAGAAGGGGGTTGGAACGTTGGGGTGATGAATATGGAGATTGGATTTCGGATGACATTTGAGTGGGTAATATGACAAATTAAACTTGATGGCATGTTGCTAATTGTTTGGAAAAGCGTTAAGTGAGCAGCGACTAACTCAGCTTAATAGGCTTATTAGGGAACACTCCTTTTTTATTAATAAGGGGTAGACGTTACAGTAATATAACTTTTTGTATACTCCATTTTAAACACTCTTTTAGTCTAGAAACTTTTGTTTTAAGAATTTTCTTATTTATTAGTTTTATGACATAATGTAGTTTTAATATGTTTATTTTAGTCAGAGCTTTTCTTTTTTTCTATAGTAAACTGTTTCACCGATAGCTTTTAAATGTAAATTGCTTAGCTGGGACTAAAACGCTTCCTGGCTAAAGATGGGGTGGTTTATCAACAGGTTGGTTTAAAAATGGTAAAGATAACAGCAAAGTACGTGATTGGTGCAAAGGAGTTAAATTTAAGGTTTATCAAAATTAAATTTTTTAATTTTAAAAAACAAAATATAGATTTTTAAAACTAGGCCAGAATTTAGTGCTTTTTTTATTGAATGTTTAGCCACTTATAGTTTTTATTACTTTTAAGTGTTACTATGAATAGCGGTTTTTCTTTTTTTAGTCTATATGTATTTATATTTTTTTTAATTATTAAAGTTGATACAAATTGCAGTTTGGTGCACACTTTTTAAATACGGTGGAACTCTTGTATAACGAACTTCTCTATAACAAAATTTCTGTATATAAAAGGGAACAAAAAATATATTAGCTAAAACTTTTTAATTGGTAGTTCATTGAAGTGTCCTTTTATAAACATATCATTTTTTAAATTTTTTAAAATAATTTTAATATTAAGTATATTTTTTGACTTAACAATGTTTTAATTTAAATTTACTTTTTACTGTTTCAATAAATTTTTTGATTTTGGGCCAAGATTAAACCATGTTTTACTGTAATTAAACGTTCTTTGATCAATATGGTATTGCAAAACATTCTAATCTTTGACCATTTTTAGATGAATTTAAATTTTAAAATTGATTTGTTATATCTGTTATCTTTTTTTATTTTTCTTGCGTTATTCTTTATGTTTGTAGAAATTTTTTAATTTCACATTTTCTCAATAGCATTAACTTAACATAAAAGAACTTATTATTTTGTATTTTACACCAACTATTGATTACATAATTTATGAATTACAATTACTGTTTCTTATATTAACTATTGACTAAATTAACTACTGATTTCAGGAAGAACTCTTTGTACATAAACTACCAACCTTTATCATCTTCATCTTACTGCACTATCTTTTAAAATCACTTAAATGGATATAGCAGAAGTCGTTTCACTGAAAAGGTTTTATAAACTCACAAGATTAATGTCATAAAGCCAAGAATGGCAGACGAGTTTTTCGAGGATGACATCGACTGTGTCGATGTGAATGACATCATGGCAAACTTTAACGATCTCACCATTCGATTGGATGTTAAGGTAGGCTTTATAAGGGTTTCGTTTTTCCTTTTTTTCAATTTTACAGTAGTAGTTCTTGGCGTACTGTAACAAAATTTAAGCGTTAGTATTTTCTTTGTAACAAAAAAGTTTTGTCATCGATGTACATTGCTTTACATGGCAAAAAACGACAAGACTTTATTGCGTTTTTTAAATTTAAAAATACAAATTTAAAATTAAAATTTTAAAATTTTGAAGACATTTATGACTTTTTAAAGACAGTATAACATATTATAAATAAACATAATTACAGATCGTATACTCAATATACTATGTAACAATATTTACTGTTGGTTTGATTGGAAACGGGTTACTAATCGCTAAAATACGACGACAAATGACGGTGGCTAATGTCTTTCTTATCAATCTTGCCATTTCCGACCTCGTAAGTTCATCATATGTTTCATAGAAGGCTTTATAGGATAGGATAGGGTAAGGTAAGGTAGGGTTAGGGGGTGAAAAGCAAATTGTGTAGGCCTGGCCCGGCCCACCCCGGTTTTACAATTGAGCCGGGTCGGCCTTGAGCAAAAGTTGAAACGGGCCGGGTTTGAAAAGTAGGCCCGGGAGGGTAGGGTAGGGTGGTTGTAAAGAAATGACCTTTTAAAGCTCTTTTAAATAAAGATCAAAAGTGCAAAGATAACGTACTTATTCCAGTACTATATATAGCATAAAGTTCTTTAATTATGCCTATTTTTAACTCCGCAGTAATGTAATCAAATTACAGTTATTATGTATTACCGCACTTCCTATAACGCCCGTTCTGGCCTTTATGAAGCGATGGATCTTCGGTGACATTATGTGCAAACTGGTACCATTTTGTCAAGGGATTTCAGGTAATATTTGTGATTTCAATTTTTTCAAAATAAGATTTTAAATTTCAAAAAAGTTCAAAATCTTTAAAATTAAAAATTTAATTACATGATGGAATATCGTCATTTTTGGAAATTTTAAAATAAAAAGTACGAAAAAATAAGTTTTTAATATTGTAAAATACGCCGCCGAGACTGCAATTCTGTAAATGTTAATTTTGAGTTTAAAAAAAGGTTTTTCAAGCCAAAAAAATAGTTGAACTCTGTTTTTTGAACTAAATAATAGACTAACTTACCAATTATGATTATAACATAATTTAATTTGAGGTAATTTATGTAAATTTCTAAAAGTAAAACCAAAAATTGTAGACACTTCTTTACACAAAGTAATAGACAAACTAAACTAAAATTTGGTGAAAAATTGAATTTTTATGGTACTTTTTATATCAACGGTACTAAATAAATTTTTTCTGGTACTTTTGGTACCAAAGATAATAAATATTAACACTTTTTATTTTATATAGTACTAAATTGCATTGAATGGTAATGTCTTAAAATTTGCGAATCATATCGATTTTAATAAATTTAAGGTTATTTAGCACCAAAAGTTACAAAGTCATTAATTTTTTCAAAATACAGCACTATGCAGTACTAATACTAAAAATGAATGGTGATTTATTATATTTGATACCATTTATAACCAAAATTTGAAAAATTTTTTGATTTTTTTAAGATTTAGATTTAGTACTGTTTGGTACAAAAGTCTGCAAAATTTTTAAATTTTTAAAATTCAGTACTAGGTAGTATCATTATGAATTACAAGTGACGGTTTTTGAAATTTTAGCAATATTTGGTACAAAAATCTTAAAAAATTCAAAATTTTTAAATATTAGTGCTATTTACCATTATGAAATACAATTGATGATCTTTCAAAATTAGTACCACTTGGTACAAAACTCTTTAAAATTTCTAAATATTGAAATTTCAGTACCATTCAGTACCACATCCAAAAAACAACTGTTTTTATGACCATAACCGTGCCCTTTTCTGCCGTTTGATTCGAAAGTTTGCCTTTTGTTTTCGACTAAAATGAGGTTTTGGCGCTTTGACCGGAACCCAATCCAATTTCGTTCCAAAAAACAGTTCAAAGTCTGAAAGTTTTCAAATCCTCACGAGGGCCGCGCCCCCGGAATTAGAAACAGATGGCCAGTTAAACAGTCAAAATAACCCCCAAACGGGCAATCAAATTGGTTGAGGGTGGATGACTACCGTTTAAGCGCGTTTACATTACACTGTAGATGGACTTTCGGCACGAAAACATGGGAATGTGAGGGCATGGTGAAAAGAATGGCAAAATGTTGCGAATTATTTCTTAAATTTTTAAAAAATCATTGTCTTGAAAACGTTTCTCAGGTATAGCACCCAATGATAGTATCAAGTTCCAAAAAAATAAATATTTTGGTCATTTCTGGTAATATATATAAGTAATATCTTAACTTGCCTTACCCAACCTTACCTTACCCTACCCTGCCTTATCCTACCCTGCCTTGCCTTGCCTTGCTCTACCCTACCCTGTGTTGCCCGGCCTTGCCTTACGCTGCATTTGCCTTGTCTCGCCCTGCCCTTCACTGCGTTGTCCTTCCTTACTTTAAATTGCCTTACCTTGCTTCGCTTTGACCTGCCTTGCCTTGTTCTTTCCTGTCTTGCTTTCCCTGCCCTGTCCTCTCCTACCCTTCCCTGCCGTAAACTACTTCACTATTACCTCTTACTCAACCCTACCTTGCCTTGCTCTGCCCTGTTTTTGCCTAACTTTACCCTAAATTTAGGATTATTTGGTACCATATTGTACCACTTTAAACCGCTAAAACCAAAAATTTTTCTTGTTGAGACAGAAAACCAAAGGTACAAAAAAACAAAATGATACCTAAAAGTACTTCAAAAACCTCAAAAACTAAAAATTTAACCAAACACCCCATTCCAGTTCTGATCTCAACCTATTGTCTCTGTCTAATCGCAGTGGATCGATACCGTAGCATCGTGACACCTCTCAAAGTGCCATGGACAACGCGACAAGCCCAGTTCTTTATGTTCATATGTTGGGCGACGGCCGTCGTGATATCCTTGCCATTGTTCATAGCACAACAACTCAAGCACATAGCGTTCAGTAATATCACGTTATGTGGTCAATTCTGTGGTGAATACAACTGGCCAACCGACACTCGATACAAGTTGGCGTATGGGTCAGCATTGTTGATATTAACGTACCTTATACCTGTTAGCATCATGGCCTTTTGCTACTGGAAGATATTACAGAAGGTAGGGTGGTTGTGAAAGGGTTGGACAGGTTTGACATGGTGTATATTAGTTATGGTAAACATATGAGGGGGTGTCATAAAAGTCTTGTCGTTTCTTAACTAAGCTCTGCACGTCTATTTTTCATTATATTGTAGTAGGCCTATACCTCCTTATCCTATCATATTGTTACAGGTACGACAAGACTGGATAGTAAACACTGGCTCTATGCTAACCGAAGCCCAGCAAGCCCACACCTCAGTACGGAAGCGACGTGTCATGTACGTGCTCATACTCATGGTAGCCGTCTTCATGGGGTCATGGATGCCACTTACCATCGTCAACATACTACGTGACATTGGAGTGTCCGCGTTGGAAGTACAAATGTACTTTAAGCTTTTGAATGCACACGCTGTAGCAATGTCAAGTATCGTCTCCAATCCATTGTTGTACTTTTGGATGAGCAAGGTAAATAAGGTTGTGTAAGGTAGAGGACAGTAAGGTAGGCTAGGGTAAGGTACGGTACGATTAAGCAGGGGATTTTAGAGTAGGGTAGGGTAGCGTTATACATTTTATTATAACATATTAGGTTGTTCAATTAATTCTGTGCCCTCAAACTCCACAAATTTGTTTTGAGAGGGAGCACAGAATTATTTGAACAGCCTAATATCAACATGTACAAATAAGAATGAGCCAAAAATTGCAAATTTTGGCGCTTTGAATGGCTCATCCATATTTGAACAAGTTGATTACCAAGAAGATGTTAATGCCATTTTAAATTACAGCGACACCGCCGCGCCCTGAAAGATGACATGTTTTGGCTGACCAATGTCCGAAGACAACATCAGATGGGTCTGCTAGAGAAGTTTGCCCCCTCACCATCAGTTGGGATAATGTATAGGAAGAGTTTGGAGAGGCACCTACTCAACACAAAATATAATCCTTACAGGTAATGAAAACACTATTATTTTAGCTGAGTTTTTGAAAATATTAAGATGACTTTGAAAACTATGCTATCCTTTTTCAAATGTAGTGCAAATTTAAAAAGTTTGACCTAATGTTAAAGGACCAGTCGGGGTAAATCTTTTGTTCTGTTTTTCTGCAACAAATCAGGCAATCAGGGATTTAGCGATTGGCAAATCGTTCAAAAAATTATTTTTTCGTTTTTATTTTTCGAAGAACTTTTTGTTTTTATTGGTCGTTTATTGTCGAATCTTTTAGTGAAAAAGATCGATTCTAACTGATTTTATGTAAGATATGTTAGAATATACATGGTTTTACATCTTTCAAACGTTTTTTTGTACTTTGAGCAAAAAAATCGTTTGAAAACTTGAAAAATACATGTATTTTCGTCTTCTCCAGCTAAACTGGCCATATTCCATCTAAAATAACATGGAAAGAATTCAAGAATGAAGAATGGATTGTTATAATCGAATCTTGACGTATATTGGAATGATAAAGATCTTGGATGCCCAGTCCAATTGAAGTTCGGTAAGTTCTTATTCGTTTCTTGTGTCTAATGTTTTAGGTATGAGAAACAATTATTGAAATCGTTGAAGGAATACTGGGTAAAACCGTTAGAGTAATTTATAAAACCATGGTAAAGGAATTTAGAATATTGGCATAAATTTGATGTAGATGTAGGTTTTCGAAGCTTCATTGAGATTTAGAGACAGGTCCAATGGATTTTTCGATAAATATCTCGTTGTTTGATTGAACATTTCAGATTACTAGTTGTTAAAGCTTTATAAAGTTGTGTTGAATACTTTAATTTGATCAATTGCAATTGCAGTTAGTGGAAAAGGAATTGGTTTTGATTAACTTTTAGCAACAAATTTAGGACAAGCGTTTTTGTTACCTAAATATAAAATGCGATGTTAACATGCATTATTTAAGTGAGAAGTTAAAATAACCTTTATCCTCCGTCTGTTAAAAGTTCAACAATCTCCTTCATTGCACAATTTTCCCATCTTCCAACAATTATAAAAAGTGTTACCTAAAATTATATTCAGCATTAAACAAAGACTTTTTCCTCAAAACCTTGGTAACGCCTCTAAAGTTTGACTATATTGAGCTTTTACTCAATGTTCGCCACACGGCTTGCAAACACTTTGCGGGATTCATGTTAACCTAAAACATTAGACACAAGAAACGAATAAGAACTTACCGAACTTCAATTGGACTGGGCATCCAAGATCTTTATCATTCCAATATACGTCAAGCTTCGATTATAACAATCCATTCTTCATTCTTGAATTCTTTCCATGTTATTTTAGATGGAATATGGCCAGTTTAGCTGGAGAAGACGAAAATACATGTATTTTTCAAGTTTTCAAACGATTTTTTTGCTCAAAGTACAAAAAAACGTTTGAAAGATGTAAAACCATGTATATTCTAACATATCTTACATAAAATCAGTTAGAATCGATCTTTTTCACTAAAAGATTCGACAATAAACGACCAATAAAAACAAAAAGTTCTTCGAAAAATAAAAACGAAAAAATAATTTTTTGAACGATTTGCCAATCGCTAAATCCCTGATTGCCTGATTTGTTGCAGAAAAACAGAACAAAAGATTTACCCCGACTGGTCCTTTAAAGTATTTTTACAAGCAGTAGGCCTTTCTTTAAAGTTTGAGCACTATTTTTAAATATTTGGTACTGTTTTTAAAATTTGGAGCAATTTTTTAATTTTTTTAAATTATGATTTAACACTACACTTTGAGGTTAACCTAGACCTGAAAGGGGCCGAAACAAATTTGAAAAAAGTCTGACCTAAAAATTGGGCCCGGCCTGGTCTCTTTACATGTCTAGTCTAACCTAATTTTTAAGCCAGCTCCGGAAACTTAAACCTTTTCCGTTAAACCGTTATACCTTTGGTCATTCTATTCTAATTTCAATTTTGCCACTTATAGGACAGGGTCGAGTAGTGGAGGGTAAGGTTCGGGCAGACAAGCTAAATTTAATGGTAGAGTAGTGTATTTTACTTTCCTTGTTAAACCTTATCTTACCCTACACATCTTTACCGTTTCCTAATTAACATTTTAATACCCATCCTAACCCATCCTACTCTAAACTATCCTACAGTACCTTACTCTACCCTACCTCACCTTATCACATCCTGCCCTATAATACCATACCCCACTTTATTCTACCCTGACCTAGCCTATTCTACCCACACTTCCTCTATAATTTTCAAAAACTGAGAGAATTTTAAAATCGTAACACTGTTTTTAATACCTACTTCCAGACGCGGCACCCTGGCCGACCCGACCATGATGAGTCGAGAGAAGTCGTTGCAGGAAATGCACGCGAACTGCTTCCTCCTCGTACCATTAATGCCTTTATGCGTACCACCCACTCGAACAACCTCAACCGTCTCCTCGTCGATGAAGAATTCGTCGGTTTTGTTCCGACAAAAAATGTAACTTTCACACTTATTTATTTTGTCAGTAAAGTGTTTTTACACTTTTTGAGAGATTTTAATATATTCTACACTATCTAAGAGGTTTTAGTAGTATAATAATACCTATAACAGTAAAACTGGACTTGAATTAATGTGGAGTAAGTTAGAAAACTCAAAATTAACATCAAAATCAAGTATTAGAGACAAACATACGACAAAGTTAGACAGAAAGAGATAACATAAAGTGAACGAAGAAACAAGGGCGCGTTCATGGATAATATAAGAGAGTGAGAGGTCGCTTAAACAGCTCCCAATATCAAGTCAAGCTCACTTGAAAAGACAATGACCTTTTTTTATCAAAGCTGAACATAAGTTAACATCTTCGGTTTATTAACCCAAGTTTGAGGTTAGCTCATGTTTCGGCTCTGAACTCTCAGTGGCTGATAAAGAGAAATTTTGGAACGCTCTACAACAATGTGGAGCTTATAGTAGTTTTCAAACGTTTGAATACCTTGTAGTACTCATACTTGTAGGTTAAAATAAAGTTTTGGCCAAAGAATGTTAACTTTGATATTATTTACAACAATATAGCCTTAAGACCTCAAATATTGCTAACCTTCTCTGCCTAAAATTTAAAAAATCGAAAAAATATTAAATTTACCTTGAGAAGCTTCGAGTTCAACAACCTCCAAGTCCAGCTTAACGTCTTCAACCTCTATCTTTTTATGAAAGTATGTTAACATGGTTTGAAGACTTTAAAGATTATAAACCGCAAATGTAATTAATACCTAAAATTATATTTTTAACATAATTAAATATAAAAGTAAAATTAAAAAAGAATAAAAACCTTTTACATCAACCTTTACTCATTCCCTACTGAAAAACGGCCGAAATTAATGTAAGATGAGAGCTTTTCTAGACAAAGCAACTGAATTTCTATAAAATATCTCATTTTGACGATTTTTCTCGATGTTAATCCTAATATTTTTGTTTTCTATCAAATCTTACATAGATCTTGATTGTTAACAAGTAATTTATGTTGTTTCCCATAATTAATGACCAAAAAGACTTGTCAAAACAGTAATTTTTGCCAGTTATGAGCTATTTTGTTGTAGAGCCATCTGCTTCAGCAGTCAATTGTATTACTTGAATATATATTCACACTTTTGCTTGATTAAGGAAAACCTTGTTATACTAGTCTCATGTGTAAGTTTTTAATATGTTTTATCTTCTTTTAGGTGTAATTATGATCTCCACATTGTTGTAGAGCGTTCCAAAATTTCTCTTTATCAGCCACTGAGAGTTCAGAGCCGAAACATGAGCTAACCTCAAACTTGGGTTAATAAACCGAAGATGTCAACTTATTTTAAGCTTTAGAGTGAAACGTATTTGTCTTTTCAATTGAGTTTGACTTGATTTCGGGAGCTGTTCCGGCGATCTCTCACTCTCTTATATTACCCATGAGTGCGCTTTGTTTCTTCGTTCTCTTTTATGTATGTTCATCTATATACCTTTGTTGAATGCAAAGTGTTAATGGTTGTACGAACACACGACAATGTTGGAGAAAAGATAAAAAGAAAACGAAGAAACAACGCCGCGCTCATGGGTAATATGAGAGAATGGGAGATTGCTCGAACAACTCCCAAAATCAAGTCAAACCCAAATGAAAAGACAAATACGTATCTTATTAAAGCAGAACATAAGTTTACATCTTCGGTTTATTAACCCAAGTTTGAGGTTAGCTCATGTTTCGGCTCTGAACTCTCAGTGGCTGATAAAGAGAAATTTTGGAACGCTCTACAGCAATGTGGAGCTCATAATTTAAGGCTTAAAATAATATGAAGTATATTAGAAGCTTCTACATGATTTTACTATAACGAGGTTTTCTTAATCAATCAGTGTGAATACACATTCAAGTAATACAATCGACGACGCTGAAGGCTCTACAACAACATAGCTCATAACTGGCAAAATCTACTGTTGTGACTAGCCTTTTTGTTCATTACTTGTAGGAAACAATATAAATTACTTGTTAATAATCAAAGAACCTTAAAAATCACGGTAGAAACGTCCAATATCACAGTTGTCGCGAAGTTGCGAGTTAAGAAATACAAAAACATGTTTACAAAAATATAGAACCGGTCCAGAACAAAGAAGGTCTTTTTTAACTTGCAAAAAGTGTTTATAGTTAGGCCGATTTGGCCAAAAACTAAGAAGTCTCTAACCAACTAGACCGCGGATTGGTCGTATTTTATATTTTTGGATAAATAAATATTTTATATACTGTAACTAGCTAATAATATTAATATTCATAATAATTTTATGACACAGTAAACACGTCAAATACCACAGTAAAGAGCAAACGTCAGCCAAGTAATTTATTTCTCAAAAGTCAGAATGTTGTGGCGTGGGGAATCTAGAATCCGGGACCCTTCTCCCAGTCGTAGGGGAACTCCTGGACGCCCATCGAAGTGAAGGCGCGGCGCATCGTCGAGTAGACTTGTTGGTAGTTGGGGGCGTCGTAGTACTTAAGGGCGTCGACGTACTGCAACACCTCAATGTACTCGCGCGGGCAGCCGGCGAACAGTTCCTGGAGTCCTTGTGGGGAGCGGCAACGCTTTTTGTACTCACCGACCTGAAATAATGTGATACAACAGCTGTAAAAAGTAGCATAGTATAAAAATATACTACAATGTAACTCTACAATGCACTGTATCACCCTAACAACCCCTCCGAGCCTACTACAACCTCAACCCTCACCTGGTTCATGTCCTGGACGTTCTTCCAAGGCAGGTTGCCGGTGGTCAGCTCCACACACATGTACACCCACGTCTCGCAATCGTCCTTACGGCACAGCTCACGTTGCAAATGGCACGAGATGGGAGCGTAGCGGACCGTTCCACGGAAACCGGCGGCGGCACGCGGCTTTCGGATCACGCCTTGATCGTTGGTGAACTTACGACACATACCAAAATCGAGAATGTAGATCTTGCGCAACTCGTTCAGCTCGGCACGACCGATTGTGTAGTTACCCGGCTTCACATCACGATGCAGGTAGCCAATGTTGTGCAAATCCTCCAATGCCTCCAGCGACTGAATTCCGGCGCCAATGGCCGTGCCCATGCTCAAGTGCTGGCCTGGGCCTTCCTGGAATGAGATGTTTAAAAAATTTGAAAAATAAAAAAAACTTGACCAAGATTACCTTCATCACCCAACCTACCACAATACAACTTCAAAAACCCCCAAAATATTACCTTTCTCAAGTCCTGCAACGACTTTCCGACAAATGTCATGACGACATAGTTGAAGTTTCCGAATCGTCCCTTGTCCTCAATTTTGCAAAAGTGACGTGAGCCTCGTTTGGTCAATTCAGTCAACACGTACACCTCCATCTTCAGTACCTGGATCTGCTCGTTGGCACCTTCGGTTTTCAGCGCATACTCGCCGGTGGGGTCCGATACTTTGTACACAGCACCTGGAAGGAGAATAGCATCATTTTGGAACGGAAAGGCCTTGGGCTGATGAAAAACCGGTCGAATATAGAGAAAAATCGACCGAAAAGGGCAAAAACGCCCAAAAAATCAAACTGATGACAAAACTTATCAAATTTACTGCCAAAACTGATTGTATATAATCTCAAAACCCACCATATCCAATGCCAAAACTTTTAAGCTTCTAACTGATACCAAATTCAACCAACAACAACATGATAAATCAGCGAATTCGACCGCAAAACCCAGCAAATTCGACCGAAAAACCTACCGAAACCTCCCTCTCCCAGCTTCTTCACGATGGTCCAACGCTCGACCTGTTGTCCCGGCTGTAGCTGGACTAATTCGGCTGCCATTTTTTCTCTCAAGTCACCACAACAATACACTACGACCGACCAGTGAAGTCACAACCGCCAAAACTGAGCCCGAATGAAGAAATAAGCTCCAAAGTCACTTTCCGAAATTTGCATATCGGGCGAAAAAGAGGGTGTGAACTGTCAATTTGAAAATTAAAACTTTTATTGTAAATATTGAGATCGTGTCGAAAATGGTTGTTTTTTTTCTGGGTTTTATAAGTTAAGTCTACTATATAGCGCATAACGTGATTATATAATGGCATTTCTGGCAAAATATAAGGAAAACCGTGTTTTTTTTATTAAGATTTGGCTGTAAAACGTCATTTCCACGTTAAAATCAACTAAAAAGATGTCATTTTAAACTAAAGCTTATCACGAAAACTAATTTTTTCTAACAAAGTAAAGTCAACCAACATTGTATTCATACCAAAAAACCTAAAATAACATCCAAAAATCAGCCAAAACTTCACAAACTTAGCCAAACAAATAAAATTTTTATATAAAACTATTTATATATAACTGTTATAACAAATGTATGGCAAGATATTGTCATCGTTGGATGACCATAAGTGTTAGTAATCTTTCCTATTGACATTTACTGTTTCTTCTTTGCTTTGGCTTCTCCACCAACGTTGAACAATGGTACAACCCAGGTTTTTGGTGGGTAAACAAAGTACAAGGCCAAAGTGACTACGTTAACGGCCAGACCGGCTACGTTAGCGGCCTAGAATGTTGTTTTTATTAGACTTAATCTTTTTAGTCTACTGTACATGAAAATTCCAAAGTTACTACCTAAAAAGAGAAAGAAAAGTTCAAAGACCTACAGCAATATAGTAGTTCTGAACATAAACTCCGTAGAACGTCCATTGTAAGGTCAGAGCAAATACACCAAACTGAATTGTAGCCGGAATGTATTCAGTGGTCTTCAAGGAGATAGCACGTAACTGAAAAAAAGCTTACATTATGTATTTTTTGAATAATATAAGCCTGAAAAGTCTAAAATCTGTACCGTGCAACATTAAAAATAAAAGAGTTTTTAAGTAACAATAAGTAAAAAAATAGTTTACAATTGAGAGAAAGCATTGTAATTACAATGCTTTCTCATAGTTTCTTTGTTATAAATCAACTCAAATCACTTTAACTATCATGATATTACAGTACCTACGAGTTCCGATCTTAACAACTAAAAAAAATTTAAATCGACCGCAAAACTTTTTGTACAGGAACAAAATGTGAACAAAACACCATAAACTTTGAAAAAAATTCATAACCTTGATACTCGATTTCACAACCTTTGATACTAAAAATCGACTTACAATATCATTAACACCACCAAACAAACTAATGATTTGAGTGGCAGCAGCGATCGAAGCCATAACATCATATTGCTCTTTGGCAGAATGACCATCAACATACTGTACAATCGAGTAGATAGTGAATACTAACCCCAAAACTTGGCCAAACAGGTATTTCTGGAACAGAATTATATCATATATTGTACAATACTATGACTTAAGGTATAGTATTTGCTATTAAATTGTGCAAAACATTCTGAGCCCAATTTCAAAGCAAATTTTCTGAATTAGGAAGCACAGGATAATTTGAACAACCTAATAATTATACGTAAAAGAGCCTCAAGACTATAAAAAAGTAAATTTCAAAGTTTAGAAACCCTCAAAGTTATTATATTATAGTAGCCTTACCCTAATAGGTTGATAGTAAGCAAAAGCCACTGTGTAGAAAGAAAATACTGCCAAGTTGATCAGGTTAAGATAAATATTTACATTGTCATTCGTCATCAAACCATGACGATACCAACAGCACATTCTGAAAGTTTTTACCGTTTTACTTGTATTATACTTTAGTTTATTCTTTTAGTATACCCTACTTTACTCTTGTAGTATACTTTACTTTATTCTAATATCAAAAACACTAAATATATCAAAATTTTAGGCCAAAAACTACATAGAAAACCATTGACATGTCCTTTTTTTATGACATTTCTGCCCACTTCTTGACCAATTTTCTAATTTTTTAAAATTTTTGACAAACTATCAGAAATAACCTTACGTTAACATAGGCAGAACATAGTTGATGGACGAGTACCCATCAGCACTACCTCGTCGTTTCCAATCTAACACGACTAAAACTGGCAGAAATGTGAAACAAATCGAGTAAGCTGACAACCATAACGTGAACACTTCAAACCATCCCATTATGGCACTGAGACTAAAATTTAAAATTTAATTAAAAAATTTTTTTGAATCTCAAAAATTTTGAAAAAAAACGCAGATTTATGCAGAATAGAAGACATAACATATTTTACATTAAAAACAAATAATTTACAAAAATTGCTTTGCAAGACTAAAGCAAGTATAATATACATATAAAGCGAAAGAATCCGTATTTTACCCATAACCTCAAAGTTATAGTAGTTTGTTAAATTAATTCTGTGCCAAGCAACTTTTCGAAGCTAAGAGGCACAGAATAATTTGAACAACCAAATAGATCTATTTCCTCTAAAAACCCAGAAGAAACAGTGAAATTTCAGTCACAGAGCCATCGAAGAGACCCTAATCGATTTGTATTTTACAAAAACGGAACAGAAAACCCTTCAGATTGAATTAATTAACTGTTTACAAAATACACCATTCCCATTACATTATTTTAACAAGCAACGTGATTACAACCAACTTGCTTTCAAATTAAATTGTAGTTTATATTGCCAGTTGTAATAGACGAAAAGTCAACGCCTTTATCGTGACTTGAAAATATTCTTTACCACAGCTTTAAGAATACCTAATTTTATGATAACACGAAGGGTAATAATATAAATGTTACGATATTAAAAAAAACATGTCAGCATTCATTAAAATAATCAAAAATTGATTAAATAGAAATAAAAGTTCATCAAAAAATACTGAAAAAAGCAACTGCCTCATGCTGGAATCGAACCAGCGACCTTCTGTTTACTAGACAGACGCTCTGCCCCTGAGCCAATGAGGCACACTAGTCGAAACATAACAAACTCAAGTCATTCCTATTCAAATCCAATCCAAACCCCCATTCAAAACTAACACAAGCCATAAGCTAACAGTTATATTTGCTCACAAAGTCCCTTCAAACTACAACATAGTAAATTTTGATTTCATGCCTTGAATTCAAAATTTTGACATCTATATGTAGTAATATGGTCGCCAAAAACAACATAATATAAATTCAAGAAAGTAAAGTAAAAAATTAGAAATACTATAAAATACGTCTTTCCTCAAAAACATAAAATACAATCCAAAAATGACAAAACAAGAAACTGCCTCATGCTGGAATCGAACCAGCGACCTTCTGTTTACTAGACAGACGCTCTGCCCCTGAGCCAATGAGGCACACCAGCCGAAACAAAAAAAAAAACTCAATTCATTCCTATATACATCCACTTATGGTACCAAGTATTCATTGCCACACGCCAGAATAAGTATAGTAAACCACGAGTAAAACCGGATACGATTATGAATTGTTCAAAATTTAATAATATATACATATAACAACCACAATAATATACGTTTAAAACGTAGAAATTAATATTAAAAATAATATTGATGGTCAGACATAAACAGCAACTGCAAAAGATGTTAAGCTATTTCAAAAGCTAACTGACATCAAAAGGAAATGTCACTTACGCCTGACCAACCATATAGATCATGTTATGCTTAACCAATTTGGTCAAATAACAATCATAAATTAAAGAATCCATCAAACATCAGGCTTTGTTCAATTAATTCTGTGCCCCGTAACTCTAACAATTCGCATTGAAAGGAAGTACAGAATTATTTGAACAACCTAATAATATTGAAAGATCATAATATTATACTAAATAGTTAATAACGAAAGTTAGACTTTCCGATTGATGTACTTCTCACTGTCCCCAAACTTGCTGGCTCTGCACTCGTACTTCTGGACATGCCTCAAGTTGTACATATTGGTGTTGTAGAAGTTGCCATCGATACAGTGTACAATGACTGAAGTCGAGTATAAGCTCCATTTGGTCATGTAGATGGTACGTCGTGATAGTACGGCTACAATCTGAACAAATTCTCCTGGAGGTGCTTGGCAAAACAGCCTTCGATCAGCACATACTTGCTTGATGTTCGGTTCTCGAATGACTTTGGTCTTGGGACAATTGAGACCACTGAGACAAACTGGCAGAAGCGAAATTTCCGGACAATAGCATTTGGCTTAAAAATGACGAGTAAGACGATATAAAGTGGTTATACATGTTAAAATAGCGCATAATACAAAAAGTGATCTACATCAATATAAAAAAATAACAGAACCACAAAAACAACAGTAATAGACGAAGTAATTTACCTTAACTATCTCTAAAACTGTTTCTAGACTTTCTAACATCTTTTGGCTCACACTAGATGTAAATAACCTTCATATCTCCTCCTACCTCCCAAAATGTCATTACCTTCTCGAGAATAGTGTCCTTCTCAAAAAACATTAAAATCTATCAAATTTCATTCAAAATATCAATAATAATATCTTATCTCTGACACCTATCAATATGCAACCGCACCTTATTTATTCTTGTTATCAGTCGTTCAAAAATCGATTTCAGCTGTTTTGACAAACTATACTAAAATATTGGCAAAAAGTTATTTCCAAAGTACAGTAAAGAAAAAATGTATAATTTTGTAGTTCATAACTTAAACTTAAAAACTTCTTAACTGACAAGCCATTAAAATCAAAATTCAAAACTTTAGAAGCAAGGAGAATATAAAAAACGTCGTTTAAAAATTGAAAAACATTGTCTAGGTTACGAAAACCCCACAAATCTCTCAAGATTCAAACTAAACTGTTGTAACTCTAATTCAGCCACAAAAAAAACCATCAACTAATCCAAAGTTATACCTAAAAATCCAAAAACAAAAAAAAACAACTTACATTGATGTATCTTGATCTGCAAAAATTCGTCCGAGCTTTGAGAAGCACAAATAAACGCGTTCATAAACCAAAATAAGACTAGAACAAACATTTTCAGTCCACAAACAATTCCGAGTTAGTAATAAGTTTCAGTAAATAGTTCAAAAGTACAATATTTTCGTAAGATGTCAAAGCTGAGATCAATATAACTTGTTTTTAAGACGTTAAAATAGAAGTTAGTAGAATATACTTGTATAGTATTATAGTAGAGATCGGTACAATTCAAATATTAGATAGAGATCATTGCAACTTGTCCTGAAAATACCAAAAAAAACTTCAGGTTTTCAAAAGATTTTTTGACATTTTTTGTTTGTCATCATTGTTTTCGTTGCGAAATACCTGCCGCACGCTGGTAAAATCGCAATTTATAAAATTTTTCCATAATTTTAACCTCAAAATTCAATTTGAATAGTGATTTATGTCATATATTATCCTGGTTAATCGTTTATTATTATTTTTCATTGTATACAAAATGTAAGCTTTAAATTATATTAGCAATTCGTCTAAATTAATATTCTCGAATTCTAAAAAAAGTTTAGATTATTATATAAACTTTTAGTTAACTTGGTAGATTTTAAAACCCCCGGCTATAAATATATGACCATAAAGATGACAAAAGACCATACTATTATCATAGGATAAACAACGAAATATAAATCACAAGAAAACATATTAAAGATAAAATATTCAATCACAAACACAAAAAAAATCCCGCAATATTCAACTAACACATTACAAAAGACTAAAATCAGCAAATATTAATGTATTACAACAAAGTCTTTCATTGCCTTATCAACAAGTGTCATCTTATTGTCGGTTCCCGGTTGCACTGGCCGGATCTGGCACATATGCTGGCACTTTTTTCTTTTGAAACACTTTCGCAACGTACAAACAACCACAAATAAACAACGTCAACCCTAAAACACTATCTTATGTCTGTTCTTTGATCTCTATTTTGATTGTTTTTCTTATATTGAACTTCTAATTTTGCCGTTTCTTTCGAAAAAACAGTGTTTTTGTGTGGTTTCTTAAGAATTATTACTGTTTTGTCATCAAAACAATTATGATTAGATACTAGAACTTTTAAGTTATCACTGTTACAATACTGACAGTAAAATCAGAAAGAGAATCTATCCATTGACAGTGAAATTCAAAAAAGAATCCATAAAAATGACAGTCATTACCTGCAAATTCAGAAAAGGGAGTAGCGATATCTTTGAAGAAACAAGGTACGGCCATAACACAGTACAAGATACCACGCTTCCAGCGATCAAACTCCAAAACTAAACTGAATACATTGCAAAGAGCACCATTTGTACTAAAACCAAGAAGGATTTAGATCATTTATCGTATGAATCAAGTGCAAATTGTTTTATAATGTATTCCATCTATTAATACCCTATTAATGGCTTTAATAAGTAAGTAATCGCGTTGTTGATCTCTTACCCACAACATATCCTGATCAGCTTCCCAGCTTCAAGAAGAAGCACTGGACATCCAATGATAGCCAAGTATAGTCCAACTGGTAATGAACTGATCCCAATAATGGCGTTGAATGCAGCGCAATACAAAACTGGAAATTTTTTGTACAGTTTAATAACCTTAACCTGTTAAAACTGGATTTTGAAACATTACATCGAAAAATGAAATGCCTATTGCGCTGATGTTAATATTAAGTTGAATTATTTTAGTGTGTAAAGAAATGTGTTGTACATAATATGCACTATGCATAATTTCTAACACAACGTTCATTAACGAAATAGTTCAAAAAGCTTCTCCAGATGCCAATAAATCCTAAAAATCCAAACAATAATATTAAAAACTCACTGAATACCGTGAAGATTCCAAAGACCGTTCTAATATGACTGAAGAACCGACATGCTGGATACCTGTTGATGTAGACGTAGTTTCCACTCTCTACATATGCCGGATCCATATTTACTCCAATTTATTCTATTATTCAAATAGAAAAAATTTTAATCAGAATACTGATCAATTGCAAAGTAATTGCACAATATTATCCACAAAAATATATATTGAACAATCCAACGGGAAATATCAGAGCAACACATGACGCATCGCAAACACTCACTTCACATATTGAACATATCCGAAATAACACATCATATCAGCTCTTCCCAGAACTTATCAAGGTCACAAACATGACCTATATTATTTTAGACTTTCAAGAGTTTTAAATTATAGTACTGTGTACAAACTTTGTACAATATTGTACAAACTTCTTTAACTTTTCAAATATTATGCTCTGATGAAACAAAAAACTTAAGACCCTCTATAGTATCCATGCAGGAAAAGAAAAACAACAAAGGCACATGGAATAACAATTTGGACTTCTTACGTCCAAAATTGCATTTAGAACATAAAATATTGAGCAATCTTGTAAAATCACATTCTTGAAAAACTAAAATACTAACTTTTAATTAAAAAAATAACTGTTTTACCCAATTTACTACCCAAATTGCCAAAGACCCCAAGTTTGCCATAAAAAAGGGCAAAAATTTGTAAGAAAAAGTTGACTCTATATTTACAGTGTCGAGTCTGCCGCTGTTGTCTTGCATGCACGACGTTCGCTTTTTCGCTGTTTCTGGTTGTTTTCCAGTGAATTATACACGGTTCCGCGCGAAACCCCATCGCTTCAAGGCCCGTCCACCGTCGTCTTAACAAACTGACCTTGGGGATTCATCAGAGCCTGCAGATTCAGCTGTTTTTCACTTCATGAACTCATATTTTATGCGTTCATCTCACTTTTCGCGCGAATTTTCGCGGAAATTTCGTAGTTTCTTACACGCTTTTGTGGCTTGTACATGGCGATATTGTGTGTTGGGTTATGCGGGATTGTTGGCGAGGTGTTTTTAATGTTTTGACAGTCTTTGAGTGGGTTTTTGGCCGATATTTGATGTTTGAGGGGGCTTTTTGAGGGAGTTTTATTGAAAGTGCAATTGCTCGAGGCGAGGTGTCCAATTTGGTTGTAAAATTAGATCATAAATTTAATTGTGAATTTTTTGGCCAGTTTTTGTAAAAGGTTGGGTTAAAACTAGTATATTAACACGTAAATACTTTATTATATTGTTTTAGATAAGTGTTTAGAGAAATTTCTCGTTGGACGGTGCGGTTTAAATTTTTTGATGTTTTCAGGTTTTAAAAATATTGTGATATTGCTTATCAGGCTTATTTAAGTTCTTCGTATAATCATATTGCTTTCAGTGCTTCTTGGCTTATACTATGGGAAAATAGTATCATTTTTCTAAAATATTATTTAAGATAATATAATAAAGTTGTTACGTGTTTATTCAGCTGGTTTAAATCACAATTTTGACGAGAATTGACCGAATCGACCTTGAAAACACTAATTTTTTGAGAAAATATCGCTGGCATTTGTTTTTCAACAAAACTTGTCGAAATTCGACAGTGAAAGTCAAGCTTAACCTTTAAAACTTGAAATTTAACAGATATTGATGTAAAAAACAACTAATATATTATCCATATTTCACGCCGTTTTATGTTATTTGCGGGTTAATTTGCATAAGCGTTCGACTTTACATTATTCATGTCAGCTGATGATAGCTGATGGATTATTCGGGTTTTAATGTTATTTGTGTGGGAAGTTGAAGGTTTTTACGTTTTTGTAATGAAATCTAATATGTCATGAACGTTTATGCTAGTTTTTACACGTTTTAAGCCAAAAGTCAATTATTTATGCATCAAACTTTCAATTATATTGCACTTGGTATTGAGGTGATGGGAATACTCGTTCATAACTCAAAATGTAGAAGTGATATGCAAACCGGTTTTGGCACCATGAAAGTAGAGATAATATTTAGTTTTTCTGCATATTTTGGAAATTTTTGGGGCAAGATTAATATTGATATCAATTTTTTAAAAGTAAGACTGTCTACAACATGATAAATTATTTTCATTATTTAATTTTTAGAAAATTTAAAATGTTTTCAAATTTTCGTGAATTTAGCAATATTTTCACGGGTTTTAAGACGCTGTTTATGCAAATTATGGCGAACACTTTTGTCTTATTCAACGCGGAATGATTGAAGATAATGGGAGTTGGGGAGAAGGAAAAGGTGCGCTGACATTTACGGGCTGTTTTTTGGCTTTCAAATGAGGTTTGAAGAGGGTTTCCAAGTTGATTTTTTGACGGATATGATAATCGCCTAAAGTTGTTTTTACAAGTTTTTGTCAGGGATAATGTCAAAGTGTGTCTTGGAGGTGGAAGGTTGTATAATATATGAAAATCTTTTAAGTAAATAAGGTTTTATAATGTTTATTAACAAAATTGGATTGAAAGCAAGTTCTTGATGGGTAAAAAATATTTTTCATATTGTTTTCCAAAATTTTTGTAAAAATGGCACAAAATTTAAAATATGCAAATTAAAATTATAAATTTGAATAATTTTTAGCAAAATTTGTGAATTTTGGTTAATTTTGGGTCATCTCTGTTACATATTGGCCCAGTCGTTTGGCATCGTTCTGATTTTTCTCCGAAAGTACATCAAGATAGTTTAGCAGATTGACGTTTAGGTAACAATGTTTTTTTTTCGGTGTTATTTATGATTATTGATCTAATTTTAGGCTTGTAATTGAAATATTGACATCGCGGTTGTCTTTTTTAAATTTTTTTTAATTTTGCGGTCAAAAAGTTTGTAGAACATTATCTAATCTTGGTTGTTAAGTAATGATCCTTGAGTGGACGTAGCGTTGAATTTTACTCATAATCAATGTGTTTTAACTCCAATTTACAATCAACAATCTAAAAACAATGTTTTTCAGATCCAGGCCCATCGGAATTTGAATTGGGCTCGACTGGACTTGGCCGTTTATGAGACGTTAAACGCGAAACGGTCAAAACAATTTTTTTAATTATCTTGGGGTGATTACTGATCAATTACATTTCTGACTGAAGGGAGTGCGAATGTCATCGGCCGCTCTTGGTCCAGCATTGCTCGACGGGTCGACAGTGCCTCAATATGGAGTGTCACAGCCAATCTGCACAAATCAACCTTCACCAGCCGATAAAGAGCTGACTTCAAAGGTAAGGACTTTGTTTTGTTTGGTTTTCGAATTTTAGGGAGAGTTGGGTGAAGAACTTGGTTAATATCTACGTTTTCTGACTGGAAAATGAAATTAAATTTTAACAAATTGTTGATGTTAGACATTGATGTAGCTAGGAAGACTTTTGATTAAACATGTTGTTTTAGTTGAACGAATGCCTGGAATCCTTCAACGTGTTCGAGAACGAAGAAGAGCTTCAAAAGCGTATTGACGTTCTTCGCAAAATCAACACATTGGTCAGGTCGTGGGTGAGGTCAGCATCAGAAGGCAAAGTACCGCCAGAGGACTTGGACAAAGTTGGCGGAAAGCTATTCACATTCGGCTCATACAGACTCGGGGTACACACAAGAGGGGCTGATATTGACAGTCTTTGTGTGGCACCAAGACATGTTGAGCGAACAGAATTCTTTAAAACTTTCTATGACATGCTGGCTGAGGTGAGGTTTTGAAGGTTTTTGATGAATAAAGCTTGACTTTATTAAAGTAAAGTCCTATTTTATCAGTTTTAGTTTAGTTATTATGAGTCTACAGGCTTTTTAGTAATTGTCTTGGTGGTAATATAACGGTTTTGAATGTGTTTCCGTATTTTACATTTATATTATAGTAGAAAGCGCGTTTTCATGGCACTTATAGCTTATTTTGAAACGTTTTAGGATGAAAATGTGTCCGATTTGCACGCAGTTGAAGATGCCTTTGTACCGGTAATCAAATTACAGTACTCCGGCTTGGATATTGATATATTGTTTGCACGTTTGGCCTTGAGATCAGTATCAGAAGAGGAGGATTTAAGCGATGATATGATGCTCAGGAATCTGGATGAAAAAAGCATACGATCACTTAATGGTATGTTTAGTATATTGAAATGTCTTTTTAAATAAGTTAATATAATGGAGATTAGCAAAATACGTTCTTTTCTTTCGTTTCATAAAGTGGCGTTTTTGTAATTGATAAAGAAGTAAAGAATAATATTTTGATTCAGGTTGTCGAGTAGCAGATGAAATCCTACGATTAATTCCTAACAGAGAGAACTTTATCACAACGTTGAGGGCAGTGAAGCTATGGGCTAAAAGTATGTTTTTTCTTTTATTTTTATGTTTTTAGGCATTTTTGAGATAAAACAGCAGAACTACTTAACTAGTCTTAAAAGCTAGCTGAATAAAATATCATCTTTGATTGAAACTTTTTAGTTCGAAATATCAGAAAGTTTGTCAATGTTTGAGTTTTATTGACTATCAGCAATGATGAAGACACTTTGAACTGATGAATGACAAGTTTTTTTTATATCTAAAACGTTTTTCCAACGTTTAATATCTAAAATTTGTCTTTCAAAGACGAGTTGAGAAGCGAACTGAGCTGATTTTTCAATATTTTGACTTAATTTTGGTTAGAACCAGGATTTTTTAGCGATTTTTTTGGCTAAAAGTTAATCTATGAATTGTTCTGACTTGATGTCTTTAGACCACGGCATCTATTCGAACGTTCTCGGCTTCTTGGGTGGAGTATCATGGGCTATTCTCGTAGCCAGAACCTGCCAACTCTACCCAAATGCAGCTCCAGCCATACTACTGGAAAAGTTCTTCCTAGTATTCTCGACCTGGGAATGGCCACATCCAGTGTTTCTCAAAGACACTGACAATGCTCAAAGACCTGACGTGCCATTCCTAAGAGAACTTGTCTGGGACCCGCGTACCAGAGTCGCAGATCGTTATCACCTGATGCCAATCATAACTCCAGCTTTCCCAGAACAGAACTCCACATACAATGTGACAAAGTCGACCCGACAAGTTCTGATTCACGAGTTTCAAGAAGGCCTAAAGACAATGTTGGACATCATTAACAAGACCGCGTCATGGTCAAAGTTGTTCGAAGAAGTGAACTTCTTTTCAAGATACAAGCACTTTTTGGTATTATTGTGTATCACTGAGAACCATGATGATCACGTCAAGTTCACAGGCTTGGTCGAGTCGAAGATTCGTATCTTGATCTCGGCATTAGAACGGAATCCAGCCTTGAATATTGGGCACGTCAATCCAAAACAGTACAAACCGAAGCCGGATGCTGAGATTCCAGCCCCGTATGAGTGAGTTTTTGTGAAAATGAACTGGAAATTTGAGTTTTAAAAAAAATTTTAATAAAATTTGTTATAGGTTTAAGTTTCTTAAAATACTTAAAATTGTCTACTATAATATTATTTTTTTGAAAAACGAGATTTTAAAAAATTTTTTAAAATGAAAAATTTGTAAAAAATCTACTTAAAATTATAAAATTTGTGATTCCAGAAACCCGGTTTGCACCTTATGGTTCATTGGCTTGGACTTGAACAGTCAAATGCGCCGTTCCATCGATCTGACAAGCGAAATTCAACAGTTTAACGATACTGTCACCTCGGCTGGCTTTGCATCGAAGACCTACAAAGAGACGATGCTTGTACAGCCAAGCTATGTGAAAAGGAATGAGCTGGGAAAATGGTAAGGAATTTGACTTATCCAAATTTTAAGTTTTGTGTTAATTTTAAAAATTGATTTTGTAGGCTAACAGTGGAAGAATTGACTCGGGGCCGAATGCAAGGCAAACAGAAGTCATCAGCTGTGAACTCACCACTACTCAGCTCGCTAGCCCGTTCCAACTCGGTTCAAGCTGATAACGTAGGTTTTAAATTAAAAAATGTCGTGAACTTTTAAAGGATTTGATGTAGAAGCAATGTTTTACAACAAGATTTTTTGTTTTTTTAGCTCAAAAAAATGATTGAAGCTTTTTTTGACTTCAGTTACCTTATCACTTTTAAAATTTTTGAAATGTAATTTTTTTGTAATTTAACCTTTTAGAAGTCGACGCCGCCTCAAAACGGCCCACCAACGACGCCGACGGTGGCTTCGACGGAACGAGCTAAAACCCCAATCGAACAGTTGAGCCAGAAGATTGAACTACCGGAGAACGCGGCCGAACTCGAGGCCATAAACCAAGTTCAACAACAGACGCCGGTCCTCGAAACACCGGACGACGAAGGCAAGTCGGAAGAGGATTCTGGAAAGGAATCCGAGAAGGAGGAGTCCGAATCGACGAGGACAAAAGCATTCGACCGACCGTTACCCTACGGATACCCCATGTTTGTCTTTTTCGATCAGTCTGTCTCTCCCAATTCCACAGTCTTTCTGCCTGTCTATTCATCGTCTTATTGCCCGCCGATGTTCATGGATCCAGCTTACTTTGCGCGCATGGTCAGGTACAGCTACTCCCAGCACAACTACTTTTGCACGAGAGCAGCCTACGATCTGGTGTCACGGAACAGTCCGAACAGTGCTGACAACTGCAAGTGTGGAAGAGCGGTGTCAGGAATGGCGGATGAGATCTACATGGAGATGGTAAGGCTTAAAATGAAGGTTTTTAATAAAATGGATGTTTATGTCATTTTAGATAACAAAGCGATGATGAAGAACACTTTGAACTGGAAAAAAAGTCACTAAAACTTAAAGTTTTTGTTTTGGTGAAATTTTAAAGCTAAATTTGAAGCGATCCTGAGCTTTTTTATTTAAAAAATAACATTTTAGGTAATAAGCGGTCGAAAATATACAATATTTAGCGGAAAAGTTATGTTTAGAGTAGAAAAATGAAGTTTAGTTGCATTTTTAAAAGGGGTTTAATGTTATAAAACAATTCTTTTTATATTGTTCAAAAACTAATAATTCATTTCAGGTCCAAAAGAACAAGGAATGGCAGCTACAAAGATCACGACAAGCCATCAAACGTCAACGTGCCCAACAAGGCTACAAAAACACGCAGGCTAGCCGATATGCTCCTTACTATCAAATGGAATCGAACGAGAAACGGGATAGAATCAACCTGCTGAGCATGATCAACGACCTCACCGTTCACACCAAGTCTGCCACTCCGTCGGTGTCGGACTCGCAGGCATCGTCGGGCTATGAGACGGCCAGCTCCTGCTCATCCACTCCCTCTCCAACCTCACGGACTTTTGTAACGACCATTGACGATGAGGTGTTCGAAGCACCGCGGAAAACTGACTCCACTGACGATGCCTCGACGATATCTCGCTCCAACTCGATCAAGTCTATGGAGTCGGTGGAGCTGGCGCCTAAGAAGCGGACCCAAGAGGAATGGAAGCGAGTGAAGAGCAAGAAACAGAGACGATGGAGCAACAACAGAAGCAAAGAGGCTCAGAAGGATAAGAGGATCTACTTCAAGGACTACGAGGAGGCGTTTCCACCGTTGGACAGCTAAAACGGTAGGTGGAGGAGGGGGGTTTGAGGTGTTTTGGGGGGCTTTTGGTTGTATTAAGGATTGGCTTAAGGGCTGGGCGATGGGGGTCGGATGTTTTTTAATTTTTTTGCAAATATTAACATATGCTTCGCCCAGTCTTGGCTAATCGGTATTGTACGATTTGTTGATTTTAAAGCCATACTGTATGTGAATTTCGAACGAACATGTTATAAGGTATCAGCTACGTAAGATAAACCCTTATTTGGTTGTTTTTTGAGTTTAAACCTCGAATCTGCACCTTGCACTTTCTGAAAATAACTGATTATTTTCAGGACTAGCAATGCATTCGTGACACACCTTAACGTACCTCTGCACAGTACCCCACCACTACCTCGCCACACGACGGAATTAATGTTTCTGAATCTCCCTCTTCCTCTCTCTCTCTCTTCTCTCTCCTATATCTCGATTGTCTTTCAGGCGGAGGAAGGATGGTTTATTTTATTGAATGAGTACTCTATTAATTATTGATTTTTGTATCTTGGACTTTTTTGTTTTATAACCCACTATTATTTGTGTTTTCTTGCCGTTCAGGATTAATAAGTCTTGGGCATGGGTCAGGTGGAAAAAGAAAGACAACGACAGGTTGGTTATCTGTTGTTTGTACTGGTACCGAAGTGTCAAGAAAGTCTTGTCGTTAATGAGCACAGAAAACGTTGTGAATTAACGACAATACTTTTTTGACATTTTAATAATGAGTTTTTCTTGTTTTAGGAAGGAAATGGTGATTTTATACCTAAATTTTGAATTTAGAAGCTTTTTTGTATCTAAAATGATTTTTTTGGATGAGGAAGATTATTTGTTACCTAAATTTGAAATTTTGTAAAAACCGATTTTTTTAAAAAGCCTGAGGCGTCTTTTGATTTAAAATTTTCTTCTTTAGTATGCGGTACTATTACAGTATAATGTAGCATCATATTATGTTGTTCAAATAATTCTGGGCCGACTTTAAAGCAAATTTTTGGAGTCAGGGGCATAGAATTATTGAACAACCTAATATAATGATAGGATAATTTACAGTAATTTTTCTTGTTGCATGCCGTAACTATGCATTTTTAAATTTACGGTATGTTAAAGTAACTATACTTGGTGTGATACTTAGTACCCACACCTGTTTTATTATAGTACCCACACCTGACCCATCCCAATTTTACCTTCTCTTTTTTTAAATATTTTCTTGTCTGTGCAGCTGTAATAATAAGGCCATGAGAAGTGTTGATAAACGTGTATTATAATATATGTCTTACGAGTATTTTTCTTTTCACTTTACGCAAATTTTTATGTATTTTACTCGGTATCTGTCATTAAACTCTAAAAGTCTAAAATACGGTTTTTGCTCCAATTTTAACGGTTAATCTATTTATTATATCGAAGAGTTGTTAAGGTCAATCTATTTTTGGTTAGATGTCAATCCATTTTGGCCGATTTTTAAAATGATTTTTCAGGGAAATCGACTATTTTGTTTCAGGTATGACATATGCTTTGAACCTTTGAATTTCTATTGAATTTGTGCCTAAACAGACGTTTATCACAATGTCAGATATTCGAAAAGACAATATTAGATTCACCTATAATTCTGGGCCTCATTTCTAAGCAAATATTTTGTTCAATTAATTCTGCGCTACTATTCAAAGCAAATTATTAGGCTCAGTGGGTCAGAATTATTTGAACAACCTAATGTTGCTTTTTTACTATAGACTTGAATATCTGACATTATGAATGTCATATCGGCTTGAAAAATATATTTTTGCTCTACTGGTCTACTGTTCTTGCCTATATATTGTTATATTGACCAATATTTTTCTTTCTATTTTGGTTGAAGCCTTCTACAAGTTGTATATTAACCACGTATCTTGTCTGCCTGCTATCGTATATCGTATAATATGACATATCTATTGCAATTTGCTTTACCAACTCTTTTTTTCTTTGCTATGTTTGACATTTGCTAAAAAATTGCCAGCCGGTTTTCGTTTGTTTGGTCGAAAATCTTTGGAAATATAAAAAGTTGTAAACAATATGATCAAAAGCAAGATTTCTGTTTACTTTTGAACCGTCTACTTGATTTTAATTCTATTTTTGCTTAAAATCTATTTTTCCATTGACTTTTTGATTAAAACACTACCTTGCCAGCCGGCTGTCAGCAACAATCCACTCAAAATTCACGGTGAATTCTGCAACTTTCCACGGTGAATCCAAGTCTTTTTGCTTCTAAAATATCTATTTTTATTACTTTTGAAGTAATATTACGTTGTTAAAATAATTCTGTGCTCTTCTCAATTTTTCTGGGTTAAGGGCTTAGAATTATTTGAACAACCTAGTGCTTATAATTTTATTACTACCAAAGTAATATTTATCAATTCTTTACTGCCAAAGTAATATTTATTCAAATTTTAAAGCCTGTACAACATCGTACGATCTTCGGTCGTTTACGATGCTCGCATTGTGAAATTGTTGGTGTTTGTTGTTGTAATGTAAATTGTTGATTTTTCCATAAATTTTTAAAAACCGTTGAATTTTGTGTGGATTGTGTCTGATTTTTTAAGATTTTTTAATCAAACTTTAGGTATATTGCTGTTTTTGATGGTTGTTTTAGATGAAAGAATGGTCGGATGCTTTTGTTCTCAACGGATTCGGATCAAACCTTGGCAGGCGGTTGGGAAATTGTGAAAAAAAGTTTTAAAAATTGGGAAATTTAAAGTTTTTTGATGACTTTTAAATAAAAAAACTTTTTTTGATTGATTTTTTAGAATAAAAATGTTTTATTATTAATATTATCATGCTTGAGGTTGTATATTGATTATGTTTAATTTCAGCACCGCCAGCCAACACAGAAGAAACTCAAAATTTACCAGTCGAACATCCGGAAGAGGCCAATATTGAGAAGGGCTACGAGAAGTAAGAAGACTTTGAAGTATTATTTGCTTTTTGAAATTTTGAATTTACTCTTACAGTAAGAAAATGGGGATCTTTTTGAAAATGGGGTTTGTTGTATATGCAACTAGTAACGGGGTGGTATTTTTGGTATATGGAGGAGGTTAACAATTTATGTGGTTTTTTTGTACGGCGAAAGGGAGTCGAGTGCGAAAGGTAGAGTAGAGTGAAGGAGAAGTATTGAATATCCTAGATTGGGGTAGAGCAGCTTAAACTATTTAGTTTAGAATGAGATGATTTAAGGTAGGGTCGAACCAGAAAGACAGGACAGTTTAGGATAATGTAGAACAGGCTAAGATACTGTAATTTATAAGTTAAAAAGGTAAAGTTGAGCTATTGAATAATTTACGGTAGGGCGGAGCCGTTTAAAGTAGTGTAGGTTGAGGTACGGAAGGTTAGAGTAGAGAGAAGGAGAGCTATCGGGAATGGTAGGACATCTCTACTCTACAGGGTAGTGTAGGGTAGGGTAGAGTAGGGTAGGGTAGGGTAGGGTAGGGTAGGGTAGGGTAGGGTAGGGTAGGGTAGGGTAGGGTAGGGTAGAGTAGGGTAGGGTAGGGTAGGGTAGGGTAGGGTAGGGTAGGGTAGGGTAGGGTAGGGTAGGGTAGGATAGGGTTGGGTAGGATATGGTAGGGTAGAGTAAGGTAAAGTAACATCATTATAATGGATAGACTTTAAAATCAAAATTTATTTTTGAAAATTCAGAGACGAAGAGAAAGAAATCAACCAGAACATTGAAAGGCCATACAAACGTGGCCATGATAACGAGAATTCAGATGTTTCGGCCAAGAAGCTGGCAGTCTAAAGATGTCACAGTGTTACCTAAAGTCAGCTTGATTGAAAGTCATGTTCTTTTTAACATTACCTTCATCAACTGGACTTAGAGTGATCTATTGATTGATCTTCACGATGACTTCAATGGAAGAGAAGCTACTGATTTATCGTCAACAATGTCTACATATAAACATGTACTATAGCTTTGGTTATAGCATGTTCATTATCATCTACTCGTCTATATTGCTCTATGATTATATAATATTAGATTGTATAAAAAGTTATGAGCTATGTTTCTCATAGGAGCTCAGTAGCTCATTACTTTTTAGACATGCTAATATTATATTTATGTTTTGATCATCTACTATTATGCTGTGTTTTGATCGTTTACTTGATCATCTTGCTCTATCTTCAACTTCTTCCGGCTTCTGATCTTCAAGTTGTCTTTGTCTATGGGTCTTTAAACCCTATCTAGGGATATCTTCAGAAGCATCTAACACAACAAAGCAGGACCTTTGATAACCATTACATTAACAGTTACTACTCTTTTTTGTTTTATATTTGTTTGAAATCGACCACTTTTTTTGGTTTTTTACGTTTTTTAATACTACTTTTGGTTACAGTACGAAATTTTAAACGAACTTTTGGTACAGCAGCACTAAAACGATTATTTTGGTTACTGTACGAAGTTTAAACAAAAATTTTGTTACAGTAACTCCAAAATTAAATTTTTTTTTTACAGTAAGAATTTTTTTAAAATTTTGTTACTGTAAGACTAAAATTGGTTTTTTGGTTACAGTACGACATTTTTAAAAATTTTGTTACAGTAAGTTTAAAATTAGTTTTTTTTGTTACAGTAAGAAATTTTAAAAAATGTGTTACAGTAAGACTACAATTACGTTTTTTGGCTACCGTACGATTTTTGGACAAAAATTTTGTTAAAGTAACTTTTATGTTACAGTAAAAAGCAAACCAACCCTTTTGTTACAGTATGAACCTTGTTTTTTTTATTTTTTGTAACGATTTTTAAATTGAGAAAGAGAAAATGACTAAAAATATCACTTTACCGCGTATCCCTAATAATCTCTCTTATTATCACTAGCGTCCCACCTTAATCTGCCTTCATTTCCTACTCATTTCGTTTGGTTTAAGTTTGTTTATTTGTTATTAATTAATAAATCTTGGTCTGCATCCCGTCGGCTGTCTCTCATTTCGGCTCGAGTCTACCGTTCAGCACCGTATCTTACTATACCTTTAAGATTCCAGGGTTGGCACTGTTAAAGATGCTGGGACTGGTATTGGGATGGTATAATATTGGGTTGTTCAAATACTTATGAGCCTTTTCTAACCCCGAAAGTTTGTTTTGAGCGGAGGGGCACAGAATTATTTGAACAGCATAATACTTTAAGGATGCTGGGGTTGGTCTTGTTAAAGGTTTTGGGATCGGTACTGTAATGGTATATTAGGTGGTCCAACTAATTCTGGGCCTTCTGACTCAAAAGTTTGATTTGTAGGGGGCGCAGAATTAGTTGAACAACCTAGTACCTTAAATAGGATGGAAATGGTCTTTATTATGAATGGTACTGCTAAATATTAGTGCGAATGGTACAGTACCTTGTCAGTTACTGTAATATGATATGTTGCTGATAGTACTGCTGATGACATTGTGATACTGTGTGACTCTTATGGTACTCACTTAATACTACTTTTGATTTTATGATGGTACTGTCAGTACTGTAGTTGATATCATGATTGTACTGGGTTATACTGATTATAGTATACAGTAATATGTATTGTACTGGCTAGAGTATACAACAACATTTATTGTACTAGCTATACTACATTCTGTACTATACTTACCAGAGTGTACTATAACATGTATCGTATCGCCTAGAGTTTACTGTAATACATTGTGAATTTGCAGTTTTTTATCGTACAGTATCTTATTTTAGGTACTATAAAGAAATTGTTCAGTATTGTACCATTTTCAGTACCATCAAGACCCTTTTTACCACTTTAAAGTATGGTTTTTGATTTTTTTTAAAAAACTGTTATAAAAATTAAAAAAAGCTGTTTATTTTTAACAGCATTGGATCATCTAGGAACTTTTTGACCGTTTCAAACTTTGCTTATATAATAGCTGTTTAAACATATATACAATACTTTTTATTAAGGTATAGTATTTCCTATTAGGTTGTTCAATTAATTCTATGCTCTTCTCAAAGCAAATTTTTGGGGTAAGGCCACAGAATAATTTGAACAATCTAATAGTACGATTTAGACTATTCTCCTCTTTCCTCCACCTTCTCCTTTTCTTCTTATCATAACATACTGAACTTGTCTCTTCTTCATACCTTTACCTTACAACAATTTAGTGTTTTTTAAACTTACAATTAGCTAAAGGTTTAAAATACAAAGTTTGAAAAAATATAAAAAATATTATTTAATTAATTACATTGTAAAGGTCTTTAAATTATTTTGTGGTTAGTAGACATGAGAAACGGGCCGGGCCGGCCTTGACCAACATTTCGATCGGGTCGGGCCTGAAAAACGGGCCGTTTCTCATGTCTAGTGGTTAGTCTAGGTTGGGTTTCTTTTCTTTTTTTAGAGTAGAAATCTTTTTTTTTTCTTTTTTTAGGTCTAAACTTTTTTTTTTCTTTTTTAGGTCTAAACTTGGCTATGTTTAATTTCCTTATCTCCTTTTTATGACATTTCGTTGTATATTACAATTTCAATATAACCTTGTCTCTATGATGCTCAGAAAACTTAAAAAATATGATTTTATTTCGATTTATGTAATGTTAGTTGTCTGTTAGTCTAAATTTGTCTCTTTATTTTTTGTTTTACTTGTTAATAATATAAAAAAAGAAAAAATAAAAAAAAAATTATTGTGGGGTGTTTTTTTTATTTTTTTAAAACGATACATATTATGAGGACAGAATTTTAGAGTACAATTTAAGGTCCTAAAAGCGGTTATGGCTCCGTCGGTTGTGGCTTCAACCAATAAACTACCGGACTCACCATCAGGTACGATCGAACAATGCAGCTCAAACCGCTTTGCTCGTTCGAAATGCATTTGTATTAGGTGCTGACATAAAGAACCCGTTATACTTTTTCTGTACATTCTTTTATGTCGGCATCTAATAATTGAACGGGTAGTGCTAAGTGTACGAGGACTATGGCAAACCGGTTGCTTGGCCAACACAAACTTCCGACTACTACATTTTTTTGAATTTTTTTTGCAAATTTGCATAATTTTAATTTGTTTTGGATTTCTCATGAAAATTCGCATATTATGAAATTTTTGTTTCATCGTTTGAAGTTGACAACTGTCACAACGCTTTTTCAGTCGACTGCTGAGCGGTCGCCTTTCCCCAGAATGGAGTTCAATGCTGATCTGTTGAACAAGATCCTCGCGGCCAAGGTTTTACCAGAAAAGGATGGACAGGTGATTTGTGCCAACTTCTTTGGCTTCAAACATGCTGGAAAGACCGTGACACGTCGTTCCGCTTTGGTGTGCCCACATACGGTTGGAAAGACTACTGAAACGTAAGTTTTTACTTTATGGCTCTGATGTTGTAGTAAAGAGAAAACTGTTGTAAGAATCTTTAGAAGGCAGTAATGATTAGTATTTTTGATACGTTTAACGGGTAGAACTAGTTGCTTTAATGGAAAACTGAAAATATCATAAAGATTTTTCCTTTAGGAAATATAAGGTTGAAGTGGATGACATAAAGGACCTTGTCTACTTGTTCACTCCGCAAGATCTAGACACCTTGTATGTAGATGGAAAATGGAAGACGGCGTACGTTTGTTTCGAAAAAATCTATTTGTAACTTTCAACTATTGCTTTTGTTCTATACTCAAACTTTTTTAGATACTATTTGTTAAAGTTGAATCAGGCTGACCAAACTCTGAAGCGTTATTATACCCATAGAGAAGCGAAATCGTGGGTGGTAGGAAGTTTTGTGGTGTTCCAAAGCGAACAAGGTGCAACGGAATTTCTCGACGCCAACAACCTTCCGGTTAATGTTAATAGTGGTGGGTTTGACTTGTTCAACGCAAAAGTGGTTGGAAGTACGGAAACCGGCGACTTGTGGCTGCCTGACAATACTTGCAGACAGATCAAGGCGAACGGCGGCAAGTACGAGTTGGTCGTTTCAAAATGCCCGAATCCAAAAAAACTGCTCCTCTCCTTGGTATGTTATAGTTTCAAGTTTTCAAACCCTAACCTTTGGTAGACCAGTCTTTTAAAATGAAATGATTGGGAATCAGGGTTGGACTTTTACCAGTAAATGGATTTTTTTGGTAAAAGGAATATTTTTGAAACAAAGTTTTTGGAAATTATTTTTAATTTCAAATTTTAATGAAACTTTTGACTTTAGGCTGCTTTGAAAGAGAAGAATGCCAGACTAAGTAATGCCGAAGCAAGTCCCAGCGTCTTCGCTATCTTGTACTATGAGTAAGTGATCTTTTATGTCATCTATTTGCTATATGTAACATATTTCAGTTGTAATTAGTTTAAAAAACTGTTTTAAGTTATTTTTTTAATTATTAAATTTTTAAAAATATTTTTAAACTTTTTTTGCTAACATTAAATCAAAAAAGAGTTTTTCAGGAAAGCGCCGACCACAACTACGACGACAACAACAACTACTACTACCACTACCATACCTGAAACTACAGATTTATCCGATGTCACTACCGAAGCTACATCCGCATCTCTTCCGGCAATTATGTGGGTGTAAGTTTAAGTTTAGTTTAGGCTTTTAAGGCTTAGGTAAACGATGTCATTTTATAAGTGAAACTTGTTTTAAAATTTTTTAAATTTGAAAATGCAGTATCCTACTTAAATTTAAAGTAGGATACGTTTATTTTGCTTGGTTTTGCTACTTTTTCACAATAACTTTTCATACGCTTTCAGAGGTATTGTTCTTGGCATTGTTGCATTGGTTGGTTTGATTGCATTGGGCGTATTGGCACTTCGAAAACGTGGTAAGAAGAAGGATGGAGACGTGAAGGAACAAGCGGGATCCAATACGAAGGAAGTGACCGACCCGAACCAAGGAACTGCGCCCAGAAAGATGGTGTTGGACAGATTGCCCGGCGTGGGCCCAATCGACGTCTTAACAGAGTAGTAAAGGAATAAACCGCTTTGTATAGTTGTTATTGTCTATTTACATATTGATTGTTGGTTTGGATAAGCCGAGCTTTTTAATTTGATAAAGTAGGAGTACGGGATCTAACCCAACCAAATTGATATGACAGTTTGGTTCTCACAAGACTATACAGTATCTTCGTAGCCGATGTTATGTCACCATTCTCCACCTTTATAGTAGGACAACAAAAATGTCTAAGTAAAAATTAGCTATTCTCTGGCACCTTTATTAATATAAGCAGTGTTTTGTCGGACGGAAACAAATTTTTGCGGACCTGACCGAACCTAAAAGCCTGCGGACCCAGACCGAAGAAAAAGCTCCGGACCGGTCCGGGCAAAACAGAATATACGCCTCATTTCTACTATGATTAGACTTGGAAAGCGAGAATTTCTTGACTGTGCCGACAGTCTTCTAGAGATGAGAAACGGGCTATGTAAACTCGGTCTGGCCCTACCATCGGGCTGGGCCGGCTTTGAACTAAATTTAGGTCGGATCTAGAAATCAAGGCCCGGCTCGAAAGAACTTGTCCTTTGCACGTAAAAAATTCGGTTCAGGCCGGCTTAAAGCAAATATAAAAACAGCCCGGGCCTTAACCTTGAGCCCCGGGCCAAACTTCAACTTTGGACCCCGGGCCCGAGCCGGGCCTCAAAAGTGGACCCGGCCTATTACTCATTCCTACACTCTTCTCTACACTCTGCGATCCGGCCTAATTTTCATGCCTAACCATGGTCTAAAACTTTGAATTTTTTTAAAAATGCATAATTTAAATTTCTTGAATTTTTCATGAAATTTGCATATTATGAGATTTCGGTTCTCCGCGTCGCTTGAAGTTGAAAACAGTCACAACGCTTTTTCAGTCGACTGCTGAGCGGTCGCCTTTCCCCAGAATGGAGTTCAATGCTGATCTGTTGAACAAGATCCTCGCGGCCAAGGTTTTACCAGAAAAGGATGGACAGGTGATTTGTGCCAACTTCTTTGGCTTCAAACATGCTGGAAAGACCGTGACACGTCGTTCCGCTTTGGTGTGCCTACATTCGGTTGGAAAGACTACTGAAACGTAAGTTTTTACTTTATGGCTCTGATGTTGTAGTAAAGAGAAAACTGTTGTAAGAATCTTTAGAAGGCAGTAATGATTAGTATTTTTGATACGTTTAACGGGTAGAACTAGTTGCTTTAATGGAAAACTGAAAATATCATAAAGATTTTTCCTTTAGGAAATATAAGGTTGAAGTGGATGACATAAAGGACCTTGTCTACTTGTTCACTCCGCAAGATCTAGACACCTTGTATGTAGATGGAAAATGGAAGACGGCGTACGTTTGTTTCGAAAAATCTATTTGTAACTTTCAACTATTGCTTTTGTTCTATACTCAAACTTTTTTAGATACTATTTGTTAAAGTTGAATCAGGCTGACCAAACTCTGAAGCGTTATTATACCCATAGAGAAGCGAAATCGTGGGTGGTAGGAAGTTTTGTGGTGTTCCAAAGCGAACAAGGTGCAACGGAATTTCTCGACGCCAACAACCTTCCGGTTAATGTTAATAGTGGTGGGTTTGACTTGTTCAACGCAAAAGTGGTTGGAAGTACGGAAACCGGCGACTTGTGGCTGCCTGACAATACTTGCAGACAGATCAAGGCGAACGGCGGCAAGTACGAGTTGGTCGTTTCAAAATGCCCGAATCCAAAAAAACTGCTCCTCTCCTTGGTATGTTATAGTTTCAAGTTTTCAAACCCTAACCTTTGGTAGACCAGTCTTTTAAAATGAAATGATTGGGAATCAGGGTTGGACTTTTACCAGTAAATGGATTTTTTTGGTAAAAGGAATATTTTTGAAACAAAGTTTTTGGAAATTATTTTTAATTTCAAATTTTAATGAAACTTTTGACTTTAGGCTGCTTTGAAAGAGAAGAATGCCAGACTAAGTAATGCCGAAGCAAGTCCCAGCGTCTTCGCTATCTTGTACTATGAGTAAGTGATCTTTTATGTCATCTATTTGCTATATGTAACATATTTCAGTTGTAATTAGTTTAAAAAACTGTTTTAAGTTATTTTTTTAATTATTAAATTTTTTAAAAAATATTTTTAAACTTTTTTGCTAACATTAAATCAAAAAAAGAGTTTTCAGGAAAGCGCCGACCACAACTACGACGACAACAACAACTACTACTACCACTACCATACCTGAAACTACAGATTTATCCGATGTCACTACCGAAGCTACATCCGCATCTCTTCCGGCAATTATGTGGGTGTAAGTTTAAGTTTAGTTTAGGCTTTTAAGGCTTAGGTAAACGATGTCATTTTATAAGTGAAACTTGTTTTAAAAATTTTTTAAATTTGAAAATGCAGTATCCTACTTAAATTTAAAGTAGGATACGTTTATTTTGCTTGGTTTTGCTACTTTTTCACAATAACTTTTCATACGCTTTCAGAGGTATTGTTCTTGGCATTGTTGCATTGGTTGGTTTGATTGCATTGGGCGTATTGGCACTTCGAAAACGTGGTAAGAAGAAGGATGGAGACGTGAAGGAACAAGCGGGATCCAATACGAAGGAAGTGACCGACCCGAACCAAGGAACTGCGCCCAGAAAGATGGTGTTGGACAGATTGCCCGGCGTGGGCCCAATCGACGTCTTAACAGAGTAGTAAAGGAATAAACCGCTTTGTATAGTTGTTATTGTCTATTTACATATTGATTGTTGGTTTGGATAAGCCGAGCTTTTTAATTTGATAAAGTAGGAGTACGGGATCTAACCCAACCAAATTGATATGACAGTTTGGTTCTCACAAGACTATACAGTATCTTCGTAGCCGATGTTATGTCACCATTCTCCACCTTTATAGTAGGACAACAAAAATGTCTAAGTAAAAATTAGCTATTCTCTGGCACCTTTATTAATATAAGCAGTGTTTTGTCGGACGGAAACAAATTTTTGCGGACCTGACCGAACCTAAAAGCCTGCGGACCCAGACCGAAGAAAAAGCTCCGGACCGGTCCGGGCAAAACAGAATATACGCCTCATTTCTACTATGATTAGACTTGGAAAGCGAGAATTTCTTGACTGTGCCGACAGTCTTCTAGAGATGAGAAACGGGCTATGTAAACTCGGTCTGGCCCTACCATCGGGCTGGGCCGGCTTTGAACTAAATTTAGGTCGGATCTAGAAATCAAGGCCCGGCTCGAAAGAACTTGTCCTTTGCACGTAAAAAAATTCGGTTCAGGCCGGCTTAAAGCAAATATAAAAACAGCCCGGGCCTTAACCTTGAGCCCCGGGCCAAACTTCAACTTTGGACCCCGGGCCCGAGCCGGGCCTCAAAAGTGGACCCGGCCTATTACTCATTCCTACACTCTTCTCTACACTCTGCGATCCGGCCTAATTTTCATGCCTAACCATGGTCTAAAACTTTGAATTTTTTTTAAAAAATGCATAATTTAAATTTCTTGAATTTTTCATGAAATTTGCATATTATGAGATTTCGGTTCTCCGCGTCGCTTGAAGTTGAAAACAGTCACAACGCTTTTTCAGTCGACTGCTGAGCGGTCGCCTTTCCCCAGAATGGAGTTCAATGCTGATCTGTTGAACAAGATCCTCGCGGCCAAGGTTTTACCAGAAAAGGATGGACAGGTGATTTGTGCCAACTTCTTTGGCTTCAAACATGCTGGAAAGACCGTGACACGTCGTTCCGCTTTGGTGTGCCTACATTCGGTTGGAAAGACTACTGAAACGTAAGTTTTTACTTTATGGCTCTGATGTTGCAGTAAAGAGAAAACTGTTGTAAGAATCTTTAGAAGGCAGTAATGATTAGTATTTTTGATACGTTTAACGGGTAGAACTAGTTGCTTTAATGGAAAACTAAAAATATCTTAAAGATACCCTATTTAGGACTTACAAAGTTGCAGTGAATAACATAAAGGATCTTGTCTACTTGTTTACTCCAAAGGATCTAGACGACTTGTATGTAGATGGAATGTGGGAACAAACGTATGTTTGATTTGAACAAAAGTCTGTTTGCAACTTTTAACGACTTTTATTCTATATTTACACGTATTTAGGTATAATTTGTTAAAATTGGATCAGACTGACCAAACGCTGAAACAGCAAGATACGCACAAAAAAGCAAAGTTGTGGATGGTAGGAAGTTCCGTTGTGTTTCAAGACATACACGGCGTAATGGACGTTCTCGACGCCAAAAAAAATCTTATGGAAATTGAAAGCGGTGTCTTTGACTTGTTCAACGCAAAAGTGGTTGGAAGTACGGAAACCGGCGACTTGTGGCTGCCTGACAATACTTGCAGACAGATCAAGGCGAACGGCGGCAAGTACGAGTTGGTCGTTTCAAAATGCCCGAATCCAAAAAAACTGCTCCTCTCCTTGGTATGTTATAGTTTCAAGTTTTCAAACCCTAACCTTTGGTAGACCAGTCTTTTAAAATGAAATGATTGGGAATCAGGGTTGGACTTTTACCAGTAAATGGATTTTTTTGGTAAAAGGAATATTTTTGAAACAAAGTTTTTGGAAATTATTTTTAATTTCAAATTTTAATGAAACTTTTGACTTTAGGCTGCTTTGAAAGAGAAGAATGCCAGACTAAGTAATGCCGAAGCAAGTCCCAGCGTCTTCGCTATCTTGTACTATGAGTAAGTGATCTTTTATGTCATCTATTTGCTATATGTAACATATTTCAGTTGTAATTAGTTTAAAAAACTGTTTTAAGTTATTTTTTTAATTATTAAATTTTTAAAAATATTTTTAAACTTTTTTTTGCTAACATTAAATCAAAAAAAGAGTTTTTCAGGAAAGCGCCGACCACAACTACGACGACAACAACAACTACTACTACCACTACCATACCTGAAACTACAGATTTATCCGATGTCACTACCGAAGCTACATCCGCATCTCTTCCGGCAATTATGTGGGTGTAAGTTTAAGTTTAGTTTAGGCTTTTAAGGCTTAGGTAAACGATGTCATTTTATAAGTGAAACTTGTTTTAAAATTTTTTAAATTTGAAAATGCAGTATCCTACTTAAATTTAAAGTAGGATACGTTTATTTTGCTTGGTTTTGCTACTTTTTCACAATAACTTTTCATACGCTTTCAGAGGTATTGTTCTTGGCATTGTTGCATTGGTTGGTTTGATTGCATTGGGCGTATTGGCAGTTTGGAAACATAAGAAGGAGAAGAATGCAAAAAATGTAAAGTATGGAAAAGCAAAAAGGGAGATCAGGTTCAAATCCAAGTCACAAGAGAGAGTGGAAGCAGAAGCTAAAGCCAAGATCATAGCCGAAGAACAAGAGGCGGCTCTGGATAGAATCATCAAAGAGAATGGCTTCCCTGTCGAGAAAACGTTCAACATATAAGGTTGAGGTTGGCGTTCTGATACGAATAAACAAGTTATGTCTGTTCTGATTATTGGTATTATTTATTATATTGTGTCCGTCACTCGAACTGTTTTAGAAATTGGGCCTATAAAGCACGGTTCCGGAATGGGCCAAGCTGAAGCTAATTTAAGAGTAGTTTTTTGTTGTCAAGCTGTATGAGACAAGTTGTCATAGGGTAGGGTAGGGTAATGTAGAGTAGGGTAGGGTACGGTAGGGTAGGGTACGGTAGGGAAGGGTACGGTAGGGTAGGGTAGGGTAGGGTAGGGTAGGGTACGGTAGGGTAGGGTACGGTAGGGTAGGATACGATAGGGTAGGGTAGGGTTCGGTAGGGTAGGGTACGGTAGGATACGATAGGGTAGGGTACGATAGGGAAGGGTATGGTAGGGTAGGGTGGGGTACAGTAGGATAGGGTAGGGTACGGTAGGGAAGGGTTCGGTAGGGTAGGGTAGGATAGGGTAGGGTGGGGTACAGTAGGATAGGGTAGGGTACGGTAGGGAAGGGTTCGGTAGGGTAGGGTAGGGTAGGGTACGGTAGGATAGGGTAGGGTACGGTAGGGTAGGGTACGGTAGGGTACGGTAGGGTAGGGTACAGTAGAGTAGGATACGGTACGGTAGGATACGATAGGGTAGGGTAGGGTTCGATAGGGTAGGGTAGGGTAGGGTAGGAAGGGTAGGATAGGGTAAGGTAGGGTAGGGAGGGTAGGGTAGAGTAGGGTAAGGTAGGGTAGGGTAGGGTAGGGTAGGGTAGGGTAGGGTAGGGTAGGGTAGGGTACGGTAGGATAGGGTAGGGTACGGTAGGGTAAGGTAGGGTACGGTAGGGTAGGGTACATTAGGGTAGGGTACGGTAGGGTAGGATACGATAGGGTAGGGTAGGGTTCGGTAGGGTAGGGTACGGTAGGATAGTGTACGGTAGGATAGGATAGGGTAGAAACGAGCTAACAAGGAAAGTAACCGAACTGCCCGGCTCTGATTGACTTCAAACTTTTTATATATTAGGCTGTGTAGATCATGTAAATATCAGACGTTCAGCAAAGTACTAAATCGCGCATTTCTGGAAATCTTGAGAAATTCAAGATCAAAAAATTATGTTTTGAATTTCTCGCCAAATTGGCATTGTGTTTCAAGCTTATAACTTTGTTATTTTTAGACTTTTAACTATTTTTCTTTGATATACTAATAGAATACTTTAAAATGAACCTACATTTGTAAGTTTATAAGTGTAGCTTGGCGGGAAAGCCAATAAAGTACTTGAAACACAATGGAGAGCTTGCCAAAATGACGCGAATTCTAAATATTTCAAATTTAAAACTTAAAAACTCGAGTTAAAATGTTTTCTGAGTGCTATTAATGGTACAAAGAAGTTATATAAAAATTTTGAGCTGATTTTGAGCGGAGTAGGTTGGGCACTGCAGTTTCATTTTCTATTGGTTCAGGGTGCCGTGTACTGTCTCCTTGTACAGTACTCTCTCTATTTAAGCAACCCGAAGGGACCGGCATTTTGTGTTTACTATAGGGGGTGTTGTCGTTACAGAGAGGCTTTTTTGTGCAAATTGACTTGGCGGGGCCAAATTTCGTGTCTACTATAATTTAAGGAGAATTGCTTATACAGAGGGTTCACTACATATATAGAGAAACCATTGTAATTCAAAAGATCAGGTTGATCTTGGTTCTCGTACAGGTCTTATCATTAGGTTGAACCAAAAGTAGCGGGACACTTTTTAGTTGAAAATCATATGTGTCTTGCTACTTTTGGTTCAACCTAATAGAACTTTGATTTTCTTGTAAAATTGATTAGTTTTACTTGATGTAATGTCAGTAATCTTAAGCTTAATAATGGCGGATTTATTAATTCTTGATTGTGAATCTTCTTCCGATGTGACGAACGGTTTTGTTTTGTACAGACAGGCAATAAGTTAGGCGGAGACATGGTTACAATAAGTCAAGGCAACGGTTTTTGGAGACCCGGGTTGATATGTTTTTAGATGTAACTACGATGTAAGCTTCAATATTTACGGAAAAACATAAATACTGACATTACAGATACAAATATTGTTATAAAAGACATAAAAGTTGTCATAACACTGGTAAATATTGATAAAGAGTACAAATTACTATACTAATTCTAAAATATTATATTGGTACTGTAGATACTATGTGGAATATCGTATAGTACTGTTGGTATTGTAGTGCTGGTACTATTATACTACTGTGACAATACTGATGTTGACATTGTAATACTATGCGGTCATTACAGCACTGTTAGTACTACTTATGAGTTTATGATAATACGGTGAGTACTGTAGTTGATATTATGGTAGTACTGTTCATACTATTTTTGGAAAATAGTATTAAGTCGGATATTGTAGTAGTAATCAGTAGTACTATCTTAGATTTTCTAGTACTAAAAAGTACAGTACCAACCACGGTACTTATCACTACTATCTATAAATCAGTTCTTGTTCCAAAAACTTCCACTAAGTACACGTTTGAGTACTAGTACTCAATTTTAGTTGGGTTGTTGTAGATAAGACCTGAGGATCTCCAGGTAGCGTTGCTGTCGTTCGAACTGTTTCCGGTCGGTTCGTGGCAATTCGTTCATTTCGAAATTGTCACCTTGGATTGGTGCTGGCAGCTCAAACTCTTCAGCACGTTTCACGACCAAAATTGGCTCGGCCAAGAAGTCGGGGTTCTGAAAAGGGGCGATGTTAATATTGACGTAGCAAAAAAATGTTGAAAAAACTTGAATGTTGGTTTAAAAAATAGTTTACAGTACTAAACGTAGTACTATAATAGTACAAAAACCATTATTGTAATAGTACTACAACAATACTGTATTAGTACTAAAAGCAGTACTGTAATATCATTTTAGGTATAAAGTACGAAAAAGTATCAAAAAAGTGAATTTTTACTGTAACATACCTCAAACTTGGTGACTAAAGGTAGTGCGACGACTGTGTCGAAGAATAAAACGGTCGAAAATACGATAGCGAGCACTTTGATTAGCATAGTGTTCATGTTGATATATGTATCCCTTCAAAACGTACAATATAGTATTTTCTTTAGTAAAGTTAGTACTATATAGTATGAGTTATAGTACTATGTAGTATATAATATAGTACTATATAGTATAATAAAAATAGTATCAAAATAGCACGTCAAAACTCGAATTTGTTTTTACTGTCGATTACAGTAGGTATAGCACGCTACAGAGCAGTAGAAGTGACTGTTTCTCGAATTTCGTCCTCCCCTCCTTTAAATACTCACGGCCGAAAAGGGGCGTGGCCTTTGGACAGAGGCAGGGCCAAGAATCTACGTAAACAGACTTTCGAAACAGATTAGCTAAATATATGTCACGCTTAAAATGTCAACGGTTTCGATTGAGACACACAACTACGGTAGCCTTTGTTTTAAAAGATTAGGCATGTTTTGGAGAAAAGATGTTACTCATCAGTAGCATATAATATGAATAACAATATTCTATGTTAATACTGTGTTGGGGATGACAAATTTAGGTTTTATGGTCTTGGAAGGGCTAAAAATAGATGTTTAGTGGTAGACAAAGCATGAAAAAAGTCAGAATTTTAACCAGAGTTGAGCATGAGAAGAGGGGGGAGGGAGAAGAGAAGGGAAAAGTATGGTAAAGCAAGGCAAGATAAGACAAGATCGAGGAAAAACAGGACAAAGAAAGGACAAAGACAAGGCAAAGAAAAGGCTAAGGCAGGGCTAAGGAAGAGCTAGAGCAGGACAAAGGCAAGGCAAGGCAAGGCAAAGCAAGGCAAGGCAAGGCAAGGCAAGGCAAGGCAAGGCAAGGCAAGGCAAGGCAAGGCAAGGCAAGGCAAGGCAAGGCAGAGAAGGATATAACAGAATAGAGTAGGTAAACGAATGTGATATAGTTCATATTGTAGTATATTCAATACTTCAACCGTAACAAAAGAACAATGACAAGAGTACAGACGACTAAACCAAGTTTAAGATTCTAAAAGATTAGTTGTAGGAATAGTCCAATCTATAAAGAAATTTTTAACTTTTTTTACAAATTTTTAAAAAATAGTTAGGATTTCTCTATCAAAGTGCAAAACGTTATGTGTGAATTCGCCAACTAAAGCAAGTATGTAATCACTGAACTTTTCCGGAAGATGGTATTTGTATGTTATATACTACGTCATTGATAACAAGTACTTCAATTTAAAATGAAATATATAATACCTTAAAGATATACCTTCTGTAACGATACGTATAGCTAACATAAGTAAAAGCTTTTGCAACGTGCACAGAGTAGCATATCATAGAAGAACACATCTTAGAGGAGCACATCATAGAGGAGCACATCATGAAAGAGCATATCATAGTTGACAGTACATATTGATGCACATATGATGTGAAAATAATAGTGCAAGCGAAATAACTATAAAATTCACAAAAATATAAACTTGCAAAGACCTACATTACTTTATTTTCAAAATTTACTCATGACATTGTACTTTATATTTACATACTTAAAAGTTGCAAAAGTAACATACAAAGATATATAAGATAAAGCTACAAAGATAGTTAAGATATCAAAGGTACATAACAATGCATAAATATTGATGACCAAGTACAATATACTATTGTATTTTACTAAACACGTGGGATGTGACAACCCATAACTGCTATATTACGTAGAATGTTATCGTAGCATTTTAGAGAAAATGTTAATTGTCCGCGTAACATACTTGACACAGTTTTACAAACGATTACAAGTACAATATGTAAAGTGTTGCCAAAAAAAGCTGGCTTACAAAATGGCATTTACAATTTTTATCAAAGACTATTACAGATTACTTTGTATATTAATTTCTTCGACTAGCCAGAGACTATAACCGATCGTAGACATCGATTTACTCTTGGCATAGTCTAGAAATTGCAGCGGTAAGTGCAAAAAAAGTCTAGCCCTACCGATCAAAAATACAAAAAATCTCCTGTATTACGTTGTTCAAGTAATTCTGTGCCCTTCTCAAAACAAATCTTTATGTTTTGGGGCTCAGAATTAAGCAAAAACATCAACCTTTGATAACATAGTCTACTGCAAAGCTCAAAAACTCAATTGAAGCCCTTGACTATTGCACGAAGCTGTTTCACAGAACAGTCAAATTTTCAACAGTGCAGCAAAATACGAGAATGTTTTAAATACAGTTACTACTTCCGTATCTCAAAGAACTGTTTACGCAATAAGTACGTGCTGGTCAGTAAGATTTGCTATAATTTGAGAGGGTCGGATTAATGCTCTTTTACCGGAACATGATGCACAAAACATCGTCATGGACAAGTTGTTTGCAGCTTGTTTCATCATTTTGAACGTGGCTTATTTAGAATAACATTGTCTATAAATGCTCATCTAAGGCTAAGGCTAAGGTTAAAGCTAAGGCTAAAGCTAAGGCTAAGGCTAAGGCTAAAGCTAATGCTAAGGCTAAGGCTAAGGCTATGGCTATGGCTAAGGCTAAGGCTAAGGCTAAAGCTAAGGCTAAGGCTAAGGCTAAAGCTAAGGCTAAGGCTAAGGCTAAGGCTAAGACTAAGGCTAAGGCTAAGGCTAAGGCTAAGGCTAAGGCTAAGGCTAAGGCTAAGGCTAAGGCTAAGGCTAAGGCTAAGGCTAAGGCTAAGGCTAAGGCTAAGGCTAAGGCTAAGGCTAAAGCTAATGCTAAGGCTAAGGCTAAGTTAACCTAATTTGACTTATTATCTACTACAAGGTCGACATTGTATAGCTTTTACCTTACTATCCATTTAACAACCATTAAACACGTTTGACAATTTGTTGTTCCAAGTTCAGAATAACATATTACAACTCTTTTGCGGTTGTTTCAAAACCTGCATCTCAATTTTAATGTTTAATCTGTTTGTTTACACAAGTGTCCCACCCCCATTTTCTAATCCTTGCCCTGCGGCCCTTTCTATACCTTATACGGTAAGGAACGGTGTGCTTATTATAGCCTAAATGTTTTTATAGCCTAAAAAGATTTGTCAGCTAGTTTATAATTGTGTAACGTATCATAAACATGTTTATAGCATGGTGTGTTCATTCATGTGTTTGTACACAACTTTTGACACTTTAAATGTCATTTTTGGAGGTTTAAAAATGTCGTAAATAACGTGAATGCACGTGGCGGTTAAAACAATGTCAAAAATAGTATGATCGTTTATTAGACCCATCTTTGTAGATCCAGCTTAGGTCCCGCAACGAAAGATTTAACTTGCAAAAAGCGTTCAAATTTGAAAGCTGCCAAGCCAAGCAGAAAATTAGGACCGGTCCGATCTCTTTACAGATCTAGCCCTTATTAAATTTAAGGTATGTTAGCTCTTCTTGGCGTGGATACTGTAGCTTCAATGGCACTAACAATTGTAAACCAAAAATAATTTATAGTATCAATATTTCATTTTAAAAGTACATTTTAAAATTCGAAATAAATTGCACAGACTATATAATTTCATATATTTACTATAGTATGTGCACATATATTTACTATAGTATGTGCACATATAATTTCATATATTTACTATAGTATGTGCACTTTTATATTATTGTTTTGGAAATTTCGCTAAAATGTTTGTCTGTAGAAAGCCTAAAGTTATATTGCCCTCTATCTTTCCAACATCTATTCACTAAATCCGGGTCCAAATTGAGAACTTCAAATTCTGTACTCGGAATTTACATAATCTGTCTTATTTATTTTTAAAAGACACAAACAAAAAGTACAATGAAAACAAGAATAAGAATGACATCAAAACAAAGCATGAATAACGTGAATACTATAGATATTGCGTTAGTTATTTAAAAAGTTGTTTGAAGTTTCATTTTAAAATACAGTACTTTCTCTACATAAGCAACTCGAAGGGACCGACATTTTGTGTTTACTATAGAAGGTGTTGTCTTTACAGAGAGAATTTTTAGTGCAAATTGACTTGGCGGAGCCAAATTTCTTGTTTACTATAAGGAGAGTTGCTTATACAGATGGTTCACTAAATAGAAAGACCACTGTAACTTCTTTTTTTTATTTTAAATTAAAATTGAAAAGTGCCAAGCTTATCAACTGTTAATATACAATATTTCTGACCGGTAAAAAAGAAATAAAGCCAACTTTCTGTGCCTCTATTAGTAAAATATTTTTAAAATGTCATAACTTTTTTCGTTTTAAAGTTTAAAACCTAACGTTTGCAGTGTATAATCTCTATAGACTGAACTATGTTTGTGCCAAATGTAAGTTTCGTAACGTTTATAATAAGCGAGATATAAGCTTCTTACTACAACCCACCAATTTACTTATTACTTACTTGTAAATATTAAGTTATTCAAATAATTCTGTGACTTCTTTCAAAGCAAATTTTGAAATTAAAAAGCTCAGAATTATTTGAACAAACTATAATAATAATATAAAGAAGTATTTTTAATGTTTGCTATTAGATTAATATTAAAAGGCATCAAAGTCATGCAATGTCTAAAAAAGCAATTAGTACAACAAAACCTATTTATAGTGATTACCTCTTCTAAAAAAAGTTTTGTACTAATACTAATGAGATACTTTACTACCTTATAATGTGATTCTGTACTACTACTATAAGGTGTCGTCAAAATCTTGTTTCTTTTAATATTAAGTTGTTCAAATAATTCTGTGCTTCCTAACTCTAAAAATCTGATTGAAGAAGGGGCACAGAATTAATTGAACGGCCAAATAGTTTATTTAAATTTACATTAACAAAACATTTTTAAAAGATTCTTTCAAGATATACCTCAATAATATTTTGTATGTTTACTTAAATTCTTCTTTGGCCAGTACCAGGCCCACCCTCATTAGTAGCTATAGAGTTGGTCTTTATTGTTACAACTATAGTACCACGCCCATCCTCATTAACACCTAAGTCTATGCCCAGTACAATAAAAGAAACTTTAACAGTCATTGTGCCCCAGCTTTCCTTATTACAAAATGTTTTTGCATGATGCCATGCACATTCCTCGAGCCCTCTCATACTATAATGTTATTGTTTTTTCATTTCCAACTTCCAAGTACTAAAAAAGCTGCTTTTCAATTTCAACAAGTTTTCAGACCGAACATCCTTATTAACATATGAAAAAGAGAGTGCATAAAGTTTGGCAGACAGAAAAATGATGTGCTAGATTTTGAAGAGTAAACAAGGTGGGATGGACTATAATTTCATTTTGAAGATGCAGTGTGTACAACAAATCGCTTGGAAGTTTAAAAATGGTTTTGCATAAGAATTTTGTTATAAAGGAGCTCATTATATCATATAAAAGTTAGCCTTGAAAAACCTACAACAATTACCATAAGAAAGGAAGAAGTCCGACCTCCCCTGCTGCGATTGCCTTCAACTTTTTTATATAGAAAGATCATGTGAATATAATACCTTCAGCAACGTACTAAATCGCGCTTTCAAGTCAATCCCAAGAAAATCAAAATCAAAAAACTAGGTTTTGAATTTCCCGCCAAATTGGCATTGTGTTTCAAGCTTATAATTGTTACTTTTTGACTTTTAATCATTTTTCTTTGATATACCAGTAGAAACCCTTTTAATCAACCTACATTTTTAAATTTGTAATCGTAGCTTGTCTGAAAAATCGAAAAAAGTGCTTGCAACACAGTGCCAAATATGTCAAATTGGCGGAAACTTCAAATATTTAGAATTTAAAACTTAAAAACGCAAGTTAAAGTTTTTTATGGGTACTAATAGTAGTACAAAAAATTCATATAAAAATTTTGAGCTGCTTCTGAGCGGAGCAGGTTGATCACTTATCTTGTAAGGCTACGGTAATGCTAGACAAGTCTTGTTCGAAAAGCCAAAAGAGTTTTGATGCAAATCCCTTGTAATGTAAAGCTACGTGAACTATCTTAAACAGCTGACCATAAAAACTCTAGTAATAGCCACAATTTTTGATTTTTAAATTTCAAGAAACAAATTTCAAAAATTTCAAAACCTTTTTCACTGTAATAAAGAAACCACCCTCTTCCTCTTCGAAATTTACGATCGTAGCGTAAACGGCCAAAGATTTTGTTGTTTTCATGTTGTTATGATAACATTTACAATCAAAATTTACGTTAGTTTTTGAGTCTACAATAGTCGTCTACTATCATACAATCAATTTTACGGTCTTTAATCTACATTTATGTTGGTATGGTTTTAAAACACATTATTTTACTGTCATATATGTTGTTATATGGCTTATATTAGGTTGAACCAAAAGGATATTGTCTAGTTTAAAAATAAATGAAAAGTGTCCCGATACTTTTGGTTTAATCTAATATAAGCCATGTAACAACATATATGACAGTACAATAACGTGTTTTAAAACCTTGAATAAGTTTTATGAAGTTATAGAGTAGACAAGAACGTCACAATTGGGTAGTTATCTACGCGAAATAGTACAAGTGTTTTAGTAGAGTTATCTACTGTTAAACGGTACAGAATCACAACATGTTATTGTCTATACTTTGCTGTCAATATTAAATTAGAGTCAAAAATAAACATTTTAAAATCTTTGATCAATTATAATACTCTGGTCGGTATAATACTCAATGAAGTATATTCTGGGCAGTATATTACACAATGCAATATACTTTAACCAGTATGATACAATAGTATCATAAGATTAGCTACTCTACTCACACAACCATCACGAAATCATAAGCAGTACTAACTGTATGAGGTGATCATAAAAGCTGCACTGTATCACAACGTCTCAAGTAGTGCTGTTAACACCATGCCATACTACAGTAACTGACAAAATACAGTATCACTCCAAAATCATTAAAAATATTAGCTTGTTCAAATAATTCTGTGTCACCCCTCAAAGCAAATTTTGGAGTTGTAAGGCACATGATTATATGAACAAACGAATAGATACTATTATAGCATATGGCAAGTTATATTAAACCCGGAATAACATTATAACCTACTCAGTATGACATTAAAACAACCATAAAAAAAGCAACAACTTTTCTCAAATTTATGCACTTTTCTCTTCAAAAGTACAAGAATAGTTCAAAGTTTTTTTTTCATTAAAGCAACACATAAAAAGTGGCACTTTCAATGCTATTTTGGACATCCTAAAAAGAGTTCTCGTTCCTAGTGTACTTTGACTTTTAGTCAGCTAAACGTACTTAACGAGGCTTACAAAATGACATTTTTTAGAAGTAATAGTGCTGTATTGTACAGTACAATGTATTGCTATTAGTTTTGTGACATACTATCTAGTATTGGTACTACTGTTATAACATACTGTAACACAGGACGTTGCTACAGATTAAACTTTTTCTGAAGAAGGAGCGGAGAAGCAAGGGAGAGGTGTAGATCTACCCCCTTTTACCCCTATGCTCTACCCCCTCTTCCAGCTACATTTCAAGGCTTTGATAACGAAAGCTTACTGTAACTTTGAAACCCTTAACTTTCGTTTCAAAATCTCTAATTCACTGTAATCCGATCTATGTTAGAAGCCATGTTTACTCCCTCAACATGTTGTTATTGCTTTATTGAAAAGTATACCAAGTGGTCTTGTTTTTCCGGCAATGAGTAGATTTGCAAATTAAGAAGGCAATTTTACCACGCTAACAAATTGTAAGCTGCTCGTTAAGCCATTTATTTTCGTTGAGATTATCGTTTTTTACTGAGTTACTGAGCTGCGTAGCCATGGTCAGTTTTAACCACTAACAACAAAGGTGGATAGTATAAACCTTTACTATAGTAAACAAAGAGTATGCAGTAAAACTACTGTATAATCAATCGCTAGGGATTTTGTAATAAAATTAGTACGTTATAGAAAAGTTTTGTATATTTAATTTTTAATGTCACAAATTAGCAGTGCCCTTCTCAACCACCCTCCAGACATGGATGTTTCCTTCCGGTGGGGGAGGGGGAAAGAAAGGAGGGGTGTTGTTTGCTGTTAACACCCTCACATCACAAGCACAATCAGTGTGAGATTTATTTAATTTGGCCGTTCTTCTCTTTCCGCTTGACGTACTTTGCCAGAATTACACTTTGAGAACATGGAACGTTCTGATAAAGAACAGTTGAACGTTTGAAAAAGAACGGCCAAAAGACCACAGAAACTCGAAAAACATTATCGTTTTGTGTCAAAAAGCTTCACAAATCTGGCGATTTCAATATATTAGGTTGTCCGGAAAGTTTGAAATCGTACTGGATCACTCCAGAGCTACACCACCAGACAGTCACCATAAGCTTCTTTTCGTGCAATTCTGGCTTCGGAACGTGCTTAGGAGCTTCTCCACGCTTACGCCAACTTGTAGATCTTCTAGTATTGTTAAACGAGATCCACTTCTCGTCAATAGTTACAATTCGATCCAAGAATTCTTCGTTTTTGCAGCGTTGCAGAAGCTTTTCGGAAGCACATCGTCTTTTGGCTTTTTGCAGATCAGTCAAATTGTGAGGCACCCATTTGTCCAACTTTTTGACCATACCCATTGCCTTCAAATGATCACCAATGGTACGTTTTCCACAGTTTAGCAACTCTTCTAACTCCCGGATTGTAATATGTGGGTCATCTTCAATCTTGCGCCTCAGGGCTTCTTTGTCAAGTTTGCTGGGTCTTCCTGCACGTGGTTTGTCTTCAAGCTTCTCATCGTCCACACGAAACTTTGCGAACCATCTGGTCACCGTAGAATAACTCAAAACATTCTTACCCTCATTTTCGTTTATGATTCTGAAGGTTTCTGCCGCAGTATTTCCGCGTTTGAATTCATTTCGCGCAGGCGAGATTTCTCCATTTTTTTCTAATACCTAAAACAATACAAAAAAATGAAATTAAGTTATGTAACTTACCTTTTTGAATAATTTAGGTAACAAACAAACAAACAAAAAAAGAATTTTTTTCTTTCCGTCAAGAAATAAATTTTTCCTGATTTTTCAAAGTTTACCTACTCAAATATTGCAGAACTTTCCGGACAACCTAATATTTTAAGCTAAAAATCATGTTTTTTAACTTAAAGCATGAGTTTGAAGACTTTCTATATTTACATATTCGTATTTTACAATTAAAAAAACGTTTTTGACTACAGCTTTACAACAAAAAATAGAAATGTTGTGCCAATTTCTACTGTTTCTTTCGTATTCCAAAAACAAATAAAAAATGCCAAAAACAATGTCATATACACCGATTGTCAATAGAAATTTGATAAGCCGAGAATCTGATATTCACTAACAAAATACAAAATATAAACATTCAAGTTGGTTGCAAAGATAATGTGATCTTACTGGTCGAAACAATGTTCTTTTGTAGCATTATTCGTTAAAAAATGTCATTTTCTAATCTTAATTTACTGTAATATGAACTATTGCTTTATTTTACCCAACCCTTCCCTACTAAAAATCATTTTTCAATTTTTTTTTGAAAAAATGTAATGTCGCCAAAATACATTACGTTACCCCATAAAAAACGACAAAACTTTTCAAAACGGTATATATAGCCATATAATGTAAAAAAGATCTCTAATACACTAAAATTTAAACCCAAAAACATGTAATTAAGCCTACTATAAGATTAATAATCTTTTACTTAATCTTTATTACATAATGACTTAAAATTACTACGTCTGAGTTTACTATATCAATTAGAAGTTCATTCATACCTTTTCATTAAAGAATGAACAAAACTTGTGACGTCCTAAAGAAACTAATCAGATAAGATAAACTTAATCATCGTTAATCTGCTCCAGATATTACTGTGTTAACGTCATGCCAACTAAAATGACATAACATTGAAGTTCTAAAAGAGTGTTAAAATCCCTACCCTACCCTAATGTACATTATCTTACCCTAGCTTGCTTTTTTTACACAGCCCTTTCTTACCTTACCTTACCATATCTCACTTTCTCCTACCCTTTCCCTGCTTATCCCTGCCTTACCTTAACTACAATGTATAAACACCATAGTTAAAAGACAAAAAGATAGTTTAAGCATATTGTTTGTTTAATTGTAATATTATCTATAAATGTATGTTTAAGGCTTTGTCACATGTAAAGTGTTCATAATCGTTTAAATTTGTCGTATTGACGTATGTAGTCAATATCAAATTAATTTTACAAAGAAAAACAGTTGTAAACAGTCATTAAACTGTTATTAAAATGACCTTGCACTACTTATTTAAAAAACAATGCATATTACCTTCACCATGGTATTCTAATTTACAGTCACCATGGTATTCTAATTCATAAAACGATTGTACCATTGATATAGCATAGCCCTATAAATTTCTTTTACCTTTAAAATCTTTAATAATAAATTTTACAGCTGGAAGTTTTTAAAATTACATTATTTGAGGCTAGTAATCTTGTTGCGAGCAACTTCATAATATCTTGTAAACAATTTACTGCCAGAGTTAGGTTGAGTTTAAAAAATGTTTATTTTTTGTAAAACACTGTACCTGTAGTAGTCAATCACGTTTGAACAAGTCCCGTGTCATACTAAAAAGGTGTGACTGTATATAGCTTCATAGCTACAGTAACATTAGTTATTTTAGGCTTAATTAAGAAGCAATTACTTTAATATAACGTCTATATTAATGTTATTTTCATTAAAGGACATTACTTTTCATTGCCTTAACATAACCTTACAAATACCCCGCAACACCCCCTTACAGTGTCAGAAAAATAATCGTATTAAACGTTATACTGAGAGTATTTACTTCCTTATTACATTAATATTACTCTAACAAAGAAAAGCTTTAGTACTATATTATGTTTAAAAGAGCGTAAAAGTCCAGTAATGCATTATATATTCGATAAACAAAGTTTGTAAGTTATTTTAGGCATCTATATTTAGATGCAACTTATTTTTAGAAAGCATACGGTGCTATCAAATTGTAAACAACATAGTAAAACCAATTATTTTTAGTAGTGACATCTATAAACATGTTTTATTGGAACAACGTTTTTGTTTTACTTTGCGCATACGTAGTTACTGCACAGTAAACTAACGTTAGTTTTAGAAACTTTAAATTTATTTGGCTTTACCCTACCCTACCCACCCTCTACTCTACCCCTTACCCCACTTACTACTCTACCCCGTACTGTACCCCCTTTTCTGGCCTCTATTCTACCCTCTATTGTACTTACTCCCTATTCTACAGTATTCTACTCTACCCCTTGCTCTACGCTTCACTCTACTATACTCCGACTCTACACAATATCTAAATATATATCTCGAATTATAAATATAGATGGATATGTCATGCATAATGTATATAAATATATATAAATAATATTAACATACGCACATAGTCATAAAACTAAATCTATGAATATCTTTAATATTAATCTTAAAAAAATACATCTAATATAAGTATAATATATCTAAATACGTATGTAAATATATATATTCATGCAAATGTACACGTAACTTTATGTGTGGTCATGAGTGCCACAGTAATTGATGTTTGACAACAATTGAAGTCGACATAGGAGTTATATAATGAAAATTTTTAACTTTAACTGTTAGGTCAAAATCAAAAACTCATAGTATAGTACTCATAGTACTGCAATATACAACTTCACTAAGGGTCAGTAATGTCAAAAGTCAAATATAATATTAACATAGGTCAATGTAACGTCACAAAACAAAAAAGAGTAAAAGTTGAATTTAGAAAAGGTTGAAATGTATTCAAACCAAAAGAACAATCGCCTACATACGATGATATTACGGTCAATTTCACGGTAATTGAAATTGTTGCGTTGTAAAATATTAAGGTTACATTTTTAATGAAAAAACAGTTAAAATAGCATTTTTGAAAGTCAGATACAGTACTTGCCTTGCCATGCCTTGCCTTGCCTTGTCTTGTCTTGCCTTGTCTTACCTTGTCTTGTCTTGTCTTGTCTTGCCTTGCCTGGCCCTCTTATCTTACCCTAGCCTTGTTTATCTTACTTTACTCTGTCCTATCTGACTCTACCCTGCCCAATTTTACCTTTTTTGCTTCTCTTGCTACCCCCTCTTCAGCACACAATCCTAACAATACCCCTCCCATTCGAAATGCCATGCAGCTAAAAAAATTTTTGTCGTATTCTTCCCTCAAAAGCTTTAAACTTTGACGACAAAACTTATCGACCCATTCTAATACCATCTTTTTCTGACCTTTAAACCATGACATAGCCTGTAAACAATCTAATGCCACATTAGAAATCAAATAAATATCTAGTTTCTTTCAAATTTGACCAAACTTTCTAAATTTATCCCGTTCTACGTCATTCGGCCCAAAAAAAACTTTTTTAGCCACCCTCGCGCAAGCCCTCAGGGAATAAGGCTAATTTCGTTTTCCTTTTGACACAAAAACAATCAAAAACCTTTACGGCATTTACGTCTGTTCTGATGACAAAAACAATAAGTGTTTTAGTGTTTTCAAAGTGGTTTTTTGAAAACCATTAATTTATAAGTGGCACTTTTAGTTATTTTTAAATTTTGAGAAATTAGGTTTAACAATAAGATTAGAAAGTTTAAATTAAAATTTAATTTCTTTATTATATGGATGTACTAGATGTATAAGCATTAGCATTGGGATTTAACTTTAGCTTTAGCCTTAGCTTTAGATCTAGTCTTAGCCTTAGTGTTAGCTTTTAGCCTTGTCTTTAGCCTTAGTATGAATCTTTGACGAAGACTTAGCCTTAGTCTTATTCATAACCAAAGTAAAAAAAAGTCTTGGCGTTTTTTATGTATAAATAACTTGATGAAAAGACTTTTTTTACACAAAAAACACATATTCTGTCATTTTAAACTAAAATAAACTTTTTTTACAGTACCACAAGACTTTTGTTACATAATAACATATGTACCACACTAAAATGTACCCCTTTACACGTAAAATACAAAATGAAACCTAACTTATTGTTGTCAAATTGTATTTCCACTTCTTTTCAATATAAGACTAAATATTTTACTACGTAACACTGAATTCAATTAGTATATAACAGCTATTTTTGGTTTCAAATTAGATTTCTTTCATTGTCAAGATTGTTTACTACTCATTGTCTTTGGCACATATTGTTGTTTTCTACAGTTTTTTATTGTTTAATATGTGAAATATCAATCAATATTTAATTTTACATAATAAATTTGACATTAGGCAGGCATGTAGACCACCTTCGTGTCAATTAGTCCTAACCCTAGCCCTAGAGTCTATACGTAATATCTACGTATAAAATTTAAAAAAAAACAAAAAGTGTAAAAAGTTTATGAAAGACGATCAAATTTTGTTGAAATTAAGCTTGTTTTCAACTAAAAGTATATAAAAATATATAAATGTGTATAATACTGCCTATAAGACAGCAAATTTACGTCAAAACATAAAAAGGGCACAACATCTTCTGATGTGTAATATGACACTCTAAGTTTAAATATATACTTACTATACGTCTACTGTGTTATTTTTCCACAAATATAATAAATGCCATAACAAATACTTTTTTACAAAATAAAAACTTACTACGGTATGTTGTCATACATGTGCTATAGTACTAAACCTTACACAAATGACTAAGAACATCTTAATTTAACATTAACGTACAGTTCGTATGTACCTGCTTCTTAGAATATTCGATTTTAAACTTAAAAAAAGCTTTTTAATCAATTTCAAAATTGTTTATTAAATTTGTAATTCAAACTGTTTCAGAGTGCAAAGTCATGGGCGGTTGTTTAATATTCTGGGTTTTGAATTTTCATTTCAAATTTACTTATTTTGTATAATTTCAAAGTATACGAGTGACTTTTAAAAGTATAGTTACTATATTACTCAGTCTCGGCCTTAGCTTTAGCCTTTGCCTTAGTATTAACCTTAGCCTTAGCCCTAGCCCTAATCTGAGCTTTAGCCTTACAAGGGAATGTTACAAACTGCCCATTCGATTTTTAAAAGTGAATGGTACCATGTGAAAGAGCGTAAAAAGTTGACTAAAAATCTATTTTCAAAAACTGCTAATTTCGCCTTACAAGCCCGCTAGCGAGATTTTAAAATTTTTACTATCAAAACGGATTTTTTAAACCCGCTTTCTTTTGGCTTAGAAGTGAGTGTGTTCGAATGGCCGAGTGGTCAAAGGCGCCGTGATTGCGCAATCAATGGACTTTAGGTTCGATTCTCTTTTTGGGTAAATGATTGGTATTCTTTTTTATTTAAAAGTTAATTAACTTAAATATTCAAAAAAAAATTTTTTTTGTTGATAATGGCTTCTTACATTTAATAAAACATAAAAAAAGTAAAAACTAAGGTTTTTAAAAATACAATAATCCAAAAGAAAGAATAACAACTTATAAGGCCCTTTCACTAATGATTTTAAAATCTCGCTAGCGGGCTTGTAAAGCGAAATTAGCAATTTTTGAAAATAGATTTTTAGTCAGCTTTTTACGCTCTTTCACATGGTACCATTCACTTTTAAAAATCGAATGGGCAGTTTGTAACATTCCCTTGTAAGGCTAAAGCTCAGATTAGGGCTAGGGCTAAGGCTAAGGTTAATACTAAGGCAAAGGCTAAAACCTTAGCCTTAACTTCCGCCTGATCTTCAGCCTCGGCATTACTATTGCCCTTAGTCTGGATTTAGTATTAGCTTTTCTCCTAGCTTTAGCCCTATTCTTAGCCCTAGCACATCATTACCCTTTTAAAGATTTAATCCAAAATAGTGATAAAACATTAGCTTAAAACCTTAAAAACAACATTCTTCAGCTCCAGCTGTCTGTAGCTGATCCTTGATGATTATTCATTTCATATTCCAAGAATTGTGTTGAAAAACCCAAACAGATCAAACACGTTTATCTTCTTAACGTTTACGTATGGCTTTTGTTTTGTAAATAACACGTTTTGTCTGTGACACCTACGTATGTTATTAA